GGGGGGGGGGTTTGAAAGAAAGTTTATTCTTAAAATGTGACCGTCCACGTTTGGGGAAAGGGGCCTCAACGTACGGAAACTCGACATTGAGATGCTGATGTCAGAGCGTAAGAGCTCTATAAAAACATTCTAGAGCAGAAAATCTTCAAAAAATTTCCAAGAAGGCCAGAGTCGTTCACAATCCAACAAACATAGTTCCTAGGTAAAGCAATTTAATATTCTACGTGTCCATGTTCTGTTTAGGGCACAAAATTTCCCGATTTTAATGCAACTTCATTCGTTCTATACTAGCGTAAAAATGAACTAAATCCCTCGCACCCCATTCTCTAAGATATCGTAAAGGGTAAAGGGTCCTATGCCAAATCTCAAGTTTCGATTTCTCAACCCGACTCGACATAAAGCAATTTTTGTGCTGAACTCAGTGCCGCTTTGGACTAAGGAGGTCCCTTTTCTCGTAGACGAGTCGATCACATGTTACGCTCCAAGGGAGGGAAGGAAATCAGTGGTGTGGCGTACGCTTCGCGATGTATAGATTGATCTGCCTTTTAAACCTATGGACAAGGATCGATAAACAAGGTGTTCGCAACGAACACATTAATAATCGATTCTTTACGATGACTTCTAGTGGAGAAATATCGATCATTCACGCCCCGCCACTGAAGGAGGTCCGATTCAGCATTACGGCTGCGTGAAGCGTGACGAGAAAGGGTGCTTAACAATGCGTGATTACGTCAGGCGAAAATCGTTGCGAAGAGCCTGAAAATTTTTTTGTGTAGTTTTGAGGAAAGTATTGGCAAAAAACGTCAATTTTTTTACGTAAGGAATGATACGTCTCGCAAAGCGTGAAATTATGTTTGAGGAAAGTAAAAGATCTGCGTCTGCGTAACCTATGCGTAATGATGGGGTGAAGATGGGTATCAAATTCAAACACCCAGCGTTCCACGAAAAACTAATGAATTCCGTCGTTTTTCCGACGAACGGACGTGACGCCATTCCAATGTCGTGAAATTTACTCGAATGACACAATTTTTTCGCGCATATACCGTGCAATTCTGTTCAAAATTGTGTTGAATTTTGCCGCTGAGTAATTCGCAGAAAAATCGGCGAAATTTTCAATCAGAAATGTTCAATAGTTTATTAATAAAAAACACAAATTGGTGGAGAAAATTTTGCGAAGTCGAAAGAATTTTTGTTCATTATTGTAGGGAATTCCGAATTAAGATCGCACTGAAAAAAAAGTAGCTTGGATCAAGCATGATAATTCTTGCATTTGCCGCCAAGAATTTTCTTCATCTTGCTTTTAGCTGACTTTTTCTTGATTCAAGAAAAGTAATGCTTGGGTTAAGCAAAAAAAGTAGCTTATATTAACCAGCAAAATTCTTGATTTAAGAAGAAATACTTCTTGGCGGCAAATTTAAGATTCTTTTTTTTCCAGTGCGCTGAAACTGATATAATTACCTACCAATGCAGCGAAAGATTTCTAAACCTCTACTTCAAATTTTTTTTTTTTTTTAAAAAAAAAAGATGTGTGTGTTGATGAAACTAACGGTGTTGCTTTTTTCTGTTTGCAGCACAGACGGAATGATCGGATCGATCTACACAAGCAGTCGAAACGCGGACAAATGTCAGCGGCTCAACAGGAAAGAGTCGTGCTATATCATGCAGGATGACAAACTCTGTCCACTTTTCACCGTCTACGAAACCATGAAAATGGCCGCCGATCTCAAACTCGGAACTTCTCTCTCCGAGAAAGCAAAAGTCCTAGTGGTAAGCTCTTATCGGGTTGTTCTGTGTAGAAGTAGCTTCATAAAGTAAAATAAATTAGCTGCGTGGGGAATAAACTTCCGCTTTGACCAATTGGAATTAAGGTATCAATAAACTCCAAATCGCAGTATGGGCACAACTCCTTGGAGGAATACGCCTCTCCCCTACCACGCCCATGAACTTTTTACTAATACTGGAATAGTGAAAAGTAAGACACACTTTAAGAGATATAGTGTGATAGAAGGAAAGGCTATATCGATGTTAAATAGAATCCTCTGGGATCCGCAGATTTCCGAAGAGAACAAGAGGAGAATGTACAACGCTGTAGTTAAAAGTATATAAACGTACGGATGTGAAGTTTGGCAGCTAAAAAAACGAACACAGATTATGCTCAGAACAACGGAGATGGATTTCTGGACGAGGTCAGCAGGAATTTCTAGGAGAGATCGAGTCCGCAATGATAGAGTGCGTCATGTAATGGAAGTCGAAAATGACATTGTGTTCGACGTCATGACCAAACAGCTTGTCTGGTACGGTCATGTTAGTAGGATGACAGAAAAGAGGCTGCCAAAAAAGATGCTTGATTGGGTTCCTCCTGGGAGGAGACGAAGGGGACGCCCGGTGAAAGGGTGGCGACCCGCGACAGGGGGTTGTAGAGGAGATGAAGGAATGCCAACTCAGTGATGGGTTATGGGAGGACCGAGTATTGTGGCGGTTCGGCGTCGCAGAGCGCCAGAGAGTGCTGTGAGAACGACTCTTATGTATGTATGATAGTGTCAAACATTATAAATTATTGTAGATGAATTGAGAACTTTACTACGCGGAAAAAAGGAATAATAGTTTTAACTATATTCATAGCTGGTTTTGGTGCCGACCTAGAAATATAGTTAAGTCTACCATACCAATAGTATGTCAATTTTTAAGTTATCAATACCAGAAAGATGGAGAAATCAGCAGCATCTCTTTTGGTTGGTGCCAAAATCAGCGGTGACTATGGTTAAATCTACCATTCTATTCCTCCGCTAGTAATAGTGACAGCCAGTATTCAAATTGATCCCGTACGAAATCATCGAAGAAATTGTTTGATAAATTCAAGCAAATTCGTAGAGTCACATTACCATTATAAATATTCTGTTCAATTTGCTGCATGTATTCTTTCAACTTTTCATATACCGCTACATACTTAAACGGCACCATACACTTAGACCGTCATGATCAGCGTCAGCGTCCTGATTTTCCTTTTGTCGCGTTCGTTTTCCAGATAGAAGACGTTTTAGAAACGATAGGATTACAAATGTGTAGGCACACTAAATGCGGCAGACTTTCCGGTGGCCAAAAGAAACGTTTATCTATAGCTCTGGAGCTCATCGATAATCCCCCTGTCATGTTCTTAGACGAGCCAACAACGTAAGTGCAACCTATATATTTTTTTCTTAGACTACTTTGCGATTAGAGGATTTTAAGTAGAAAATTTTGTCCTTTCACGTCACAAGATTTTGAATTCTCTCTCTTTTAAAGCTCTTTGTCTCCAATTGTCCACACGAGAGAAAAAGATTATGAAAAATTATGTGATCTCATAGCTCATCAAGAGCTTTCATACGAATTAATAAAATTTTCTGATGCAAAGTCTCTATTCCGTTAGGCAATTGTTGACTTCAACTCAGTGCAGGGGCGTGAATGATCGTTATCGATATTTCCCTATTTGAAGTTACAGTAAAGATTCGATTATTAAGGTGTTCGTTTCGAACACCCTGATTATCGATCCTTTTCCACAGGTTTAAATGGCAGATCAATCGATATATCTCAAAGCACGACACGCCACTGCTTCAACAATGCGTCTTTTATCTTTTGCGTCTTTGGCTTCGATACAAAATTGACCATGCACGAATGATACCGTACAGTGATGGAGATTTGAAGCGTGAATGGTTTGTTTGTTACGGTTGCAGGGGTCTGGACAGCATCAGCGCACACCAGTGCATCTCGATGCTGCGCGGCCTGGCACGCGGTGGACGAACGATCGTGTGCACGATCCACCAGCCGAGCGCGAGCGTCTACGAGATGTTCGACCATGTCTACGTCATCGCCGACGGCCTTTGCGTCTACCAGGGCTCGGCCATCAACACCGTGCCCTACCTCAGAAACCTCGGCCTCAGTTGCCCCCAGTACCACAACCCCGCCGACTTCTGTAAGTATCTTCCACTAGACCACACTGAAAAAAAATTCTCGGCTTTTTTATCAAGGTCCGTTGGTACCTTTACCATCTCACTTTTTTTCACCAATTATTGGTAATTTTACCAAGACAGACTGGTAAGCTTACCTAAAAACCGGTATTTTTACTGTTTTTTTTTCAGGTAAGAATACCACTTTTACTGGTAATCGATTCCCGGTAACTTTGTCATTTTATCTCGGTAATTCTACCACAGTCGATAAAAAATATTGGCGTTTTCACCAAGGCTCAGTAAAATTACCGAGAAAGTTCATTAGTTTTACCGAGATTTCTCGGTAAAATTACCAATTCCATAAATGATAATTTTACCAAGAAAAAACTGGGATCAAATAGAACCCTGAATTCTTGGTAATTTTACCCTTTTCTTAGTAAATACACCGATATTTTTTTTTCAGTGCAGTGCTCCCATTTCCCGGAACTAGTATCGAATTTTGGAACTTTTAAAATTTTCCTGAACTTTTCTCGGAACTTTAGAAATCCCCGGAATGTTCCGGATCTTTTGCATTTTCCGGAACTTTGGAAAAAATCTAAAGAGAATCTCGAAATTTTCGACGATCATGGAGTGCTTGGAGGTATTGGAACAAAAAAGTTCCGAATCTTTGGTTAGCTTCGTCAAATATGCGTGTGCTGCGGAAATACGAAGGTCAAGCTTACTCTGTAGATCATGAATTGCGACGCAAACGCGCCAAATTAAAACGAGCCATTCAGAGAGGACAGATAAAAAGTGGACGTATTTATGCTAAAAGGAATTACAAGTATGTTGCACACAAACGCTATTTACAAAGGGTGGCCGCTCTCTTTGATTTCTTCCACCTTGATTTCGTCCATGTTTTATGTCGAGCAACCACTGCAAATGTGTGCATCACTAATTGGATTGCATTTTGCAAAAAGGAGCCACTAGCATTGCAATGATGCTAAGATTGTGCAACTACATCTTTTGCAATAAAATTGCGGAAATCGTAAAAAACCATGAAATTTAGATGGTAGTTTTTGTCTTAAATTTACAGTTTTTAGCGAGTAAAATAGAAACTATGAATGGATAATCGGGGTTTTCCTCCAAGACAAAAGAAGTTGCACAATCTTAGCAACATTGCAATGCTAGTGGTTCCTTTTTGCAAAACGCAATCCAATTTATGGAACTAAGGTGAAGGAACATGGTACATGGAACATGGTACATGGAACATGGTATTCATAAGCGCGGTAGATGACGCCGAACTCCCTTTTTTTATTTATTTATTGATGAGCAATATCCTTGTTAATACTGAACGCAGAAACTGGGCGTTTGAACTGACCTAAATATATTGCGCTAATCTGTAAGTTTAAACAATCAAAACGCAGTTGTCTGACTAGCGTAAATAACCCATTGTGCCCAATGGTCGGTACAACAAATTAAATTCGATTAACTGGCTATCGTTGAGAGACTTAAACGCACAAATAGAAAAATAATCAACGTCGTTAGAACATGACGTGAGGCCAACTAAAGTCCGTAACTTCCAGAGGCGGATTGCCTCCTCGAAGCGGCCCGAGAAACCGCCAACATATACCGCGGTGGTCCCCCCCCCAATAATTTTTAGATATTAGCCATATGCGTACCTAGGTCATTTTTCAAAAATTGCCGAAGTTAGGTTAAATCGTCAGAGTTCACTTTTGTGTGGATGTGATCCCCAGAGTATATCTCCCTAGAATTCTTACTACATTTGTGATTAATAAATGTCCACTTTCTCTATACCTAAAAGTTATAGGTAAGTTCTACGTTTTCCGGACGATAGAACGTAACAGTAACGACGTAACGTAACTTGATAAATGGCCACTCGTATAAATTATATTTTTAACGGAAATCGTACATGATTGCAAAATCTCCTCAATCCTGTGATCTCAGGATTGCAGGCTCGGGGTGTGCAGTTGTGCACTGTTCGGAAATGGTGTACACCGAGGTAGGTTCGACACCAAGAAAATACGACTTTAGATCGACTTGAGCCCGCACCGTGGTATACGCGCAATGCATGAAGTATCCTGCAGACTTGTAAGGCGCTATATCATGCGTGGCGCGCACCGTGCTGAACGCGCAATGCATGAAGTATCCTGCGGTCATGTAAGGCGCTACTATATGTATCGTGCGCGCCAGTCGCCAGCCCTGACCGCACTGTGTTTGACGCGATTATTCAAACTTGCGACGTCAGCGCAGCGGTGTTCAACTTATGATTTTAAAGTTTTTGTACAGTTTGTTAGAATTATTGTCATATCAAATGATGAAACATTACATAAAACCCAACTAATTTTCTTCTCTTCGTTAAATATTTTTATAAATAATTCTAAATAGAAGCATACAAGTGAAGCGACTTTTACGTGTAGGCTTCCTCGTTGCTCAGCGATGTAATGGCGCCTAAGGAAACTAACGGTACATACATTGTTCCTAAACGAAGCCAGCACTTAAGGTCCCTAATTGCAAAATGAAGTTCATTTGATCAACGAACCCTTTCGAAGCGTAGGATTCGACGAAGGCATGGCTTCGATCGAAAAAATATAAAACGGTGTCGATTCATTCACAATAAACTCTACAGCTAGTTTCTTTCAATGAACTATTTGACCAAAGTTCATTTTTTTTCCATAGCCAAGGGAAGATTTTTACTCATTTTAATGTAAACAACAAACGTCGGCGTCTCGTTTACGATTTTAACTTGAAAGTATTCAATATTATCGTTTGTGTCGGGAGTTTTTCCCCTAATGCTGGATATATGATCTAATTTGACTGGACTATGTTCAATCTGTTTTGTCTATTTCGATGCACACATTCCTTTGAAAACCATCGCGCACTGACCAGGTTGTTTTTTTGTGTGTCAGTGCTAGAATGTGTGACCGGTGAATACGGACAGTTCCGAGACGAGTTAGTTCTAGCAGCGAAAGATATGTCGTGGAGGTGTTTGCCGCCAGCGGTAGATATTAACAGCAATACGAACGGAACCAATGGACTCAAAGAAAGTATGTATCCAATACGTAAGTACCGCTCTTCTATGCATCTTCATTGAGTCTTTTCATACCATTCCCACCGCCCTCACTCATTCTCCAGTTCGATATCCTCGAGTGATATCAAAGATTGCCACCGGGGATACCGTGTTCATGACGTAAGTAGTCTTTGTAGTATCATCAACGAGGTTTTCCTCGTCATTGTATGCATTGCCGCTCATTCTTCTAGTCCAGTTTTCGATACCTCCTCTCATCACTAGAAAACAGTGGCGTGGCGTGAATTGCGATATATCGATTGTTATGCCATTTAAACCTATGGAAAAGGATCGATAAACAGGGTTTTAGCAGCGAACACCTTAATAATCGATTCTTTACCGTAGGTTTAAATGGCATAACAATCGATAAATCGCAATTCACGCCACGCCACTGCTAGAAAAAATCTCGGAGTGAGAGTCAAACTCGGAGCATATCAGTGACGTGGGCGAATGGTTTAACCAGGCAAATTAGGCAGATTGTGAATTATTTACTGTTTCATTCAGATGAGGTTCAGTTTTATTCTGTTTTATCATGGAACGGGAAATCAAAAAGAACAGACAAGACACGTTTGTCTTTATAAAATTTTCTCCAATCGCACTTTCAAGTATACTGAAAAAAGGGGTTGATTCGAATCAATCCGACAACACGACACAAAATGTGACAGTTCAACAGTGTAATTGTTTTAAACACATGATGTTGTATAAAATACAGTAAACATATGATTGGTTCAATCAGAATCCCGGTTTATGTGAACTTAAAAGAACCAATTTGACGACTATGTTTTACAAGGTAGAGTTCTATTCAATGAGCATTTTTTATTCAATGCAGTTAATGCGGTAACGCACATTCTATTCTTTCCTTATTTTATATCTGCGCAATAAATTTATGACTCGCAGTATTAATCGATACTTTACTTCATTGTTCAAAATGCTTAAAAATCAAAATTTTCTGTCAAAAAATCTTAAAACTTTCAAAATGTGTAAAATTCCAACACCTTCTAAGGAATTTCATTCAAAATTTTCAACATTCCAGTACCTTTCAAGGAAATTGAAAACATGCCTAATTTGACAATCTGCCTGTGCAATAGGACCGCCAATGACGCATGGACCACTTAGTTCAGGGTGTTTTGGACCTCGACTGAAATAAAGAGTATATATAGGCTTGAATGCTAATATATTTCCTTCCAAGTTAATTTTTTGTCACTTTCAAAGTATTTTACATTCCTGCGTAAATTTTTGATGGGGGAAAATTCCTGTCGATGCCCTAATTCTTACTTCGTTCAGTGGTCCTTGCGTCTGATGGTGCATTCGGCTTTTTCAGGTGAATTATACCCCGCAAAATCGGATTTTGCTCTTAAATCTTTGGAATAAGTCAGAAAAAAAAAGAAAAAAAACCTGCACCCATCGAGGCAAGCTGCCTCGCCGCGAGTCAATCATTCGATGCGTATAGATCGCATTCGAAGGTGGTTCGATGTATATCGTTTGGTTCAAGACAGTAGGAAATAACCTCAAACAAAAATTTAAGGACTTAATTTGGAAAAGCTGAAAATGAAAAAATGTCTAACAATTTCACATTTCATTGACATTTGCACCGCGTTTGACAGAACGGAACCAAGCCACATCAGCTATTGCCAAATTTAACCGGGCAATACAATTGTTCACGAGAGAACGTTTGTGCGGATTCCTTTCAAAATTTTAAGGAATATGCATTGCTCCATAGAAAAATTCTCTGAAACTCGCTCGGAAATCCGCACAACCGTTTTCATGTGTACAATTAAGTTGCCCTATTAAATTTGGCAATAGCTGACGTGGCTTGGTGCCTTTCTGTTGAGCGCGATCCATTTTGTACTCACAAGAATAAAACATCTATCACAAAAAACCCGCTCCCTCAGATTTCTAAATTGACTTTTGAGGTTGTTTACCTGCATGTTAAACCAATCGATATCGATATAATCTCGCCTGTTCGATGTATCGAATACGATCTATTTAAATGGAGGAAAAACACTGTTGTCAATCTAAAAGAATCACCAATAACAATGAGTGCGAGTCAGTGGCGTAGCGTTCTCTGCGATACATCGATTGAATTGCCATTTAAAACCTATGGAGAAGAATCGATGAACAGGGTGTTCGCAACGGACACCCTAATAATCGATTCTTTACCATAGATTCAAATGGAGAAATATCGATAATCGATCATTCTCGCCTCGCTTCTGCTGCGAGTCCCTCGGTGCTTGGTTGTCCCGCGCACAAACTCCGAGTCAGTCTGACTCAAAGTTTTCCAAGCTCCAAGTTTCTCGTGATCTTAGTCGCTGAAGGTCCCGAGTGAATATAACCCGTTAATCGAGTGTCTTGCACTCCAACTCCGAGTCGGCGTACCTCTCACTCGAAGAAGGACTCGGGAGATTTTTTTGCAGTGATTGGTATCAAAAAGTTCATCTGGATTTATCGCACAAACAACGTAAGTAACGTCATCCTATGCACCACCATTGAATGAGTCATTCCCTGTCATTCTACATTGACATCCAACTTGCTCCAGTTTCATTTCTTTGAAATATCGAACACGTGCACCTGAAGACGCTATCTTCATGTCGTGCCATTTTCCTACGCACCATCATCAGAACAACTCATTCATCGTTTGGTATATCGCACTCTTTTCCTATTCTGTCAACAGTATTGTTCCTAATTTTGTTTTGTAGAGTGAAGAGAAATAGCGCAACACCGCATAGCTGCAAAATCCATTTTCAAATTTCAAAGTTGTTTGTGCTAAATTCCTCTTCTTCCGTGATTCACCTCGTTAGAATGAGGAGTTAGAATTGATTTTTCAATTTTACCTAATATCTTGATGAATTGTGTACTCCGTAAACATTCTGGTTTTTTTTTTTTTTTTTTTTTTTACTTGAATTTCTTTAATTTTTGAATTTTAACTATACAAGGTTTTATTTATCCAAAAGATCAAGTTCCGGAGTGTATAATTATTTTTTTTATTTATTCGTTTCATAATGAAGAGCCAAGCTTTTGTGTCAGACTTGAATTGCAAGCCAGTGCAATCTTTTTGAGTTATTTGTAGCGTTTGGTTTTAAAAATACGAGGCAGGCCCTCTTTCGGCCGAAATAAAATATTGCTTTTAATTTTCAAATGTTCACTCATGGTGTATTTTAATTTCAAGCCTACCCAGGAAACCTCTTTTTGTATATCAATAACAGAGCAATCGCAGTCATTAGTTGTCAATTTTTAATCATCAATAGAATAATTGGAGGTTTTCGTCAGTTACTTGTCCCGTCATTCTCCACGTAATTCATGGTTTACGGGGATTTTACTCAAAAACTGTGAAGCAAGGACTAAACAATCAACAACATATAAATTCCTAGCCATCTCAGCTTTTCTTGACGTGCTTCCTTCGAATGAATAATAATCGTTTTTTTATTTTTAACAGCCAAAAAATCAAGCAAAACAATGGTTCTGATCAATCCACCCAGCGAGTGGGCCAGGTTTAATATTCTTTTCTTCCGATCCCTACTTCAACTTTATCGAGATTGGGTTAGTAATCGCTACAAATTTTAAACAGCATAGATTCTTCATAAAGGGGTAGAAACAGGGTTGCACGGGTGAAATGAAAAATATGAAATATGAGAATTTCCGTGAAATGTTTTATGAAATTTCACGAAATTGTGAAAAATATGAAACATATGAAACACATTTTTAGGGGCTGGGTATGCAACAAGCACAAACAAACACTAAAAAAACAAAAACTAGTCGCCTTACATTTAAATATGCTTTTAATCTCGAAAAATATGTTAAATTATTTTCATATTTTTCGGAAATTTCATGAAATATTTCACATGAAATTTCAAGATTTTATTTTTCATGAAAAATTGCAACCTTGGGTAGAGAACTTTCAACGTTGTCATCTATGTTGAAAATGCCTACATCAAGTTTCAGCCCGCCCCTCCCTCAGTATCTACTTGTGGATACGTACATTCTCCTTCAAAAATATGTGTATGCAATCCTATGTCACTCGTGCAAGAATAGTTATCGCTCAGAATTTAGACGTGTCCCGAGGAGCTCCTTTTCCGGGGTATCGACGTTAAGAAGATTTGATGAGGTTTAGGGGCCGCGTTTGCACTCTACTCTTTCAATATATCGTCACCTCCCGGCGAAAGTATCACAATCGCCTTACGACGCATCAAAATTTCCGCCGCCATTTTATTTTTTTACCGAGAAATCGTTCAACAAAGCTGTCCAAAAATCTCACCGAATTCCCTTTGTGCTGCCGATAAAATTCAGTGAAATCGTCAAACAGATTCAACCATCAATTTTTCTGTAAAAAAATAAAATGGCAGCAGAAATTTTGAAACGTCGCATGGCGCATATAGTACTTCGACCGGAAGGTGGCGATACAATACGGCGCTTCTTCGCCGGCAACTGCAGGATTTCCGAAAAATGGACGTATTTCTATCAAACGGAACTATATGCATTATGACGTGAGCACGGTGAGCCCTGTTATGCACTTATTCTTATGGGTCTCAGGGCTCATGCCTGAATGCACACAGTTCGTTTGATAGAAATACATCCAAATATCATTAGCGCTCTCCTAAACGAACTCTCTGCACAGGTATTGCTTTTCAGCGATGCTATCTTGCTTTCACGAAACTGAGTCTTGAATTTTACTTTGTTCATATCCTCACAATTTACCTACTTGCGCAAAATTATTCTAGAACCTAAGAAGTACATTCGAAAATATCTAAGGCAAATAGGCATTTTCTAGGTAAACCTAGGACCAAGTTGGACGTATTTCTATCAAACAGAACTATGTTCCGGTAGAAAAGGTGGGGTGTGCTCGTTAGTGATCGGCCATAAGAGTGAATGGGAAATATAAAGCGCCGGTGACGTAGTCGCGCTTTTCGCGCTTTGTCCTAAACTCATGAGCCCTGTCCACAACGCTCTAGATACATGCCCACGGCTCATGAGTCCCGCATAGAGTTGGCTCACAGTTCCGTTTGCTGAATAGGAAAAGCGGGATTTTACCAGCGGCCCGATTATTGAAACTATGTCAGCCCGACACAACAAGACATAGCCCTATCTTAACCATGCAATATATCGCAATTCGATGTCTTATCGGGCTGGTTTAAATTTCAATAATCGGCCCGCAGCATTCTGTCCAATGGAACTATGTGCACAGTGTGTGAGCCATGGGCATGTGTCTAGAGCGTTGTGGACAGGGCTCATGAGTTGATGCCTCGGATCGTGATCGCCCTTCGTCTAAGTCGTCGACGCCGACGTCACTGGCGCTTTACGATTCCCATCCATTCTTACGGCCCTCAAATGACGAGCACACCCTATCTTTCCCACCTGCACAGTGCACATATTTCTGTTTGATAGAAATACGTCCAGTTTAACTCTTGTGCCTTCGATTGTTTTTGCAAAGCGAATACAATTTTGAATTTAGTTTATTCCTACCGGTTTGGAATGGTGTCCTTGAAAATATCGAAACTCCCTGGCTTATTGAGTAACTGTTTTTTAGCTGTAATGGAGATGTTGCATGTGTGAGGAATTTGCGATTTGACTGTTGATTCTTTTGTAAAAGTTCGCGAGAAACACGATGGTGCCATTGGTTTTCTATGAGATCAACTCCCAAGCTCAAAAAAAGCTCTCAAGTTGAGGCCAAAATGGAGGGACACCCCACGCTATCCTGAGAGTCCACCTCTACATCAGAACAAACTCTCCATGCAAAGCTAGGGAGCAAATACATTGACAGGGCTGCCACTTTATTTGGGGACTCTAAAATTGAAAACACGGCATCGCTGCTAATGTATTTGCTCCCTATCTTTGCATGGAGAGTTTGTCTTGATGTAGAGGTGGACTCTCAGGATAGCGTGGGATATCCTTTCCGTTTTGACCTCAACTTGAGAGCTTTTTTTGAGCGTGGGAGATGATTTCAGAGAAAACCAGTGACACCATCGTGTTTCTCGCGAACTTTAACATAAGAATCAACAGTCAAATCGCAAATTCCTCACACATGCAACATATCCATTATTCATTACTGGCACTTATCTCTCAATTTCATTTTCCATAGACTTCTAGTTAGCCCAAGAATTTAAGCCAAAACTACGCATCTTTGAAAATAAAACCGGACTAGCAATGTCTATTAAACGTATTTTCCCCGATTAATTGTCACGTATTTCTATAATTTTCTTTGCAGACCTCGACGCACATTAAAATCGTGCTCCATACGGCGGTCGGCATTCTCCTCGGATTGCTGTACACGAATGCGGGGATCGACGGGAGTAAAACAATAAGCAATGTCGGATTTTGTATAGTATCTCTTGTGTATTTATCTTATACGTCTATCATGCCTGCAATCTTAAAATGTAAGTTGGCGTCTTTTCCTTATTCTAGTCATCCACATCATGCGTCATCAACGATGACAACATTTGCCCATCTTCACTTCGATCGGCTTCATCTCCACTGATTTTGCGACCGAGATTTCGACTGCGTCAAGTGAACAGGAATCGATTGCATGGACGCATTATAAAGGCACGCATTTGCACAGGAAAATCTATTATAGAAATGTCGTTTCAGAAATATTCCAATTAAGTCGGTACCTGTTAACTCCACTGGAAAAAAAATACATTGGATCTAGAGTCCAGACTCTTAAAAACATCGACAAGAAAAAATACTCTTGATTCAATCAGATTTAAGCTTAAATCAAGAACCCAGCCTCTTAATTTGAGCGGATTTCCTTTTGATTTAAGCTTAAATCTGATTGAATCAAGAGTGATTTTTCTTGTCAATGTTTTCAAGAGTCTGGATTCTAGATCCAATGTGTTTTTCCAGTGTTCATTAATAGAGCCCAGCAAAAATGATTTTCCACAGAAATCGGTCGGAAGGGGAGGGCACTCATTACTCAATCAACTGAAAGATCCAAGTCGATTTGTGTTAATCTTGGACAATGTGACTTTTTTACGTTATTTTTTTACGACGTTCATTTATTGACTCGAAGGCCTGCCTTTACAGTCGAAATTTTTAATGTGAATGACCTTGCTCTCCTTGCAAGGAGAATCTTGGAATATATAATGTCATGTCATTATATATTCTATGTCCATTATATTCTCTTTAGCTCTGAATAACTTAACCAAAAAGCGTGCACCACTTGGGGTTAGAAAAAAAATCGCCAGAGGAAACAAGCCTGACAGAATATTCTCATACATTTTGCTCGTTTTTCTTCTTCACGCAGGAGACGGAGGGTGTAAAATCGATCTAACCAATTTCAATGAAATAGGCACGCATAAATATTAGATGAATGTATCGAAGATCGATTTAAAGAAACGGAAAAGAGAGGAAGAGATACGGACTGAGAGGCCCCTCGATAAATCGATGTTTGACGGATCAATTTTCATTAATCGATTGTCGTATGAAAAATCCTTGACTCTTACTGGGCGAAACGCTGATCAAAATACTATAGAGCGAAGTGACTAGTGGCGATTTACGTAAATTGACAATACCAATTTTTTTTGTTCGTGGACCTACGCGTAAAAAAATCGAATTTTTCGAAGCCGGTTGCCTTTTTTAAAATGTATAATCTTAATCAATTTGAAAGGAAGAAAAACAGCTCTACCAACTGGTTAAGGCCACCGCCACCCTTGTACCTTTATGACCAACAAGCATGCAAATTGAGAACGAAATTGGGAAATTTTTCTAAAGAAATAAATAGAAAATGGCAATTTTCTTTCATTGTCTGTTTTCTTCAAATGTTTAAATAATCTCTATTTACGATTAAGCACTGATATAACTCGGCAAAGTCACCTATATAAATTGAACTATTTCAGCATAATATACACTGTAACATAGTCCAACCGTCAGACTGCCTCTTTTTCTCTATAAACATTTTTCCTGAAAAGCCCCCAGCAGGAGATCCGGCCCACCAAATTTTAAGGAAAATCATTGTTCTTTTTGTAGAGGGTGTCTTAGACCACCCCCACCCGTGTCAGGTTTTCCTCCGGTTATTTTAGATAGGATGAGGTCAGGGACTACAGGAACGAATAGGGAATCGACCCCAAGGAATCCAAAATTCAGGGCTGGAATACCCCCCGGCCTCCTATGTGGGGTAAAAAGGGGGTTGTGACCTAAAAAGTTGGGGTTTCCTTCAAAATTTTGGAATATTCTATTTTATTTAGAAAACACGGCGAATTTGACCTCACATAGTCACCAAGAAATTCAAAATCGGCTCACTTTAGTACAAGATGTTGATCCCACAGACTAATGAAATCTCGAGAATTAACTACAAGTAAGATGCAACGGCCATTAATTTTGCCTGCGTACGAATGGAGGATCTTTGTGTGCCCCCATAAAAGATTAGCTCGGAGACTTGAATGCTAGGGTATAAAGATAGACGAATGAAATCTGGAGAATCAACTACAAGTAAGATGCAACGGCCATTTATTTTGCCTGCGTACGAATGGAGGATCTTTGTGTTCCCCCACAAGGGATTAGCTCGGAGACTTGAATGCCAGGGTATAAAGATAGACGAATGAAATCTCCGGAGTTTACTACAATGGAGATGCAACATTTCGGTCATGGCTTATTCCTGCGTACAAATGAAGGATCTCTCTGTACCTCGGCTGTAACATGAGAACGTCTGAAGGCTCATACGGCGTTTTACCTCAGTCAGCATGGCAATTTAAGGGTTAATACAAATATTTCGAACCGAAATGGGTCGATTTTAGATTCTATGATATCGATTTGGAGTAAAAGTTTCTGTTCTTTCTGAATTTGAAAGAATAATGTCAAAATTTTGAAGGGAATCCCAAATTTTCAAGCCACGAAGCCCTTTTACCCCACGAAAAGGGCCGAGGAGGGTTTCGAGCCATGAAATTCGGATTCCTGGGGGTCGAGTCCCTATTCGCCCCCGTCGTCTTCGATTTTATTTGCTCTAACATAACCAAAGAAAAGGTCTGAAACGGGTGATCTGGGACTCCCTACATGTTGGTGACAGTTAAGGACCGAAATTCATGAAAATATCACTCTCCTTCCCCCATAATTTTTAACGCTAATCATATCGGTACCCTCAAACATTTCGAGATTTCCAGTTAAAAGGAGATTGAGGGAGACTACACTGGAAAAAAAAGAATCTTAAATTTGCCGCCAAGAAGTATTTCTTCTTAAATCAAGATTTTAGCTGGTTAATATAAGCTACTTTTTTTGCTTAACCCAAGCATTAATTTTCTTGAATCAAGAAAAAGTCAGCTTAAAGCAAGATAAAGAAAATTCTTGGCGGCAAATTCAAGAATTATCATGCTTGATCCAAGCTACTTTTTTTTCAGTGTAAGTCGTTTACCCTGAAAGATCTAAGATCCCCTAAAATTCTCCTTCGATCTAAGAGTTGAATATTTTATGGGTCGTTGATAAGTTCACGAGTTCAGCGCTGAAAATTACGGAAGATAGCCATTTTTCATGAGTTTTGGTCCTTGACTGTCGCCCTTTTTTTAAAAAAAAAATAAACGATGGTTTTTCTGAAAACAGGAGGGGGCGCAATTCTGGCCGAAGGTAATTTCAGAAAAACAATTTTAGAGGGGAAATGTTTAATTTTAATCTACAGAAGACTCCCCTGAAATCTCTTGGTTCAACCTGTGGCATCCTGCATAAAATATTATTCCAGTGCTTTTTTCACTCATGTCGTCTTGAATGTAACAGCATGCTAATCTCAACCTGAGTCTTTCCTCCTTATTCCTTTTATATTCCTCGTTTGTATCAATCTCGTATCAATTAATGCGTGACAATTAACTCTTAAATCTTCATAATATTTCAGTCCCGCAAGAGCTTCATGTACTGAAGAAAGAGCAATTTAATAACTGGTATCAACTGCGGACGTACTACTTAGCTTTCCTTGCCACGAATGTTCCTGTCCAGGTAGGCAAAAATTTATAATTCATAACTGGTAATTTTTATCCCTCTCTTTCTGTCATATTTGCTACGCTGTTACCAAAGTATCCAGGATGAATCTCATCAATTAGTAATCACATATTGCCAAGATATCACATTGTGAAATTAGGTTCAGCACCAAGAAATATTTGCAATTATTAGGTTAATTAAAGCAGCAGAGGTTTCGCGATTTTAATATACATTGCATGTGGCATATTCTGTCAATTTAAGGCGCAAACATTTTTGCACTTTGGAGGTAAGTTTGTAACAAGTCAAATACTGACAAGAAGCAGAGGACATCATCTCTCTTGTGCGTTGTGCGATAAAATGTATCGATTGCTCAGTAGGCCAAATATTAACCGGGTGGTAATGGTATTATTATGGCAAACGTATTTCAATATTATTATTATTATAATTATAATTTTTTTTTTTAATGTTCAATAATAATTGGATGATTTTCTCTGGAAACTGCCCAATTCTTTCGGAAATGATTTAACGTGGAGATGTTAAATTGATTCTTTCTTCACGAATAAAATACCTGAAATATCACCTGTTCCATGTTATCCTCTCTTTGGTAGCCGATGGACTGCCCAAAGATTTATTCATTAAACAAAACATTTCTTGCACCACTTAGGTTTTTTTTCTGTTTCACAAATGTTTAATCCCCATTTCGGGCGGTTTTCAAGACAATTCATGCAATCTTAAAGCTCCAATATGCTGAACTCATGCCCGTGCCCGTCTTTTTGTTTGTTTTAGATGCTATTCTGTTTCATTTATGTGTCGATATCTTACTACATGTCATCGCAGTTAATGGTCTGGTCAAGGTTCCTCATGTATCTGGCAATCTGCGAACTAATTACGCTGCTCTCCGAGGGTTTCGGCCTCATCCTAGGAACTCTTCTGTCGCCGGTGGTGAGTGTTTCCTAACTTCCTTGTCGTTCATTGAAGACTAAAAACTTCGACCGATTACCTAGGCCTTGTCTCCACGGGACGTTTCATGGGATTTGTCCCAAGGAAAAATCTCACTTGCGAAGTTGGGAAAAATATTGAGTTAGTCAATACTAATCACAGTTCCAACTAAGAGTCATTGTGGAGTCCCAGAAACGACTTAAAAATAAGAAGAAGAAAATTTGTTGTGTTGTTTAATTATTATTTAATGTTTAATTTTTAATTATTTACATAGTTAATATTTAATTATTTTCGCGTGCAAAACTTGGGAACCACTGAAGCACAGTGTACAGTGTGTTTGAAATTGTATCATGAGTTAATTTCAGCAAATAAATCGGACGTCAGGTATACGGATGGTCCACTTTTCATACTTCGAATTCCGGATTTTGCTGGAATATCGACGCCATGTTGTACCGACCTACAACACGGGGTAAACAATCCTCAAGATGCATGCAAACACCTCCTTTTTTTTCTCTATAGGGGGTGAAAATGAGCACTTTGCATTCCTTTTTTGAGCTGATCCCTGATGGGCAAGGTCAGAAGTCGTGTTTTGTTCGCAACAACAAATTGTTTCTGTTTTTTTTTTTTTCGTGTTTATTCTACGCGATTCTGAACAACCAATGAGAGATTCACAGGCTCGGACTGGCCATAAGGCCAATCTGCCATTGGCAGATACGCCCCCTTTGCGCGCCGAAAACACGCCCCTCTTACAGATAGCCAAATAAGAAGAAAAAAAATTACGACCGAGAATATATGAGAATAATTTCTTAAATGAACGGAAGAAGAGAGAGTTAGGAGTAAAGAAAGGTGCTTTAATGCATGATAGTGGTGAACAGAGGTCCAAGAACTACTTTCTGGAGCGTAAACAATTTTCTGTGAAATTTTCACCTTCTCTCTTCTTGACATACAGGCGCTTTATCATCCCCCACCTTCATTTGCTATGTGTAACTCCCTTAGAAGCGATGGTCGGTTCGATTTTTAGACATACGCATCCTTTGTAGACCTCTTAAGAGACCTTTAAACATATTTCCTCCTTTTCAAATGACTATTGATTTGGACATACCATAGCATAGCGGGCAAAATTAACCTTAACTTATCTCGAAATTCAAAAATAAGAGACATCTAAAATGTAAGCGCGATACATTTATTCGCGCAAGATGGATGTTCACATTGCATATAAAACATGTAACACGCGATGCCGTGAGTCGTGAACTCGCAATGCTCTGCTCTAGTTTGAAGCAACATTACAAATAAGACAAACGCAAACAAACACAATATGGAAATAAAGCGAGGGAAAGGATACGCGTTAACGACGGCGCAGAGATACAACTATTCGTACTTGATGGACGTCCGTGCTGCATCTGAAAAATTGAAGGCGCGATGACGCGAAGCGTGAGCTCTCAATGCTGGGCTTCACGTTCAATTTTGCAATTTTTACTCCGTGCGATCAATAAACTTTGAACCTGAAAATAGTGTAAACTTATGCTGATTTGCCAAAATTTTCTGAACCCCTTTCCACGTAGGGAATGCCCTACTAGAATGCCCTACTAGGAAATATCACATTACGCCCCTCTAACCAGCCAAGGGTCTCCGCCCTCAGATGCGAGCCAGTCCGACCCTGGAGATTCAATTCGAATTTAGGTTAGAAAACAGCGTTGTCTTTGGGCAACAACATGAAAACGACTTGCTCTGAGCTTGTTGCAGTTGTTGCACGACAATGTTTCTCCAGTGGTTCCCAAGTTTTGCGCGCGAAAATAAGCCCCGCCCCCACAGCACAAAACAACTTCGAACAAAACAAGACCAATCCACACAGGTCAGTCATTGCGCAGCTTTTTTGAAATCTACTCCCCCGCCCGGCCCTAACTCGCAGCACTCAATGCTACGTCACAATGGGTGCTCCCATAAGAAATACATTGCAGGCATTCAGTACTACGTCACTGCGCAGTAGAGTTCTAGAACTCGTCCTCGGGAATGACTGACCTGTGTGAAGAATCGGTCTTGGAACAAAATGCAATTGTTGCTTGTTTTCACAACATGTTGCGAGTGTTGCCTCCGAACCAAATACGACTAGACCTGATGGATTGTGTTTTCTTTCGGCAGAACGGGGTGTTCATCGGCTCGATTATGACTTGCGTGGCGATCCTCTTCGCCGGGTTCCTGGTGCTCTTCTCGCACATGCCGCGGGTGCTCTACTACGTCTCCTTCGTCTCGTACATGCGCTACGGGCTGGAAGGCCTCGTCAACTCCGTCTACGGCTTTGGGCGCGGCCCTCTCGAGTGCCCGGAGATGTACTGCCACTACCGACTCCCCGAGACCGCCTTCGACGAGATCGGCATGGTCGACGGACGCTACTGGCCCAACGTCGCCGCCCTCACCCTCTTCCTCCTCATGGTCACCATCGCCAGCTTCTTCTCCCTCAAGAAGAGCCTCCGCTCCCACTAGCCGACAGCCGCCCTATCCCTAATGCCCCCGTTTATCACCAGCGCTCACATTCCATGGCCCTCAAAAGTTCCGGGATTCGGAACTGTTTGGTTCCGGTCTCTGTGAAGTTCCGGAAAATGCAGAGATCAGAGACATTTCGGGAATTTCAGAAATTCCGGGGAAAATTCCGGATTTCGGGACTAGCTCCGGGAAATGGGGGCACTTTTTGTTAACCGCTTTGGCTCCAGCGAGAAGAAGAGTTCTTTCTTACGCAGATCGACAAGTTAAAGGTGAATTTCAGGCCTCCCTCATGCACTCATCGTGATTTTTTAGCCATTTTCCTCTCAAACGAACTCTTGTTTTCGCTGTAGACTAAAGTGTGCAACATACTCATTGAAAAAAGCTCATATATCAAACTACTCTATGAATCCGATCAGGCTTGAGGCAGTCTAACACCCGCTTTCTTGAGATAAAAACTGGTGTCAGTTTGATGTCAGTATATTATCAAACTGTCGAACTGGCGTCAGTCTAACATGAATACGATAGCAATCTGACGTCAGTCTGCCATTAGTGTGATATCATACTAACGTCAGCACGACAACTTTATGCTGTCATTTACCACATGCGGCATTGCAAGGGGCAAAATATTTCGCTTCATTTGTGGGTGACCGCATAGCCATCAAAAAAAGAAAAACCGACGAATCTACCGAAAATCTTAAGGTATCCTATGTCAAGTGCAATGTGTAAAATAGTAATTGATAGGTGTTAGCTTTTTATGGTGAATTCTGTTCGTCGTCCATTCTCTTTTCATCAAAATCAGACCAGAGATCTGTCATCCATCAATTAAGCACGAGTCCGTGCTTCTTGCTTAACCTGTGAATGAGACTTCTTGATTTGAGGCTCCCAGTTAAATAAATTGTGCGCAGCGTTTGAGTTTTGGCTAAAATATTGAATTTAATCAGCCAACCAACCATTATATAGGTAACCGTAACTTTTTGCTGATTCGTTTGAATAAGATTACGGGTTTCAGGAATGCTTCTTAAAATGTTTTCAGTCTACATTCCGATTGAAACATTTCGATCATCACAAACGCTGCAGAATTGGGAACGCTTCTATGAGAGCACTTAATTTAAGCTTTCAATATTCCCCCAAGTTGTTTCAATAATTTTAGATGTTATGTCTCTAACGATCTCTAGATTTCGTAGATAAATTTTTCTTACCTACCAATTTGAATGCATCCTCCCAAATTGATGATTCAGTGAAGAGGAAAAAATTAAGGAATGCTTTCATGTCACAATTTGAAGGGCAAGATAGGCCATGCATCTCTTTCAAATCGTATTTTGTTGTGTTTTATGCTCTACTTAAATTTTCATGAGTATAGGTTTATTAACTTCGAAATGCAGTCTTGAAATGCATTTTATCATGAAAATTTCTGGGAAATAATGCCCTTCAATTCTGAAATGTTAGGTATTTCATTGTATCATACTTACTTTGTCCGGACGATAGCTCAGAAAATATTTCAACTGCAAAAAATACGGTTCTTTCTGTAGCGATCTTGACACTCCAGCGTCCTGTATCTATGATTATACCAAATTGAAATATTTTGTATAGAGATATTGAAAAATAACTGCGTTTATTTTCCTATTCATTCACGACTCTCAAGATTATAACCATATTTATTGATTGCCTTCTTAGAGAGATAGTGAAAAAAGATAAATTCAGATAAACTGTCATCCCTTTGCTTCAACATCGTAAGTTTAAGGTAGAATTAAATAGGTTTTCAAACATATCATCCTGACTCGAAATGAAACTGAGTGAATGTTAAAAAGTTTGTACAGATGTAGATGTAAGATTTGACTCATTTATAGTTACCTACCTGCTAAAGTTACTAAGCTCATAAGACTCTGCCTTTTTTCCTGCCCCCAGTATTACCTGCAGTGTCAAAGGATTCTTGCCATTCTGAAATCATCTGCTATAATAATTAGTGTAGGTAATAATGTACAGTTTTTCTGTTGAAACCTTGCTTAGGAGTAGATATGATTCCATTTAACAGATGTACTTTGCGCATGTCGCGCACATTCGGTTGGATGCGCGCATTAAAATGTGCGCATCCAACCGAACCTATACTTCTATCTTTTTATATTTATTTAATCCCCCCCTTTCCCCCTTAAAATCAACTTTTATACATTGTTTTGAGGTTCAGCGCTATAAGACGACAAACTATCGCGGGAACCTCACCCAAAACTACTTATAAGCTAGGTTTCATGATTTGCATTTCTATTTTTGTACAAAAGTATCTGCACCTGCGTGTCAAAGAAAGGAGAGAAACCTTTTTCTATTTAATATTTGTAAATAAAATATTCTTCCTTGTTTTTTATGAAGAGTTTTTCTTGTTCAATTTTCCCAATACTCCTTTGAGCGAGGGTATGATGAATTCCAGCCGAAGTGTTCTTAAGGTAATTATGAGGATGGGAAGGAAATGAGATAACTATAAACATCAGCCTTTTACTCATTTCCCTCCAATAGAAATTATTTCCATCCTGCACGGAATATTCAGAAAAATTACCTCACAAAATTAGAATATTTCAGAAGACAAACATAGAAATTTGAAATTTCATGATTGATGAAAGCAACACAACGAAAACTGCTCGATCTTAGCAGCGACAAATGCACGATGCTTCCTTCCTCCGAATGGTTCTTCAGGTGGCGATGATAGTAGGTATAACCCCTTGATACAACTATTCGAACTTGAGGGATGCGCGTATTGCATACCAAAAAATTGAAGGAGTTCTAGCTGTCATTGGCGGCGCTACCGCTTCGTTCTTCGTTCTCCAACGTTGACAAAACGTTGCTGAAGAAAACAGAGCTCGCAAGAGTGAAGAGATAGGCATGAAAAACGGTCACCCTCTGTGTCACTCATTTCACATCACTCTTCATTTATGACTGCCTCTTCTTCTGCCTGAATCCTCTCAATTCCGGCGTTGCCTGTCGTACCAATGAAGTAAACTATCATTGAGGGGCTTGGAGGACAAGGCGCATGAGTGCAGCTTTTGCTATTTCGAGAAATACGTGTTTGAAGTTTCGAAATCACATGGATCCTTGCGGCGGAAAGAAAGTTCAAACTGACTTTCTGATACATAAAAATTTGAATTTGGGAGCGAATTTCTCACAGAATATCGATTAAGACTAGTTTTACTTGTAACCATTAATATCTCGGTTTTTTTCAAAAACTGCACTTAGATATGCGCATTGGCCTCCAAGCCCCTCAATTGATTTTCATACTTACATTTTCAATTTTCCGAAAAAAATGCATTGCTCGTTAAAAAGTGTACACTGCAACTTTGCCGATCCGCGGAATCGCGAAAGATTCAGGTATCTGAGCATGCGATTTGCAATGTTTCCTTCTAACATAATTTAACGAGCCGTCTTTTCCATGGATTCTCTCTTTCGGTTTTCGTATGGATAGATTACCGTTAACGCGCTTTTTCGAAGAACGATCTAAACAAAACGCACACAATTCGTCGTTTACCTCACGAAAGAACGTAACTATATTTCAATGTTGCCAAATTTTCCGTCAGATATTTCATTTTTGTTTGGAGAATCTTGGATATTTTATACTGAAAATTTCACTGATTTTTCTTCTGATCTCATTCAAAAATCAGAAAAATTTTGGACGAAAATCCCACAAGTACTTTCTTCTAAGCAAATTGATTGTTTGAGTCAATTTGACAACCTTGGAATGGAGTTACGTTCTTTCGTCCGGGAGACAACGAATTTTGAACACAACGTGACCATTCGTTTTCCGAGTGTTGTGAATGCGATAGGAAATCTGTATATCATCCCGAGCCAAAAAAAACGTGGTTATATAGACGGTCCAAGTGCGGAACCCTGCTTCTCCTTATCGGCGTTTCAAAATCTCCACTCCTATTTTATTTTTTCCAAGAGGAACAAGACAACGTCACTGTTTGAAATATATAAAAAATATTCTTCTACGTCCAATAGAGAAGAGAAATAAAGGAAGCTTCCAAAAAATTACGTTACTAGTTTTCCAAAGAAGTGAGAGGCTTGGAGGACAAAACGCATAAGTGCAATTTTTGAAAAAATTGAGGTAGTGATTTCAAGCGAAATCAGTCTCGGTGCACATTTTGTGAGAAATCCGCTTCTAAATTTTAATTTTTAAGCATCAAGAAGTCAGTTTGAACTTTCTTTCCGCCGTAAGGATCTATGTAATTTCGAAACCGCAAACGCGATTTCTCGAAACAGCAAAAACTGGACTTGTGAGCCTTGTCCTCCAAGCCTCTCTGATGAAGTGTGTCAGGAAGTCTGCATCATCGCAAACGGAGGTAAGTGGTTTCGAAATTTGGCCATATCGTTGTGAATTCCAAGTTTTACTGGAAAAATTGTAATTTAAACAATAAAGTCTAGTAAATATGTTTGAGAAAATTCAATTATGCACTGGGTGGTTTCACGATAACTGGAATAGTTTTGTCGCCGTAACAGACAACCGGTCATATTTTTAGTAGAAATGATAATCACTCGAATTTTTTCGCAAGGATCTTCAAAGGGTTACCTATTAAAACGCTTTCGAATGATTTATTGCTTTACTCCTCAATTAATTTTATGTAAATTCCGAAAATATTCGGCGGTGACGAAGGCTTGATGCAACTATTTAAACTTGATGGATGTCCGTATCGCACCGACTGAAGTGCGAAACCACGTACCTCCATTGCGGTGTTTCAAAATTTCCGTTCTTATTTCATCCCTCCCTTGAGAAACAATCCAAATTTACGACTTTAAATTTTGAACCAAATCTTCTGCTTTCGAAGACGAAAAATCATGGAGAATTTAAGTTTTATGTTGACCAGCTTTTCGAAAGAAAAATAAAATTTCAAAGGAAGTCTGCAACGTCGCAAATGGAGAAACGTCGTCTCTCATTTGGCCTAAAAATATGTATGCATAAAATTGAAGGCATTATGACTGGCCTCTCTCAACTTATATTCGTCTGTATCGATAAACAATGGGACGCGTTCGCTACGGCGCCTTGATACAACTATATAACCTCGACGGATGTCCGCATTGCGTTCAAAAAATTGAAGGCGTTTTGACTCCCTGCTCATACTACCTGTAGTTGATTCGATAGACAGACGCGTTGGTCGGCGGTGACGGGGACTTGATGCAACTATTTAAACTTGATGGATGTCCGTATCGCACCGACTGAAGTGCGAAACCACGTATCTCCATTGCGGTGTTTCAAAATTTCCGTTCTTATTTCATCCCTCCCGTGAGAAACAATCCAAATTTACGACTTTAAATTTTGAACCAAATCTTCTGCTATCGAAGACGAAAAATCATGGAGAATTTAAGTTTTATGTTGACCAGCTTTTCGAAAGAAAAATAAAATTTCAAAGGAAGTCTGCAACGTCGCAAATGGAGAAACGTCGTCTCTCATNCAATAGCTGAGTTTTTGGCACAAGAACGGATGTGTAACGAAAATATGCCGCAAATCTAGAAAAATCATTCCAGAAATTGTAGTAGTACATTCTTTAAATTTCAACTTTTTGCATTATTTACGATATGGATTTGTCGAAAGCGTAAATAATGCAGGATTGCAACATTACAACATCATTCCATCCATCCATATCCGTTGTCTCTTTAGATATACAAGGATAAATTTTAACATCATTTAAGTATGTTGAAAATTGCACTATTTTATTACGTTGCTCGTTGTCTACTAACCTTTACGTGGATAAGCACACCTGGCGGTTGGACGTCGCAGAGCACCAGGGCGCGCCATGGGAGCAAATTCTACGTATGTATGTTGACAATTTTATAAGATTGAATTTTGAAGTCACTTTAAATGAGTTTTTTGTACAGGAACGGATTTGGTACGAAAATATGCCGTAAAATCGCAATTTTCGAGCTTTTCACGGCTTTAAAACCACTCCCAATGGACCTAAAAAGAAAAAATTGGCATCGTTTTTGTCTTAAAAGTAAGCAGCATTAATTTTTAAGGTAAGACTATCCTGAAATTTTGCGAAAGAACAAATTTATTGCACACAAATGGCGAAAAACCGTGGAAAATCGCGAATTTACGAGTTTTTAGAGCTTTCCACGGCTCCAGCACTCTCCCTAATGGACGTATGAAAAAAACCTTCGGATCATTTTTATAGGAAATTTTATCAGCTTTATTTTTGGAAATGACTATTTTCTCGATATATCGCACTGGAAAAGAGATATCTCGGGAAAACCGCGGAAAAATGTGATTTTTCGCGGTTTTTCCGATTTTCCGGAGTTAGCACAAGGAAAATTTGTTGGGAAACCAAAAATTCGGATTCAGCGTAAAAAATTACATAGGAATCAATCATAACCTGATTTCACCTAAATTTTGCAAGGTAAAATCCTTTATTGCCTGGACTACAACCTCAACCGTCAATTGGCCTGAGAAAGCGCTCGATTTTAAGCGAACCGCGCTCATGTTTTCCCTTGTAACTTCCAAAGTCGGAAGAAGTCGGATGAAAACTAATATGATTCTAAAAGCTAAGGATACGTAGAATCTCGATATGCAAACCGTTTCTTGGACAAGTCTGGACATTTTTTTAAAACTCTAATTGAAGTTTGAATTTTAGTTTTTTGACTTGTCGATTTTGAATTCACTCTCTGACCCCCAGGAAGTTAAAAGTAATAATCACCAATGACGTAAACGAATAGTCTATGTTTGTATTCAATTGTTATAACAAAAAATTGCATTTAAAATCATCTCGGAAGCTAGAGGAGCAACATTTGTATACGTGCGCTTTTACCTCTTTTTTTCATCTTTCCGAAACACGCGTTTCTCTACGCCTGTCATTTGAATATTCCTCAATTAAATTGTCAAAATCTTCGTTATTCTGGAAGTTTAGACCCTCCAGGTAACTTCTACACCTTTGGTTTTTGATTTTAATGATTTTCATTTTTACCGTGAATGTCCCGTTTCTGTAATGGGCTCGTCCCAATGTGCGTCGGTACGTGCTGTCAGTTACGCGGTAAAAAGACAGCGTTACGTCTGTACTGTCTAACCACCACCGCCCCTCCCCTCAAATTTGGCAATTTTCTGAAATGTATACATATAAAAAAAATCGGATTCAGAAAAGAAATTACAAACGAGAAAAGGCGACCATATCTCTCATTTCCTGATAGTATTGTAATTCCTAATTTTGTCGTCTTTCTGTGATACAAGAGACAGCACTTTTAATTATTCAAGTTAAGAGAGAAGCCAAGCACGAAACAAATTGGCGCAGAGAGCAATGATGACCAGGACTTGAGATGAAAAGGAGAACCCCTCGGCGCGGTGGTTGGCATGTAACACATATTAGCGCCTACAAGACTGCATGAATAATGCACGCATTGCGTCAAACACAATGCGTCGAGTGCGGTCAGCAGCAGCTGCAGCGGTCGGCGGCGGCGTGAAATGCACAGCGCCTACAAGACTGCATGAATACTGTACGCATTGCGCCAAACATAGTACGGCCAGCGCGGTGCGACGGCGGAAGTTAAAATTATTCAACCATATTTATGTTTGTTCTTTCATTTCTTATGAATGGAAGGCCTTGTCCACACAGACATAGGTTTACGGAACTTGACTTTCGCGCCAAGTTCCGCGTGAACTTTTGCTAGTAGTGTTGACAGGGCTTTCGCGAATGTGTCCAACACGAGTAAACGCGTCTTATACACCCCTCCTTCGCTGGCACGTTCACTTGATGGTTTTTATTGATGTTTCAGAACGAATGAGAAGGGGGCGGTAAAATTCGGCGGCCTGTGGACGGCAAGTGGGTAAATCCGGCCCTGGGATGAATGAAAAAGTGAAATCCTTCGAAGTCTATATTAATGATTATGATGATTTCAAACTCATGTAGAATATTCACATTTATCGCTCAATCTGGCAACGCCGGAATGGAATAGAAGGTGAAATGAATGAAAAAGTGAAATCCTTCGAAGTTTATAATAATGATGTTGATAATGACGATGGGGGTGTTAATAAATCACAAACAAAGCTTCGAATGAGCAGTAGGTATTGAGTGATGAGAAATCCACCGACCACTTTCACCATGGCCAGGTGCATACGGGAGGAATGCTCGAGCTCATATCATAATTGATAGTGCACTTGGAGTGAATTCCCCCCCCCCCCCCCCCCCCNACCATTTGACGGCAGGTGGAAGATTACGAACGTTTAGTCTGTTTGTATGCAACATGTTTTTGTGACAAAAATATACCCACCCAAGTAGCACAGTGCAGCGAAAATGTTGAAATTAAATTGCAATTTGATTTCAATACCATTGTAATTTTTTTTACCATCAAATTGCAATATTTTTATATGATTTAGTCGATTTATGCCGATTTTAAATCATCAACAAAATGAGCTCCATACGTCAAAAAGGTAGGCGATATGCAATGCAATGAAAAATAACAACTTATTTAAATTTTATTGCAATAAGTTTCAATAAATGGGGCCCCTTCAAATAGGAGCTAGGCAACATACACAACACTCAGTTGAATTGCAATATTTTTACTACGTTACTACTATTTTTATTGCAATCTGTGCTACTTGAGTACCTGGTGAGCTCAGATAGGGGAAAACCAGCATCAGTCTGACAATCTGATATCATTTTTCCACGGACCGAAATACTTCATGAGTCCAGCATTTTAATGAATTCTCCGAGGGAAATACATTATTGTGTTCCATTAATTGTAAGTATCATTCGTCAGTAGTGTGAGATAGTGTCAAATTCCGACAAGCTAGGGTGTATTTCCTGTTAGAGGATCTACAGCATGCTGATATGTAAACTTCAGCTGATTGACTGGCAAAGGAGGATCTTAAAAAGGGTGATCCTTTCAACAAAGACAAGAGAAATAAAACTCCTGCTCTAAGAGGTATGTTTTAAATACTGATAAAACTTTTTTTTGGACAAAATTGAATAAATATGAGCTAAACAGTCACATTCGCATTTTTTAGTTTCAAAATCTTATCTCATATTTTAATTTTTTGGAAGGAAACAAATCAAAAACCCCACTCGAAAATGGTTACAATTTTTCTTACCCATACAAGGGTTATTTTTAAAAAAATTTAAGTAATATGATGGTTGGTTTCCTTCCAAAATATTATAATAAAAGATGAGATTTTGCAACACTGCACAGTAAATGTGACTACTTTGCTTAACTCTCTTCAATTACACCTCTAATACCTACAGTTCCATGCAACAACGACTATAGTGACAATACTTCAGTTGTCCATTCAGGACTCTTTGATTTAATGATATTCATTTTCCATCACTGCGACTTGTCTGAGAGAAGATATTCACTAAATTTGGTAAAAAAAAAAAAAAAAAAAAACACACCTCTCTTGTTTACTTTGTATTATTGAAAATTATAAAAATATAGGTATTCAATGTTTGTTTTCTCTAATCATCATTTTGCAAACTAATGTCAATTTCCAAAAGATCTTCTCGCTGCCTAAAAATTACAACTTCAGTTTTAAACAGAGAGCATTCGGAGGAAATAAACTATTTTTCTCGGTTAGATAATGATAATGATGTTGTAAATGAGGTCTGTTGTGAACTTTTATGTTATTTTTCAATTCTGATTTGGCATTTTGCAATTCTCTCAACTCAAAAGCATGATTAAAAGTACATATGTACACATACTGCTCACCATGAACCCCTAAATGAGTGCTTTCAATCAAAATTTGGTGTCATATTTATAGGATTAGGTAAATATCAAAGTAAAGGTAAAACAAATCATTGGGTCTTTGAGACAAGCTGATTTATTTTTTGATACAACTATGACTAACGGAATAGAATACTTTTTGACAAGCTTTAACGAAAATTTCCCTGTGATGTTTTTAAGCACAGATAACAAGAAATAAAAAGCTGAATATAAAAATAAATGAAAAAAGATAGTAAAAGAACATCCAACAATGATAGAACAAAATAATTGTTTTTAACAGGGCACACAATAGAAAAAGACTTATAGTCAATTGAAATAACTTTGCATATTTAAACACTAAGCACTATCTTAAAGTAGATGCTGAGTATTTTGCTCTTGTCAATTCGACTATAGGATAATAGACAGAGATTCAACCAGTCTCGAGATGGATGATACCTTGAAATATTCGGAAAAGAGAGAAAAATTGGAAAAAACAAAAAAATTAATAGCAGCTTTCAAAAGAGCACCTAATTTCTAAAATTAGATCTTATATTAATCTTGTTCAAATAGTCTGGACTTAATAGGAAACATGAATTTCATCAGCTTAAATTAAATCTCCTTTATTATTCACTTACTTAATTAAAACATGAGTGTCCAAAAGGACTGATAGGTGAAAAGATTTGCTCAAGGGTAACAAGAACGGAGCAGGAAAAGTCCAAAATAATTTTCCAGGATGGGAAAAATAATATCAGACACTTCAGGTTCATTACTGATCCCCAATGATTTTTTGGAATGTTCTGACACCTGAGGAAGCTAGAAACATTTTTTGAGCGAGCGGTGGCACAGAAATTTTGGAGCATAAAATATAAAAGCACTGGCAGTGACCTTAAATTATTCATAGAAGGTAGGTAGAAGAATAAAAATACTGCAATGATTAATATAGAGAATATCACTGGCATGACAACCCATTTCACAACTTGAGTAAAAAACTAACTGTAAAATAAATGCGGTATGAAAGGATAAAAATCATTAAATAAGGAACTGAGCCCACTTGAAATTTCATGGTGAATACAGGCTCCACTCGATCAAAATGTACCTGGTTTTCATTTGATCAAATTCTTAGAGATGAGTTTGAGTTAAAATGGAACAAAGTCACTAAGCAAATTGAATATTTAAATAATGTCTGAAGTAGTCTTAAGAAGTTTGTTGAAGTTTCAACTTTCTGGAGATGCTATCATTACCACTAATATTCACATTACATGTTTAGCAGAGGAAAAAATAATAATGTGGTTTCAGTTAAAACTCTGATGGAAACGAGCAATTACAAATTCTTTAAACAATTCAATGATTCTAAGTACCAATCTGTTCAACATTTACAATAAGTCTCACATAGATCTTGGTGAAAGATGAATGAGATTTAGGGCTTTAAGTATAAAACAGGAATAAATTCCAGAATCCTAACTACAGCAATTCTTCCCATGAGATCACTGTTCTTTATTTTCCCTTGAGCTAAAAATCCTCATGATTAAAACTTAGTAAATTGATACTTCCATGAGAATGTAAGGCCATAACTGTGAAATATAATTTAAAAATATAAATGTGCATTTGAAATTGGAAATGAATTTAGCTCGATGATGTAAGCAGACACTGAGGAAGCTGAGGCTTGGAGCAATATTTCGATAGCACTCATGTAGGTTCTGGCTTGTTTCGAGCAATTTTGGTTCAGTTATATTTTTGTTATTTTGAGACTTGGTGAACAGCATGAGCAAGGTACTCAACGTTTTTCGAGGTCACTCCAGCCATGGATATTCTACCATCTTTTGTGAGGTAGACACTAAATTCTTTGACCAATCTTTCAACCTGCAACACAAAGCAATAATTTGACAGTTATAATCGGACTAGGCTTCAGCTTAAAAATTAGATTCCATTTTTCTTGATTGAAAAGCAAAGTTATGGACGAATGTGCTATATTCATGTAAACTTTAAGGCTTTTAAAGTCTCTATCAAATGCCGAACCAAAGTTTATTAAACATTTTAACCAAAGTAATCTCTGGATGACGTTGGTTTTTCTGCCAGTGTGCGCTGGAATTCAGTTTAAAATTGAAATTCTCTTTTTGAGGGAAAGAACTCATGCCAGCAAAATTTCATTCAAAGAATTATGCTACATGAGTTTTTTCCCTCTGCAATGAGATATTCAGTTTTAAACTGAATTCTAGCGCACATTGACCAAAAAACTAATAACATCTAAACAACTGGTGCACACAAACCCGCTTGTCACAACACCGCTTTGCCTTGGCATTTTTGAGCTGTTTCGATAATTCCCTTACAAGTAAGCTGTAAATTTGCTTGCGACTGCAACCGCATGCCCAAATTTCAGACTGGTTTTCACGACCTCACCGAACTTGGAACCAGAAAATCAAACGCTCTGCACTGATGATGGGTCCAATTAGACCTGAATCGAGTCTGCAGTTTCTCTCTGATGTGTCATAACTAGTGTTGCACCAAGTAGCATGACACTGTGAGGAGAATTTGCCCGCATGAATTTTTTCCCTCTTCAGTGAGAATTTCAATATATAACTGAATTCTAGCGAAAGTTGGCAAAAAAAATAAAAGTAATTCAGTGATTGTGCTCACAAAACTACTTAAAGCAAAGTAATCTTTGTCAACAAACACCTAGAACGGGCTTCAGCTGAGGTTTTATCGAGGATTCATATTAAGGCTATACCAAAGGATCCCCACACCCCTTATGGGAATGTGTGCCCTGTTTGATTTTTAATTTTTTTATTGATTTATACTTGTGTAAGTATGGATGCTGCTTAAAACTCATCATCCCGCCAACTTTCTACAAGGCACCGTTTTCGCACAATCTGTAATGGAAGGTGCAATAATTACTTGAATAAATGAAGGCAGAGCCACAATTTAACAAGGAAAAATACAACCGGTGAGGGATAAAGAAGAAAGTGGGAGAGAGAAAAGGAACTGATTTGGACGGTGAAACCAGGTGAAACGTAAAAGGCTTGCAAAATCCGAGATAAGACTAATATTCCGCATAGTAGTGGTACCTAGACACGCTGAAGTTTTCCTCTTTTTTCCTTATTTTCAGCCCGTTTTGAAAGATAGAGAGATGTTTCCCGATCTTGTTCACCGCGCTGCCTTCATTTATTCGAGTCATTTTTTAATTTTCAAACGCGGTCTGTGCAGAAACAGTGCCTTGTAGGAAGTTGGTGCAATGATGACTTCTGATAAGCATTTACAGACAAGTTTAAATCAACAAGAAAATCGAAAATCGAACAGGGCAAACAATCCCATATGGATTGAGCGGGGTCCTTTGATCCTTTATGTGCTATGCTTAGTAAAAAAGTAAAGCATAGGAAGCACAAAGAAAAGACCCTTCAGATTTTCACTTCTCCTTTGCGAACATCAAAACCACAGACATAGGAGATACAAATCCCTTTCAGTCTTGATTTACTTCATGAATATTAATTTTAAGGTGAGATAAAGACACAAGTGAAAAGGAAAAAGACAAAGTAGAAGAGAGAGATAAAAAATTGTACCTGAGGGGCTTGTAAACCAGTGAAACAGAACATTCCTATTTGATCAGTGATATGATTCCAATTCTTTGTGGAACCTTCCTTTTCTAGATTTGATTTCAGCTGCTGACGGACTGAGATAATACGATCTGCCATTCCCTTCACCTCCTTTAGCCTGAAAGTATTGAAACTCATTACTCAAAAGTTGAGAACAATGTCATACAGAGTTTAAAAATCTGTGATCACTAATTTTTTTTCTTTTTTTTTTTTTTTTAAATTTCATACACTGCAACCTTTAAATCATCAAAATTGAGGCCTTGTTTTCAAAGGTCATTTCACAGGATTTGTCCCAGGGAAAAATCCCACTTATGAAGGCCCGGAAGTCCTAGTACCCGGAGAAATATTGGGCTGGTCAATAATATGGTCAAGTATGGTTACCAAGTATGGTTCTTGTACCTACCCCTAAAACCAACTGAGAGAGGAAGAAGAAGTGAAAGCAAACTGTGCGATATTTTTTTGGTCACTCTATTGTTCGTGTTTGTTTGGTTAAAATAATGTGTCCAATTTTCGATCATGTTCAATTATTATTTTAATCCCGGTTAAATACTCAATTTTTATTAAGTTATTTTCATGCACGAACTTGTCCGTGTGAGCCCCTTGGACTGTAAGAGCCCCGTCCCGTGGAGACGGTAACTGCGAAAAATCCCAGAAGTTTCATTCCTGCAATTCGAACTTGGGACAAATCCCATGAAAACGTCCCGTCGAGACAAGGCCTAGGGGTTGATTTGAGATGTTGGGACATTTGTAAAACCAAAATTCTTGTAAGAAATTCATTCAGTGGTATTATCAGCTCGATTTTGTGTTTTTCAGCACCTCTTTGTCTTGCAGACAGTTACAAATAAATATAATGCTTTCTTATAGCTGAAGGTCTGCATTATCTGAGTCCAGGTTAACACAGGATGAAATTTTTACCATCCAAAAACAAATGTACACAATTTTAGTATTGACTTCATGCTTGTGAAAGTCCTGCATGATTCACAATACACCAGTAAAGACTGCAGTTGCACTAAAAACATAGTGACAATAAAACTCCCAAACCATGTATTGCAGTTTGAAACATTGCAGACTTCCTGTCATATGTACTTCATTCTCTCAGTATAAAATTATTCAAAAGTAATTCTTAAAAACTACCGTAATTTTTCTTCTCCGGACAAAGAAAATTTTGGGAAAACTTCAAGGAATGATGTTGATCTTTTCTCCTTTAGAAAAATAAAGTAGGAGTGGATATTTTAAACACCGCAAACAAAATGCTTGGTTTGGGAGTTTCATCATAGATAGATACTAATTGTGAGCTTCCAGAGGTTCTCTATCAAGAAAACTTCTCCAATATCTTACCATTGGGCTTTCAGGTCAGCATTGCCAAGGATTTCTGTGACGAGGCGAGCACCATTGATGGGTGGGTTTGAATACATTGGTCGAATCAAAATTTTCACCTGAGACAACACTCTAGCTGCTTCTTCCTTCGACCCTCCAGTGAGTGTAAAAGCACCAACTCTCTCACCTGAAGGGAAAAAAGAACCAGGATTAGAGCACAAATGTAAGAGCCAGATAGAATCAGGGCTCTGAAATGAAATCTGACAACTGAGCTGACCACAGAAGGAAAGAGAAATATCAGTTCTGGAGAAAAGACTATTGATGGGAATTTTCCATCCTAGTAATGTCTGTTATTTCTGGCCAACTTGAGAGGTATTACAATGAAAATTATAATGATACTAAAAAATTCTTAAGAACACTCAATATTCACACACTCTTTTCAATGAATGAGCCAAAATGCTTGCAGACTCGTTTGTTACGTAAACTTCTGTACATTGCTCTTAAAAGTTCTGAGAATAGAAGTTAAAGTCTAAAATATCGTAAAGCTCTGAACAGACTGAAAAAAAAATGAGGAAAGCTTATAACCCTTGAAAAATTTGTTCCCCTTTCCACATTATTCAGGTCTTTTCACAAATTCGGGGTCTTTCCGGATTTTCACAGTCCTCGGCAGGCTTGTGATGAGTATTTTTTGCATTCCTGGTTTTATCATTGAATTTTTCAACATTTCAGCTATGGAAATATTTGAGAATGTACCTAGATATCAATAAATAATTGAAATCTGAAGAATCTTACCATAAAGACCCATATTTTTAGCGTAAGACTGGGCTAGAGCTATGTGGTGTCCTTGACTTAGAAAATACCTAACGGCAAAAGCATCACCTACCACATCACCTGCAAGAAAAACAAAATGTTAGTAGTATACCTATCAAGCCACAAAGGGATCGTGGAACGAACGGTAAACAAGTTATTTTATTGAGAGGGTCTAGTAAATATACCTACATCTAATATTCTGGTAAACACAAGTACATCATCTGATGATTCCCCTGCCCTAGAGACAAACATCTCTGGATAACCAAATGAATTGATCATTGGCTCACGATCATTCAATTAAGAAATTTCAAGCAAAGATCAACCCTTGGTGCTTGGGTGTTGACTCCAAGTCAACATATTAGCTTGACAGGTTGCGCTCGAGAGTCCACCTAATTGCAGCGAAAAGTAAAGAGGAAACATATAGTGCTGCACTCTGTCGGCATGTTAGTAAACTATCAAAGATCCTCAGTTCACTTTTTTCTGCTAGCAGAAACTGGCAGATCATTTCTGTTAGTTTGTTTTGCACTTGAGTATTGGCTTACAGTCAACAGGATCGCCAGGTGTATAAATACAAGCACAGGAGGAGTAACCCTGAAAAATAATATGAGTTCACAGAGTTAAGGTTTCTTGACACCTTAGGTAGAATAATTTTACTGCCTTGAGCCAATTCTTGACAGAACACCGACACGAAAGGAAACTTACCAGAAGCAAAGCCTTGGTAAGCCATGTCAAAGAAGGGGAACAGTTTCCTCTTTTTAACAACTTCTGACAATTCTTTCCACTGCTCAGGCTTTGGATCAACGCCTGTAGGATTGTGAGCACAAGCATGCAGAAGAATTATGGAATTTTCAGGAATGGCCTGTAAAAAAGAGTATTTACGATGTAAATTGTGTTCATAGACATTTGAAATTCATTAATTCAATTTGATTTCCCTTTCTTTTACAAAAAAACTGCACTACTTCAAAGTAAAATAAAACAAAATATAAAAGGAAAGAAAAGAGACTTTCCACTCAACAGGGCTATACCTTACATTGCTTGGACTCTGGTTTTGTGAAGATAGAAAAGATATGGAAACTATAAAGGGTGAAATACGATGAGTTAGTTATACACATCGACTCCAATGAGTTACAAAAGTTTAGGGTCATTCCAAAGCGAAATAAACCAGAGTAGAAAACTGTCTTTATTCATTTTATATTATTACTTTTTTTTCAGGGTATAACATTGGGAGAAGTTATGATAAGAAATTTGACACCAAGTACCATAAGATGTGGTCAAATCTTATCAAATATTCTGTAAAAACTAGAAAAAAGGTAAAATTTCAATTCTTAATGATCCACCCAGAACAAAAAAAGCTCAATTTTTGAGTCTGACGCTGGTTCAACAATTTGTTCAAACCTGTTCCAACTTGTCAGATGATTGGTTGAAATGATTTTTTGTATGATTGCTGTAAAAACTAGGCACGTTTGGTATATGTTCAACTTTCCAAACAGATGATTGAAAATTGCGAAATTATAGTTACACTCTCTGTAATGTTGGATTGTAATTTTTGTAGGACATATTACTCAATATTTTCACAGTATCCTCCCAAAAAGGTTTTTTCTTTGCTATCTAATTTTCCTTAGGTGCAACCTAAATTATGGAAAAGTCTTAGTGAGAATTGTAAAAGTCTTACGTTAATGTCTTCTAGTGCACCCTTAAAATCGAAACCACAAGTGCTGGGTTCATAGTAGCGGTAGCTTTTAACATTTAATCCAGAGTGTTTGAAAATAGGCGTGTGGTTCCCCCATGATGGAGTTGGAAGGTAGATGTCTTTAGCGCCAGGGAAAAACTTTGCCAGGAAGGCTCCTCCGATACGCAAAGACCCAGTTCCAGAAATTCCTTGTACCGTTGCATTCTGCAATCACACATAAAGCAAATAGTAAAAAGGAGAGCAGTTTTATACGGTCTTCCTTCATTAGCAGGATAAAAATGTTTCACTTGTAAGGAAGCTTATTTCCGAACAGATAATGGCAACCTCATTTGAGCTGTATTTGGTGGAAAAGAACCAAATTTGTTAGGAGACAAGAGGTTTGTGTCCCAAGTTGTCGGTAGGATTCTTCACAAGAGCCAAAATTTATCAATAAAGAGCGACTTGATCAGTCAAAAACACAGTAAAGTAACAGCTAAATCTAGGGAAATGCTAAGATAGAATCCATAAAACAAAAGGCCAAAAATTACACAAAAAACCAGGACGTTTTAAGATACAACTAATTTTCAACCAGAAAAAAAATTAAGTGAAATAAGTCTTCAATCTACTGTTATTGCGAAACCTCGACTCTCCTCAAAATGTTTCATTTTTTTATTTGATTTTTTATCTTTTAAATTTTGTGTATCCTGCAGCAGCCTTCCCCTGGATTAAGTTGTTACTTTAATGTTAATAAATGTGCGCTCTGCACTCAAGATTTTCCCTGGATTAATTCTTCTGTTTAGAAATCTATAAGGAACCAAACATGACTTAGTTCCGTCCTGTCTTTTCATTTCATTTATTTATTTTTTCTTTTCTTTTCCAGAGAGCAATGAGTGACCATTTCACTGAGAAAGGTATATGGTAATGGTATGTTATGCGGTAAATTATAGTGTACAGAAAAGATGATATCTTATCAAATTAAACTTTCTCCATCAAAAATCCACAAATACTAAAAATCTAATAATTCATTGAAATTTTAGTGATCTCTAATTTTGATCGTTTTTGTTGAGTTATCCATCAGACTATTTTCATTTCAGTGTTTAAATACATAATTTACTTAACACTATGTTAGCCTTTGTTCAAGCTCTAGCTCCATACTTTTTCTCATTCTCGGTTGAGCTTTCGCATCCTTTGTTACTGAATTTTTGGAAAGAGTTTGCAATTGTGATGAGAAAATGAATAAACACAAGAAATAGAAACGTTAGGTACAAAAACTGCTTGAACAGAAATTGATGTGAAATCTTACGAAAAATTCTCATTGAGCAGACCACTTTCTTATCATACAGCTGATTTTTTCCTGCATAATGCTGCCTATATTCTTTTGAAAATCGATGGAATACAGTTAAGTAAAAGAGGCAATATCATTAATGGCCGAAAAATGAGTTGACTGACAATATCAAATTAAAACAGTCTGAACCAAAATAGGAATAAGAGCATCCATGGACAATACAGGCAATTAGTGACAAAGCGAGGGGGGAAAAGTACAGTTGTCCCGTGTGTTGCAATATTTATGAGAAATGGGGGAATATTCAGATGGATCTATCCTGCTTTCCAGGAAAATAGGTCTCTGTATAATCAGCCTGTTCCTAATACATCGACCTACTTATCAAGATTTAATGAGCACTTCCTCTAACCGATACATCCCTCCCACCTCCCCTGAGGCTGTCTCTGCCTTTTGAGATGGGAGGATCAAAGTTCACACAGCTTACGCTAGAACTTCTTTTCCAAAATTACAGAACAGTTATATTGCAAAATACTATAAAAATAGAGCATTAAAAAGTCTGTTTTCATATGTAGATGCAACATATCTCCTAGTTGGTTTTTGGTATGAAAGTTGAATTGTTAGTTGGAGACCTAAAGAAGAAAAGGCAACAATCATACAGAAATTCCATCTTAATATATGTTTTTTTAGAAATTTATTGTATACCACAGAATCCTATCAAATCATGCAAGTCAATGTCTATGAAAGGGTCTTATGGGGAGGGGGCTAGCTAGCAGCACTGCACTGCTGTGCTACGGAAAAACGCCGTATGAGCATTCGGGAGTTGCCAAATTTCCTTCGAAAAAAATGCTTATTTTTAGGGAAACTTGTGAATAATTTTCTTTGAAATTTTCAGGAGCTTTAGGTGAAATTGCAAACAAAATCGTCTGAAAAATTGGGAGAAAAATATTCATAAGTTCACCAGGATATTTGTGTTTTATCACAGGAAATTTGGCAACACCTGAAGGTTTATATGGCGTTTTTCCTTAGCACGGCAGTACAGACCAACAGAGGGACCTGCAAAAATACAAAGGAAATGGAGACTAAAAATTGGAGAGTCTTTGAAGGAAAATGTGACTAAAGGGTTTTGACTATTTTTAAACTTAAGTCCTGAAACTGATCTAACCTATCCTGAGTATATATTTTCCTATAAAATTAGTATGGAAAAAGGAAACAGTAAAAAATCTAAGATACTTACAAGGCCTTCTTTAACAACAGGACTGTCATCTCCTAATGCTAATTTTATGGAGAGATCACAAAAATCAGCAGTACCTGAAATTGGACAGTATTCTTTGTCATGCTTCTTTTGGATGATATTTTCTTCAGCCTGAAAATTGAGAGAGAATAAACACTATCAAAGCAATCCTGGCCCTGGCAGACGAAATGAAAAAAGTTGGAAAGGCTTGAATTTAAGGTTGAAAGAGAAAAATACAAAAATTTGTCTCGCAGGAAGTAAACGGTGACTTTTTGATGCATGCATCCAAGTTGATACTGCATGTAAGGTAGGTACCTCTGTCATAGGAAAAGCCATACCAGAAGGGAGGCAACAAAAAACTGAAAAATGTCTCTGGAATAAGGTTAATAAAAGAAATAAAAAATTATGATAAAATTGTATCAATTTTCACACATTATCAGGCACCAAGTAGATGTTATAAAAATCCTCCAAAAATAACCCTGCATGATAAAAATTAATCACAACTGATAATAATCAACTCATTAAATCATAATTGATTTGCTGAATACCTCCACTGATAAAAATGTGTATTGGTTGGCGAGATAACAAATATAGACAAACCATAAGACGATTTTACTATTTTTCCCCTCCTCGTGATGACCTTTCAAAAATGAATGAACTTCAAAAAAATAAGGATTAAAATTGTAGATAATTTTTTTGTGTTTCCTTTTATTGGTAGCCATTTGATACATGTGAGAAAATCAAACTTCACCATAGCAATTTTTTTGTGTTTCCTTTTATGGGTAGCCATTTGATACATGTGAGAAAATCAAACTTCACCATAGCAATTTTTTTTTACTAAGTATTGGTTAAAAATGCAATTAAACTACAAATGATTGCAAATACAATTTCTACCAGGACTGATCCAGCAGTGAAAATGTTGTTTCTATCAAATAACTGACAATGAGCACCCATCCCAAAACGATTTTTTTAAATTTTAAATAGGTTACTAATAAGCAAAACAAACGTTTGAAGAAAAATTTCATTTTCTCACATCAATCACATTTTACGGCTAGAAGTTGACATGGGAAGGTCTTCAGCCCCAATTTCATCACATTCCCCTTCAGGATAGGAGGGTCTGAGCTCATTATTGAGCAGCCAAATCCATTAACGCAAGCTTACAGAGATTCATATTTTTTGCCTCAGAATATTAGATTTGGAACAGAGAAACTCCTACAAATCCCTTCAAGATTTACTACAGTAAATAGATTGAAAGACATACTTAGAAATGAAGAAATCAAGATCTAACTACCCAAATCTTTAATGAAACTTTAAACAGGGATTTTAAGTCTTCAGAGCTGTTAGTTACCTATCCTAATTATTCAGTAAAAACAATCTTATCAAAGAGATGAGTTTTATCTCGTATTTACAAGTGAAATGAAAAACAACGGAATGACAGAGGAATGGATTTAAGATGATAAAAATACAAATAAGAATTGATGACGGAAGATCCCACAGATCAAAGTACTCTTCTTTTAATGTAAGATCGTGAGAGACATCCACTTAAAGGGGGAAGGGGGGGTGTAAGAGCTCATACCTACCGATGATGAGATAACCATCCGATCAAGATTCTCGAAATACACTCCTATCACACTAACTTATGAACAAGAGCAAAATGAAACTAAAAAACTTGGGTCATTCCTTTGGGAAAAATTTACAATTTTTTGCACTAATGTTAAGAAGTAGGAGTCATTCATCACTGCAGGTACATGATATAAAAATTAAGTTGGAAGAAATAGGAATTACTACCCCATATTTTGCGTGTTCGCAAGAAATTACCATAATAAAAATGGTTACTTTTGGAGCCTTCTGAGAAGAATATTTTCCCTCATAAGTTGACTAAATAATTTGAATATATGACCTTCAAAAATGATTCACAGCTTTGAAGACAAATATATATAAAATATAAAAGGTGAACTAATAAGTAATCTGACCGTGCGAACACTTGGGAGAACATATGGCTTTCCATTATCATCTCGATAAGCACCAACACCCAGGTTGATTTTTTTAGGGTTTGTATCCTTTTTGAAGGCCTCCGTAACTCCTAGAATGGCATCAGGGGGTCCCATCTCAACACCGCTCCACCATCCACTGAAAGAAAATTTTGTTACAAGAACCTCAATAAAACGGTACAGGTATTAAAAAACATGCAAGTCAAAGTGTGTGGGCAACATAAGAATGTAAGAAACGTTGATTTTTCATTCAGGTACTCCTCTTGAACATTAAGATACAGCCTGGAAAAATTTCATTTAAATATTTCTAAAAATGAACATTTACTTCTGTTTCTTTATTTCTTTTTGTAACAGATTAGTTGCCTTTAAATGAGAGGGTGCATGCAATTTTCCTGGCCTCACCGCTGCATTGCTCATACTCAAATGCAGTACTCAGAATAGGCATTATGCACATATATCTAGGTGACTTCATCCTTACGATTTAGTTTCCAGGTGGAAAGTACATAGGGATGTCGTCAGATAAGTTGACATTTGCTTACTTTCGGTTTGAAGGCGGTTTTGCAATACTACTATCCACATGAAAACATCAGACTTTCGCAGGAGCAAGGTATCAAACTAACTTCAGCTTGGAGAGGTTTTGCAATACTTTCAAACCGTGCAACGCTTTAACTTATAGCCACACAGCAACCACACTCACATAAAGGTCACAGATCATAACTGATGAATAGTTTATTCACAATACACTCATGAGACGGATGTTTTCAAGGTGGATAGTAGCAAACGACGCTTTGTGCAGAGTTGTAAATTTGTCGTCAGCGCCTGCAAACCAAAAGTAAAAGAATGTCAACTTATATGATGACACTTCTAACTCTGTTGCAGTATTTAAAAATTTCACCATATTGTTAATTTTACGGAAGAAAATAGAACAAAATTCTCAGAAACTTTTAGGGAAAACCATGGAGTGAATATCCTTTAAAAAACATGAAGGAAGGTTCACAATAAAGCAAATAAAGGTGGGGAATGTTCCGCCTTCCCCAGGCGACATGCAACAAATGCGCCTAAGTTTTGAAGGGCTGGGCCATCGTTCCACCTAAAAAGGTTGAGACACCTTGTCAATTCTTTCAAACTAACAATTGCAAAGCAGTAGGTAGTAGGTAGCACCCTCTGCCCAAGAACGATAGGATTCGAAAACGAGACAGAGACACAGTTCAAGGCGTGTGGAGTAGACAAAAAATAATGAGGCTCTTAAAAAGTGGGCTTTTTGGCCAAGACAGCTCCTACAATTTTAAAGGAAAGGCAGGAAGCTGGAGGTGCGCGCTCATTGATGTCACTCTCAATGTGAAAGTTTGAAAGATTTTGTGAGCCAGCAGCCACCGGGTGGATTAAATTCCTGAAAAAGAACCATTGCTGGCAGCCGTTTTTGCCAGCAATCATAGAGTACATAGTGTTGTAATATAAATGGGAGAGCTGGCGCCATGTTCGTCTCGATGAGTTCCGAGCCCAATGTGTGCCAAGCTTCAGTCACTTTCCCGAAACATGTTTGATACAAAATAGAATGCGTGGAAGAATGCGTGTGTAGAATGCGTGGTAATTTCTATCTTCTTTGTTTATATCGGATGGCCCGGTACCCGTGTATTGAAAGCAATCAATCATGTATTGAAAAAGTGACCCGGAGTCACACTGGAGTCTCAAAATTCGGGACCTGGAAAATGCTCAGAAGTGGCGTCAGCTCTCCCACTTACATTACGACTCTGTGTCAACAATACATATATTCTCATGCCTCAAGGGAATAAACGATTGAAGCAGGACTTTTACAAAGCAAGATGGTCTTGCACCTTACGAGTGTGAATCTCGCCTACTGGGTAATGTTACCGGGGTTCACAGCTGCTCCTTAGGCGTGTGAGGGTGCGAATGATCTCAGCAACAAAGCAAGCAGGGTGCATGAAACAAAGAGGAAATCTGAGGAATTCGCAACTCTACGATCCCAACTGCTTCCTGACGCACCGTCAGGACTCAGGAGAGCATTTTGATGAGGGCTAGGCTCACCAAATTTCATCATTATAGATTCAGCAAAAAAAGTAGGGTATGAGCATTTTAAATCCAGAGAAAACTTACTTATTTCTTTGAAGAGTTACAACAGCCGGCTGCTTAGAAAGTAATTTGAAACACGCTGAGGACAGGGAGAATGATGCAGAAGCCATGATTTTGGATGAAACACCTCTATAACTGCACGTTGATAAAACACCGGCGAGAACCGCACTGCACGGAAATCGGAATGCACTAGAAAAGAGAGAGTATGATGAGGGCTTTTTTTAAACTGATCGTTACTTATCACGTCAACGAGGAGAGGAGCTTGGTGATTTCCACTTATCACAAAAATGTCACGAAGCGCACGAGATCTATCACTTATCAGTGAAACGGTGCGGAGTGCGGAGGGAGAGAGCTGAAAACACTGAAAACTGGAGGTGCATTACATGGAACATAGCTGCCAAATTGAAACTTTAAAAACCAGGAACGTATGTAAACAAACGTACTCGCAAATTTGAAAGAAGTACATTAGACAACATTGCTTTCGACGATGAAACCCAAACCCAGCCACCACGTATATCTCCTTTCCTTTCCTCCACTCACTTTATCCCCGATTTTTCCCCTGAAATCTCGATTGACAAATTTCAATTTTGTAGTACTTGCATAAATAATTTATCAGGCAATAAAATGTGAATATTTTGTCGCAGAGACTTTTAGACCTTTCGCAACAGTCAAGTCAATGGGCCGATTTAGGCGTAGCTGCCTGTTAGACGTTTTATGGGTCTGGCTTTTCCACCCCGCTCGTCGAGTCTCGAGCGTCCTCTGAAATCGCGAGAAATCGGTCAGTTTATAAAATTACAGCGTGACCATTGTCTCGGACTTCGTGAAGTAGTTCCCGCGGTGAATATGCTCCTATAGTTTTCTGCAATCAGATTAATGATTTTTAATGAACCTTGTGTCGTTGCATTAGAAGCTACAAATGTATTCATTAGTTTAAGACGATTCTTAAAATTTTCTCAAGTTTATTAACTAATCGATTACGTCAGCTGGCGATGTATTCCTACGCCGCGTATTTGCTTTCAAGGTAAATTTTGGCTTGAAAGCAAGTCTCCTAGTTGATAATATTCTTTTCTACTCTGTCGAAACAAAACTGGTTGATCTTTTAAGTGCTCTAAACTCGAATAACTTTGTGACGCGTTCACTCTCAATCTTAATTTTCTGTGTCCAGTGTGTGAACGTAAATTTGCCAAAATTCCGGTCCCTACTAGAAAACGAGAGGGCGCCTACTCCGGCAGATTCGAGGAGGGCAAAATGAATAACACGAAAAAGAAAAACCGTGCTAACGCAGGGAGGTATGTATAATGTCTTCATCCATTGACATTTTCTCAAAATTTTACCTCTCTTTAACGCCTGACGGACCATGTGAATTGTGTTTATCCGCTCAATGAATTAGGTTATTGACCTTTATTGCAGAAATGGTTGGTCAAGGTCCTTTGTCATGTTTAATTTTAATTCCCGTCGCAATTTTACTCATTTCAATCTTTCAATCACTTGCCATACTCTCTTCCCAGCTATACACATCGGATCATTTCACCCTGTCATTTTTCTAGTGGCCTGATGCTTTTCCCACCATCCAAGTTTTGGTCTGCTCTGAGGCCAATGAATTCCAACCAATGCATTTCCCTGCACTTGGAAACTTTCATGCCCTTTTGCATCAAATCCTTGGTTCACAGACTACTTGTCTTTTACCATGTCACGTATATCTGATGAATGCCTCTCTGTCAGCAGAAGGGAATGTCAATCATATATTTTCTGGTTAGATCCTCTCTTTCACTATTTCATTTCCTTGTGTTAGACATGTGAATCAGACTGAGCCTATTTTTATGCTGCAGTGTATTGTCTCCCAACCTCAGTGAGGGAGTGTTCTCATTTGTTGAGACTCAAGGCTAGGACTATTTTTGTAGTCTCCTGTAAGGCTACCCTATCTTCCTGGATGAAGTCTGGAAGTCTCAAGGAATAGCATCATGAGATTGCCATTGTAATCACATCATTGAATCACAATTTTTTTTTATCTTGAGCTCCATTAGGAATGAGGAACTATGATGAAACACAGAGTTGATCCCAGCAGTTCTAGGACTGTGTCGAATCTCAAAACTTTGCACCTCTTGTTCTGTCCTAATAATTCTAAGGTCTAAAGCTTGACATTTTAATTAAACCCTCAGTTATTTCTTCACAAGCGTCTTCCAAGGGCACTTTACCGTCCGCTGATCGTTAGTCAACTACTACCGTAAGTAACATGACGCCTCAAAGATTTTCTTTTAGATAAAAGTTCATGTAAAGTTACTGTTATCGTCAAATTGAAATCATCTGGTCATTGATTTGAAATATTTCCAATTCAGTTTTCTTTATCTTCATCTCCGTTCTCATCAGGACATTTTTAGATCATTATTCAGAACAACAACTGAATTGATCTAAAATATAAGTATTTAGAAGGTATGCTCTTAAGGCTTTAAAAGTTATTGTAACTTGAAGATGCACCACCATGCATGAAGATGCATTTCATCAAATATATTTAGGTTGAGCGCCTCTGAGAGAATAGGGAATGGCATAAATTGATGAATCAAGGGGACTGCCAGTCCATAATGTCGCTTTTTGTGCCCATCTAGACTGTAAAGACAAACAGGGGATCTAGTTCAACACCAAATAAATCAGTAGCAGAATTCAGATAATTTATGATTTACAACATAAATGCAGGGACAATGAAAGTGTCTTGAGCACCTTCCATTGCTTAGTAAGTAAGGAAGAAAATTTGTTAAACAATCAGAAATGTAAAGTTGTACTCGTTCAAGGAGCAATCATGTACATAGTGTAAATCAAAAAAGGTACAGGACTTTTATCAAGAAATCAAGGCTGAGTCTTCAATGCTAAAACTTGTCTGTAAATTGAAATTCTGATCATTTGAAACTTCAAACTTCGAATTGTATTTTTTTTCTTTTTTTTTTTTTTCTCAAAATATCCGTCATAAGGTTTGGTTCTACGTATATATATCCATTTTTCATCAGGAAGGATTGCAACCTATGCTGTCACGAAGATACTAAGCAATTTCAATTTGCTCTAAGGTCTTCATCATGAAACATGTATCTCTCTCCTTTTGTCAAAGTGCACCTGATAAGCAATGGATCTTAAATGATTAGTATAAGTTAACAGCATTCAATTAATTCTCTTGGCTGAAAGCTGGACTTATATTCAACCTGTAAAATTAATCAATCACCATCCTTTGTTTACTAGTCCTTTAGGATTTCTCTCAGATGTGGTTCAAACAGAATCTTAAGTAATTATCACCGATATTTCTTAAGAACATAAACCAGTAGTCTAGAGGAAAATAGCGATCAGTCTAGCAGCACCTGTTGTGTGTCGTCTTCTTTCTCTTCCTTCTTCGTTTCCCTCTGTTTCTCTCAGCCAGCCCAAGTTCGGAGCTAGAGTCAGAGGTAGCAAATTCTAGTCAAAAATATTCCATCAACCAAGTACTTTTCAATTTCCATCTTTGCCTTTCAGTAAGTTTTTTTAAATGTATATGTACAGAGCCATACTTTGCGACTCCTCACCTCCCTATAGCACTGTAAATTTACCCTCTCATCATAATAATGCTGTTTGTTTTCTGTTTTATTCCAGATCTCCAAGATCTTTTGGCTCTGAGAAGCCTCTTGCAGTCGAAGGGATCTACAATAATGCACTTTTCATGCATGCCCTAGCTAACCAGATCGGAAATACAATTCGAGTGAGAATGTTTTTCTATTTTTACAGCTCATTACTCTAGACGTCTTTTATTTAACACATAACTATGAATTTTTTTTTTGCCCATATCATTCACCTGAAGGATTTACGTTAGTGTCTTTGTGTGGCTTAATTTATTTAAAATATTCCTAAATTTCATGTTATGACATTAAATACTAAAATAAATCAGCTGTACTAAGTAGTTCAATTTCAAGGTATACTGATATACTACAAGATGTGCAACAATCTCAAGTTGGACGAATGCATACCCAGAACAAAATGTAATAAAAATGGAACCCTGCCATATTGCGCTGTGATAGCTATTGGTAGATGTACCATTCCAGTTTCCTTCCTCAAATGGTAAAAAGACAGTTTTTTGCTCTTTAAGGAGATCTTGGGAGTAGAACTGAAGTTGTACTGTTTTGCAGGTGACAATATTTCACTTTAACTTTTTATTGCTTCTTGTTACTTAAATTGTTGACTATTTCTCAAATTACTTGTGCTTTAACTAGATTGTGTGTTTGACATTGCAGGTCGAGACACAAAACGGAGCTACGTTTGAAGGAATTTTCAAAGCTTATTCTCATAATTTCGAAGTTGCATTAGGTATGACTCACAAAGTGGATCCAGAGAATCCAACTCAAATTAATGTGGACGAAGTCAAAGACGTATTAATTTTTAAGCCACAAGAAATTGTGTGCATTACAGCTACAGATGTAGATCTTGAATATGCAACCCGAGGTAAGCTGTTTGTGTGTCTCTTTGCCTTTAACGTTTTCCTGGCTCCATCTTATGTAACTCCTAAAAACACAGGGTATCTGAAGTGTAAAACCCCACTCCTTCTCTGTACATTTTACTATCGGATCTTGCAAGCGTTTTTAATGTATAGATTTTTCATGCCTCTATTCATAGCCCTCTCAATGTGGTTCAATTTTTCTCTCCTTCACAACCCTCTGTGTCCTGGCTATGTTAGATTTTTTAAATTTTTAGGCGAAAAAAGATCTTAGAAGTCCGAATTCAGTCGCTGAAACATAGCGCTTTATGGATATGTGTAACTTCAATTTCTGTCGTGTCCTTGCTTCAATACTTTGCCTTCCCCCTAAACTTTTCAGAGTCCCCTCGGTAAAAAATCCCAGAATTTAGGAGCATCTACAATTTTTAAGGAGCCTCGTCAACTTTTTTCATTCTCTCTGCCGTTTGGCTCCTTGTCTCTGTTCCGTTCACCAGTCCTCTCACCCTGCTCCACAAAAGGTGCTTAAGAGCACTACCTCTGCTTTGCGATTGCAGGTTTGACAAGGTGCGACAACTTTTTAAGGTGCCTTAATGTTCGGGCTGACCTGAGGATGAAGAGAAACCTAACAAAATACTGGATTTTTCTGATATGTAGATAATCGCAGCGCAATTGATGATTTACGTGTTAACCATTACCAAGTGGTCAAATTTACAGGAAGCAGGGATGAGTAGGTACTTCACACATTGACCCACATGCAGCATTTTCCATTTCTTTAAGCTTTGTTTGTTTAATACAACCATCTCTTCTCACTTCATGACTACAATATTTTTATACCGTGTATTTATTTTGTGTTTTCCAGACACATTTCAGACTGATACTGCAATTAGTAAATTCAATGGCCAACTCCTAGGTGAAAGAGAACTTGAACCGTGGGTAGGAGGTTGTAATGGAGATGACATTGAATTAGATGTAAATGATTCCAATGCTGTAAGTATAAATCGCATTCATCGGAGTAATCTCTCTTTGACGAATACCTGCATCAAATTCCAACTCATCAATATCAGATTCTTCCTAAGTGTAAGCTGTATGAGGAGTGCAGAAAGTTTTAGCATTCCTTAATTTCATACGCTTGCCGTGAAGTTTTTCATTTTTTTCTGTCCATACTCCCACATAATGTCTCCTCAATGTAAAAAAATGGTTCACAAAATTTCCCTTCGACGTGAAATATTATGACCATTTCTTTATTGATTTGTCAGGCACTTAAAAGATTTAATTTGATACATCACTCAATTTTATGCGAATTGGAATGCCCTGATTGCCAACAAAACGTTTTTCCAGTAAATTTCTACCGGATGTAATAGTTGAAAACATGGAATACTTGTAACCCTCAGAAAGATTTCCTCCTCTCCTTTTTTCACGCACCTGTCTGAATGCATAATGGAGCATTTTTTGCGACTCTGCGCTTATTTATTATCAACAGAGGGGATTTGAATCACTACTTATGATGGCTTGTTAGTTGCAAAGGCACCAAAACTTACATTTTTGTACTATGGTAAAGTTCTAAAGTCAGGATGAAGCTGATCAAATTTTATTCTCATCTTCGGAAGTTATCCTCATAATTTTATCAATTTTACATCTATTAGTTGCAGAAGTTTTGTATACTAACCAAACAACTGGGGAGAAATTAATCTAAATGTATACATTATTTGAGATTTTATGAATCTTTATGTCATTGAATTTTGTAATCCACTCAGTGGAATTCAAATTTTAAGAGGGTGATGATCTTCTAAAAAGGAAAAGTTTACTGCCGTCCATTGAAACCCTCTCATTTCATGCTCAAAGATGAACACAACTCGTACTTATGAAATTTTACAACTTTTTAAATACATTTCCAAAATTTTCCTTTGAACCAAAAAAGACAGACTTTTCACTGCTTCTATATTAGTCTTGTCCACTCTCTTAAATTGGTCCAAATTATATATTTACACTTTTGCTCCACTTTGTTTAACTACCTCCTCATACAAATACTCGAACTTTTTAGTCACTTTGTGTAATTTCAATTTCTTTTTCCAGAATGGTTGGGACGTTAATGACATGTTTCGTAAAAATGAACAAATGTACGGTATTCAGTCCACATTTGATCATAATTTGTCGGAGTATACTGTCCAATTGCAGAAAAAAGATACCAAAGACTATAAGTAAGTTAATTTAAATTAGCGTATCTTCTTCCTTGTCCTATCCTACCTATGTCCAGCACCCCATACTTTTTAATGCGCATAGTATTAATGATAAGTAAAGCATTAAAGCATTGATCAAGTGGATCGCATTTAGGAAAAAAGAACCAATGCAATTTCCTGCAGTGTTTTAAAAATGTTGCTTCCTCACAATCGTCTACAAAATTTCCCACATTGGCAAATAGTATTTGCTTCCCACAAAAAATTGTTAATTTTAAAGGAAAATTATTGTGTAAATTTTATTACTGTACAAATGTTAAGTATTTTTAAAGGAAAAGAAGAAGTTGGTTGTTTTTAAAAACACTGTAATCGCGTTTGCTGATTCATTTTTGCTAAATGCAATCCAAGTATTTGAAGGAGGCTTCTCAAAGAGGCTGTCCCATTTTCCATAGGAAATGGCTGCAAGAGATTTTACATCCATACTTTCAGGAATCATAACGGATCATTGGAGAGGCCTAAATCAGGTGTCCTTTCCCGTCTAGCCCTCCAAGGGGGAGGGGGTCAAAGGTCAAATGCCCACACCGCCATAACTTTTGAACGAAACAACGGATCAACTTGCGTTCTCTTCTACAGAAAAACGCAAAAAACTGTATTTTTTGGGCTTGAAAAATCAAACAATCATTTTTTCCACATTGAAAAATTACCAAAAACAGACATTTTTATACATAAAACGAAGGTCTTGTTGAGAGCTTTCATTTGAGCCCAAGATCAAGGTGATCTGTTGTTTCGTTCGAAAGTTATGTTAAGTCTGTGCCTTTGACTTTTGACCCCCTCCCCCCTTGGAGGGCTAGATGGGAAAGGACACCGGATTCAGGCCTCTCCGATGATCCATTATGATTCCTGAAAGTAAGGATGTAATATCTCTTACGGCCATTTCCTATGGAAAATGGGACAGCCTCTTTCTATTTTCTTCTATCTCAAATAAAGCTCGTATTGAAGCCATTTTAACCCAATAATTTTTTTTTCACGCATTCAATCTGCCTGTTGTGCGTAAGAGGTACAGCTAAGTGAATAGACTTTTTATGGGTAAAATTGCAGTGGAATCACGATTGGCACTTGTAAATGTTAGCCAGTTAAGTTGAAGTCAATGTAAGTCCTTGATTTCATTATTGAAAACTCTGTGTAAAGCATATGATTTTGATTTTGTAAAGCTGTCTTAAACCATATGTGGCGAGTCTGCTAATATGAAGAACCATTCATTCTAATAATTCTGAATTCTTTCAAAATATCAATCAATCTTTTTCAAGATTCCTAATGACTGATGGACAAATTCCAATTCTCACCATGAGAATAGTAGGCCCAGAGATTTTGCTGAGAATCTGACTAAGTTTTTCAATGTTTGTTTACTTTCTCTAGGGATGCTGAAGCTAAAGCAGCAAAAATTGCAAACGAAATAGAAAGTAACCCATCTCATAGAGCGAGAGTAGATGTCGAAAATGGCGATGAAGAAGAAAAGTATGCAGCTGTTGTTCGGCCAGACAAAGACTCGGAAAAATCTAGCAGCAGCAATTCAAGTGTAAATAGAAGTAGCAACAGCAGTAACAATAGCATCACTAGTTCTAGCTCAATTAGCTCAAGTAATAACACAGCTGTGAGCAGCAGTAGTAGTGAAAGCGGAAAATATGTCCCTCCTGCTAAACGGAAATCACAAGCAACTGGCAAAATAGGTATGGTCAAACGATTTTAACTTAAATAACTAGCAGTTTTGCTAACTTGCACAGCTCATACTAGATGATCAAAACAAGATAAAATTATTCTTGCTCATTTTTGGAATAACTTTCCATCTCAGAATGAATTCCTAAACTTAATCCAGAATTTTGTCACTGCATGATTGTTATTTATGAAGGTACTTCTTACATGCTCAAGATATTCTCAATTTTCACAGTTTTTTACTTTGCTATAAGTCACCTCTAGATTATCTTAACTGTCATGACAGCCTCATAAGTTGGAATACTGTGAGGTCTTGTTTACGAAAAAATGTCACTTTGGATGGTTGTAAGAAAAATATTATCTTTGATTAGCCATTTGTTCACTTCTCCGAAGATAGATAACAACCCTTTTGGTGGATTCAAATCAAATCGAACCGATAACGAAAGGTTTATTAGATTTCTACGGCTTAGTAATCACCTAAGCTTCTCACACCTAGATTTGGAGTAATCAGTATTATGTACAGTGTATCAAACAATATTTTCATGTGAATTTTACAGGTACAAAATCAAGCGGAAGCAATTCAAGCAATAACCAACACATTGCATCAACTGCACCTCAGACCCATCAAATGCCGCCAGAGAGGCCACCATCGTCGGTTTCCCCTGTTCAAACGCCGCACCAGCTGCCCCAGCCTCCGGTGCCACCACAGCCCCAGTCACAACCACAGCCGCCGCCGGCAGTGGCTCAAGCACCCCCTGCACCCGCTGTGGCCCCAGCACCCACCCCTGCTCCCATGCCCTCTCAGCAAGTCAAGAAACAGTCGCCGCCCAGCAGCATACAATACCACCATCAGCCGCCTCACCAGCCGCACCAGTCGCATCCACCTCACCAGCCGCATCAGCCTCACCAGGCTCATCAGATGCCAATACCTTACGCAGGACCCCCAGCCATGGTGAGCCAGCCTCCCCCACCGCAGCCTCAGCCCTACCCGCTCACACAGTCGCTGCCTCCGCGGGAAAGGCAGGACCAGCGGGTCAACGGACAAATCGATCAGCTACCGCCAGCGCAACCCAAAGGTCCCAGACCACCTACCTCTTCCTATCAAATGAGATCAGGTTTGCTCTTTTTACTTTTTGTTTTTAACAATTTTTCCAGAATCCTCAATGTTTTGAATATTGAAAATAGAGTGTTTTGAACTAGCTGTGAAACCCAGAACTTTTTGGGAAGTTATTCTTCTCAAGTAATGGATGCTTTTCACAAACCAATAGAAGGAAAAAAATTTTCGGCCAAAGTATTTTTAAACAAGCAGTAAAAATGAAAACAAAACTTGCTCAGTCCTATTATTTTTCTTTGTACACATTAATCCAAACAAATTCCAATAATAATTTTAATTTGTAAAAAAGAGGCATATTTGTGTTAAATTGATCGGTTTTTTTTTTTTTTAGTTTATTTTTATTCAGGATGTCTATTGTACAGAAAAAGTATGGATACACTGAAAAAGCACGGATTTTGAAAGGTTGGTACGGAAGTACCGAAAAGGTATGGAAATTCGAGATTTTCACGATAAACTCTTTAAAGTACCTGGGGGGGGGGGGGGGGTATACGATTCCCTAACAAGTTCCCAGTTCAAATTCGGTTCAATTCCCTCTGTTTTTTTAGTTTATTCCTTTGTCATTCCATCATTCCACTTTCCCAATCTCAGTACAGTTATAAATACGTGCAAGGTACGGAAAAAGCAAGGAATTTAAATGATAGGGTACCAGTAGACACCCTATCATTTTCTCTATTAAAAATCAAGAAAGTGACATCATTGAATGAGTATTGGATTGACTAAAAATGACGAGAAAATGAGTCATTTCCGGTTGTTTTTCCATATCACTTCCCTTTTAGTCCCTAAATTTCCATGGAATTTCCCTCTCAACTTTGGTTCAATTTGTTTTTTAAAATTTCCTCTCTTTTTTATGATTGTTTCCTCTGTTTTCAGCTGGGAATCACTACACTGGCCCCCCGAGAGGTCCATATCAATCGGAGTTCATGTCCGGCAATAGGTATCAGCCGGTTGACATGTCGCAGCCACGGGTGCCTCCGCCGCCTCAGGCGACTGGTGCGCCATCTCACCACCATTTAGGTCCCCCGCAGCGTAATGCCCCGGCTCCACCACCTCCACATATGCATCACCCACAGCATGTTCCCCACTCTGCACCGTCACCCATGGGCCAGGTATGTCATTTTCCTCTCCTACTCGCCCTCTCTCTCCTGGAAAAAAATAATGGCATAAAAAAGAGTTTTAAGTGTGGAAAACCGTATTAAATTGACAAGATTACCCTAAAATTCCTTATAAGGAAATTACTATAGAAAATAGAGAGAAGAGTGTGAAAAATAGTATTAAATTGAAAAGAACCACCAGAGATTTGAAAGGGAAGATTAATATTTTTCTAAGTTGAATGCCAAATAAAAGAAATTAAAACGTAAAATGGCGATGCAATAACCAACTTGAATAACTGTCAGCTAAAATTCTGGCTACAACTGATCTAGATCCTTCATTGATCTGTAACTTGCCAAGAAAAGCCTAACAAACAGATGCTCAAACTTTCTTAAAATTTCAGAGCAGATAATCTATCAAACCAACCTTTAATATAAAGAGCTTAAACCTAAGTAAAATTCACAATTACCACTATCAGTGAGATGAAGATGTTAAGCCGGAGTAACGAGCATACAAGCGGCAATCCATCTTATTAGCTCTTATACAGGAAGATTCAAACCACTCGTACCTGGCTTTTTAGTGTATTTTCTGAAGAAAATACACCATTGCATTCTCCCATGATGTCGGACCCAGACCTGAGACCTTGTGGAGAGCACCGATCACGAGTCGTAGATCACCAAAATATATGCCATTCAAATTCATGTGTATATACATGTATATGTCTGTCTATATGTATGTCTGTGTGTATTTCCGTCTTTTTAAGATTTTTCGATTTTTGAGTAGTTATATCTTTCTTTCGTTGAAAGATATTTGAACCAATTTTTTTGCATTTAGTAGAGACTCATTAGAATTACTATTCTGCAAAAATAAATTGAAATTTGAGGCAATAGATTTTGAGGGGTGGGGCTCGAAAGTGGAGAGAGGTCAAATCTTGTCCACTCCATAACTCAAGCGAAAATGAATATTTTGAGCTGAAATTTTTATGGGTGGTAGTTCTCCCCTAGGACTGGTTTGGTATTGAATTTTTGAATTTACGAGTTTAGTATTTCCCTAGACCCTACAATTAAAGCTCCTAGAGGCTCAAAAACTGTTAAATCAGGATTATAAGGGGCCAATTATGCTAGAAAATAATTTTTTTATAATTCTCCATATCAGTATAGCGTCTATGTATTTTAAGGAGGGGGGGGCTCGGTCCCTTTCATTTTAAAGAGGTCAATTTTTCAGACAGGGATAGAATAGTTATGGACTATTTGGTGTCGAGTTGGGTTAAAATTTTCCATTCTCACTGATTTTGATCAAATAATTTTGAACTAGTGCTAGGAACCTTGACTCATATGTAAAGACTCCCTTCTCACCTCTTCAAGGAAGCCAAGTGGGTCTCAGCGCGATTAAATTCAAGATCCTTGGTGTCAATCTCCTATTCGCTCTTGAGGTCCATGGCCTCGTCAGACCTGAAATAACTGAAGATCAAGCTCCGCATGGGTGGTCTGGATCATCCTGTGTACTGAAAAAATAGAATATTACAGCAAAGACCTGTAATAAATTATTAAATTACTTCACAGAATATTTAAATTTAAATTTCATAATGTAAGAATTTTTTTTCTTTTTGTTTTTTGCACTTTAAGGTTCGTTTGAATTTTCAGGGAGGTCAAATGATGCCCTCGCCGTATCCTAATTCCGTTCCTTCGATGCCACCGGTCGTTCACCCTGTGATGCAGCAACAGCCGCCACAACATATTCCACCTGTCGATCTGCACAGGAAGTCCCCAGCAACGAACATTGTCCCCGAGCAACACACCACTCCATCTCTACCCCCTCGCAAACAGAATCAAAGTAAGACTTTGAGAGGACCCAAAACTTATTCTGACCTCTAATTCCCTCTAGCGCAGAAACTAAGTGAAACCTCAAGATTTGTATCGCAATTGGACAGTTCCCCAAAATCCATTCTTGTAATGTCAAGGGGGGTTGGTAACACTGAGGATAGACAGCTGAAGGAAAGTTTCTTTCATCAATAAATGTGAAATAGTGCTAGTAACAAAACTGTCTCCCTATGTCGAATCAATTTGACATTATTCCTGGAACCAAGTCACTTAACATGACTGGAAAGCGGGTGTAGATTTGATTTCAAGAACCCATCGAACAGTCATGTTGAAGATTTGCCTCGTAAAAGGAGCAAACCGGAAAGACACCATGTTAACATTTTTATGTGCAACAGCGAACTGTAACTGTCTCTTCTCAATGAAGACTGGTATCAAGATTAAACCCCATTGTTTTTCTGAAGTAGTTCTCAAGTGTTGACCAGCTTTGTATTCCTTCCATAACATTTCAAAGTAGCTTCTTCAGGAAATCGGGGCTTTAAGAATATTATTTTCTTAATCGAAGGTAAGCTTAACGTCTATTTTTGACATCTCGTTCGTTAGTCAAGGTAAATTTGGGGAAGGGTTAGTTTGCACTTTTCCTTCAAACAATGGATGTAGAGGACTAATGAAAATACTATTGATAGGGAATGAACAAAAACATATCAAAATTCATCGTCTCTGTTAAATATATCCTAAGTTCAATGAACTAATCGTCACTTAATTTTAAAGGGAAAAGATGAAAACTGTATTATCTTTTTCTAAAGCTCTCTCATTTGGCTTGATCAACAGTGGGGTTTTACACAGCAACTTTCCACAAATTCATAAACTGTTTGGTGCTGATTCTATGAATGGCTTGTGTAAGAAATAACCGCTGAAAAATATTTATCTTAGAGCTGTGTCTGACATACGCATTTTTACTTAGGCAGCTGATACTTAAGTTACCTGACTCCGTCTCCAAGGTATTCTTCACGGCTTCACAAGTTGTTTTGTCAGTCCTTAAAAGAAGCTCTAAGTAGTCTTTAGTTTGAGTTTTGAAAAGCAATTATAATTCCTAACCTACAGTAAATTTTTTTATTGCAGGACGAGACACAGAACTCTCAGAGCTGAAGAAATTCGGTAGCGAGTTTAAACTAGGCGAATCAAACGTTAATGTGACAAGCCCGGCGCCAATGCCAATGGCAAATCACACAGAACACGACATGCGGAAGTCACACCCACCGCAGCACCAGTCAGTGAAACCTCAGCCTCAGCCGTCACCACCCACAACCCATTCACACTCGCAAGCGCCCGTCCCGTCTCCACAGCGTCACCACCAACACCAGCAACCTCCGCCGCCTCACCAACATCAGCATCCCTCACAAGAGAGGCATGCTCAAGACCGAACGATGCAGAATAAAGACAAAGCATCCCCAGCCCCATCGGATGACAAATCGGGCGGTGATGCCCAAGAGAATTCCAACGATGGTTCTTCCGTAGATAAAGTCTCATCGACGCTAAAGAAATCAACTCTCAACCCTAATGCGAAAGAATTTGTATATAATCCCAGCGCTAAGCCCTTCACTCCAGTGAGCAATGTCAGCAATGTAAGTTTTTTCTCTTTGCAATAATTCTTAGCCTTTGTCGTCTTTGTTTACATGGGTGTCAGATGGTGTTTAAAACTTGTAAAAAAAAGAGATATTGGGATTTACAAGAGAACAAAGAAGCTCTAAGAATATAAAAAAATTTATTAAGAAAATTGTGTCAAAAAACCAGGAAGTTTTTCTCTTCCTGCTGTAAGACAACTTCGTTCTGAATGCGACATCAGATCCTGACTTAGCTAAGAGGCATAAAAATTGATATTTTTGATCTGAACTTATGAGACAAATTTAGTTTCTTCTGAGATTATTTCTGAGAAAGAGGGAAAACAATTTGGGGGTTTGTTTGGGGGGGGGGGGATTTGTGAAAAATCATGTGAAAAACAAGGGATGAAGTAATTCAAAATAGGTTTCTTTTTACGCTTAAGGCTGCCCAAACCATGCTACAACAGAGAAAATCATGTACAATTTTGTGCTTTTAATTGTTGCAATTGATTGTTGGTAGTTCGATAGAAAGACAAGTAGGTAGTATGAGGAAATCTTTTAAGTCACAAATGTAGATTGATTGATAGATTGATTTATCTATTTGTATTCATTTAGAGTATATTGATACAATGAATAATAATTATCGCAATGGCTTAAGTCAGAAGGTCTACAATTTTTAGCAAGAACAAGTTTACTATTGAAATCTCATCTTCAGTTTAACATAGATACTCCATTTCGTACCTTCACTGGTTATTTAAGGATCAGTGAATATCTGATATAATGTAAATATTGGTGTAGGTTTCTTTGTAAAGTTTGTCCTGTGGCTGCACCCCTCATTATTTCATTTGTGGATCTTGATGAATGATTTTTTGTCACAGCGATCACCGAGCACACCGGTGGCATCTCGGCCTCACACTCCTCAAACCCCGAACTACACGCCCATGCCCATGGTAATGCCAGCATATGTTGTGGCCGCTCAGCCTACATATCCACCCACCCAGCAGGCAGCAGGCAATAGGTATAGAAAAGGTAAGTCATGCATGTAGGTCTTCATGAATAAAGACTTGATGACCATCTTCATAGAGACCTTCTTGATTAAGTTCATCGTTCAGCTTTACGATTCAAAGGATTTGTTGCTCACAAGAGATACAGCCAACTGAATATACCCTCTAGTGGTAAAGTTGCTCGAAAATCACGTTGGGCACATCAAAACAGTCTGAAATCTACTCATTAGTGCGCGTACTGTATAATTTCTAACACGCTTTTTCAAATTTACCTCATGTGCAGGCAGTTTTTTGTGGTAGCCGTCAGTTAGATTTGCCTGGAAAGAGACCGTAACCTAAATAAACCAAAAATCTTGCGAACTGTTTAAAACTCTCCTTGTGTAAGATTTTAATTTATTCAAAGCTTTTTTACAAAATAAGGAAATACTCAGAGAAATAAACGCTTGAAAACTATTGAAATCATGCAATAAAAGAAGTTAGTGAAATCGTTTATTTACTAAGGTCTGTTTTTCTTACTCCTCTACCTGTCCTGTGCAAACCTGGTCGGTGGTTACAGGGAAAAACTGCGCGCAGATGCGGGAAACTTGAAAAGGTGTGTTATTACAAACTAAGCAGATTGCGCGCCTAGGAATGAATTTCAGACTTTTTTGAAGTGCTCAATTTGATTTTCGTGCTATTCTACCCGTGAAAGCGTATACTTATTTGGCTGCATCGCTTGCGTGCAACAAACCCATTATGTCAAAATCGGTATGGATTTACACTTAAAGATGTGAAAATAATTAAGAAAAGTAGGCAGTGGAAACTTCAATTAAGGCACTGATGCATCAATCTCAAAATAAGATTACAACAAAATTGATTTAAAAACTTTGAGATGTTCACTCGTCACCATGATGCTCGAATTAGGACCTCAGTGACAAAAATCTGAAAATTTCAAGATTGCTACCACTTATTCTAAGAGGTGACTCATGAACTTTTCGGCATAAAAATTGACTTAAATATCGAATCAGAGTCAAAATGATTTGAAGTTTGCAGTTCAATGAACGCATGTTTAAGTAAAGGCGTTTATAGGTTTAGTCTGTCATGTTCAGGACTCAAAATTGTAAGATGATGGTGAAACTTAATGCCCTCTGGCAGTACAAAAATAGACTACAGTGCTTGGATCATAATAGAGGATATCATATGTGAATTTCTAAATTCCGATGCCTCGGGAAAACTTGATTAAAATTGTCCTCTTGAAAAATCAAACTCTATGCATTTAGATACCTTCTCCTGTGAATAGCTTCATCTTTTACTGTTATGATCACAGACCCAGCAGAAACTTAGAAAAATATTAATTTTGTCAAGTTCTTCGGGACTTCATAGTCAAATTATCGTAGTAAAGAAGAAATTTACAGTATGAAAAGGTGTCAACGTCTACTCTCTAGATATTACTGTCAAGGTTAACAAGTTGTGCAATATGACAGTAAATAATTTACAAAATGAAAACTTTGATGCTAGGGGGATAATGATTAATGTGAATGAAGTTTTTTTAGGAGCAACCCATCTTACTACTTATTTAATTCTTGATGATAAAATTTTTTTTTTTTTCAGTTATTGTGCCTCATAGGTCAGACATAACGTCTCAGATGACAGCTGCAGCAGTGACTGGTCAGCCCCTCCTAGCTCCAGCACCCATCCATGCGGCTCCTTTCACCGTTCCTTACACAGGCCCGCATATTCCTCCACAGCCGTACCAACAGGTAAGATCAGGAAACAGAGACTGCAGGATTTCGAACCCTTTCAAAAGTCCTCAAGTGTACTTTTTTTCTAGATATTAAGTCCTCAGAATTTATATTATGTAAAGGAATTTTTTTGTGACTGTCAAAAAGATTATTCTCTTTTCTTTTGTCAAGGAACTGTCTATCTTTCCAAGCCTCCTTTCAAATTCAACGAACTGTACGAAAAATCATGATTGGTTCCCTCACACAGAAAAAAAAAGATACGCAAAATATTGACCTCTTTCTACAAAAAATTTAGATTTACCATTTAAACATTGTAAAAATAATAAATCAGAAAGTATGCTGAATGTTGCTAAGCGGTATTCATTGGCGAAAGAGCATCTGGTAAGTTTTATTGGCACATTTTAGATGGAGTAAATTGTTTAAAAAAATCTGTAGGCAGTTACCATTCACCTCTCATTAAAACTGTCATAATTTGCCCAGTTTTTGTTCGAATATGCTAATCTTTGTCTCGATAGGTTATGTGATTTCTTAATTCCAAGGCAAGCCTGGATCATTTTTGAAGACCCGGTGTATTTTTTTGTTGGGACTATAGTTTTAGAAGGAGTCCAACTGACTGTATGTTGTCATGATTCTGAACATCACTAAATGATGCTATGTTGCATTGTCGGTTACAAGGAAAAGACTTAATTTCTTGCACGTAGATTTGTCTTACACTTTTGCCACCCTCATATTTGCTTTGTCTTGACTAAATTTGAATTATTTTTTTCCTTAGATGGTGCGAATGGTTCCGCAAGTCCCCTTAGTACCAACATCTATCAGCTACCATGAACCGCCCACGCCTCAGCAAGCGCCCACCATCCAATTCATGCCACCCCATCATCCCACAACCCCTTCACCAGCGCACAATGGTAAGCACAATTTACATTTGTTTATTCCATTTAAAGATACAATTTTTTTTGTTAATGTAATTAACGCTTCCTTTATTTAAATTTTTTTCTGAACAGAAATAGAAAAAAAACTCCAAGAGAATGAGAGACAATGATAAACATTAATACGAGTAAATGAACAGAAAATATTCACTTCATTACAGTTATGCAATTCATAATACAGGTATTGGTTGTCATTAAAATTTCCTCCTACGTAATAGACCCTATTTGCGTAGATGGATACCTGTGCCCAATCAGAATCAGATAACATAGGGTAAGACTTCAATTTATTGAATTGCAATTTAACGGATTCCGCATTTTAACGGTATTAATCCTTAATGGTTCAAGGGCTTCAAGCTAATTTGAATCAGCAGATTCCGCCATTTAATTGACCAATTCATCAGTCCCGCCAAATCCAATCAGTCCAAGTCTTACTGTTATGAGACTATATTTCATACAAGGAATATCTAAATTAAGATTAGCTCTCATACCTCCCTTGACCATTTATTTTAGGTACTCTCAACCCAACTTTTATTTCAAGTCTCCTCAGCCCTCAGCATTTTGTTTCTCAATAACTTGCATTCTCCAACGTTTCAGTGTTTCAGAAAGCGATTTTTTTCTTTCTTTCTTTTTGCAAGTTTTCTCACATCTGTATGATTGATTGCAGGGCCCGGGAATCAAACGCCACAGAACGGCGCTCATCCCCCTCCACCGCCATCGTACGGGCAGTCGGCAGCGGCTTCTCAGGGTGGTGGTCAGCACTCGTCGAGTGGTGTTGGGAACTATTCAAGTGGACCGTCGGGACACCCACCACCTTACCACCCTATCATGTGTCCGATCATTCCAACAGGGCCACCGACTGGACCTCCGAACGCGCACCATGCAGCCGCCATGGCAGCAGCCACGCAACAGCAGTTCATTCACCACCATCAACACCCTCAAAGTAATAATTTCTTCTGCTCCTGTAGTCTGTAATTTTAGAGGCTGTTCTAGAACTTAGGATAAATACAGTGAAACCTGGTTAGATCAGACTTTTGTCAAAACCAGAAGCCAAGCAAGTCAAAATTGTCTTCTGTTTATAGACATTCTCTCACTATTTTAAAATGTCAGAGACCAGACTGTAATTTTTTTGCCACAGAATGCAGCTTTGCTCTAAAAAGAATTTTGAAATTTTGATCTGCAAAGTATCAAGAGACAAGAGTAATAATGAAAAAGGCACTTGTCAGTCAGCTGTGCTTGCTCTATTTATTGTTGCGAACTGTATCTACACTCAAGGCAACCTCTCCTAAGCCTTCCCTAGTCAGTTTATTGAAATAGTTTGGTCAAAGTTAAATGGAAGTTGGTGCAAAGATGCATCGCCTTAGTGATGCATGCCTACTATTACAAGCCATCTGTTTCTTCTCATTACTTCTTAAATTAAATGTGTCACATTATACCTTGTCTTTCGGTGGTCCCTTCCTTCCCCAAGACAACGTGTTTTTGTGGAGAAATAATTTTTTATTAAGTCTTAAAAAATTGTCCATTTGATACTCCTTTTGTTGGAATTAGACCTGTGGTGAAATATTTCTTTTGCTGTATCTTGGTGCGGTCAAGTTTAGACCCCAGAGGTGGGAGCTAGCAAGGATTTCTGTTCCGTAGATTCAAAGTTTTTTGAATCCTCTCTAACCCAACCCCCAACAAATTCAGATTTTGCATTATTTTGTCTGCCAAAAAGTTGTATAATTCATTTCCTAACTGCCAGGGTTCCACCTTTCTCGGGCCCTATGCCCAAATGCGTAAGCTTTGGCTCCTAAAAATTGGGGAGGCTGGGCCATGGCGGCATCTAAAAAAGTTGATGCACCCTGTCAATCTTTTAAACTTGCTTGCAATTGCGCTCTCAACATACCGTTTTGCAGTGTGGCTCAAGAGTGAGTAGTTTTGAAACAGGAAAGAGTCACAGAGAAACAGCGCAGTGTTTGCAAAAAGTTAATTTGATTCTTCAAAAATCGTAGATAGCTCCTAAAATTGGGCTTTCCAGCCAAGTTGGCTCCCAAAATTTCAAGATGGCAGAACATTGCTGACTGCATTTTCCTGATAGCTCTCCTCAGTAGTTCAGTATATCAAGGTCGTATCAGATGACCAGTTGGTACCTTTTTCTTAAAAAAAGTTTCAGGAATAATGTTCAAATATTAAGATAACATAATTGCAACAGACAATTTTAATCACACATAAACTGGATCCAGAGCTTCACTAAGTATTTTATGTTGTTTGATGTAAGGTTCTGACAACAAAGTACTCATATACAATGAAGGGTCAAATTTTCCAAGCAAGAAAATGATGCAGTTGTTTATTTGGCCCAACCGTCTCTAATTTGCCTCAGCATGATTCATTTTTTATTTATTAATTTTTTGTTTTCATCATAATTCATTCTTGCATGAACGTAGTTCTTTCGTATAACCAGTGATGGTTGTTGATATCAGGCAACCATCTCTGGTTCTGAAGTTATTGTTTATTTAAACATATTTTTTTTCCCTTTTTTTCTTTACCAGTTCAGATGTTCCAATTGAAATACTAGAATACTGAAACAGAGGCAAGGCGACTGGATTTAGGTACTGTCCATCATTCTTTTTTTTTTTATTTCAAGAAAAAAGGGACCTTCCTCCATGTTCTTGTTTTAACAAGTATAGAGGGTCACCTATAATATTGCTCCTCAGAGTTCACGTAATGCATGACGGCGTCCGGTGTGTCTGAGCCGAATGAGAAATTCAATGAAAAGAAACAAATTTTTCCCAACGATCAGTTCCTTTAACTTAATGAATTGAGCTTTCTGATTGAAGCTGAGATTTCAGCAACAAGCCTTTGCTTTTCATATCAAACCTCACGTGTAAGCTCTAACAGTAACCGATTCTAGGGTATCTACAGTGCTGGGAAACAAGCAAAAGTTGAGGCATAATTTTTTAGCTCTTAATGATAGAGAACTTGTGAAGGAAGATTGAAATTTTTTTCCCCCTTGTATTTTCCTGCTTTGCACAAATCCTCACCTCAGTCGGCATAAGATTATGAAAAATAATAACTTTAAAAAGAGCTCTAGATCAATTGTAGCCGTCATGCGTCATTAAAAAAAGACCTCAATGAAGAACACCCCTCAATGAACACCTCAAAGTTTTGAAGTTCTTATCCTAAGAATCATACTTCTGAGGAAAAGCTGAGAGTTTTCATCTGCCTTTTTCAGAGCTCTAAATTGTTAAATTTGACAGGGTTTAAAGCAACTTTGTATCCTCTGTCAGCAACACCAAAATTAGCTGAGCCACTTGTTAACGCTTGTTCGAGGTACTAGTGAGCATTTTCTGTCAGATACACACTCTAATTCCAACTTCTACACTCAACTTGATAAATATTATTTTACAAAAAATCTATCTTCTCGCTTGGCGGTCCCATCTCCCGTGGACAGTCATACTCTTAAATTGAATAATCCAATTTTATAGGTGTAAAGGTAGATCGGNGGGGGGGGGGGGGGTTGATAAGTTGAAAGCCCTTGTACTTTTGGTAATTCTAAAGCTGGGAAAGTTTGGAATTTTTCCTGGTAGTCTGTAGATACCCTGAACCCAACTTTTCCACTGAAGCCAGTCATTGCAGCCCAGTGATTTTATCGTAAATCATTGGCTGGCATGAAATTATGGCGACAGGACCTTGATGTCTCTCAGTAGCGATTCTGGCCAAGGCTTTGAGTCGTACCTTTTCCATCATTTTATCAGTCCTAATATCATGGTGTTTGGTTTTCTATTAAACATATGATAACCTTCTGAAAGCCATGTGTCGGTTTCCTGATTTTATTTGGAGGTTTGAAGGATCCAACCTTGTGATCCTACCATGATTCATGCATGAACTAGTGAATACATCCACACAGACGTCTTTGTGTCTCCAAGAGTATCTAGTCATGAGTTGCTTGAGCTCTGAAGAAATATTTTCAATCCAAGACTGCAATTTTGTTTGAAATTGTTGGTACAATATTTCACTAATTCTTGATTTTTTTTTCTTTTTTTTCAGTCGCTGGTCAACATCCGCAACATATACAAGTTATATTGCCACAGAATCAGTGATAAGCTGTGATATTATCGTTTTTGTTAGTTCATCGTTATTAATACTAATTTAATCGTTATTATTAATATTATCTGGGCTTCTCGCCGTCTTCTGCCCGCACAAAAAGACGTAACGACCCTCTGTTTCTCATTTTGTTGAATATTTGATCATTTTACACTGGGTTCCTTTTCATGAGGATAACCTTACATTTTATATCTTAATTTTCGTGTTCAATGATTTTATGTTTCGTTTGAGAAAACTTTAACTTGAAACATGCGAATTTAAAACCAGGTTGGAAACAAAAGAAAAATGAGGAAACTCTCATAAAAGGCCATTGTTTCCCTCCTTTATTTTTTGTCGGATCTATTCCACAATTTTGGCCTGTGTTCGTTATTATCATGCCCTATTGTTGTGGCTCTTTAATGAGACCGTCTTCAGGACAGAATGAAAGTCAGTGTTTTGATTTGAGCCTAAAATCACCTATTTACTTGGTTTTTGGTATCAAACAATCTTTAAATATCAGTTAATGCTGCATGACCATGCGCATCATCCTGAAACTGTTGTTTGAATCTGCGGAAATTCTTTTCCCAGAAAGAGTGGTTTTCCACAGACTGGATAGTGAAGAGAAAAATGAAAAATTCTAGTGAGGTAATATTTAAATTTAGATTTTTTACTTTTGTTCATAACCAGTTTTGAAGAAGAAGCTGAAGCGGGAAAGACAACTGAAAATTTGAACTTGCAAAAAGTACTTGCTGAAAGAGCAGTATATTTTTACTCTAAGCTACGTGCTGCTGTTTATTTTTTCCTTTTTTTATTTTACATTAGTCCTCGTTTTTGACTGCCAGAATCTGAATTGTGCTACTGAATATTGATTTCTTTGAATGTGCTCAATCATCTCCAGATTGCCTCATGTAGTCATCATCAGAGCTTTAACAGAGGTGAATGTTTTAAGAAATAGAACAACTCAGTTCCCTTTGTCATGATAACTCAATCATGTGACCACGCGCTGAATCAGATGCGTTCAGCGTTCGTGAAAGTTATACCTCTTTGTAAAACACGCTCTCCTCATTTCCTCTGATCCAAGTTTTTTTCCTCATCTCCGCCCAAGAGAAGTGAGGGTGCAAAGAGATGAGGATTTTTATTTAAGTGTTATGAAGTCTGATCAGAATTTAAGAATCTAGTTTGTGAGTCGAAGCTTTCTGTTTCAATCTACATAAACTACACCTCAACAAATCCTTATTTATTATCTTTTCTCCCCGTTTAAATTTTCTCTCCTTTGTTTTCTTTTGGGTTTGAACACTTCCAAGCTCATCTTTCCTCATTTCAAACCATTTTCTCCCAGTCCATCATAATATTCAACATTTCTTTGGGCCCTTTTTTTTTATTTTCTCCCATGGGAACAGTCGAGATTCTCCCTCGATTTTTTCTGTTCTTTGTGCCTGATGTCTCCATTTTAAAGATACTTCTCCATTTTCCTTCCTTTGTTTCTTTTTTGTTTTTTCACTTCTCTAAGTGTTTCCAAAGCAATAAAACCAAGCAAAAATAGTATGGTGTAATGAGTCGGTTTGACTGCTTTGAATTTACCCTTGATTTTGAATTAACAAATGCACTCTATGAAACAACGGGTAACAACGTGTCTTCTGATGTTTAAAAGCTAATTTTTCTTCAGCCCTTTTCATATTTTACATGTCCTTGCATACTTGAAAGACAGATGAAGTTGATTACATTTGGTACAATTGGGGACATCCTTTTGATTTGAGTCAAAGGTAATTGAAACATATCATTTTGCTCAGAAAATCATCTAAGTTCATTGGAGATTTCTACAGTCTTGGAACATACCAAATGTCAGCTAAAGGACCAGAATTCAAGTTAAATGCAAGTAAAAACAAGTTGTTTGAAGTGAATTGATTAAAATTTACTTCAACGATTTAATATTTCACTCTGTTGTGCATCCGATGCGGTTGTGATAGACAACAGGCCTCACTGGTGATAACCCGGTTGTAAGTATAACAAGCTGTTTCTCAAACAACGCTCTTTACCTTGGTGATTGTCATGGCGGTTCAACCTTCACTGCAACAACGCAGCACTTTTGTAGGTAGTAAATGAAGCATTGAGGCGGGAAAGAAGTAAACAATGAACATAATCAACAAGACAGTATTTTGGCTTCAATTAGACATCAGACAATTCATTGGGCAATTTCAGCAATGAATCCCTCTGTTCTCTATCACAAACGCACCCATCATCCAGTTGGCTATTTAGCTTGTTAAGTTTTTTCTCTGTCTGTGGAATGTTAAAAGATGAAGCTGAAATTTGGAGGTGTTTTTGATCGCTTGGCTCACTTGCTTTCTATTGGGAGGTTTTGCAGAATCTTTAACCCATCGAAAGCAGGATTTAAAGTTTACTCAGTGAATTGTGCTGAAAACAAGGATGAGAATTTCCAAAAAAAAAAAAAGCTTAAACTTTCCCACAAATTGGAGACATTTACACAATAGCAGTCTCTCCAATCAAAGAATCCATTGCAAATGGACGTATCTTTCACAAATATGTCTGAGTGTGTGTATTTTTTGATTAACATTTTCCTGAGGAATACTTCAGCTGGGAGCCCCCCCAAGAGAGTCTCTACTTCAATCCTCAATGCTGAGGGCTACCCAACAAATGCATGATATAAAAATAATTTTGTATAGCTGACCAAGAACACCTCTAAATTTTCATCGTTTCCCATGGACTAAGAAAAAAGTATCAATGGTTGAACAGCAGAGCAGAGGAGCCTTTCTATTACTTGGCTTATCCAATAAATGATGATATTTATAACTATCATCTGTCCAATCTGTTCTTGAACTTGTTTTTCATTTTCAAGGCCCTTTATATTTCAGATGTTAGATTCAGTCATCTGTGGAATCTTAACAAGGGTCAGTATGTCTAGATGGTTTCCTACCAAAATGTGTCCTTTCCAACTGCCCTTCTCAAATCAATCGAATGCAATAATGGTTCTTTCAACTTTTATCCTAATTAAAGAATTCCCCCAAACTGAAAGGCTAATAATTGAACTGAAAGGCTATCACAAAAATGACTCTCTGAAAATAAATTCAAACGTACACCTTCAGTCAAAGCTGAGCCTCCTTAGCATGGAGGTTCATCAAGTTTTTTGTTGCCTTTTCCCCTTTTTATAGTCATCAATTTTCGGCATTATTATCCCACCAATTCATTTTTATACAATTGAATAGCTTATTCTTCTAGCTCGAACTACATCAATAAAAATTTTGGTTTGGCCCAAATCATTCTGAATTGTTTTCCTTGTTTCAGGAAAAATATTTAAGATGTAAGTTCCATACAGACATGGTCTTTACCATCTTTCAGAGATATTAGTTTGGTCGGTTCAATGCATAGCTCAAGATTTTCTCTGGACAGATCTAGTCTCAGAGCTCACAGCTTTTTATCCTAATTAACCACCTTCCAATGAGACCTGTGAATATCGTAACAAAGAAGCAAGATGCATAAACTTTAAAGAGATAAGATTCATTTAATTTATTTTCAAAGTTCCTTTTTTAACTCTTAACTTCATTTCCCTCCAAGAGCGTAACTATTGAATGAGCGTTCTCCTCAAAACTGTTTCATCATTCACTCTCATCAACCCTCAACACTGACAATGTGCAACAAAGCAGTTCTTCCTTTTTTTACCCGTTTTTGTAGTTCTTTTCATTCTCATTTTGTCAAGGGATATCAATCAATCTTCATTTTTCTGAGTCGTCTCATTTTACAGAATCTCGCTTGGTTTTTCCACTGAAAAACTTGTAAAATGAGAACAGACAAGCAGTTCGTATCATTCTAATTCGATCATTTCGAAATAGGATAGTAACTAGCTTCCAGCAATTTTGTTGGTTTGAGCTTAATGATGGCCACTTTGATGCTCCTTCCTTTACAATGCATTAAAGGCTTCTAATTCTGTACTGAATAAATGGATGGAGTATCAAAAAATAGCCGTGAAAGTTGAAGGATCCAAACTTTGAAAATGATGATCTTGAATCACATTCCACGTGAATAGGAAACAAGGGAACAGCTCTCTTCCCCAGGGGATCAGCTGATCCATGTTGATTAACCAGTACCTTTAAGGACGAAATTTCATTGGTTGTGCGACAGGCTAATTATCTGTGACACAACATTTTCTGAGTAAACTCCTTTTGGCGTATTTCAAAATTTTTTCTCAGTGTCACTTCAAAATATCCTCATTTCAAGCTTAATGCAAATATGGGGGAATCAGACCTGTTTGCTCATCAATTATTGTGGTTTTACATTATTTGCAGGAATGTTGTGAAGTTTCACAGTATTTTCCTGTCGCATATTGATTATCTGTTACCCAAAATATTTTTCTCTGCCTCCAATTCGCTTTAAGAATGCCAAACTTGAATGAAGTTTGAACCAGTTTTCCCCTCCCCTTTCCAGTTAAAATTAATGCTCCCCTGATTTCAAGTGAACAGATTTTTTCTGTGCTTCCTTTCAAAACGTTTTATATTGTCCCCTAGTTTTAATTTTACACCTCTATCTGATTTAATTCAAGCAACCTTGATGCTGCTTTTTAAAAAATTTCTTGGTAACCACTGTCCTCCTTCATCACATTTTGTGACAAGCTTTTTTTCTCTTTTTCAAACGAGAAAACATTTTCAATGCGATCTTCCAATTAAAAATCATAGCCCCCCAAGAAAAAGACTAAATTTAGCAAGGGGTGGCAACTTTGAAATGGGCATTATTGATGGGTCAACTCGGACCATTTCAGACTCAAAGTCATTCCTCTCCCACTAAGTTTTTGGAGATAGTATTTTTGTTTACAGCATGTTTGAAATGCAGATGTATGTTGAAATCATTTTGTCTTATCTTTTTGCCTACCTAAAATGATGAATTTCGAAATTTCCTACTTGTAATATTTCTGTCATTGTTTTCTATAGAAAGGGGGAAAAAGGCAAAAATACTCGACTCTTCTACCCTCTGTCAACTTTCTTTTCCATTGCTCCCCACACATGCTGTATTTGACTATTCAAAATATATGATAGTTTGAATTTTCAAATCAATTTTTGTGTCAGTTGTCTGTTATTTGAAGCCTCCGGTGACTGAAGGAGATTATAAGACATTTTTGAAAGTAACTGAAATTTTCATAATTTTTGAGCAACTCTTGTTTCAAACCTTTGAAAGAAATACCTCTAATTAATTTGCAGCCCCTCTTTATCAGTCAAAACTTTTTATGATGCACAAGACTCGATTTAAATTTGAAACTTGAGGCTCATTTTTCTCAAAATTGTTTTTTTCCCTCTTCATTCTCCGGAGGCACCATTCCTCATCTTTCCTCTAAATTTAACCTAAAAAGATGAATGATTCAAGTTATTCTATTTTAATTGGTCACAAAGATGAGCAATGATTTTCCCTAAGCCTACAAGTATAGTGAGAGTTCACTCACATGTTCTCTATATTCCTTAGGTTGTATTCATAATCGTTCCCGAAACGCTCAGGCCATAAGAATTACATTGGTTAAGGAGGCCTCACATGACTATGAATACAGCACCTATATCCAGTTAAACTCTCCTTACAGGGATAGGAAACATATGCCTGCTGTGGCTGCAACTTTTGAGTCCTCTGACAAAATAGCAATACTGCTGATGTATTTGCTCCTTATTTATGTATGAAGAGTTTGGATATATAAATGGACTTATCATAATGTAAGCAATCCTCTCCATTGCAGCCTTGATTGAAAAAGCTTGGAAGTTTGTTTCAAAGACACCCAGAGGCACTATCATAATTCTTGGAAGATTCTATGAAAGAAAAGTAACTTTAAAACGCGTATCCCTATGGCCTGAAAGAGCCTCATTGTTGATGCATTGTATCAACAGCGTAAGTCCGCAACTTTGTATCTTGGATTGCGACGCTGCAGACTACTAACCTACCATACTTTATTCTTCAAATAGAAAACTACTGAACAGAAATTCCTATCACTGCCGTGATTTTCCCTCTCTGTGTGAAGAAAACTTCATAGAATTATGTCGATTTGTTTTTCCTTAGAAAAATGAAATAGGATTTATTATATAGTAGATTATCAAACTTGGCAGACGAGATATGTGGTTGCAGACTTACACTGTTGATATGCCTAGAGTATACCTAATGAAACACTTCTGCCAGGCAAGTTAATGAGTTAACCCCTCAACTGGCACCCCCACAACTAGGAAATGATGAATTGCACCCAGAAAAAACAGCCGTTTGACTTTTTACGTACATTTTATTAGAACTATATAAAGAAAATTTAGACAATTTGTGTACATAAATATAAAAAGACTTCTTATAATATTATAAACTAAACTTCACTATAACAAGAAATGTCAATCAGCCTTTGAGGGCCTTGACAAATAATTTCAATGATAAAAAAAATGAACATAAAAATCAATCAAATAATCTAATAAAGTTTCAATTTTTCAACAATCAAACTGCTGTTAAAAATTCGCATTTGATCTTAACTAGAGGGTTCCTGAAAATTTAAAACCCTGAACACAAATATGCAGCAAAATAAAAAAAAATGAAGAAAAAAAGGAGAACACAGAAACGCAAAATACAGGAAAATGATCTCCTACAAAAAAAAATGAAATATTTTCAACAGCAGAAAAATTCGACGAACAGGAGATTTAAGTAGGCATGTAGATGAGGTCAAGAATAATGTAATTCTAATAATCAAAAGGTAATATTTAATGCATTGCAATTAGATGAATCTTGAACAAAAAATGAAGACTTGAATCGATCTTTGAATCATGGTGATCATTGGGAAAGCAGCTGACTTGTTCACGAAAATTTGAACTCATTTTTTGGTTCATACAGTAGAAAAATCTTACTAGGTAATCTTATAAACTGGCCTGATAAATTTTAATAGGTTTGTACAGAAAAGAGAACGAGTTTTTGAAAAAACGAAAATAGGTGAAGGCAATTCAATTTGAGGAGAACAAGATAGAGAGGGCAAAAAAAACGCTCAGAGTTACATACTTGATGAAGGAAGGCTGCTTTTCATTGCAGACTATTAATTCTGTGGTAAATATGTAGCTATTTCTTCGAAAATCACAAACGTATGGGCTTCATTCCAAAATAGTATGTTTCCTCTGAAGTACATTCCCTCCTTTCTTTAAAGCTAAAGCACTTTACAGGTTCAATTTTTCCTAAATTGAAGAAAAAATCCCACTTGAGCGGTTCAATTCAAAAAAGAAATAATTGTTCACATTTCAGGGAGAAACAGTAGCAACGAATAGAACATCGTTCAGGCCCCTGCAAGAGATCTGTTCTTTTACTGATACTCATACTATGACTTAGAAACCAACTTGACAAATTTTCCATTCCAACGTTAGGATGGAAAAGACAGCCTTCAGAGAAGTGGTCAGGATAGTTAGAAATTACACTATCACCTACGTTTCTCGAATAGATCATAGTTTATCTTGTCAATCATTTTTTTGGCTATATTAATACTTGAACCCTTTGATCATAGACAGCATAGTAAATCTATAAAAAATTCATAAAAAATTAAAAATTGAAAAGGGCAGTATGGCCGATCAATCCTACTCAATATTGGGTTCATTGAGATAAACCAAACCGGGAATTCTTTGGAAATCAGTCTTTTGTCACTGAAATGAGAGAACCTTACCTCAAAATTAGAGTTGTCAAATGAGTTAAAGACTTAGGAACAAAAATGAAAACAAGCTAGATGGATTATTGCAATGAAACGTCAAGGCAAACAAGCACTTGAATGAGATTTATAATTCTGGTTAAACGGAAACTAGTGCAATAAATTATGGCGATGGGACACAGTAATGATTGGCATGGACGTGATTCTCAAAATTGTATTTAAAATATGTTAATTCTTGCTTCAGGGTTGCCGCAGGATAGAGAAAATAAAATTTCCTAACCCGAAAATTTTCCCTCATAAATTAGGGTGAAATTCCTTGACATTTGACTTTGCGCGACGGTTAGAAATTGTTACTTCCAAACCCACACACTCAAAATTTGTTGTTCAAAACATCAGATACATTCTAGAAAGGTGATTCGAGGATTTTTCCCGTCACTTCTGTCATCATCTCTGACAATTACTGGTTATCATTGACTTTCTAGAATTCCCTGACATTTCCCTTGTTGTGGCAACCCTGTGGAATAAAATAGGAAAAGGAAGGAACAAGCTGAAAACAAATATTCACAGAGGCATAATTTTACGTCAGTCTTCCTTTAGAAAGCATTGTTATTGAAGTTATAATGGCTGATAAATTAAAACTCGAAACATGATGGTAATTAGGCTGGAGGTAGAGTAGATAGTCTTTTCTTAAACTCTTAAAATTTCACCACCAGCAGACTCTTTTTTTTAACTTCCATTAATTTTAAAATCATATAAAAGTAAAAAGAGAAAACAGTTTTTTAAATAAAATTAACACGTAAGATGAATTTTGATTGGATTTTTAAAAAATTACATTCACAGCAAAACTTTACGTCTCAACTCAAAGTGAGTGCCTCAATCTATTCTCTACGCATGAAAAAAAGCGAAGCAGTTATATGCTACAAGGAGTAAAAAAGTAGAAAAGTAGAAAATTGAAAAAGCTACAGGTGGCAAAGCAACTTTGTTCTAGAGGTGACGGTGTGCTTAAAAAACTCACGATAGTGAAGAAAACTGAAATTACTGGTTATCTGGAACTACGAGACCTCACCCTTTTCGAAGCCTTGTTTTCCTAGACCCTATACATGACAAAAAATCAGCTTAGCAAACTGCAAAGCGTACCTCATTCAAGTTACTAGAGGTAATTTCTAGAAATATGACTTCATCTGTAAGCGCTACAACTGTTTTCAACCACTATGAGGTTGTTGCAAACTTTTTCTCAAGCTGGACGAATCCATCATGTCTGATGATAAGCTCACTGACCTGTTTTAGAATTCAAGCTTCATTTTACACTGTGCTGGGGACCTTTTCAAAATGCATATTACAGCTAAGAAAAGACCAGGTACAAAAGAGTTATCCTAGTCACTTATCTTAGCGCAAAATTCAAAATGGACTACAGTGTTTAAGGCAGATCTTCAAAAGAAAGACAAAGATGTGTTCTTTCTCTTCTTAGACATTGTTGTATATGTTTGATACCTAAGTTCATGCTTTGTGGTTGATCTTCATAAGGAATTTTGCCACTTGACTGTGGTCATATAGGTCTCATTGAATGATCGAACTGAGCTGACTTCTCTTTTGTTAATTAAATCTTTACTAGAGACAAACGATTGGAAGCTGAAAGCTAAAAAAGACGTACAACACATTAAAAAGTGGCTTGGCCTTAGTGATTCTTAATCGATTTTCAACTTAAAATAAATCGTCTTTTGGCTGTAACAAAAGTTGGCAATAGCCCCAAATTTATCTCAACCACTGCAAGGGCAATTAAGCCAAATTTATTCTCAAGCGCCCAAGTGCCAAAATTCAGGTTTCGAGAAAATCAGAAAAAAGGATACCACCTGAATCAATCTTTTGAGCCCCTTTCCAGTAGATATTCTTCAGCCGCACATACTTTTTGGGCTTAAAAGATTGAGCACACGCCGCATGACACGGTTTTTTCTGCTTTTCTCGAAACTTGGATTTTGGCACTCAGACACTTAAGAAAAAGATCGGTTTAATTGTAATACTTCAGTGAAGACTGCTTCCTTCAGTATTCAGGTCTAGGAAAACACACCTTAGGCAGAAGAGAGAGGCACTAGGTGTCCATCATAAAATACTAGACTAGAATTTTTGGGGACAGAATTTGTCTGAATCCATGAAATTAGGAAACATTGAGAGATGGAGCTAAAATTTTGACAGTTAAAAATATTGTTCTAAATGGTGGTGAAGGCCACAGATATATATACACATACATATGATTATGGAATAATTTAAAAAAGTCTCAACATTTTTGGGAAGCTGTTCAGTTTCGATGGTAAAGCCATTCATATAATAATCCAAATAATGACTGAGCGAAATTTCAGACTTCACCCTGATTGATGAGTTTGTCAACATTGGAAGACTACTGGTTTTAAATTTAATACAATGGACCACTAGATAAGGTACGAATTTCAGCATTCTGATACATGTTTCTTAACAAAAATTTTACGTAAAACACGATACACACAACGAAAATTACCGAAATTAACTCCATACGAAGATATTTAATGATTCTTAATGCGTGAATTCAAACCACCCGCTCATGAAAACTCAATGCTCTACGTGATTCACATCGCGCGCTTAACGTTATCATGACAGTCTCTGCGATATAAAAATCTGGCAACCTCAATCTTGACGCTTTGGCTCAGTTATAGCAAATTCCTAATAGTTTGAACAAGACATGATGGGAAATGAACATTGCTCGATTGAGAAGCTTGCTGAAACCGTTGTAGTGCGCGATTTGACTCACGTAGAGCTTTGAGTTTCTTGTGAGCGGGCAGTTCAAATTCCTCGTAACCAATGTGAAATAAAAACGTTAATATCTTCGTTAGGAGTTGGTTTCCGTAATTTTCGTTGTGTGAATCGTTTTCTACGTGAAATTCTGGTTAAGAAATATGTATCAGATCGCTTAAATTCGTACCTTGTCTAGTGGTCCATTGAAATTCAAAACAAAATTGCACCAAAAACCATTGTCTTTTCTTGAATAATTCTAATTATTTTTCCACTTTAGGTTAAAAAATTTGAGCACCAAGCATGAGGCCCCCTTAGAGAAATTCCACGCAATCTTGGATGTGGTAATAGACAAAGAACTGCTTGTAAGCTCATTGCGATAGTTTTACACATCGAAGAATAAAAAGGTGAAAGCAATACAGCAATGTTTAAAAGAAAAGAGCTTTTACATTACATCCCGATTCTTCATTCTCCTCACATATCTATTAGATGCGCTGAATAAGCTGAAATTGCGGCAATGTTTCAAAAGTTTCTAGTCACTTTATGATTGTGGAGAAATATGAATAAGAGTAACTGAACTCTTTCAGACATCATGAATGAACAGCTTCTAGAAAATAGATTGTATTCTGCTTGATGCACCTTCGTAATACATCCTCATAAAAAGCTTAGGGTCAAAAGTTTTCGATACTTACAAATTTACTTTTAAAATTCTATTAAATTCAGACAACAAAGCTAGCACCTGCAAATGAGTTCACTTCTGCTGGTTGCGCACAATACAAAAAACGGGAAGCAATAATGCTTTTTGTATTCCTATCAGTTTCTGACCTGATAAAAATATATAAACAGAGACCATAGCAGTCCGCTATTTTGTTTACAATATGATAGGACAGAAGAGACAATGTGAAACAGATGTATCACCAATTAGCCATTCCTGGTTTGTTCAGTGTCATGAAGTAGATTTGACACGATGAATTCCGTTTTGCTGATGAGAAGAACACCTGTAACAAAGTGATTCAGGGAGAAAATTTTATTGCAGTTTGTTGTTTTCAATAAAGCTAATTGTGACTGAAGGGAAGAAACGAATTTTGATCCGTTCCTTTGAACCAATCTATCAACAAATATTTCATTTTTTTTGGCATTAATCAAATCATGATAGCATGAACGGTAAGAAACTGGTTGAGTTTGATACTACAAAATGTATTAAAAGTTAAGGAGACTTGCACTTTTCTTATAATTATTTATTCAAGTCATCCCTGAAAAGATAACTTTCAGAAACCCTTAAAAATTAAATTTTCATCAAACAGAAAAATGATACATCAATAGATTTCAAAACTTGAGTTGTTCAAAGGACCTTCTCCAATGTTTCTTTCAGGGTTACACTTGCACTTTGGTTTCATAAAATTCCAATTACAGCAAAAATTTAAAGTTGCTTGGTGAACTTAAGATGTGGTGTTCAAGATTAACAACTTTTCCCCAAATGGATCATGTTAAGATGGTTAGTTACACTGATACATTTAAAGTAATGAATTATGCATTTTTATTTGAATAAGTCTGTTGACAGCAAGAGATACAGCCAAATATATATACTCGTAGCAGGTAAAATAGCACAAAATCAATAAAACATTAAGAAAATTTGAGTTGAAAAGAGACATTTGCTGCCATAGTGTTTTTGAGAAAATTTCCACTGTTACTATGCTTTTTCTGGAGACGTTTCCCTCTCACTACTAGAGCAGAGTATACTTGCAACAACAAAACCATTCTCAGAAGCCCATAAATACCAACGTAAAGTTGTGGTGTAAATTAGTGTTGTAGGTATTTTCTAAACAAGTCTCCAATGTTGCCATGCTTTTACTGGAAATTCTCTCTTCTGCTTGTATGCTCAATAATTCTTGCATTTGGATGTATTTATGTTGCAAGGGCAACAGGGAGATCAAAATAAAGTATGCGCAGCTATGCATGCATGGATTTGAATGCAACATACTTCTTTTTTTATTTGATTCATTTTCACATAGTTCTTTTCAGCATAAAGTTGTCCACTGATAACTTTCATTGAATTTCCTGCAAGGCACTACAGCAGGAAAATTTTTTGAGGTCTGTATTTGTCGTCAAATTCCCAGAAATTTTTTCTCTATTGCAGGAGTCTTGGGAAACACTAATCCTGCATTCCTAACCTTACAGACAGGAAGATAATTAGGACAAAAAGCCTCCTCTGACATTTCTTTCCATAATTTTTAATGATCAACCCATTATTACGTTATTTAATATATTATCACCCGGAAAATATCAAAGCTATAGTTAGCAAATTTTTGAGGAGCGTTTCTCTGAACCTTAATAGCATACCAGAGCGATCTGACGTTTGGAGAGAATATTTAAACACCCTAAAAAACTATGCAAAAGTTAGAGACTGAAAACATACCTTGTCGTTTCTCTCACAAAGGAATTTAAGACGTTGAGCTTTCTTGTGCATGAAGACACCATCTAAATGCCCTGTCTCAACACTTCGAATTTCTATTGCTTTGTTGCCCCAGCCCATGATTTGACCAGTTCCAATGTATGCTACCGATGTAGGCATTTCTCCCCATTGTAGAACAATATTTTTGGAGACCTGATAGAAAAGATCAAGACACATGAAAAATAAAACCCTTAATTTTATGACATATTGTACAGCATGCTGAGCTGTACCAAATTTATATTCAACAATGAATCATGAAAAAAGGATGCAGCAAGGATAAGGAAAAACGATTGTTGAAATCTGATTTTTAGCAATCGGATAAGACAAGACTAAAATAAAATGGAATTAAGCAATTAATTGGTTGCAACTCTTTCGGATGTCTCATTTACTTTGTCATGCTTTTGATGAGTCTTTAAATCGATAAAGATAGTGAACGCCCAAGATCAATGCAACTGACTGATTGCGTTACTTTATTTTACCCCATGTTATTTTGTCACTAACCATTGTCTCGTCCGATCAACGAACATAAAATTTAAACAATCCCCCTCCTACAATGCATTCATGAGTCAAATAAGACTTTTCGGAGGTAAGACTTTTATCCCACACCCACCTCCTCTTAAAGGTTCAACTTCCAAGACTTGAGATACAAATGATTTCATCAATCATGATTTAATCAACGATTTGATCATTTTAGCCACATTTGAGGGTCGAATTGCATGAAAATCAGAGAGGCAGGGACAGGAAGGAATTTTAAACTGTATTATAATTTTTACCTCAAAGGAGGGCAAGGGTTTGGTGGGGGGAAAGAGGGGGGGGGTGTGTGTCAATTACACAGATATTGATTTGGCCACTTGGATTCTTAGTGGCCGACAAAACTTCCGAAAAATGTCTGGATCCACCATGATAAAAGTAACAAATTTGTCTGAAAGTTTGAATAAGTGTAGTTATCAAGGACAAAGCTACTGACCTTTCCGTATGTATTCACATAAACACCTTCATTATCATAACACAAAAGTAGTTGCATTCCATTGGAATTTGGAAGCGCTACAATACAGTGTGGTGTGATTGGACCTTGCGTCTAAAAAAAAATGGAAAGAACCCAAATTTAGTGCAAATGAACAAGAAAAGAGGCTGATATCAACTCTACAGATTTAAAACTTTTATATTCCTGTCCTTGAGCTTGGCATTAAAGAGGCAAATCAGACTCTCTCTTAAGTATATACCAAAATAGCAATACACAATTTTGAATTAAGATTGATTGAGTATTGCTCAGCAGAAGGGATCCGCCAGTAAGAAGAGTTAAGAATTTAGGAAAAAAACCATTAAGTCCGTTCCGGCACAATCGTACGTTGCCGTTTTTTACTCCAATTGGTCCATCGCAAATTTCAAGTAGTGCGAAAACAAGATAAGTATCCTGCAGAAAATTGATCAAAAATAAAAATGGGCACATTGGCAAAGTGAGAAATTTACTCCATGTCTTAACATCAGCGCATATTTCAGCTTCCGGCTTCTAAAAGTACACTTCAGCAAAAACATCATTTGATGCAGATAAGTCACACTAGTTTCACAACTCCTTGCAAAACTCAAAATGACCACCATTACACTGTATAGTAGTATAGAAGTGTATTATAACACAGTTACTAAAATGAAAACAAACAACAAAAGCACTTACACTTATTGAACTTGACTTGAAAAGCAGGAAAGTGAAAATTTGAGAAAATGGGGTTTGGTATAATTGTTTTCAATAGAAAATCTAAGACACATGATGCCCATGACACTTGACACATAAGGGCTAATTGAGTTTTTTGTGGAATAGTGAAAATAGAAAACAGGCTGACACATCTGTATCAAATTATTAATCTGTTGTATGTAGTAAATTTCTTTTGATGCATGAATCTCGGAAATGCAAAAATTTCTTTCGCAGGCTGTAAGATAAGGAGTGAGTTTTAGACTGTGCTAATGTGCTCGTTATGATTTTAGAAATAATTTTCTATAAATCATGACTGTTTAACTTGGTAAGATCTTTGAAATGACAATGAAGCTACAGTGCTTCCTGAGTGAGCATCCACAAACGTACAGATGATAGCTCTTCCTTTTAACTGTGCATAAATATGTGGTACATAATTAGAATGTATTTTCCACTTTCTTGAAAGATATCTGATTGAAAAAAGCTCTGAGAGAAGAGTAAAACTATGCATGAGTTGGTCATTAAGCATGGCTTATTGGCTTGTGTTGCTCTTTCTAGTAGTGTTGATTCTTTTGAGATTAGAGGGAGCTCGGTTGATTTAAAGGTACTTTCACAATTATTTGGAAAGTGACTTACATGTTTAGGAAGATAAATATCATAAACAGATGCAGAGTCCAAATCGACGGCGTGAAATCCATCGGCAGAGCCATAGATGACTTTTAGTCTAGTGCCTTCTTCTACGGTCAGATCAACTAATAGTGGCCTGTGAGCTAGTTCTCCAAATGACTAGAAAAAAGAAAACATTTAATAGCATGAATAGATTGAAAAGAAAAGTGTGTATTTTCAGCCAAAAATTCTTCTCTCATGGCTTCATTCTCATATTGCACACTATATAAGGGGATGGTTCAACATCTTCAATGTGTCGCATTCTCTCACAAAATTACAAGGAAGTACAATACAAAGGATTCAAGGGTTGTCACAAAATTACCAATTTTGCATTGCCTGATTTATCACTCTTTATCTTTATTCTCTAAATTGAAGAGAAACTTTACGCCTCCATACTTCGCGGTAGAAATTGTGATGAATCTTGAAAACGTCCCTCTTTCTGGTAACTTGCATTAAAGAACCAAAGAAAATTTACAGACCACAGAAAAGAGAAGAACACATGAATTAAATTTTAAATAAAACTATTATGCAAAAGGTTAAAATTAGCTCATTTGAAAAAATTTGATGGCTGCCGAAAATGAGACGATGAAGTGTTTTTACTCTTTATTAATTTGAAGTAATGGCATTGAGCTATTTCAAAAGGGCTATCCAAAAAGTGAGCTCCCCGATTTTATATTTTCTAGGCTATGTAAGGTAAATCAAATTATTAAGAATAATTGCAGCAAGCATATTTTCAGCCTCAAGACAAGCCCAAGATTATCAAAATCCATTGAGAGATTTGTGAGAGAACTTTAATTTACTGAGATCATCTAACATTGCCACTTCCCCATCTCCTGGCGTCCTATTGGATTGCACCGAAGTTTCCCAATCTTGACCTTACAAACGACAAGTGCTAAAATAGTGGCGTGACATCTGTGTAAGCAAGGGGAGCACTGTATCCCTTACTTTAATCGGCAAAGTGAATGAAAGATATATATGATTCATTATTGAAAACTTTAAACTTTCAGATTACCAAAATGGGAGAAAGAATGAACAGAGTACAATCTTCCTTCCCTACACATCTTCCCTTAAGGTTAGCACTGATGTTTCACTGTGTGTAATATCCTTCCTCACAGCCTTACAGCCTTCAGTCCAAAGCAGACTGAAGATGTAGTGAAGATGTAGTTGGGGAGTAACTCACAAGCTTAGAAAAAGTGAGAATTGCCTTAGAAAATTTGAGGGCAAAGAAAATTTGAGGGCAAAGAAAATTTTACACCCTTAGTAAGAGAGACAAAAATTGTCTGCCCGTGCTGAGAGAAGCATATGAATTTGGTGAAACTACAAAACTTCAGTCACATGAGTGGTTGCATTTTATAAACCAAGATCAGGTTGCCGCTAATTTTTTTATTGGCTCAAGTTTTCATTCACTACATAATCTTGACCTAAGGCGACTTTAATTGCCTCTTTTAAATTACAATTTGATTGAAAAAAAAAAGGAGTTATTTTACTATTGTTTGCTAAAGCTATTGTATTTCTGCGTATACTTGCACTGTAATTTTTTAGTTTGTTAAAGGTTGGGTCTTATTATCGTGTTACCTCTTAAGTTACTGCACATGGGAGCATCTTCATACTTCTTTTTCTCCTTTGTATTTCCTTCATAGATTATAATTGTGAAGGCTCATGTCCGTTAATTTCTTGATAAATATAAGTAAAAAGGTGCTTACCTTGAAGGCCATAAATTTGTGATACGGTTTGGGCGCCCATGCATAAATTTCAATACTATCCTTGAGAGCAATGACCAGAAATTTGATCCTTTCATACTTGACTATTTTAAAATGCACAGCACCTTGAAGATCACCAACATTTATCCACCCATTTCTACGCTCCACTTGCTGTAACAGATGAAGCAAGAAAGTTTAGCAGAACATTCCGATTATGAAATCAAGGCTGCTCATTATTGCAAAATAACTATGAGCCTTCTTTTTTGATAAACCAGAAACTTATAAAGGATTGAAATGGTGAGAGAAAGAAGATATTACTTCTTTTCTGTTGATTATCAAAACATATTGATAAAAAATAATAAATATTTTCTCCAATTTGAGGTGTCCCAGAAAAAGCATACATTTAATTCAGCACTTGAAATTCAATTCATCATTTTCAAAAATATGTGTTTTATTCTAGACTTTAGATAAGGCTCTCATGAAATTTCAGGGTCAATTTATAGCGACAATAATCTTCCACTTTTGTCTGTGCTTTCAGATACTGTATCATACACATGACACTACATGGGCCACATTAAATAGAATAACTAGGAAGTAGGATGTTCCTTACTTTAGACTATTCCGAAATTTAAAAAAGACACTAGTTCAACAGGCAATTTTTGGTACATCATAAACAGGAAAAAAATTCTTTTTGAAAAAAAAAAAATAAAGATTGTGCTATCCGCCCTTCCTTGGAAGTTCAGGCATCACCCGAGCGAAATTGGGCAGAAAGTTTCGTTTGAGCCAAAGCTTGGGCATGAACTAAAGGTCACCGTAGCTTTTGAAATTCGACATTGGTGCACATATTTATAAGTATTTCCTATTAGTGTTGGTGCTTTTCCTATCTGGCGCTCAGAAGCATTGCATTATTTTATTCTTGTTACTTATTGACTACAGTATTTTCAGTGATACCTTCCAGTTGTCTGAGGCGCTGACTGGCCCTCAGGCAAGTTACATCTTCTTCCTCAGCTCCCCCCCCCCCCCCCCCACCCAAAATGTCTGTCTATATTCTCTGACAACTTGCAGAATAAACCGTTTTTACTCAATATTTTTGCTTAAGGTACTGATGTCTTCCTCTGATAATAATTAATGCCATTAATTTGATAAATTTTTATTCTGTTAATTTCATGATAATTTTATGCTTCTTTATCAATTTTCTTACCAAGTTTAGTGTATTAAGAACATGCATTATTACAACAACACATACAGCTAACCTAACTTCAAACATAATGTCAACAATTCCAACAGCGGCGTTCTGGTGACAATTGAGTAAATGCTGCTGCTATCACTTTTCCTTTATGGCAAGATCATGGTCACAAACGATTAACAGTTCCTTTCTATCACACTTTGTGGTTCCTTTCCCTGTAGATGGCTTCAAATGTACTTAGAAAAAGAGAAAAACTTACGCCTTCTGTGCGAAGAATTTTTGACTTCAACCAAGAGAGATAGTAGACACGGACTCTATTTTTATTGCCTGAAACAGTAACAAGAATGTTCTGTCCTTCGAGAACTTCCATTTGCTGGAAGCGGCGTCGAGAGATGAGCTGATACACTTTGCCTTGACCACTACGATCTAGTAACACTAATCCATTTTCAGTGCCTATTAGAAGGTTCACGCCTGAAAGATGAGAGATGCTTTATTAATTACAGAAGAGCACAATTGGTGCTCCAATTGGAGCACAACCTTCAATGAGGTTTTTTTTTTTTTATTTATTTTGAATTTTGGGATTGATTTTATAAAAAGAGAACTAACGAAAATATTCTCGAACAGATTAATAAGATTCACAAAGGATTTCAACAAGGACTTTTGGCTGGATTTTTTTTAGATTTTTCTGAGAAAATTAGAGCATGAGTGAAAGGTATGCAATACAGCAATTAGATTGAACATATTTCGACTTTGACTATCAATATGAAAATACATAAAATAAAATTTCTTGAATATGATATACTTGGCAAAAGAAAGGAAAGGGGTCTTGAGGATTTCAAGTCAGAACTCACCCCAGAGTGCAGCGCATAAAATCTCACTATTAAAACGCTTCTTATATTTGCGGATTTCAGGTGTGTCTGAGCTTATGTCGTGTGAGGTAGGCGTTACATTGACGTTGACGTGGGACTCGCGCCGGCTGGCGGCACTTGCCCCTGAGCCGGCTCCAAAGCCGAAAGTAAGGAATGAACGTTGCTTCTGTTGGAAAAGAAGAGCGGAGGGGATCGATGACACAGCCGCACGATACTGCAAACAAATTGATTTATCAAAATTAGCTTCTTTTCAGAACTTCAGCAATTGCTTCCTAAGTCAATGAATTTTAACCAAGATGCGAATTAGTTGTAAATTAAGTGCAAGAAATTTACTGTTTACATCAATTCTTTTGTACTGATAAGTTCAATTTAGAGGGGAAAAGGGTAAGTAAACAATGACACTGGCACAATGTACTGAGGCAGATCCTGCATTTATGAGTCTTCTTCATTAAAAGTTAAGGAATTTATCACTTTTAATATTACTCTTGCTACCAGCACTGCAAAGGCTTATCTACAATGAAAGATTCTAATCAAAGATACATTTCTCATTCTCTCTTTTTCCCTCCTTCCCTTCTCCATCGTTCCCGAATTGAAAAATTTTTAAACTCTTCGAACACAACAACCAACACCACCGATCGTTGCTGGAATTAATAAATTTCACATTCTGGCAGGATTACCAAACCTACACTCTTCTGACACTGCAAGTAGCTCTATCTACAGGCCTACACCAACACCAGCTGCTAAGGTTTATACTGTTTTCAGACTAAGAAAACCATTTAGCAGTTGATTAGGAATGTGAGGAGCTTAATGATTTTTTCGAGGAATTAACATCACCAAGAAGTCAATGATTTTGAATGAATAGCATCGAATGACATATTACATCTTATTATCACTGGCTGATATTTTAAGGAGCTAGACTTGCAGTTAAAGCATGAATAAAAGCAACTTTCCGCAATGAATGTGCAATTTTCAAAAATTGTTCAATGAAATTCACCAGCAATCGGTCTATGAACCAAAATCAGTGATGAGAGTTGAAGGTAGGTTATTGCTGTTACCTAGGTGTTACTCAACAACTAAATTGGTTTTACACTGACTTCACTGTGGGAGTTAAATTAAAAAAAAAAGAATGGAAACTGCTACCACCAAAATAAATTAATGGCTGTGACTGTGAATTTGAAAAAAGGAATTCTGTTTTAGTGATACAGGTAGATAAAATCGATTGCACTTAATTAGGAAAATTTGCTTTCAGACTGATGAAACACAAAGGGTGGAAACGAAATTAGGGTCCGATACTTACAAGAATGCGTTGGTAAGTGTAAGAAATGCATCAACAAAAAGCATTGGAACGATGTAATATTTACAGATGGTGGGTGAAACAGAAATGTTTATCAAGCAACACAAACATGGAACAAATGCAAACAAAAACGTGTAAGTAAAGTGTGATTTCATTGAAAATACTTCGATTTTAAAGGGGTTGTGTACTACAAAGATATCCCATCAATTAGGTGGAGCGTACAATATAATTTGCCCAGGAATAAACGGACAAGGTGCCTTTTTCAGAATTTTCACATTTGCAATCTCTGATCAACTGTACATGCTAACATTCTGAAAGGAGCAATTAGACCTACACTTTCAGGGACCAATTTTCAATGAATTTTTAATGCGTGTGCATATAGAGTTATGTTTTGGAGAGTTCTTTTTTCCTCAGCAAGACAAACTTAGGTCGGATCTCATAATTCTTTGAATGGTTTATGCACAGGATACTGGAAGGAATAAACTTCCATAGTGACACAGGACGAAACCAGCTGGCTCCGTTTGAAGGTGCTTCATGCTCCATCTAACTGTAGAATATTTTTGGTGTAAGGTTATGACATTATCGATTTGCTTAAATATATAGCTGCGTTCACATGTATTAAGCCAGCAGTAAATCACTTGTTTCTTTGCAAGGGGTGGGATCACCCTTCACACATTCTTCCAAAAGAGAAATGGTGTATCAAACCTTTCATGGGCTCTCTGTGACAAGTGAGGAGTTAGAGTGAGATTTCTAAGATATGCCTTTGAACAGTTGAAATATTTAATTTGAAATTTTCAGAGTTTCTAATTCCTAACTTATTTGAAAGAAGGAAAAAGTGCCCCGGAGGACATAGTATAAGTTGCTGTCCAATTTTGAATTACTTATGATATTGCATTGAATGTTAGTGCTTTGAAATAAATCTGGTGATTTAGCTGATGGCAAGGCGTCTTCATAAAGCAAAAATTATGGGTTTATTTGTCTATCAATTGGCAAAAATATCTTTCCAAACAATTTTCGATGCTATTGATGCACCTTAAAAAACCTTCAAATTTCCTTCCTACTAAAAATTCAACATTCTTTTTTACTTGTTAGGTGATAGATTTGATACTCCAGTTTCATGAGGAAAACAAAAAAAATTGAAGTTGACAGCAATGCTGCAAAGAAAAGATAGTGCTGCTTCCTGTGCAGCAAAAGCACCCAAAAATTAAAATAACAGATAAAAGATGAGCAGTTCAATCTTTAGAGGTAATAGAGGGACAATTTTCAAAAAGCGCCAACCCACAGAATTTCATCCTTTCACATAATAAAGCCCAAGACCACATATTCCCTTGTTCCTGGATGACAGTCAGGTATATTGATGAAAAAAAAAATCAATCAATGCCGGATTTTTAAACAGACTAAGTTCTTTCAAAGAAATTGTTTCTCTTGTGAACTACATCAAATTTTTCAATTATATTACAAACATTGGATGATTTTGTAATAATAATATAGACAGAACCGATTTTGGAATTTTCTATTTTTTGGAGAGATTAATCTTTCAAGCTTACCATGGTTAAAGAGCATTCAATTTATTGTTAAAGAAAGGAAAAAAAAACTTTAAGCTCATGAGGACAACCTTGTCCCTTGAGTTACTAGTTAATGAACCATTTAAACCGATTAACCATTCCACCAGTACGGCACACGGCACAGCCTTCACCTATCTTGTGACAAGCTAAAACTATGAAATTACAAGTCAATAATGGATAATTTCCAAAAAATCTAATGACTGAATGAGTGACTTCTTTCTTGATTCATTGATATTTAATATCGCTTATTTCATCATACGTTTAATTCTTCTGTCTTGATACTGTATAATGAAAATTTTACCAACATAAAATTGTATCTTTGAAATTGGAGATGAAAAGATGATTGAGTTTTCCTTTCATTAAGAGCTATGATGATTGATCAAGCTTTCATATTATTATTCTCACCAAAATGTCTTAAAATACTGATAATACTAATAATTGGTTTAGCACTAAGCTGACAGATCATTCAAAACATACAAAAGATGGCAGAGAAGTAATGCTTTAAAGCTCACTACTTGAGCTGAGAGAAAGATTTTGGCCAAATTAAGAAGAATCTTGAGGTTAACACCTTCACAAAGGCTTTATCAGGAAGTTTACATAAAGTTTCCAAAGAAGAAGCCTACATAAAGGTGCTTACTTCAAGGTTCTTTTTAACAGTACTTTTTGGTGGCCTTCGATATTTTAGAATCAAATTGTCATTGGGAGGAAAAAGAACAGTAAAACATGATCTAGTAACCAAGTTACTGGATAGACAAGGCGATGACGGAAAAGAGATCTAAAAGTGTGGGTGTTCAATTACAGATAGACTTCTTGCCCAAAAATATTTGTAGTCGATAATTACTGACACATGAAAACAAGGAATTTTGCAGAGGCAACAGGTCAGAGACTCCGCATTTTGTTCAATACAAAGGCATCTGCAGACATGAATAGTTGGTCAATTTACTGTGAGTAAACGATGGCTAAGGAGCAATACCACCTAACTGAAATTTTGGCGAAAATGACTTAGTGACTTTGCTGCACTCTAGTACAAAATATGCGAGCTAACATTTTTAGTTTTTTCCAATTCCGCATATGAGCGCTGTAATGATGCTGTAATTTATAAGATATTGCAAACATAACCTCAAAATTACTAAAGTGGCGAAGCTTTTTCTATGTCCTGTAAAATCATGGGCGGTTCTAGACCCTCATGCTTTGGGGTGCCCAGAGGTGGAAAACGTCGGAGACTGGCCCCGAAGGGGACGGTCGCTTAGGGGAGGCCTAAGTTTCGGCCCTCAAGTTTTATCCCTTTCCTACCCTCCTTTCTCATTCTCTCTCCTTCCTATCTACTTAAATATCTATAAATTCAATGTAGACAATTTTTAGCAAAACATTTCATCAAAACTACAATCTTACCATAAAAAAACAGTAGAATCTTTGTAAAACACGGCTATCAATAATAATTCTATTTAAAACATTTTCAATTCATTGCTGGGATTTTTTCTCAGTGTGAGCGAATTCAGAATCTTTAAAAGCAATAATTTCACGGATCCGATTACCATACTTAATTTTTGCTTGGGGGTGCCTGGCACCCACTGGCACCCCCGTAGAACCGCCTATGTGTAAAATAATCAGTCTTATGCAGATAGGCGGCTTTGTTCCGTAGCCATTGTAAAATAGGTTTTAACTTTTGGAAACCCGTGTATTATCAATTACAGATGATGAGAGAAGTTTGAGGAATTCATAAAAGAGAACAGTCACTTGGATCATGCGGTTGGATTCATCCTTGTCAGGATAGGAAAAGGAAGGATTTTGGCAAACTAAAGTCCTCCTCTCTTTTCAATGAAGGCATAGAAAATATTTGAAATGAGGATACAAATACCATCACATTTACGAAACTAGCAGAAGACCATGAGAAAAGGAATCTTGACTTCTGTGGGAAATTTTTTCAGATTTATTTTTTTTTTCAGGGCAAAAATTGGATACGAACATCAAATTCCAGTTTAAGACAACAAGTAAAACGTTTATTCAATATTCTCTTGTAAAATGCTCAACATTTTAAGCAGAAATTTGCCCTGGAAATGACACTGAAAGCATTTGACTAATGATGCGTGAAAAAGCTAATTTCTCTGATTGGCACTGAAAGTATAGGGTTTATCGATACAAGACTTCAAAATTTCCCCCGGAATATCAACGTTATGAATTTCTGGATAATTTTGAACTTTGAAACAGAGGCATTATTGACTTTTGGCAGTCATACTATCATCTCAATTTCCATATTATAAAAGTTATAGACTCTGTTCCCATGGTTGGTTAAAGTTTTAATAACCCTTCATAAAGGCACTAGGAAAAAATTGTTAGAATGAAAGACAATTTAGAAAAAATTACCTCTTCACTGGTTGATTTGTCTTGACGCGATCCAGCTCCAGGACTTGAAGTCTGTAGAAGAAAGAAAGAAAAGTGAGAAAAATAAAATTGAGAAGAGAAGCGGAATACGAGAAAAAAGAAACTTATTAGTTAGCCTCATAAAATATTCAACTCTTCCTAGAAAAAAGAATCAAAGTTCTTGAAGTAAGGCAGTGTAGGAACCATTCTAATTTTGCCTTGAGATGTTTCCTCGTAGGATTCCAATCTACTGATGCTAATAATTCTGTCAGAGGTAAACAAAAATCACAGTATTTCTACGTTATTTTTGAAGGTGTCCGCACTTTTCAATTCATAATTGCAGGTATTTTACAGGCTGACAGTAGAAAGTTGCTGTCCTAAAACATTAAAAATGTTTCCTTGATATTTGCATGTATGAGCTAGAGAAAAAGGGTGGTCATTACTTTTAGATAGGTTTTAACTGAAATTATTGAGTCTTCTCATGATGCCATGAAAATACGGACTTTTGAGAATTGTTCACCTCCTCACTTGCCACAACTTCAGTCGTAAGGGGTTCACAAAATGCCTAACGCTCTAGAGCGGAAGGGGTTGAGGAGAGCGTTATGCCATTTTATTTATACATGTCAAAGGATAGGGACCTAGTCCCAAAAGCGTTACAAAGGGAGAGGGGACTCACAAAATCCAAAATTTAGCATTGCATGATACGTAAATGAACGGCTCTTAACTGTCACTCCCTCAGAGAGGCCCCTGTTAAACTGAACGACTTGCGAGATATCAGGATGAACTTGTTTCCACTTAAGATCTTAAAAGGAGACAAAAGCATTGTAACAAGTTAGCTTAATATCAGTCGCTTCAAATTAAAACCAAATTAACACTAGCCATCTACCGATAACAAAGGCAAATGTAGAGAAGAGTTGTAGTGAATTATCTGTAAACATTCCAAAACTGAAATGAAAAAGATGCAAAAAAATTATGATGAATAGTACCTGAGTTAAAAGATCGGGTAAAACAGAGCTCGTGCGAGAGGAGTTGCCACCAGAAAAGTCGTGGCTGAAGTCGTTCCGCCGGTCTTCACGATTCTATAAAATTTTAACAGAAAAATTTTAAGATACTTTTTAAGCAAGGATACAGAGTAAGTTTGAAGACTCAATGCTTGGATTTGGATGATCTGTGGGGAAAATTCAGATCTTTCTTTCGATTTGTTACCTGCATCTCTAATCTTGCAGAGAAAAATGACAGTTTCTACAGTTTCTCAACAGAAACGGGGGTGAGGCATTTTATCTAGTATCATCAAAGAGGTGCTTTTATCAGATTACATAAGTAAAATTGTGAAGATTGAAAGTCCCAGACCCCGCAGTTTTGTCAATTTCCATTTCACTGATTAAAGTGCTCTACATGATTGAATGGCAATTCCAAATCGGCCCTTAAATCAAAGAGATGATCTAAATAAAAATACCAAAAAAAAAATCCTCGCTCCCATTCTCCTTTGTTTTTTCAACCCATATTTTCCAGAAAAGATCCACTTTCCAGTAGTAATCAAGTGAAAAATAAATAATGCAGATGATCAACGATGTTGTAAAATTTTAAAATTTAAGGAACAAAATGCCTACAGAGCATTTCAAATTTGTATACGGCTCATGTGTTGACACGCATATGAATTTGAATTCTCTGCTATTGAATAAAGCGGTGCTGACTACACTGGTCAACAGTAATTAATTTTCAGCAGGTTTTAGTGCTGATTCCGGAAATGACCTCCGTTTTTCTAATTCACTTCGGTTTTCCCTAGCAAAATCGGTAGTTCTCGTAAAAATCGAGCTATACCAGAGAAAATTCCATTTTCCGGGATATCCGTGTATAATCGAGAAAAATCAAGGTCATTTTCGAATCCAGCAGCCAAACATACATGGCAAATAAAGTATTACTTCCCTATCAAGCATTCACCTCTGTTTTATCTGCTAATATCAAGGTTTTTTCGGCCAAATGCCCTGCTCTGCCCATTCAAAAATCATTCAATTGTCTGGTGTCAGAAAAGAGGGAGACAATTTTTTTTGGTGTCTAAGGGGATTATTCCAACCTAATGTTCGCCGCTGAAGCTGAAAGGAACCTTAATTTTTTTCCAAAACCCTCGGAAAATCAAGTTTCAAAAAGTGGGGATTTTCTCTGGCTGAAAAAATGCAATTTAAAGGAAATTCAATAAACCGAAAATTTGGTGGATGCTAGAAAAAAAAAGCTAAGGTTATTTTCGGTTTCACAGCAAAAATTGGGTCGGAGAAATTCCACTGGACACCTGAGGGAAATTTCTTCTCCTCCTTTCTGATGCAAAACCCATATGGTTGGTAGGAGATACTCAACCAAGAAAACCTAAATACTAAAAACAGATTGATTTGATAGGCAGGCATGCAGTCTATTAGGCCTCAAGTATTTGTTGTTGTTGAATCAGAAGATGACATTTATTTTTCTCTATCGTGCACAAATACCCCGAAAAATTCGGTTTACTCTAGAGAAGCTAGATTTTTCCAGAAAAGTCCAATTTTTTGTGATTCCAATTTCGGGAAACCCGAACTGATCCAGGACGACAGAGGTCATTTACGGAATCAGCGCTATAATCCACGCAAGATCAATAACCAAATTCTTGAAAAATCTACGAAAGGTAACCGTTGCTTTTAAAATTATACTTGGTAATTACTCTTGCTTAGTAAAATTATTCTTTGAGAGAGGGAGAAAAACAGAGTACAATTTTCTGAGGTTTGTGGTTGGAGGTTCTCTTTTTGATACCCAATACAACTTGTATTTGCAGATGCTCCTAGTAAAGAATTTTCACTTAACGCTGGTAGTTCATTGGGTTTGTGGTACTTTAAATTAATCAAATTAATATATTAAATAACTCCAAAATTCTCTGTTTCTCCATCGAAATCTTATTGCAATAAAAAAAAAAATACTAGAAATGCAAATTTGAGTTGATCGACAAGATTTGAATAGTATTAAAAAAGTTCAGGTAAAAATCAAAAGAGCACGATTCAATCGAGAAAAGCTGACTCCTATCAAACTTAAAATAAAAATAATAATAAAGACAACAAAAAAACACTAAAGCTGCAAAAGTAGGTCAGACAAAATTGAAAAAGTTACAAAAACTTTAGGACAAAATCAGAGGAGCCCGATTCAGCTGAAAGGAACCGACCATGCCATAAACTTTGCAGCAAACTGAAGAGTAAATTTAATCCAACTATTTCAACTTGCACTTGTAATTCAATGGATTTGATGTTATATTCTATTGCATTAAGTGGGAGTTAATTCCACCAGAGAATTAATTATTCGATTGTCGATAAAGGTCTAGGTCGGTTCCTATCTGATGAACTGTAAAGTTAGCACTGCTTCAAAATAGAAAGCTTCACAAATATTATGCAACACAAGCTTTTGGGGGAGAACATGAATGCACACAAAATGCAACAGATCAAGTACAAAAAACATTTAACTATAAGCAAACACATAAGAGAAAGAAAGCTCATAAAACAAAGGAATGACGGACAATTACTTTAACAAGCAAGTTACTGACTTAGAAAAATGGTACTAGAAGAAACGTAATTCAGCTAATGTTTCAAACGACTCTTCATAGTATATTGTGGACTGAGAGTTTTATATTAATACATCAAAATTGACCTTTCCTTTAGATTTACACCAATGACACGTACTAAGACGCCTTACTTTGCAAATAATGAAACGAAATATAAAAATCTACGTTAGGCAGATGAAAGTGCAAAGAAAAGGATTCATTGTTGTGTAGGAGACCGAAGAGAGACATTAATAGGTAATCTTGGTGCTCGGGAATTTAATAGAAGGAAAAGAGACCCTATTCTTTACATTTTTGACCTGAATTTCTCAAACTAGATACATCACTATTTTGGAGCTGAATTTATTTTCCATTTGTTAACAAGTGAAATTTTCAATAAAAATCTTACAGATTGGAGAAGTGAAATGTTGTCTGACCTTCAGAGAGGTAATGCCTTCCAGTTTGAGATGAAATGTTTTACTCCAAATCTAAAATGTCTACGGGGAAAACCCTCCAAGGGTGCCATTGGTTACAAGAACAAAGCAGTATTGGGAAGTTTTTCTTTAAAAAAATATTTCTTTTCAAACTTCTATTAATTTTCCAGTAGACATACCACAAGGTACTGCCAAGACACTTCTGATGGATTGAAAAATATACTAATTGTAAGTTGTCATACGTTTAGAGACAGTTACCCACAAGTCATTACAGCATGATACAAAGTTCAAAGTTAATGAATCAATTGCCAAAAACTACGAAAAACAGAAAACTTTAATGTGTTGGATGTGTTATAGTCGTATGAATTCTTGTCGTACATTACCTTAACTTCTATTTTTTAGGATCAAGTTGCTTTGTCAAAATATTTGTTATTTGTAAATATCCAATACATTAAGCTTTTTCTGTACAAAACACAATATACTTTCGATAGCACTTGAAAGGTCAAATAGATACTTAAAATGTAAATCTGAACTGCTACTAAAATCAATGCAACTAATAGGTGAAAACTAATCCATGCAACAACTTGATTTGTTCAACTGATAAAAGTTTTCACCCCTAAAAATTGTCATGCAGAATCTGTTTTCTATTGAAAACTGAAAAATGCATAACAGCGTAATTTGCAAATGGAGTCCAAAAGCCTCCACACAATCTAAAAGGGAGAGATAATGGTGGGTAACAAGTCAACTCATCTATGAGAATCTACAATAACGATCTAAAATGTACCTATAGCTACACATAGCATGCTTTATTGATCATCTTGAACATAAATGTATCTGCGGCACCACATCCGAAACTGGCTGGAGTAACATGAATCTTGCTGAGATGGACTGTATCCTTAAAAGTATCAAAGAAAAGGTGCTTTCGACCTGAGACCATATCTGAGGTAAAAGCTTCTTTGGACAAAGGTAAATAATTAAAGATTTGCTGTTAGTGTCTTATGGTACACCTAAGTTACATCATTTAATACTTGTTTGCAGCAATTTTAACCAGGAGCAGTTCTTGCAAATACAGGAATTAAGACTGTAATGGAACTAGGACGCCTCATTGAGTCATTGAACATTCAAATGGTTAAAGTACAGGCAAAACAAAATCTGTCATCGACTAGTGACCCTGTAACTTTGTCCAACAATCCTTCAAGTTATGTTAAGTCCTGCTTTCTCGACAAAAAGAATGGCTAGCCGCAAATCAAAACGCTATGGAGGAAGCATTCATATGACAAATAGAGGCATGCAAGTTGAGTAATTATTCTTGCAACACTAAACATTGGAATTCACTGCCATGCTCTGATCACAAAACATCAGAAAATAGAAAATAAAAGCTCTGAAACTTAAAGCCATTTCTATGGACAGATTCCGAGGCAATTTGATTCATGCAAAGAATAGTACATATTTGCAAAGCAATTGGAACTATATTCAACTGGTTTTATACAGTTGAAATTTTTGATCACTCCCAAACCACAGATCCCCGCGGTCAACTCCTGCGAAAAATGATGAATGAGGGGCCAAGTCAAGCAAATAACTCATGGACAACTAAACACAGTAAGAATTAAACCATCATGCGTGTCTCCTCATCAAAATTTTGAGATATACGAGATATTTTCTAGTAAGCGTGATGATTGAATCTAAACTTAAGAAATAACTCTAACGCCTCACTTTCAAGTTAAAATTGGAATTTTTTAATCTTTCCACCATGTTCTCCGATACATTTTAAGGAAGCTATAATGCTAGATGTCTATCCTTCTTTGGTTGTCCATTGATTAAGGTTTAACCTTTAAGTATATTGGCTCATTTAGACAACCTCGCCTTGGCATATCACTGTGCAAAAAGCCTGAGCGAAACGATCCTTAGACAATGAATAGAGAAAGGCAATTGCCTCTCCTCTTTAACCATCACTTTTCATAGTGTGAATTTAAGAAAAAAACGAATCAACCAAAAATAGCATGTCGTGAGGATTTCGCTATACACATAAAAAGATCTATGGCAGAGAAAATGGTTCCAGAGGTCCTGGTGTAGCAATGAAACATCACCTTGGACTTAAAACATGCATCAAATCTGCAACCATTTGGCTTTTCTTGTGTTTTCAGCTGTATATGAGCTCTGGTATGGATTTCGTTAAGTCGAATCAAAAAACAGGATAAAGAAACGAAGATAGCAGGGGGACAATTGGCAGCAAAATTAGAGTTTTGATGCTTTACAAAAATATTAAAAATTTATTGGATCTGAGATTGTTTAGACTGTCGAACCACTTTTCTCATTGAGAGACATCTACTAATGAGGAACAGTCAGTCAATGATATATTTTCAGATACTCACACTTGGTATCAATCAATTAATGAAAGATACAGACAACGAAGGATGATAAGAAAGACTTTCAAGAAAAAGCAGTACAGCGGGAAAATGCACAATTGGAAGATAAACTCCACTGAACTTCGACTGAAGGCGTTTACAAAAAGATTTCCTGTTTTCAGGACCACCATGAGTAGAAGGAAAACTAACTTTATCTGAGATCCTTGCTTGTTACCGAGCAAAAGTAGATGTATCATACCAAGTCACCATCCCAACTTTATTTATTAGTTCGTCATAGTGACTTAAACGAGTTTAGAACAAAAAATGTGCAAAAATCAAGACTACAAGTTCAAATCAAACCGTTTGCTGCCATGGATTCCTGCGCTTATATACACACTCACACAAACGCAGAGCGCCAGGGCTGCATCACTTCTCCCCGTGTAAGTAGATACGAGTGCTCCGTCTTTATGTCTTTGGTTTAAGCAGATGTGACGAATTTAAACGATGGCTTTTTAAAATTTTGTATCGAAGACTACATACGAATTGAAAAGTCCAAAAATCAACACGTACCCAAAACTAATGTCTATTGTTTTTTTTTTCAAAAATGCTAACACCCTGTGTTCTAGCTTCTATCTTCAAGCTCACATTTTTTTAGGTTAGTAAAAGGCAAACCTTTATTAGAGATCAAGTCTTGCAGCAAAAAAAGCAAAGATTAGAGATGAACCACATGAAGGAAAAGTACTACCAATCTTGTGGTTGTTTTCTGTAAACATTGAGCCAATATGGTAAATGCCATTATCTTCAGCAAAAGCTCTTCAAGCAAATACTGATGAAAGTTCTTAAAAAAGTGCTGATAAATTTCTCGTTCAGACATTTTACTTAGGTTCAAACAGAAAGATGCTTGGCATCTCCCATATTGAAGTAGCTTCCAGAATAAGATCTTAAAAACTGCAAGAGTCACACAAATTTTTACTGTCCTGATTTTATGGGGAGGGGGGGGGGATTATTGTATCACAAATACTCAAAAAACGTTGAACTTTGCTCATTGGCCAATTACTTGATTGCGTGTAAATCAAGTGAGTGGTGGCATGGAATGCAATTATGTTTTGACTTTCATGGTCAAATTACACTTCACTTTTTGCACACAGATGAGGCCTACTGTGTTTAGTAAATATTATTTAGAGAAGTAGAAGTTAGTTGAGGTAAGCAACATGATAACACCGTAATGAGATAGGAAAGAGCAAAGGATTTTGAACAAAATAAACAAAGATAAATGGAGGATAGAAAAACCAAAATGAGAAAAAACCAAGGACGGAAAAGAAATAATGAGAAAGTGTGAAAGTCTAACCTGGGAAATATTTAGAGTGGAGGCAGAAGAGAGGGACAGTGAGTCGTTTCGGGACAATGACACTGCGTTTGCTTGGTTGCGCATACGCTCTGCCTCCCGATTGAACCTTGACTCAAAGTCTAACTGCCGCTCAGTCAAATTATTCCTCAACTCTTGCCGACTGCGTTGCACGACTATTGCACCGTCCGTCCTTTCACGGCGCGGACGCATCGGCTTCCATTCAATCGAGTCATTCTTCGGGAAGTTACTTGCACTAGCGTTTGAAAATGAGGATGCTTCATTCCTACTCCTAAAACTAGCCGTGCTAGAGCCCCTTGCATTTTCATCTATGTGCGGTGAAAGTACATTTTTGGTTTCTAAGAAGACAGCCGAGTGACGTACAGACGGCACAAAGAAGTCGGAACGTTCTCGGCGAATTCTATGAGCGGTAACGTCTGAGCCATTTCTTTTGTGACTAACTGCTTGGCGCTCCTCTCCTCTTTTCTGCAGCTCTCTGTCCAGGATTCCCTTCAGGTCTCTTTGTCTACTAGCAACTAACAATTCCTTCTTCTTCTTGTCATCCATGGAAGTTTTCTTCTTTTTCAACTCAGAACTTTGGAGGAATGATGATCCATTTAAAATTTTTGCCATTCCATACTCTTCCAGCAGCTCTAGGTCGGAATCAGAGGTGTTCTTTTTGGCATGTTCCTGCATCTATCCATTTAGTTATTCATGATTGAAGGGGAATTAAGATCCGATTAAAATTGTTGAGGGAATAAACCAAAGTAAACAGAAAACAGAAAAAAAAGTAAAAATAAAATGGTGAAAAGAAGAAAATAATAATATAATTGAGGCCAGTGAATCGATATTTATTGAGGCGAGATGAATAAGAGAGTGGTGCAAGAGGATAGCGTTTTGTTTGTATTGATCGCAACAAATGGGAAGAGAGCTGAAATAATTTGGAAAATCAAACAAGTAGATAAATTGAATACTGCTGTATCTGTATGCTTTTAATGCATATTTTTCAGAAAATAGACTCTGAAAATTTTTAAAATAATATTACAGTTCTTTTATTCCAAAATTTTGATAACTAACTTGATGAGTCACTGGCCATACGGATACTTTTGTCACTAGTTCCTTCATTTTTATTTCATTATTCCTAAATAAGCTATAGAAGATCATTCTAAATCGGCAATTTCCTTCGACTCTCTTCTTTATAGACGTTGTCCCCTACCGTTCCCACTAAAGGGAAGCGAAAGACCTCCCCCCTTTTGCATGGCAGGATTGTTATGTTGAAAACATCAAAATTGCACAGCAGGCTCAGAAATTGAGGTATCAAGTTGCAATTGGGGCTGAAATAATGCCACAAAATCGTTCTATGATAACCTACTCAGTTTTTGGGTGCTCTATAAATTCTAATTTGCCTTTTTGCTACTTTCCCAATTTTCCAATTTCTAAAATTTTGTAAACACAGAAATCTTGCAGAATTCAAAACATGAAGTCCTCTTACTTCCACTCCTTAAAATTATTAAGCCCACAATTTTTCAACTGAGCCTCAACTATATTGTTAAATTACAAAGCAAAATTAAAATGGGTAAAACTCTTATACAGTTACGATGGTATAGAGACTAATGTAATTTCTGTTGGAATAAAAAAAGCTTTCGCTGAAAAGCCTTTTGGCCGCATGAAGTGATGTCACAATTTTAAACCATATCCATGCTACTCATGTAAAGACAGCACGATATTGAAAATTGTGTTTTGAATTTAATGCTTTCAAATCCGTTATATCTTCCTTGATCGAATTTAAAATTAATTAGGAGGCATACTTTTGTTAATGATAAATGAAGTGATGAATTTTCACTCTTCATCCAACCGCATAAACTGTCTTGAAATTATTCACCACAAATTTATAGGCTTCGTTCGAGGAAAAATACTTTTCCATCCAAAATAAATGTAAAGACACTTAAAAATCAAAGCTAAAAAGAGAAGAGTCAGGAACCTCCTGCAAGCTTGGAATGATCAAAATAAATTTCCAACACTATTTTTGCACCGAGAAATCGTTTCACCATGAAGATGTTTTGAGCCGAGATCAATGGATTCGAAGAGAAATTTTTGACCGAAAACCTTTGAAATAAAAACAGGGTTGACTTACAATAAGCACTCGCAATACAAAACCAATTGTATGAAAGGGAAAGGAAGAAAAAACGCAATCAGTTAGTAGTCACAAATCTAAAAAGCTATTTACAATGGGAACATTAAACTGACTAATGAAAAACAAGCTTTTTTTGATTCTATCCAATTCTCTCATCTACTTTGTGTAGAAAAGATTCAACATCAAATTCCTGTCATCAAAAATGAAAAGAGCAACTTGTAAGCATTTGAAATCCAATTTTTTGGATAATTTCTCTTCTGAAAAAGATTCTTAAACTTCTGGATGTTCTTCCAGAAAATGGGTGCCAACTCAAATATCCTTGCTGGTTCACTGAGAGCCATTTAATTTCTCTGAGAAATAATGCTGTATTTTTATTGACAAGATGATTCTGACTTAAGGGGATATTCGAATAATTATTCCGTGCATCAAAGGAAGCAACCGCCATGTAAAAATTGTCTTTCAGATAGGTTAAGTTACTGGAATATGTTACTCTCCACGTTATCCTGAATAACAGTTGCTAGACGTTAGGATTCCAGGGGCCTTTTTGAGATATTTGCCTCTTTAAGTGAGTATTAGCAACAATCAGACACTGCCGATCGAGGCAAAACCATTGGAATACTTAAAATTTCTTCGTATCTCACTAGATAGATGGAACCTCTTACCTCTTTTTGTGCAATAAATACACTCCTTTGAAGACTATCTCTGCCTGTTTCATGTGAAACACTTGCAGGAATTGGTCTATTATTCACTAATAATGACATGCTAAGGTTCAAATCACACCATCTACCTTTTTTTTTTTTTGTAATAATTTTAGGCATTATGTCACCTGATTTGTTCTAACGCTTAATTCAGAGTTGAATACTTAAAAAACCGTGAGAATCTCAGAACGCCTTGCAGACAGTACATTCAAGATGATACGAGGAGAGGCGTGATTAAAAATCGAATTCGAGAGTTTAATTATCCAAATTAAAGAAGATCTACCACCTTTTTTTTATCTGACAGACCTGTCAGCTTTGTTTTGTTTCAAAATGTTGAGAAGCCAAGATAAAAGTCAATAAATTCGTTTATGGCCGAATTTTTAGTTGCTGAAAAGAAGGGAGGACAAAGGAGAATTCGTGTTTCGCTTGCTTTACATTAGTCACTGAAGATATGGAAATGAAAAATTATGGTTGGTTATATAAGGGCTCTTAGTTTGATTGGCGAATATCAACACATGCGAGCACTTGCACACCGTAACCAAATATTAATGGTAGACTGTAACTTAATATCTGATAGCCAGATTTGGATAGCATTACATTTTACTGGCCAATCACCCATCACATTTTTGCTACTGCCCTTTCGAGTTCATTCTAATGTTCGAATGTTACACTTCCACAGTTGAATAAATACAACAAAGGGATTCAAAAGTATATTCTTGTTATTTCACAAGGCTTATAGGAGAGTAAATGATATGTGACCAACCTTGGGAGGGAGATCTAGGTGCCGACAAATTCCTAAGTTAGATATTTATAACCACTTCAGAAGAGCGTTTTTTTTTTTAAGAGAGGCATAAAAATGGCAAAAATGGCAAAAATGTCAAAAAACACCGAAAACAAGATGATTTGAAGTTTGGAGTCCAAGACATGTGATTTTTTTTCAAAAAGTTAATTTAAGTTTGAATCTCTTATTTTCCAGGCTCAAAATTTTCCGATTTTTTTAAAATATTACATTCCCTTGTGGCACAAAAATAGACTTAACTACTGATAACTCACTGTTTAGGATACCTGAGATGGATTTATATAAAAAACTTGACAATAAACCTATATAAAAAACTTGACAATAAACCTAACTTGGCATTACTTCCTCTCTAGAAAAATTTTACCCTGTACACCAGGGTCTCTTTTCCGGTGAATGTTCATAGATCACTAGGTACATACATTCAATCATTAGGAAAGCTGCCGCGACAATCAAAGATCGAAGAGAAAAGAGATTGAATTTAAATTCAGTGTAACTATGGATAAAGTTGCTACTTCGAAATTTTCAGTCAGCTTGTCTTTCACAAATCGATGAACAATTAATGACTAAAGATTCTCAGGTTTGCCTTTATCTCATTCACAAAAAAAGATTATCACGCACTAGGCAGGAGAAGGTTTGCCACTACATTCTGACCTTAATCGGCAAAAGGATGAGAACAGAGGACTTATCAATGGAGGTAAAAAACATAAGCATGTGCTGGACAGCTAAGTGAAACTGTGGTTCGTGCATTGTTTTGGAAATGGGACAATAATCACCAGTTACATACTGGTTTAAAAACCTTTGTACAAGGCTGAGCTCTTTCTGCCAGAGCGGCTGACGTAAAAAGCTAAGCGAGACAAAGCTATTGATGTGATAAACTGACAACTTTGCTTAGATTCAAAAGCAAAGTAGTAGTGCTGGGTGACTTTTACAAATGGTTGCAACTGAGACAAAATCAAAAGTGTAAAATGTTTGGAAAAAACCTACATTCGCTCAAGTCATGGACGGTTCAACAGACTCACTGCAGAATAGGAAGCAGACAAACAATAATGTGTATGTTGCTAGTCATAGAATCATGTATTGATGGCTAAATTCTACAAGATTGGCCAACAACATTCAGATACGTTAAAGTGCCAAGTTTCTGTGTTCAATACTGTGGGGGTTTTGTTTTGGGGCGACTTCAGGAATGCTTTTATAGTTGATCAAACAGTGGAAAATTAATGGGTTTTTCGAAAATTTGAAATAAAAAATTCTTAAGAATAAAATCAGACTGGACTGCTCCGAGTATAAAAGTACAAAATTTGATGAAAAATACTTTGAATATGTAAACTCAATTTTGGGTTGAATGTCATTGTACTTTGTTGGCACCTGGATTCAACCATCTCAACACGAGTCCACGACTAGCAGGACCAATCGTTCTCTCATTGAAAAAAGAAGTTAGTTAATAACAGGGGTGCAGAATCTTCCAAGCTTCCACTTTTCCATGCGCCCGCCCGCCTACCACATGTTCCTTGTCAACTTTCCACTTTTTCCTCCAATTTGGAAAGTAAGGACCTTTTCCTCTTTGCGTCCTTTGATTTTTAACACTTGAGCCTTAAAAATAATCCCTCTTTCCACATGTTTCTGTGCCCAGGCAGGTTTGTGATGGAGTATCTTCTGCACCCCTTGTCATTAATGCTCAATAAAAAGTAACCTTCCAAATTTCAGAGTGTCTATAAGCAATCCATGGAGCTTGATGCAAAATTGAAAATTGCAGTGGGCCTGTTGCAAACTTTTGCTAAAGCGAAAATAAGAGTTGTTTCTAGTGGTAAATATTTCAAAAATAATGATGAGTGCATTGGCAAAATTTGAAATGCACTCCTAACTTCTAACTAATCTGCGAAAGAAATTTGCATTTTTTTGAGCTTCCTGCTTCGGAACGATACGTTGGCATAGGTGAACATTTCATTAGAGCCGACGCTTCGGCATAGAAATCGCTATCAGGAGCACAAGGTCAACCAAAGCGGATAATCGCTATCGGGAGCACAAGGTCAACCAAAGCGGATTTTTATCAATGTGAAGAAATAGTGAATGTAAAAAATCTGGGTTGTTAACAAATAGTTAAAATCTTGTCCGGGCGCATGTGTTTTGGCGGACTGGTGTTGGCCATGTTGATTATTGTGTGGCATCCTAGTGCACAGGGGTTGGATAGAACGACACCTCTAACAAAATGTCCACCTGTGCCATAGGATCGATTTCGAAGTAAAAAGCTCAAAAAGACCCAAATTTCTTAGGCAGATTGTGAAGTTAGAAGTGCATTTCAAACTTTGCCAATGCGGTCATTGAGATTTTTGAGACATTTACTGATAGAAAAATCTCTTGTTCTTGCTGCAGCAAAAGTTTGCAACAGGCTCATTGTGATCAAGTTCCTTCTGATGTGAAAATTTAGGATCAAAAGACACACAAAATAAAACAAAACAAACTACAGGATAGGACACTACCTAGGCAATTTTCGTACTGCTAAGAGTCATTCACTAGAAATCAAATCACTAAAATCAACTAAACATCAACGACTAAAAGGACAGGGCTATAGGTTGAAACCCTCTCTCTACACATCAAATTCACAAAACAAAACTTGGAATAGACTATAATGATGTAATATATAGATTAAAAAAGAAATTGAAAAAGAAAAAAACAAATTATTCAAAACAATTTCTGGTTTAAATAAGTCTAGGGCAAACCATCATCTGTTCTTACTGGTTTCATTTCTTTCTTCATTCATCTCAACTTTTCCAAAAATATGTAAATCCAACCATAATTTTAAGTCCAAGTTCTGACCCTGTTTTTTCCCTCATCTAAGATATTTTGAGCAACTTTCATTCTACTTATTTGGTTTCCTGTCAAAACCTGCAAGAAAAGGGTTAAACACAGCCGAAATCTAAAAACATACACATCAGAAACAAAGGAAGAGAAAAAAGACTTACCCTTCGCATGACTAACGTTCGATCACTAACACTTCCCTCTTCATCGGGTGTTGGTGGTAGAGGCCGGTTTGGAGCATGACCTCCACTAACAGCCGAGGAGGAAGGAGCACCACCTGTAAATTGAAAGAGTTGAGTGAGCAATCATTGGTGATGAATGAAATTTCTTAGTCATTGTTAGTCACAACTTTAAAACCTTGAAAAATACAAGTAGGTAGATTCCTAACAAGCAATTTCAAAATCTGCCTTTAGGAAAAGGACATGGGGGCTGAAATGCTCTAAACGTGATACATTTTTTAATTAACTATGATCAGATGGTGGCTTAACAAACGAGTCCTATAAAAGAGTTATTGTCATGTTGTGTTTTTTGATTGAAAAAGTGAAGTGAGTAAAGTAAGGGCCGGGCTTACTGGCGAGGCCCTCGAAAGGCCTAAGCAACTGGCTACTGCCGTTGTGCACTCTGAAGTTGGACCATGCTCCTTAACTTCGTACTATTGACACATTCCATATTCCCACAAGGCTCCGCCGCCATCTGATAAGCCAATCGAAGGTCGTATCAACGACATCGGCAAACGCCACAGAGCGCTGACTTTCGGAGGACGGCTAGGCCTCCACCAAGTTGTGTTGTGTTGTTTCAATCTCCACTGATAGGCAACGCTGGCAGTTGCACACACTACGAGTGATCACTGATTTTTTCACAACCCAGTTGAACAATGCAGATAGATTACTTACTGGGTGACTATGTCCCTCCCATACCCAGTTACCTTGAAGGGTGACAGTGTGTTGGAGTGGCATAGTCATCCACGGTCACGATGACCTAGACTACGATGACCTGACTGTATTAGAGTGTCCTCTGATATCAGTCATCTCTGGGGAGTGAACCTGGGACCTCAGTGTTGGCAGCAAACTGCCTTGACCACTACACCACTGAGGCTGACTTATAATGGACCACTGGACAAGGTACGAATTTCAGCATTCTGATACATGTTCCTTAACCAAAATTTCACATAGAACACGACGCGCTCGACGAAAATTACCGAAATCAATACCTTACGAAGATATTTAATGATTCTTCATGCGTGAATTCAAACCATCCGCTCATAAAAACTCAATGCTCCACGTGATTCACATCGAGCGCTGAACGTTATCATGACAGTCTCTGCGATATAAAAATCTGGCAACCTTAATCTTGACGCTTTGGCTCAGCTATTGCAAGTTGTTTATAGTTTGAACAGCACATGGTGGGAAATGAACATCGCTTGATTGAGAAGTTTGCTGAAACCGTTCTAGTGCACGATTTGACTCACGTAGAGCTTTGAGTTTCTTGTGAGCGGGCAGTTCAAACTCCTCGTAACCAATGTGAAATATAAACGTTAATATCTTCGTTAGGAGTTGATTTCGGTAATTTTCGTTGCGCGAATCGTGTTCTACGTGAAATTCTGGTCAAGAAACATGTATTAGAATGCTTAAATTCGTACCTTGTCTATTGGTCCATTGAATTATGTAGAGGAGTTTGAATTTATTGTATCAAATTAACTTTGCATTTTTCTCTGTTTCATACTCACGGTTTTTATTCCTTGATTTTTTCTTTTTTAGTTTCTGGTGGTTGAAACTGTTCACCTGCAGCGCACGTATTTCGAGTACCCTAGCACATGCACTCGTTATTTGGAGCAGTACTTTTGCCTCATTGAAATGAGCAGAAATGAAAAGTCGAAAATAAAAAACTTGGTTGTTACAAAATAAAACCGGTTTAAATTATAAAGTAGCCTACTTCACAGTGGTGAAGCTGAACCAGTAGAACTGTTTTGAAACATGGAAAGTGGTAGGGGAGGGGTTGAAAGTTGAAAAAATGTCTTACCTTCCATGTGGAGTAGTAATGTATCAGATGGCCTGTAAGAAAATTCCATGCTGCATTAATGAAAAATCAAATGTTTGATGAGAAAAATAATACTTAAAACCAAAAAGAAACATAAAGTTTTTAAAAAAAAAAGAAATCTGTGATAAAAGCATGATGAAAAATCCTTTTCATCTTTAATTGAATTGCATCGTTTGAAAACCACTTAAGTCCATTTCCCTGGTCTTGAGTTTTTCGGGTTGATAATACTTTCTGCGGTTAGGAAGAACCATAAAAGTGCTGTGAAGACTCGTTTCAGGATTATCTTAATCCCAAAACGAGTCTCCAGACCACTTTTAGGTTGTATTGACTCTTGAAAAGAATCATTAAAAAAAAAACTCAAAGCTGGAAAAATGGACATTAGCCGCTTTCGCTGGACGTGATTCAATTGATATTTCAAAATTTTGATTATTGTGATGTTGTGTTTTTGAGTTTTTCTTTTTTTATTTACAAAAACATGAGAAAGATTTAACCGAGATCCAGATACACGAGATGAAAAAAACCCTGACTGTTAGAAGATCTCATTCTTAAGCACTTTGATGAGCCTTTGGATTTTTTTTTTTTTTTTTTTTTTTTTGTGGTGCAGAATGTACATTAATAGACACCGTTTATCTCCTACAGTCTACCGTACAAATGTTTATGATTAGTTTTGCAGTTGGACAAATCTGAAGGATAAAATGCAAGCAATATAGGAGGAGTAATATAATTTGTGGACAGATTGCACAAAGGAAGATGACTAGAGGAGCAAATCGGATATTGCGTTAGATATGACTTTATACCAAAGAGACGAAAACCAAAGCATGGAGACGCAAATGAGTTTATTGAGACTAGTTATATACTCTAATTACGACAAAGAAATTCAGTCCCTTTAAGTAGGTGCGACAAGATAAACGGCTGATTAAGTGCCGTTCAAAAATCAGTTAAAAAAAAAAAAAAATGCAGTCAGAGGTATTACCAATTTTGAAAAGCATCTGTTGTTTGGTACTTATGTTTAAAAAAAATGTCACTTACAAAGGTTTTGGCGGATCACTAGCCAAAAGGGTTCCATCGTTGGGCCTTCGAAGGTCACTCACACCAACGCTTTCCCCGATCTCATCGTCATCATCATCATCATCGGATTCTGAGTCAAGAATATTGGCACTTGGTTGCTGTTTGCTCGAGGCTCCATCTGCTCCATGCTTACTTTGTCCGTTCTGCGCAGGTTTTCCTTGATTGACTTGCCGGACCCCAAGCTCATTCAGCTGAGCAGCGATCATGTCCAAATCCTAAACACATTAAAAAACGTCCTTCAAAAATTTGACACTCATAGACAAGCAGAAAATCATAAATAACTAAGGATAAGGAACGCATTGACGCTCGAATGTACAGAAAATTCATATTGAAGCTCCAAAGCATGCATTCTGAGAATTCTTGAGAATGATTGTGAGATGTAATAGAGAATTCATCCGTAAAACTTTCAACAGTAAAACTTAAATGCAACTGACAGTAGCAGATTAAAGGAAAATGTTCAATATAATCAGAAAACCAAAATTTTAGGAGATAAATATTTCACAGACAGACACTCCTTTATGATTCAAGAAAGCCTCGGAGGATCCAAAATCATTTAATATATTAGACTCCGAAGATTCCTACCAATGAGCATGATAAACCGATTATTAATGGTACCTTACATGTATCACCAAAAATAAAGCTCTTTTAACTCTTCCCCTGTAGTTATTTTTATCTCTTATACCTTGAGACTGTTTCTGACACTTAATGAGTGAAAACAAGCAAATAAATTTGGTAGTACACCCCAGCCAAGCAGAAATTTAAATAAGAAATTAATGAATGCATTAAAAAAATATATTATGCCAGCCAAAAAGCAATTTTCAACATTTTTGGAACCATAATAAGTAATAACGAATAAAAGTCAATGGTAGAGCCAACAATTATTTTACAAAAGGAGACAAAACAAAAATTTCTCAAGATGAGAGAGGTCCCCAAAGGTAAATGATTCCTGAATACCGCATTGAATAATTTTTTATTGTCAAACATCAAAATGATTGACTTTTCAATCAAATTATTAGATGCTTGACAGTTTGATGTGCCCATTGAACTATAATCTGAAGCAAATTCTGCTATTAGAGGACTCTTTATAGAAATTTGCAATCCCAAGTTTGGGATCTATATTACAAAATTACCCTGAAAAACTCGTACAGTTGACTCTAAAAACCTCTAACAGCATAATAATGTATTTAAAAAGAGATCTTATTTCCAGAAGAGACATTTTTCTCTAAAAATCGCTTTTGAGGTGAAGAAAATCAGAAGAAAAAAACTTAATTAAAAAGAAACCAACCTCCTAGAGAAAGGCAAGATGGAAAGAAGCAATTAAGCAACTAAAAATAAAGAAAAAAGAAAAAGGAGAACCGTACCTCTGGTCTACTCGGAGGCAGCTGATTGAGGAAAATAATAAGAAGCAACATGAAAATAAATAAAATAATAAGAGAAATTAATAAGTGTATTTTCAAGAGGGTCAATTTGGCTCTGAAATTATAGTGAACGTAGTAAACACAGTGAACATAGATAGAATAGAGAACAAAGTGAATACCATAAATGTAACAAATATACCATAGGATTTGAACAAGCTTTGAAGGCAAATTCTTGTTGAGGATTACATCTTTTATGGTGTGAATTTTCAATCTGATTCTTCAGAAAAAGTGATAGTTGGATTGCATTTTAGAAAAATAACCAAGAACTTAGGGATGCAACTAAAATTGTTCAATTTGTCATATTTCGCTTCAAAAAGTAAAAATTTAAGCAGTTCCAATGTATACACTCATGAAACTGTTCATTTAGTTAAAACATCTTTTAGCCTGTTTTCATTTTTTTCAATGTATAAAAGGAAGTTTAATAGCCCCAGCAACTTTGCATGGCTCTTGATTCCTTTTTAAAAAATGCAGTCCACCTAAGATTGCTCTAAAGAAAAGTACCAGAATGGTTGGAAGCATGGCTGCAGCTGTTACCCTTTTTGTTGTGAATGTTCTTCTTCAAACCCCCTCAAACCATTTGGTGCTCAGCCAATTTTCCTCTTTGACAACCAATGAAAAATTAAAACAAGTTAATTGTTGCATGTGTTACATTCTCATTGACTATCATCAGTTATCTTCCCCCTGCAAGTAACTTCATGATTCTTACATTGAATTAAAATAATGATTGCTTGGTTGAGACAAAAAGACGACAGTTCACATTTCTTCAGTTGTGAAATAGGCATCCATATGATCAGTGAAAATTCTATCATAATGATGATGAAGAGTTGGCTGAATGTGGCAAATTTCCAGAGAAGCAAAGAAAAATGAAAAAATAATGGTGAAACCTGGCAATATGGGAGTAAAATCTAAGAAAAGGTTGCCATGGAAATGACAGATCACTATAGAAAGTAAAATCCCAAAATTTCCAAGCAGTTTTAAATTGAAGCATTGAAATATTCAGTTCCACAACCCCAATTACATAACTAAATATCCATGAAAAATGGATATTCTCTGGTGGCTGGTGATTGGAATATTTGTCATAGTTTTCTGTACTAGCGGCTTTTATGTTTCATGCAGATAAAGTTCCAGATGTTGAAAGAAAGGTTCAGGGGTTAATCAAATTGAGACTCCGCACTCATGTAAGCAAAACATCCCCTCCACTGTATTTACTCCCTTAATGATGTCCAATTACTACCGCTGCTTAAAACAACGGATCATGATCATTCAACAAAGAACATTTACAACTGAGAATAAAATTAATGCCTTCTCTGACATACTTCACACGGCAAAAAATCGTTGTATCCATTGAGGAAAAGATGAAGGGCGGAACCAAGAATGTGACAATAGATGGTTGGCGAAATGCTGATACAGCGTTTGAATAACTCCCTCAGCTGTAATTTTTAATTTGTAAACGTTGTCCAGAAACTTGATATGACTTCAATATCATCATTTGAAGAAAATTTGAGATTGTTTTTCTTTTTCCTCAAGGACATTAGATGATAATGGAAAGCAAAAGATTAGAGTGATAACAAGAAGATCACATGTAGTGCACATTATAACATTATTTATAAAATGCTGGTGCCTTAATGTCAAAACTTGATTGCCCCCAGTTATACAAGATGATCCAAAAGTCCCGCACCATCGGCACTAGGCATTACCCCTCTAACTTTTGAGCGAAATGAGAGAGAGAATGGAAAGAAACGATTTTTGGGAAACCCTGAAATTTTAAGGGGACAACCCTGAAAAAAGACAAGATCTAGAGGTTATAAGTGTGATGAGAGACTTATGGATCACCCTGTAGGAGATACGTATTCATTTGGGCAAAAGTACACCACCCATACATCACTAGACAGGATGAAAAATTCAGCACCACAGTACATATTTTCACATCAAAATTTCATGCAGAACACAAGAAATATCGAAAACTTTTAAAAACAACGCATATGTGAGAAATAAACGTTCCTAATTTACGTTGTAGACGGTGCATATGAACTTCCTGCTCCCGAGAAACTCTCGAGATGAACATAAGCTAAATTATGCATAGAAATCAACCTATTCATTGGAAAAACAATGGAATATTGGTTTCACACACATTTCCTTCCTATTTTAATGGAAAATATCTTAATTTTGTCAATAAAAAGATAGTACACGAGAAAATTCTTATCATAAAATACATCAAAATTAATTCAATGCTAGATTCAAGTCTACCAAACTCTGGTTTTTCTATGAACAGGATTTACACGAATTGACAAGAACAGAAACCGATAATTGCCAACTTTTGCGTTGAATTTGGACATATTTAATGAGTCCAATGAATTGTGCATAAAATTTCAACTAGGCAACATTATATTGTGGTTCTTAATTTTGTATCCTGTCTAGTGGCCCATGAAGATGATCTATGCATGAGAGAACAGTTAAACTGATGTTGTATTGGCTCAAATCAGTCCTATGTGTAGAGCAGTTGAGTAAAATAAGTTTAGCTAAACTGCAATGCCAAAGGTTACCCCAATTTTGTTTGCTTCTTCTTCCTGTTTCCTCAATCTGATTACATTGAACTTAAGGCAATGGAGAGCTGTGCAAACAGAGCGATCCTGTTAAAGGAAACATTTGGAAAGCAGCAGAGATGTAAATTGCAGAGAATCAGCCCCACATGGGAGATTGCGAAGACTGATCTGAGTATATCAACCTTTAACTGAACGGAGTCATGGAATATTGCAGTGAAACTGCGATAACTCGATTTACTTCGGGACCGGGGATGTCTGAGTTTTGAAGGTTGGCAACTCAATCGGGTTTCTTTATTCTCCAATGTGCATTTCGGAATTTTGCTTACTTTTACAAGTAATTAAGTATGTACCCCAAACACATAAATATTGTGGGTTTTAGATATTTGATTAAGCATAGTTGCAGTTGCATTTTCATTTAAAGCGCTTGAAATTACGAAATTATACGTAGAGATTTGTAGAGGCATCATTAAGAGGGTTGGCTCTATTTACCCAAGCCAAGAAAAAACCAGTAAGTTTTTTTTTTGAAGAAACCCCTAAGAAAAACCAAATGAACGCGGTTGCCCCTCTAACTGGCTGCTTCCACGTGAGTTCTCTTATCTGTCATGAATGAGATAAGGAACTGATGTTCACTCTTGCTCTCACCTCATAGCAAGGAGGAAGGCAGGCACTAATTTACAGCAGTAAGATACGCACCACTACTCACCTTAGTTGATCACAAAAGAGATTCAGAAAAATGGAATCCCAACAAGTTATAATCTTTTTTTTGTCAGGATAGAATAACTGTACAGAGTAAAGCAAATCCCAAGTTTGGCGATACCGAGAAATCCTGACTTTCCAAACATTGTGTTATATGGATAATAAACAGGACCGAGCAATTTTATCAACTCATCTGGGTACCAAGTTATCGTGGTTTCACTGTAATAGGCCTAAAAGTAACCGAGTATAATACGTATTCTGTGGATGGCTACATTTACTAATCTTGCGCAGTTTTCATCAGTCTCTTGCATTTTGCAGTATAATATGCAAAAAGACTTTCTCATGCTTGGACAGAAAGAGAAGTTCCGTAGGATGTAGAACTGAACTTACCATAGGTTTGAACACGTGAGAATTTCTCTGTTGTGGTTGAGGAGCTTGTTTCGGCCTATCCTCCCGCGGAGGGGGAGGTAATGGTCGACTTGGCGGATGAGGATCTGGCACAACTGTGATTAACAGAAAAGTCACGTTAGAGGGCTCTTGCTGACGATATAATCTGCGTTGGAGCTTAAAGTTTAAATGACTTAAAGTGATTCAGAGACAGACACTGCTACAAAGTTGCTGTGCTACTAAGGCCAGTGTCTTTGAGGAGAGATAATTAATGTGGTTCAACACTTCATATGAAAAACTTGATCATGACAAGTGGCAGAAAACATGCTATGTAATAAAATACCAAACTTCTAATTATTTACGGGATAGTCAATAGTCATATTAAAAATTAGAGAATTAGATATTGTTTATTCACATGATTAATTTGGGAGATAGCTGAGCGATTCTTGCTTCAGTGCTTATATTCAGCACTCATTCCGAGTGGAGTCTCTGCAGCCATCTATAGACTGCTTGAAACTTTAAGGATTGATTTCACCGACTTCCAGTTGTTAGAAGGCTTTAAAAGTCAAAGCATTACAGCTTCTCATATTTAATCTTCGTACTTGCTTGAGAAATTCAAAAATTCAAAATGTTACTTCTGAATCCAAAATATTTGCCTCATGTTCCAAAGGTAACATGGTATCGATATCGAAATATACCTATATCGATAATCGATACGCATCAATGCAAAACGATATATATCACAGAAAACACATTAAATACACACAGACTATACATTTTACCATATAAACACGGATAGGAACTGTAGATGACACTGTCCGTGCGAAGCACGAGTTGAACTGCTAGTTAATAATAAAAGTAGCTTTGAAATTGCTCATTTTTTTCTTACTCCACCAAGCCAGCACCAAACATTTACTCCCAAACTCACAAACAAAGTATTTCTCACCTATCAGTCTCTGAGGTATTGGCGGTCTTGCCGGAGGTCCAGGCTCTGGGATTTCCTCTCTATCCCGTCGCTCTTTTCCATGATGTTTCGACTCTTTCATATTATTCTCTACTTGCGACAGTGTTCTGCCTTCTTGGATTTGCAAGAAGTTGCGTCGTAAAGTGTTGTCACCAGGAGCTTGAACGATTGAGGAGGGTTCTCCTGCTAAAGCGTTGTCTTCCTCCTCATTCTCTGAGCCACTGTATCGATAATCTTCCCGTTCTGGATGAAAAAAAAAAGAATTTACAGTGGGTAAAACATATAAGTATTACATTCATATGAACCTGAATTAGAGTATACCAGCCAGTTAAGTCATTCTTCACTTTAGATTTCTTTCTGATATTCATAGAATCTTAAGTAATCTACTATCAACTTGTGAGGGGCTAGTAGCCATTGAAAATTGTTTTATTGTTAGTTCAACTACAGATAACTATTGGAATATTGTGGAACTAAGGTTGGGTCCCGATCTTGATAAAATTATAATTATGAAGATTACTCCTGAGGTAGAAAAAAAAGAAGTCAAGTGTGGTAAAAAGTCATTTCAACAAATCTTTAGAGCCTCATCAAAAAATAGGATGAAAAAAAAGAATAAATGAAAGAATGAATTGAAAACTTGATTACCAGGATCTTGAAGAAAATCTGGTCATGACAAAAAGGTCCTTGTTTCAATTATTAGCAAAATAGTAATGGGAAAAAATTACTCTTTTTTTCATATTCACTGTGCTTGATCAAACATAGATAGCTGCTGTCAAAAGTGTACGATTTGAAAATATTTACAGAATTTAAATCACCTAAAGAAAATAGATTTACTCTGAAGCACCATAAAAAATTAAGTTAATTTGGAAAATTTATCATTAAAGTTAGTTCACCATCACAAAGGAGCAATTTCTTTTTCAAAAATGCATGCGCTTACCTTTCTCCTGTTTACGCTTTTTACAGCGATCTATATGGTCTTTCAGCTGAATTCTAACTTGTCGTTCTGTGGGCTGGTCTTTGATAAATGGATGTTTTAACAGTTGTTCTGTGTAAGGTCTTTGATGGTAGTCTTTGACTAAGACTGTTTCAATAAACCCTGCAGCAAAGAAATTGATGCAATAGAATAAAGGGGATCATGAAAAAATGAGACAAGGGCCCAAAAAAAATATGGAGGATTGCAGATATAAGACAAATGAAATTTGATGACCTTAGAGAAAATTGATCGGCCACGTAGATATTTAAGTATTTTTCAAATATTCATTTAGATGGAAAATCATTTCAGTAAATTATGAGGTACAAGGCTGAAGAGATCAAAAATTACACTATGTTCCTTTAGTGTAGGTGTAAAATCTCAAATTTGTCATAATTAAGCATGTTCAAAGGGTGAAACAGACTATTTTAAGTACTTCGGATAATTTGCTTCAAAAAAGAAAAATTTAATTGCAACCGGAATTTACACATTTAATGATTGTTTCCATTATATTTTTTAAAGTCCCCGGAGTTAAGGTGTCTAATACGTGCATTGTTGCAATCAATCCGGGTTTGACAATTTTCCTTTCTTTCCGTCCTTGATTCAGGTCTGAGAACAACATAATTCAGAACTCAGGAGATCAGCTCTGAGTTTCTTAAAAACAATGCCCTGCCTAATAAGTTTGTTAAGATAATTAGCAATGTAGAACTCAACTTTAGATGTCAACAATGAAACTTGCTGATGAACCTGCAGAATTTCAAAATACGATAAAAACTTAGGAAATACCTTGAAACTTTTTGGACCATTTCCTTGACTTTAATCTTGGTGGAGTGTTTCTTGGAATGAGAAACAGCGCTCTCATTGGATGAAGATCACACAGAGGGGGTTGAGATTCTGCCATCTCCAGAGCAGTGATACCAAGACTCCAAAGATCACTACGGTTATCATAGGTGGCATCTGGATTTTCATCACAGGCAATGACTTCAGGAGCCATCCAATACGGTGTGCCAATGAATGTGTTACGACGCCCAATTGTTCTATCTAGCTGAGCACTCACACCAAAATCGACTGGAACCAAGACAAATTAGTGATAACCCCATGTTAGAACTCTCACTTGCAAAAGATGAAGAATTACTTAAGGTACCAAACTTCTTTAAGACGCTAAACACTGATACACAATTCAGAATCTAGGAACCTGAGCTATTTTGAGGTGAGGCTCTAGAATCACATAGGTTTACTACAATAAAATGAACAATGCAGAGCAATTACTTGGAATGCCAACAATGAAACCTGGAAATGAATCCACAGAATATCAGAATGCACTAAAAACTTAGGATATACCTTTCCTCTTGAATACAAATGTGTGTCTGATATTTAATATTTGATCGAAAAATATTGAACTTTTTTCAACTTGCTTAGGTAAAACATAAGTTTGTGCCATTCAAGAGCCTAACGTCCTCCTAACTGCTCTTCACAATGAATGCTCACTTTTTCCTAAGCTAGCAATTACCTCTCCTTTTAACCCAGAAACAACCGAAACATTTGTTAGTTAGCCGAAGTCACTGCACAAAATATGCTGTAATGTTGAATCTCAGGAGACTTCATGATTCAAGAAACTTGGGATTAATATCTCACAATATATTATTGAGGCAAAAAATACTAAAATATGGCCCAAATAATGTAAGTAAAAAATGGTAGGTAGTACAGGTAGGGCCCACACTACCTTGAAAGACAGTTAAAGCCAGAAAAAACCCAAAAATGGAACTAAAACCGGTAACAATGAACACTTTTAAGTCTCAGTGGAAAACCAGGTATAGGGTACAAGAAAAGGGAAACTTCGAATAAGAACCTAGTCAAGTTGAAAATTAAATTTAGAAAGGTAAATGATTTTTGTTGCGATAGTGAGGCTTCTTATTGTTGCGGCTGGTACTTAAATGGCACTTAGACGTGCATTGGCAGCCATTATTTTAGAATTTATCAACCTTAATCCATCTGCATTTGAACTTCAGTTGCTTCCTCGTTCAAACATATTTGCACACCCACAGATAAAAACTTTATTACCTTCCAACTGTAATAAACCCATTTAACATAACATACACTCTACTTCGAAAAAGTCAGCAGTATAACAAAGCTGAGTAGTAAAGCGACTTTCACAGTAAAAAAAAGAAGCTAAGCGATAAAGTCATATTAGTGGTTGAAAAAAGAGTGCAGTTTGCCTGAACTTTTCAGACAAACTTATGTTTGCCAATGACCCTTTGATCAAACTTAGGTTTAACAATGACCCCTTTGGCAAACTTAGATTTGTCACAAAATCTGAGTTAGCTGGTTATATATCCATGATACTTACCTAATTTGACTTCAGCATTGTCAGTTAACAAGACATTTTGGCCTTTGATATCACGGTGGATGACTTTGTTGCTGTGCAAGTAACTTAAGCCTCGCAAGATTTCTCTTGAAATATATGCGATCCATTCCTCTTTAAGTGATTGACCTTTTGTGGATTTGACGAGATCAGTGACCGATCCAGCACCGCAATACTCCATGACCAACCACAACTGGTCATCTTTGCCAGCATTACTCTTCTTTTTGATGAACGCACCATAATATGTGGCAATGTTGCGGTGATTTGAGTACTGTGGAATATTAAACAGATATTATTTGAATTAGATGGAGCATTTGAGGTAAAAGCATAACTTATAAAGTTCTACCAAGGTTCCATCCTTGGACTGAGAGGTTCTAGGCTTTCATTTCAATTATACACTTTGAAAAAAATTAATTTAGATGATACGATATTCTTACAAGTAAAATTTAACTTCAGTATACATCATTTGAGGTCTCTTCTAGGAAACATGAAACAAGATATTTGCGTAGAAAGAAATTGGACCATAGTTTAAAAATTTGAGAAAAAAAGAAAGTTAAGTAGGAAGTTTATAAAATTATTAATGAAGAACCTGAAGAGAATTTAGAATTGATGTTTTTTTGCTAGGTAAAACGCCAAAAGCCATCTTTGAATTACTGACCTCCATTCTTGCTAAAGCTCGCGCATCGTATATTGAGACAAACGTCTAAGTATTGTTTAAGTCACCACTCATCAGGGGTGCCATCTGACTACATGTAATAACCTGTTGAGTGGTGCTGATTCAGAGCTGATCAGAGATTGACGTTTGTCTCAACATACAATGCGTGAGCTCTACCTTAATAACTATCAGGTAAGCAGTAGTACAATTTTAAACCCTGACTGCGGCCATAAATATGAAACAAAATAAGAATGCCACTTAGATTGAAAAACAAAGTTTGAAGCATTTATCAATGTGCAAAGTCATGAAAAAATTCATAATGCAGATTCCAAGATTACTTAGTCATACCAGGGTAAACATCAGAGAAGAAAAAGTAAACATTCTTCACTGGGGTGGAGAAGGTTCCATGCCTTCCGCCATTTTTTTATTTAAAATCCCTGTCGAGTTTTCCCTGAAGGCTACAACAAAAACTTATCACTTAAGCTTTGCAGATAACTTGGGCTTTTGTATTGCTAAAAATGCTATAAAAATGGAAATAACATACAAATCTGACTAAGTTCTCCCATTTCACAAGACCGGCCTAGTCACACGGTCAGGAAGTTGCTTCGCCCTTGCTTTTCTGTTCTGTATTGGTAAAATTGTGTTAGACCCCTAAGAATGGGCCTGTTGCAAACTTTAGCTGAAGCAAAGATAAGAGCTGTTCCTTACAGATAAAGTCTCAAAAATCTTGATGAGTGCATCCGAAAACCCTGAAATGCACTCCTAACTTCACAATCTGCGTAAGAAATTTGTGTTTTTTTAAGCTTCCCGCTTCAAAAAGGATACTATCACATGTGTGAACATTTCGTTAGAGGAGTCTTTCCATTCAACCCCTGCTCACCCCCCCCTGGTTGACGCTTCCGTGCGCAAGTTGAGGAGAGCACAAGGTCAATCAAGGCAGATATCTATCAATGCGAGAAAAATGTGAATGTAAACACGCCGATTGTTATCAAGTGGTTAGAATCATTGTCCTGTCACATGTGTTTTGGCGGATTGGCGTCGGCTATGTTGAATATTGTGTAATATCTTTGTGAGCTGGGGTTGGATGGAATGACTCCTCTAACGAAATGTTCACCTGTGCCCTGGTATCGTTTTTGAAGCGGGAAGCTCGAAAAAATGCAAATTTCGAACGCAAATTGTGAAGTAACGAGTGCATTTCAGACTTTGCCAATGCGCTCATCGGGAATTCTGAGACACTTTCTACGAGTAACATTTCTTATTCTTGCTCTGGCAAAAGTTTGCAACAGGCCCATAAAATCATTAAGTCAAGAAATGGGCTTCCTTAGAAGAATGGTTCAATTTTAATGAGCATACCTTTTTTAACACGTTAATCTCCAACTTTATTTCTTCCTCCTCTTCCTGTAAATGAAACAATAATATAGTTAACACTGAGAAATTTTCAGTATGAACAGAAGAACACATCTAGTAATTTTAATATCTTTCCAACTTTTGACATAATTGAAGAAGGGGAAAAAAGGAAATCAAGCAGGGTACAGTAGCTGCATCTTTCACATTCGTAGTTGATGACATAGCTCACAATATAGTCTGATCTAAAAAAGGAATTTCTAAATTTTATGGATAGAATGTTTGTAGGTAGAATGTTATTTCAGTTTTTCAGTAAAGTAGAGTACTTCACAGTAAAAAGAGACAGAAACTAAAATTAAAAACTCTAGGACCTTGTAAACATGCACAGAGTTCCAAAAACTTGGGCAGAATAAATTGTAGATGAGTAATAACTTGTTTCATCTGCGCACAGAGAGAGGAAAAAAAGTTCTACAAACCATTGCATGTGTAGGCAAAGCCTAACATATAATCATTATAATAGAAAACTTTTTAATTTTTAAGGATGCAAGGAAGCTCCATTTACACAGTAAAGCCACTTGTTTTAGGATTTTTAAACGCTAATTCTGAAATAATATGCTTGCCATGATGAACTCCTTGAGACTTAAATGCTAGAAAATTTGACAAGATTGCCTTGTTTCTTCTAATTTGAGTACGATAGTTAGAGAATATTATTTTGTTTACCTCCGTGACATCCATGACTTTGATGGCAGCAAGCTGGCCTGTCTTCGTGTGACGTCCTTTGTATACTTGGCCATAGGTACCATTTCCTACTACTTCTATTAATTCGAATATACCTGCTGGCTCCTAAAAATATTACATCAAAATCACTTAAATAAATTCGGCACTATGGGAATAGGTCCAAGGATGCATCAATCTTGATTTTTTTTAACATTGAAACTAAATTACAAAAATAATGACAAAAATAGTGTGCATTTCAAAAGTCAATGGTAACCTTGCTTATCTTGTAGATTCTTTTGCGAGGATGCTTCTTATCCTAATGAGTTTTAAATTGTTGAGGAATAACTTTTCTTTTCCCTCTAAGATTATTCCCTTAGAATTTTGTAAAAAATGCACAATAGTATCATTTTTAAACAATGTGGGAATGAAAAAATGTAAACACTACAATCAAGATCTGTGTTTCTATGATTGCACGCTTCAAATGTTTATTCCATTGTTGTAAGGAATTTTGAGGGTTGCCGCAGAGTTTAGAAAATGAAATTCCCCAACATTTCCACAGACACATTTTGGTGAAATTCCCTGACAAGTTAAGATAAGACAGGTGATTAAGAAAACATCATTAAAAATAGTTTTCCGGCTTAGCTTGTTGTTCGAAACCTGAAACTCACTCTAGAAAGAAAATAAAGGTGATTAACAAATTTTCCCTGACATTTCCCGGTTTTCCCTGACTTCCTGACCTTCTCCAGGTTTTCCTGACTGTGGCAACCCCGATATACATGGCCCTTGCAGAATGCATCAGACAAACACTGATCGCAGGGCAATTGAAAATAATTAACATTCATTATTTGTTTGGTGATTGATACTTCAGAAAAATTTGTAGTCACATGGCAAAAGGGGGAAGACCACTTATAAAAGCTCAGATAGTATCAATTACTGAGACCAGGAACTTAATAATTTATGCCATAGTTCATCGACTTGGAAAACCCTGAAAATTTAACAAAAGGGAGTAGGTTTTAGCTATTTGCTGCATCAGCTTTCAATCTCAATTGGACTGCATTATGCAATTTGGACCTATAAATTCTGGCTCATCTGAAAAAACACTTATGTGCATAGGGAAACTAATGGCACATACGTTGTTTTTAAACCGGGCCGGAATTTATAGGTCCAAATTGCAAAATGCAGTCCAATTAATCATGCCCTGAGCATAGAATGGAAAAAGGAAATCTGAAAATAGAGGAGACCCAAAGGAGCTGCACTGGTACATTCAGAAGCTTGATCTGACAACGTATTTCTTTCGACATTGACAGGTGTAAGTTTTATGTTGAAAATTTCAATAAATTTTGGTCAGGTCAAGGAGAAAATTCATATTCATATTCAGTAGAACTGAGACTAAAATTTCAAACTACTCTCAATTAAACGGATGCATTGACAAGTGAAATTCAGCACGGTTGTAACCCAATGTAGCCCTTCCGACTCTCATGCTTTCAAATAAAAAATTTACAGGTTCAGGAAAACCCTAGAGCTGAGTCAATAACTTATATCATTTTTCTTGCTCCAGCCTGGAATGAAGGGGTGAGAGCCGAAGTGGCTATCTTGCATTGCATGATAAATTATTCTTTCATTCATCGACAACTGTATGTTTCTCCTGAGAAGGTTTAGGAAAATTTCGTTGACTCACAAAAAACTTTGAAACTAAATTTGTGACTGTAAAATTGTGAATTAAAACATTTTCGGACAATACTTTCGAACATTGCAGGGCAGTTAATTCTCATGAGCTTTTACACTTTTGACGATTCAAAACAAGCTAGCAAGAAATTGTGAGAGATCACCAGACGCACTTAACACAGCGTAGGTGATAGGAGATATTCGTTGAATAGTGATTCTAGCTTATGTGAAACACCAGCTAAGTATGTGGTACAGAAATTTTCAAGAGCAAGAGTAAGAATGTGCACGTTTATTCAGGAACAAGTCTGCAACAAAGGTTTAGAGGAACGGAGATGTTGTTGGCTGTTGTGAGCCTAACTTGAAAGGAGCGTTTAAACTTCTGACTGGACATCCACTTTCAAATATATGTTATTGGGGTCTTGGGGAATGATGAAATTCTACTAATAGCATAAAACCTCATTTCTTGATGTGACTCACTGCTTGTCAGGAATGGGATCATAGGGAGAATGCGAGGTGCTGACTAAGGTGAGGTATCTTAAAGCGCTTGCACTGAAATATTTGTGATGACTGGGAAAGTTAGTGCAGGGAGGGTTCAAAGGATAAGTGGAATCAGAGGCAAAATAGGGCAGAAAAGGGGGTTCAAAAGAGATAACAGCCTTGAAAAATAGAAGTGATGTGAGAATCTAATTGGGCTATTGTGGTTACCATGCCAAGCATATACAGGAATAATGAAAGGAAGACAGACAGGTCAAGTGAGCACTGGACATTCCAGCGGCCTGCAGATTAGTGGAAAATGATGTAAATTTACCTTCAGAGCATTCAGATCAATGTCGTCTAATCCACAATTTACGCTGGGTGCTAAGTTATGCGCCATTTTACACGAAAGTCTCAAAACAAACACACCAGCATTACTTTAGGAATCTGAAAATCAGGGTTAAAACACATGTTTAGAAATGTAAAAATGTACCCCGACAGCCATTAGACTCAGCTACACTATCTTAGAGATAAATAAAGCATCGTAAATCATATTTTAGATTAAAAATTCACGATAAAAAGTCCACACCTACAAAGTAAGATACACAACGGAGCAGAGTACAATTCTGATGACGTCATAGGACCACCGCAGTGTCTCCGAGTTCTCACTTGTCAGATCGACGATCTAAGTACTGATAAAATATGAAAATTGAATTTCGCTCGGGAGAACTTTGAGAAAATTATTTATCGGAGCACGGAAAATTGAAAACACGATGAATTTTGAATGTTGTAAAAGCATGTAATACAATTCAGTTTGGTTCACGGCTTTCATTTGTTGTGAACACAGGTTGTAAATAATGTAAATGCAATGTTGTCGGATTTTATTGATTTGCATTCTTTGTGTTTTCGTTGTGAGCCCTTGCTGACTGCAGGCTGATTTTATTCTTAGCACAGTGTGGCATCTCTGTATTTACCAGGCTTACCTTTTCAGAGACCGGGATTTTCAAATTTGCGGGTTAATTTAATTCGCCGAAGTAGAATTTATGAGGTTTTTTTTGTTTGTTTTTAATTTCAAATACCCTGCGAGGCCTCCTCCCATTTAGTCCCTAGAAACTCCTGTCCATATTCTCCTTTCTCTACTTTAACCGTCCTGACTTCCCTCCCCACCTGCACATCCATCCCTGTAAACCAAATTCTTTCCACCTTACGGCACACTTAAGGAGTACCTACTGAACCTCTTCTAAATTTACCGTTGAAGTTCGGATGGAATTCGTCCAAGAATGTCAGTGTATCCAATGGAAATTTTTCCTACCTATTAAATCTACACAGTGGAAATTTTCATGCAATAAAGAAAAAGTTGAACCTTATAAATTGGGCTTAGGTCTCTTAGCATACTTACATGCAGCACAGCCGAGCAAATACTTGAAACCGCTCATTATCTGGGGACTTTTACTCTCATTCGAATCTTCAACAGGAGATTGCAATTTGAATTTTTCCATTTAAAATAAGTTAATTGATTCAAAATATTGCTTAATGTTCTTTCGTCTGAATAATAATTTATTGGTGAGAGAAACTAGAAATTTTTATTCTTTTGATTTTACTTAAATCCTGCCCCAGTGGTATAAGAAAACAGTTTATCATGAGCTAATATACTGAAGGTACGAGAGTTTCAATTACATCTATGAGGAAACTGTTTGCACTCTCACTGTTAGCTTGAGAATATTATGTTCGTATGTTCGGACTAGACCTTAATTAAGATAAATCCCATTTGCATTTTCCAGCAGATTATCACCTCAGCTGAAGTCCTTGCTGTCTTTTAAAGAATCGTCCAATTTAAATGTTCAGAAGTACAATAAGAACCATCATCAGCCGATCCTGCTTTGGGCAAATCTAATTTCCTGAACTAGGAGACTCCAAAATACACAGCCTGTAGTTGCTGATTTTATAAGGCAAAACAATTTTAACAATTAATCATAAATTTAGTACGGTTCCAATGGAGTATTCATTTTCCCAATGGTGCCTAAGTAAATTCTGAAACACAGTAGGTATATCAAGGGTGAAACTGCAAGTTCGTGTATCTTGCTTGTGGTGTTCCAAAATCTCCCCTCTTATTTCATTTCATCAAAGGCAAAAAAACCAATTTTATAGCTTGAAAATAAAGAATATTCACACAGAAACTAAAAATCAAGGAAGTTTCTAAGGAAAGACGTTGAGTATTTTTCAATTTAAAAAAAAGTGCAGGAAATCTGCAACTTTGTAAACCAAGATACACATTCCTGAAGTTTTACAAGTAAAATACAGCTCAGACTTGACTAGTCTCTCTCCATACATTATTTCATTACCTACTGAATTCAAGGGACACACTTGTAAATAGTGAGAACCATTTCGGTAAGTGAGATGGAAAACTGCCCATCTCATTTCCACTTAATATGAGAAAAAATCAAATCTATATTAGGTATTGAAATTTGACAGGCTTGCTTTGCCAATCAAAAGTAACCTAAAGAAATGGAATGCGCACAAAATGCGCAGAAATTTGGCACCTTGCAGCTAAATTTTGGAATTATTTGTTAAGATGCTCGCCTTACAACTTCCTGGGCAGACAAGCTTCTACTTAAATGCTTGTTAATAAAACAAATAACTCCTCTGAAATGTTGAGATTTTTTCAATGCGATATTAAAAATCCAATTCATTTTCGGTTGTATTCATTGCTGGGCCATTTCTATATTATTGTACTTAGTGCAGGGTTTAAACTGCGTGTTGCCATCAATTTAGAAACAAAGCTTCAGACTTGCAATTCTTTGCAAGAATTTAACTCAAGTACACTTTGGGTAAAAGTAAACAAGACTGTGTAAAAAACAACACTTAATGCTTATTTTTTGGCTTACATTAAATTATCTTTTACTTTAAAACAAGATAACAAAATACAGTTGTTAACATTGAAGTATAAATCAGATGTTTGTTTCCATAAAAATAAATATGATAAAATTAAAAATTTACAACAGGCTGATAAAATTAGGACATATTCTCTGGAATGGCTCTAGGTCTTGTTTTATAATAGATGAAAAGAATGAGTAAACTACCAAGTGCACAGAGAGTTGGTACAACAACAGACATTATGTTTTTTTTGTTCTCCAAAAATTCCTTCTTCCTTTCTCGCTTTTGGCGACCAGTCTCTTTGGGTTTGCCCTTCAGAGTGCGCATGTTGGATCAGGTCCTTTGATAGGGGAATTAGACCTATGAAATGATAAAAAACCAGCTGCAGATTAAATTGTAAGAATTAAGAACTATGACAAAAACGTTGGCTGCCCAGCATAAATCTGAACACATGAAAAATGGCCAGCTCAATTTCTCAAAATGGCATTCCAAGACATACCAAAAAAATTTGATGTCCTGAGCATAAAACCACAAACCTCCATTGCGGTGATTCAAAATTTCTTCATGTATTTTATTTTATCGAAGAGAAACAAGCCAATTTTAGAGCTTGAAATTTATATAAAACTAGGGGGCTGCGCCCCCTGGTCACTTCACAGTTCAACCCCCCAGAAGCGCTTCGCGCCTCTAATGTGCAGATATCGTCAGATCATTAGGATCATTGAGAGTTAGGGAAAACCCGGTTTGGAGACGGCAGGAAGCATGTGAGCATGCGTGGCAGGAGGGACGCGGGGAGTGGGAAAAAAATCGGTTTGTGACATGTTTAACCTGACACCCTCAGCGTGACACGGCACCCTTATGATTTTGTACTAAAGAGTAAGATATTGTGCAAACAAAGGAAAAAATCAGGAAATTTTCAAGAAAAAATATTGACTCAAGATACACAGGTCTGTGTATCACTAGTCAACATTCTTTCTAGATACTTAAAATCATAACAACTTTGAATGCAACGACCATCCGCCAACTCAATACTTTATCATGCTAAGCAGCTCCTACAACCAGCTGCTCCATCTTACTTAGAGGACCAAGCATCGTTCTTTTGACCATCGATAAGAAAATTCTTTTCAGCCACCTCTCTAAACTACGGGCCCAAAAGTAGCATAATGTAGTTGACAGAACTTTTGATCCATCCATCACAGAAAAGGCAGTAAAGTAAGGAGAGCATTGAAAGAGTGTGATGCCAAGCTACTCCAGGGGCAGTTATGGATTTTGATGTCATACCTCCATCACTGACAAGGAGATAGAGAGTGATCTACCAGATGACCTAAGCGTCAAGATGCATATCGACAATGAAACCATCAGATCAAGTATCTCGTTTGCGGTGTTTAAAATTCTCTGTTCCCATTTTATTTTTGTGAAGGAAAACAAACCAATATCATTCCTTGAAATTTACACAGATTACTCTTCACTCAAAGAAGAAAAATCACTGAAATGTTCAAGAAGTATCGTTGAGTAATCTTTCATAAAGCATGACAGGAATGTGTACGACATTACAAACCGATATATGTGGTCCGGTAGTTTTACCATTGATATGCATTCTGATACAGATTACCTTAGGATGATCAGATTTCCTAACTGGGCAACAAATGGAAACAATTCCTTTGCTAATTATCACAATTCTACCTCAACATTACCCGCACCCAATCCAGCAATGCTTTGAGGAATTACGGAGGTGATGACACAAGTAAGATTAGTTCAGACATAGAATATAGAGAATGGTTCAGACCTTGATGTAATTTAAGAGGAGCGGTGTAGCACATTTATGATGACAAGTACAGACATCTGCTGCACAGCAATGAAGGGTGCCTAAGTAACTCTTGAAGAAATCATGACATCTTCAGCAAATTTTGATGAATAAATAATTATAAAAATATCTGAATGAGAAGAAGAGATTGGTAAGCATCTAGTAAAATGGAAAATGAGACCTCAGAGATCAACGAAATAAGTAACTGAATTGAAGTTGAAGATGAACTTACAAATTTTTCGGGAAAAGACTGGATAGAAAACAATGTCCTCAGTGAGCTGGCTTTGATAAAAGTCTTCAGAACTTGCGCGGCTACAGGGATGTGCTTCAGTTCCGGCGCACTGAAGCCACGTTGATTTTTAGAACTGTCTGATCAAATTTCGATCTGCGGCAATGTTCGTGCCTCCATCTAATACACAATCACATACATGCAATCACATACATGAAACTTGTTGTTTATTTACCTAAAAAGTTGCGAAACGATGACGTGTTCCGAGTTTAAAAGTTGCATGTGCAACAACGTGTCATGAAATTACCAGGTAAGATCAAATACCTTAAAATTACTGGAATCGTATCTTTTTCGGCACTCAATAATCGCTGACTCTAAAATTACAGAACTAGACAAATTTCTAATTTTTGAAAAGTAAAATGGCAAATTAGGGATCAGATTTGATGCGAGCATGTAAGTTTCTACCATACGAATTTCTTCGGAGCAGTGCAGAATACAGTTGTTATTTTACGGCAGCTTGCACCCTTAAGAACCGCGAAAATTTAAATCCCGGGATCATGGTAGGCAGCGGCGGCGCGGCGCGGCGCAAGAAGAAACCGGCACTTTGAACTAAGACTCAACAGTATATCAATGACACATGGAAAAGAAAAAAATTTAACGAGTGAAGAGAAGGTGGCACTTCTTATTACGGTTAAGTTGCCGTCAAAGTTCGAAACGGCGCGGCGAGCAAGTGAAAAATTTTCCAGTTCTTGTGCGGTGTCTTTTTTCTTTTTATACAGTGACGGTTCGAGCGTGTTGGTTCCGCTTCGAATTAAGTGTCGAAAACCAAACCTCCTTTCGGCTCCGTGACGTCAGGGGCTCCCTTCTGTGGACTATTAAATTGTTATTAATTGATTACGGTAAGGCGATCCGGAAAAAGAAGTGCGGTGGCCTGTTTTCAATGTTATCTCGGTGGCGCGGGGGAGCGAAATAACCGGAAATAGGTAGTATACCTAAACCGGAAGTAGGAGGTGGAAACTGTAAGCTAAAGATGAAAATCGGAAGAAAAAAATGGAGATTAAAGGTGAAAAAAGGAAGTGGAGAGTATGTAACCGAGACAAAGGAGGTGAAAACCCGAAATGGAAGATAGGAGCGGAATAATTGGAGAGTAGAACACCAGAAACAGAATTTGAAAATAGGACACAGCTGATGCCTCATTAAAGAAGAGGAACGAAGTAGCATTTTCAATTTCATGAAGATGGCATTAGCTTACTTTCAGCGAGGGTTACAACCTTAACAGTCATTACAGGGTTCATCACAGTTAGAGAGCGAAAAACCGGTCAAAATGGAGGTACTTTTCACAATTTTTCTGTATCTGGAGACACTGTGCGACAATAAACAAGAAAAAATCTACCTATGAACCTTTTGAAATTTGCCCTTCCATACCGGTGGTATGGACTTGCTTTTTCGGTGGTTCGAACTTCCAGTGGCATTACAGGATGTCTAATAGATTTTGCAATTGAAAAAATGGCCGAGTTGAGGTATTTTTGACGTTTTCGATGTGATTGCGGGAACAACAAGGAATGTAATAGGAACCAAGTAGAATCTTTTATTCCATACAGACGGTATGAACTTACTTTCCACAAATTTTCAGACCTTCATTGTCATGGTAGGATGTCCAATGAATTTTCGAAACCGAAAAAACTGTCAAAATAGAGCCATTTTTGACCGGTTTTCCAGCATAGCTTAACAGAAAATAAAAGACCTGGGAGTATTTTAAAATGTTCCCTTCCATACTGATATCAGTACCATACCAACCATATGGTACAGACTTGCTTTCCACAAATTTTCGGATTTTTACTACCATTAGAGGCTGCTCAAAAAGATTATTATGTGTTCAAAAACTGTGAATTTTCAAGTTTTATAGCTGCCAAGCAGCATGTTTGGGCGTTACCAAGCGAATAAGTGAGTGACCCAGGAGAAAAACAAAAAAATTTCCTTAATCTACAAGCTATGTGCTAGGTTTGTGCAAATTTTTGAATATATAACGTCAAATCCTTGCCACTGACTAAAATATAAAAAGATATTTTTAATTTAAAAACAAAGAAGAAAAGTTTAAGGGTGCTGCATAAAAGTTATTACTCACTCGCTTAAAATGAAGTAAATAACAAAAAAAAGATTAATTTAGTAAATTTTTTTATTTAGGGGTTCAGTTTTGTTATAAAAGAAAGAGGAAAATATATACAAGAACACAACATTTTTGCAGAAATATTATTACTACTTAATAAACAACAAATGAGACAGGATACTGAAGGATTGATCCACTAATGTAGACGGTTCACAGTTATACCTGCTCTAATCACTGGATGAATTGAAGAAATCAGGAAAGGACATAGAAAAACTGAAAATTCTTCCTAACAAAATCTTCATTGACTTGACTGGGATGGCTACTCCTACGCATAAAAATATTTTATACTTTCATACAAAAAAATTAAAAACATTCAATAAAAAGAAAACTTTAAATTGACAAGTTTTGACCTGTCATCTCGCAAACTGTGAAACTTAAAGACATCACTTGCAAGTGGTTTCTTTTATTTTATCTTAGATTAAGAGGAGAAATTGTTGTCAAGTGCAGCTACACTGTGTTTCTTTCTCGGAAAAAGTTTTTTTTTCTTCTTTCTTAAAAAACTTACCTAGAGAACCATGTGTTTTATTTGAAGCTGTCCTTTGTTCTTACTTTCAGCAATAAGTTAAACATGACTTTGACTGAAAATTTGCATAAGCTAAGGAAAATTATGCTTTCTTCAAAATTGAGAATACAGACTGTGCATTATATTTCTTAGCAGCAAACATCTTTTTGATTCATAGAACTTCCTACGTCACATGGGTTCATCAGTCATTCAGTGAAACTTTATAGGAGAGAAATCACAAAAGATATTTTTACAGGTTACATGAAATTATTTGAAGGTGAATCTCCACTTTCAGCCTTACTTTCTAATGAAAAAGGTGGAATACGACAGTCGAATGTGTAGCCATCCTCCCTTTCCATCCTAAAAGTACCCCTGAAAATAAAAGTAAAAAATTAACTAATTGTCACACTTAACTAGAATATGCATACCATTATTCAGTCATAATTTGTTCAACTAAAAATTAAATATTCTTCTATGATGCATTTTAAGACAAATTAGAGGCCTGTGAAAATTACCAGCAAAATTTGGGGGATTAAAAAATATTTTCAAAACAAAAACTGGTCTCTAACTGTGGATGGTAGTTTCAGATAGAAAGCACAGAAAAATCCGAAGAAAATGTTTAAAGAAAGGTAAAGGTAGCTTGCTTGATTAAAATCTGACTGCAATCTCGGAACAATGGACCACAAGTTGAAGTACAAATACAAGCAACTTAATAAATGTTTCTTCACCAACATTTCATGTACAACACAATTCACCCGACGAAAATTACTGAAATCAATTCCTAACTAAGATATTAACATTTCTTGTTTACTTGTTGCGGGAAAGTCAAACTCCCCACTCACAAGAAAAACAATAGTCTGCTTGAATCTATTCATGCACTACAATGGTTTTGGCGGGCTTCTTGATCGAACAATGTTCCTTCTCCATCTTGTACTGTTGAAAGAGTTAACAATGTGAAATAGCTAGGCCGAAGTATCAAGATGAGGTTAATCATGAATACTTATCGCAGAAGCTGTTATGGTAACGTTTAATGCATGATTCGACTCGTGTAAATTGTTGTTTTTTCACGACCAGGAGGTTTGAATTAACGCATCAAAAAACGTTAAATATCTCAATCAGGAATGAATGCCAGTAAGTTTCGTTGCACAAATAGTTTTTTACATGAAATTTTTATTTAGAAACATGTATCAGATTGCTTAAATTCACACCTTGTCTAGTGGTCCATTGCTGAGTGACAACTGAAATTCAACATTGCTTGTGTCCACTATAAAACAAGCGTTGGGATTCAAAACTTTTGAGAAGAGTGGGAATATCATAACTACTGGCTCCTACAAGTTTTCTTGGTCTTCTTTCCAAAAAGAGAAGAGAATAGAATTCTGGAATGAATGACTAATATCAGTGAGGTATTGATTATAACTTACCACATGTGACCAGATGGAGCTTGAAGACTAACATGACTACTGTATTGAAAAGCTGGTAACATTTTACTTAAAATGGGCTCCTGGCCAACTACGCCTCTTCCACGTACAGTTTCTAATGTTCCTGAGAGATTAAATATCCTCCAATGCCTCTCTCTTAATTGTACTGTTAAGTCACCTAAATTTTCCAAACGAATACAATACCGCCACTGAAAGTAAATTTTGAAAATAAAGTATCAATTGAGATATGTTCTGATAGGAAGTTAAAGTTATTTAAAATTTTCATGATACCCAAATTGTTTTGACTCATAAAGGGGCTTGTATTTGATAAAAAATTAAAAATGTTTCACTCTGCATGACACGTAGAACACATTTCATGATTTATAATGATGTGGCAATGCAGTGGTCTCTTTCAGAGGACAGGAATTTTTTACCATTCCAAGAGGGCAGAGAGTTCTTTGCTTTCACATTTTTTGAAGCAGCCTTCACACTGCTGTCCACAAAAGAATGCGTACTTACCAATTTTCTTTGCATAAAAGAGCGCATTACACAGTTTCCTTAGCCACATACAATGCGCTTATTGTTAGTTCTTTTTCTCTGAGAAAAAAAATATAGCATTTAATGATTTCCTCCACAATAATACCTCCTCCCTTCACCTTTTTTCCCTTTTCAGGTGCCCTTCAAATTCCCTTTGAGATTGGTTGATCCAGCAATTTCTGCACTCCTGTAGCATTCTCTTGACTTTCATAAAAAAGTTTGAAGGTATCATTCATTTGAATGGCTCCGACTAATTGTAAGATCAGCCTGACTGTGATACGAGTCTCATTTTTCTTATGTTTTATTTTTTACTGTAAAATTGGGCAAAATTCACCAAAAAAAGATTTTGAAAATTGGATAACTTTAACACCTACAGTATCCAATTGAAATTTGCCCAAAAAATGCCTCAAAATGCTCCGTAACTCCTTAAAATGGGGGTTTGAGGGAAAAATGCATAGAACAAAAATTTCTTATTTTTCACAACCTGATTGCGGTAGATGCACCGGTCGCAAGACAGTAAGTTTCTAGCCAATGTGCATTAAAAATCAGCATAAAGCTGCAAATCTCAATACAGAGGGAAAAAGCTCATGTGAGCTAATATAATTGCATAATAAGCGCATTTGATTGCTACCGCAATCAGTTTAAGTAAAACTGCCTCGCAAAGGCTTATGCAGAACTGTCCAGATAATCACTTACTAGATGGCGCAAGTTTACTTGTGCCAGAGACCGCTTGCCCAAGTCTTGGGCTGGTTTTCACGACCTCTTCGAGCTTGGTAGCAGGAAAATCAGGAGGCTGCGCTTCACTGAGGATTGGCCTAATACAGCCAAAACGCATCTGTAGTTGCCTTCCTGAATGATCGTTACTAGTGTTGCACCAAACAGCGTATCTCTTTGACGGAAAAATGTGCTCATATGAGCCTTTTCCCTCTGTTTTGAGATTTTCGGCATTATGCTGATTTTTAACGCACATCGGCTAAAAAATTTCGACTTACTTTCTTATTTTTGACTATAGAATTTTATTCCAAAGTCAAAACATACCCTTCCTATTTGAAATATTTGAGAAACAAGGGCACCCCCTTAAGACCCCCCAAAATGGGATTTTAGGGAGCTGAAACTATTTGCATTGAATTCTTTTGAGTTGATTTACCCCACTAAAAACTCGTCCTAGCGCTGAATTTTAGGCCATTTCCGTGAAAAAGATAGTGGACAGGTGCTCTGGAACACCGGGTATATGCTTCAGCAAGTAAGTTTTTAACTTGTTGTTTTTTAAGGTCTCTCTCTCTTTCTCTCTCCCCCTCTCTCTCGCTTCCTTTATGCAAAGTGTGACAATTTTGGAAAAGACATGCAATTTACTTGCAAATACAAGCCCGCTTTCCTATTTTCAAGGCCTCTTTTCACGGCCTTCACATTTTTGCTAGGAACGAATCACAACCATCAGGACCAGCCAACAAAAAGTTTCCCTTTAGAGTATATCATTCTCACCCAGTAAACAGACGATGCTTGAGAATCTCTACATCCCATGTAGAAAGGTATTACTGTGACTCGAATACTTTCAGTAGTTTCTTTGTGCACATCAGATAGCTCAAGCCAAGGGTGATTCTTTTTCTGCCACGCTTTCAAAGTTTCCAAGGCCGCAAAAGGAGGATCTGAAAGATTTCAGAAATCAGTATTGAAAAATGACGGATAATAAACATACTTAACTTTCAAGAAAACTTATGAATGTAAAAAGCTTGACTTAAACAAGTTCCAAGCTATCTACATTTACTTTATGTCATGACTAATTTTTTGATGGCTAGTAACTGGTTCATACAAAACTGGTTTAAGACCCGAATCCTTCATTCATGTCGCCAGGAATTTCTAAAAGCAATCAGGTCCGCAATATAACACTTATAAAAAACTTATCTTCAGTCAAATATTTTACATTTGCAGTGATACCTAGCTTTTGCGACTCCATATGGTGGTTGGGTTAGTTGGATAATGAAAATATCAGATGACTAAGAGTTTTGCTAATCCCGAAGATTTTGACTAAGCGTTACACAGTGATATCCAATTAACTATCACCTTTTTTAAACTTTGTGCATTAAAAGAAAAAAAACTGAGAAAGAATATTCAGAGAAAGATTAAATTATGAAAATACCTGGGTTCATCAAATTGAAAATGTTAAGAATTTTCGCACATTCAAAAAAAGTAATTTAAATCAATAAATTAAATTATTATTTTTCTATTTCCAGATCCTTTCCTCTATGACCGACTGAGATTTCACTACCTTTTCTCCAAAAATTTTTTGATTCAAAAAGAGAAAATTCGGTTGAATTTCTAAGGTGTTGGATAAAAGAAGGTGAAATTATTGAGATTCTCCTGGGTTTAAAGTGAGAGCCTATGATTCTTTGAAAATTAAAGTAAAAATATAATTTCTTTAGAAAATACAGTGAAAACCTTGAGAGGAAAGAGGAATCACCTTTTTCAGGAACATAAAGTAAAAATTTGTCAAATAGCTCATGCTGAAGTGGTTGTTTCTCGAGGGAAGTATACGGTAAAATATCTTCATGGGCAACATAATCAAGCCCCGGAATAGCGTACAGGCTGCGACTACTGTCTTGATTGCCTAAAAATGTGACTGCTTCTGTTTGTGCCCTCTGAAACAAAGAGAAAATTATTGCTGTAGATTTGGCAAAGTTTGATTTTCCTCATCCATGTTTTACTCGAAAGGTTCTACCATCCTGATCACCTCTAATGCTTGCAAGTATAGGGAATTAAAAGCTAAACATATAAGCTTAGCTTACATACTGCTAGATACATTGTTATCAGTACAGCCAGTTCTTGACAGATAGCCATAGCCAAGAGTGTTCATATCATCAGGGCTTAGCAATTGGGCAAAGCCTCAGAGCTTAAAATTTGAAATGCATGAGACATGGATTCCCAAAAATCATTTTATCCTCCATCATGACACGTGTCATTATCAGTGTTCACCGTTGTCAAATCTATGTTTTTCAATTTAACTTCAGAGGTACCAATCTACATTGATTGGTCTTTCAATGGATTCTTGTTGGTTTGGTTCTACTTTTTTGATAATAACTATAACCATATTTTTCAGTATATTCACCCGAGTAAAAGTGAATCAGCCTAACTCACTTTTACTCGGGCAGTGTATTTTCCAAAGATAAATATACTATTGCAATCTCCACTAATGGTAGACTTAAGCTGGGAGCCCTCAGAAGAGTTACCATTCAAGGCAATAAATTAAGAATATGACAGCTTTTCAAAAAGTTCTTCCAATGATATATTAATACAAACGTACAAAATTAATGGCATAATGATTTGGAGATGCATAATAAATTTTTGAAAAGCCAATTTCCAGCCCAGAAATAATATCCAGAATCAATTTTTCATCTTAGATAGCACACAGCAAATTCTTTACCGACATCCCACTTATGATGAGAGATGTTCCAATTTGCTCTACCCAGGTTGAGAACCTTAAAAAGGTCAAAACACAGGGCCTGCCAAGCAGGACTACACAAAAGATAAAGAAAAAAAATTGTTCAAGTCTCTCTTCATACATAGGTTGTCCCAAAAGTACTGCACCGTTTTTCTTTTTGGACGAACGGTAGTAGATATCAAAATGCGGTTTGTGTAGTCTTAAAGACCGGCCAATCACCGATAAAACAAGACAAATCCGAGCTCTTTAAGTCAAAAAATGACCAAGTTACAGTGTTTTGAAAATGACTTGTAGAAGGGACCCCTACAGGATTTTCAGCTTCTTTTCTGGAAAAAAAACAAAGAATTGAGGATTCAAGTGGTTTTATTAAATCAATTTTGCAGAATCTTACCAAGATTACTAGCATTTACTCTTCTTCACTGGACCACTGGACACTAGTTTCCTTCTCAAAATACCTTCTATCACTTGCCACACAGCGCCGCAACCGTTCTTCCCACTTCTTCAAACATGTTTTTTCAAATTCCTCTTGCCTGGTGTTCTTTAAGAAAGTTTCAACAGCTCTTTTTATCTCGTTGATGGAGTTAAACTTCCTGCCTCTTAAGCCCTTTTTCAACGTAGGGAATAACCAAAAATCGCAGGGTGCAAGGTCCGGGCTGATACCATGTTGCCAACTTCATTCGATCGCGACGATTTCTCTGTAGAATTTTTGATTAATCAAATCTTTGTTTTTTCCAGAAAAGAAGCTAAAAATCCTGGAGGGGTCACCTCTACAAGCCATTTTCAAAACACTGTAACTTGGTCATTTTTTGACTTAAAGAGCTCGGATTTGTCTTGTTTTATCGGTAATTGGCCGGTCCTTAAGACTACACAAACCGCATTTTGATATCTACTACCGTTCGTCCAAAAAGAAAAAACATGCAGTACTTTTGGGACAACCTATGTATTTATAGTAGATAATTCTTTTTATTTTCCCAAAAATCAAAAATTAAAAAAAAAATTAAAAATTAAAATTAAATTTGGCAAATTTGGCAATTTTGGTTAAATTTGGCATTTGTCTACAAGACAAAAGACAATGATACAAAATACTGAAGTTCAGTACTGACGAATAACATGTTATTGTTCAGTATAGTACCAAAAAAAACGATTCAGCTATTGTTTCTGTACCAACTAATTTTGCCAAGCTAAAGATAAATTTCAGGTATTGATTTAAATCAACTGACTCTATCCCTTCCTTTTGTTATGGTTTCCTCATCACGATTTTTGAAACAAGCAAAAACGAAGAGAAAAAGGTGGCTTACGATATACTTACAATGTACGGTCCATCCCTGGAGTCTATGAGCACTTGATAAAAAGTATGTGTTCGTCCTTTGACTTCTTTACCTACACTTCCAGAGTCGACATTTTCAGACAAACTGTAAACAAAAATAAGCTCTAATTACTCATCCATTTGTTAACTCTTTTGTCAGATTTTTTTTCAAAATGGAATATTTTATGATCTTGTTAATTTACTCTCAAAAAGTTAGCAAGAACTAGTATAAACCAAAAAGAAGTTGAAAAAGAGGATAAAAATTAGATATCCCAGTTGGGATCCATCAAAAGAAATCAGTCCACTGGCCCCATTTCAGATTTTTGAAGGGTCAGGTATGGATAGATTTCTTTTTTTACTGACCTAGGGACCTCCCAAAGAAGGAGCCAGTAGCGTACTCTAGTCAATTAGTCAGGATTTTCCTGCCTCCTTCTCTTTCGTCCTGCCCAGCGGTTTTCCCGGGTCAAACTCTAAAGCGCAGGGCCAGGCAAATGCTCAGCCTGCCCCCCCCCCCTCCTCCCTCAAGTGGAGCACCTGAATCAGTCAGACTTGGTGAGTGACCCGATTCACTCAGCCCATTGATGTATAATACAATCTAGACCGCGCATTAGGAAATTTTGGCGAGACAATAGGCAACCCGGATTGCAATATGTAGCGGGACAATGGAAATGCTAGTCTTGCCTGTACCGTTACCTGGTACGCTTCGCATATCCGGCTGTATCAACTAAGCTGAAGGCGCGTCTTTACCCCTCTAGCTGTCTTACCTCCCCCGCCTAAAGTCGGGCCTAGTGCGCAGTCTAGATTGTATTATAAGTCAATGACTCAGCCACTGCTTGGCAATAACGTTGTCGGCATACACTTGGCTGGACAGCATAAGCAGCTTGCTCACTGAAAATTTGCAATTCTTTTTAAAATTTACCTTTGCTCTCTTTGGGCCTAGTAGAGGAAAGGCTGTGCCATGTGTTTTACTTCTTTCATGACTACACAGTGTTCCCAGATCTCCGGCATTTGCCGAAGATATTCGAAAAATCTCCGGCAGTCTCCAGCTTTTTTGAAAAATCTCCGGCAAAATTTTTTCTTCAGAATCTCCAGCATTCTATCGTAAATCTCCAGCATTTTCATGAAGTTTCCGGCATTTTGATAAAAAACCCCGGCAATTTTTTCAATTGAAGCTAGAAATATATCTGCAGATTGTTTACCCCGTGACGTAGGTTGGTACAACATGGCGTCGATATTCCAGCAAAATCCGAAATTCGTAACATTAAAAACGGACCATAACCGTCCGATTTTTTTTGCTTAAATGAACTCTTGAAATAATTTCAAACACTTTATATGGACAGACTTTTTCCATAAATCACACCATTTCCAAGAAAATCAATGATAAAAATCGTCCGTGACTACCTACGTCATCAAAGAAATTACTTTTTTCATCTCTATAGCCGGTAACAGACGATCGAAGTAGAGCCCTCAAAGTGGAGTCACATGACCCTCAAAGATTCTTGGCTCAAGAATCTTTTTTGTGCTGGTTACACGCTTAAATTTCCATCAATTTCCGATCAAATGGTGACTGGTGCGCACCATCTACCATCAAATTTCTGCGGCCTGCAAAAATTTGATGGTAGATGATGGAACTGTGAGGCTCATCCTTCATCTGATTTCCTCACAACTGTGCTTATTTCATACTTATTTCAATCAACATGCTGTTTTAATTAATTTTACTCATCAACCTAGATAACTCTCGACCGCCATCTTGGTCATCATTTTGATCGGAATTGGACGGAAATTTGAGCGTATAACCAGGCCACAAGAGGGGAATGAAAGGTCACATGACCCCACGTGACGCCATTTTGAGAGCTCTACTTTGATCATCTGATACGGGCTTGTGATCGATACCAACATTTGATTCGTTACACTATCAATAGGTTTTTACGATTAGAGGCGCTGCAGTCAGCAAAAACATCTATTTTCAGTGGTATATTTTAGAATCTCCGGCATTTTTAAAAAGTTTCTGGCATTTCGTTAAAAAACTTCGGCCTTTTTCAAAGGGTATCCGGCATTTCGTTAAAAAACTTTGGCTTTTTTTCAAAGGGTATCCGGCATTTCATCTGGGAACACTGTGACTACATGTTCCTCCTGACATCAAAAGCGGAGACAGAGGTTAGGAGTCCTCTCCTAGAAAGATTGACTTTGTATAAATTTAGAAATTAATATTCAATACCTGTCTCGTTTATTTGGAATATCACGATCATAAACTCTTGCTAACCATGGAAACAAGATAACACCCCTATAACCAAAGACGCGGTGTAAAAACAGTTGTCCAGTATCATATTTTCCTTGAATTTTGGGTGAATCTAGGCGTCCAACTTCTGCAAGCCTGTGATGACTGAGCATAGGTAAAAAAAACTGAGTTAAAAATTACATAAAAGGAGGAAGAGAAAGTTGCATAAAAATTTAGGGAGATAAAAGTGACGAAGATACAAATTGATGTTGCTAAAGAGTGATTGTATTGAAATGATTTCCAATGATACAAAGACCTACTCCTCTATTTGAAGTTGACCCAATGTGCAGCGAGTTACAGTGATGATATTGAACTAAGCATGAAAAAGAAAATATATTGTTCACTCATATGAATTATAACTCCCTCACAGTTGCTAATGCATCATATCATGTAGTAGGGGTCACTGGTGAGCAGCTTCTGTGAACTGGATCGTGATCTAAAATGATTTCCTCCCAAGTAGTTGTATATTAACCATGCTTCATACAATAAAAAATGAACAAGACTAGGCCAGTAAGGAAAATTCGGGGGCTTTCAATGTGACGCATTCCATTTGATATGTACCCAAGACATCATCAACAAACAGGGTTAAGATTCAACCAACTGCCTAAATGTTGACGGCAGTATGAATATATACCCATTGGGTTTAAAAACAGAGGTGTACTGACTTCGGGATGAAACAATTACTGAAAAATTAATGATTGATGCGGCTTGAAAAATTAATAATAATACTGACAAAAATATACCTGGAGTATTTAGCACTTTGTTGAGAGTTCAAGCGTACAAAAAAACTAGGAATTTTGGTGCTCAGACACTTTGCAGCTCCAAGCATGAATTCTGAATTTCTTAAATTCATTGAAAACTTTCACCAGAAATTTTAATGGAAAAGAAAGGACTTATATGAGATTCAGAGTTCCTGTTTCCCACTCACATTTTCCTCGAATAACCTAAAAATGATAAGATACAAAGTTGATGTCCGATGTTTTCGGAACAGATAGTATGCTGAGAGATCCGGAACATTCATAAACCAGCGGAATTCGTTCCCCACGCCGGGGGGTCTGGGGGGTATGGAATACCCCCCAGCGGCGGGGGGTCCGGGGGCCCTCCCCGGAAAATTTTTGAAAATTACAGTGTACCAGACGGCCGTTTTCCGTAGTTTTTGGCGAAAAATTGATATTTTCAAGTTTGATTTATGAGGTCTCAACCCAGGTCTATAATTATTAGTAATTTTAATTCAAAAAACATTAATACTTCTGTTATGCTTATCATTCCGATAATATTAACTTCAATTGATCCAGATTACCTGATTATTTAAATCTGAATAGTTTATAAAAACATTAATATGTGAAATTAAAAATAACTTTAATAAGTTTTTAGATTATTAAAAACGCTATTTTAATAATATATTTAGTTATTTTTATTCTTGTATTAACAACTATAATGATTTTTAGAAAAAATAAGACTGTTATAATTGAGTGAAAAATAATATCACTAAGAAGAAGAGACATGAGTATATTTTTCTTGTTAGACGAAAAATCTTCAGTATTTACACTTATAGTAATAATTGTAACAGCTAGAATTATAATTTATAGGCAGTTCTACATCAAAAAAAAAAAAGTAATATTTTTAAAAATCTTAATTATATTTATAGCTTCTATAGTAATACTAATCTTAAGTCCAAACATAGTAACATAGTTGAGGTTTTAAGTGTTCATGTACACGCATGTAAAAATACTTGAAGTCGCATTCCTCACCACATTCTTTATGTGTGCTTTCTATAAAGCACTGACAGATACGTATTTTTACACTTCACATTTTAAGAATGAATATTGGGTGTACCAAAGGGTAGGTTGAAGCTCCAGCGAATGAAGGAGGTAAGTATAAGTAAGTAACATTTTTGTGATTTTTAGAAAGACGATTTTAATGTTGAAAAGTTACGTGGGGTCTTGCAGCAAAAAAAATTATTTAAAATGGTATTTTGAGATGAGATTTGTTCAAAATCACCGCTACAGGTATTTTAATTTTTCAGTAATCTCACTTACTCCCTTCATTCACTGCCCAAGTAGCCACGGTTGCAACTTGTTGCAACAACATCATAGAAAAGTTGCAACTTTCTGACGTAACTTTTGTTGCAACTTTGTTGGAAGAAGATGGCAGGAAAGTTGAAACAAAGTCTCAATATTTTTGCAACTTTTTCCTCGAACTTTTTGGGAGGAATTTCAAACAAGTAAAGTGAACAACAAACAATGAGTAACAAAGAAAAATGTTAATAGAATTGTACCCAATATGCCATTTGATTTATTTAAGTAAGACAAACTCCTGGAGGTACTTGTTTTTTCTGCATTCATGAAGCAATTTGTGATTTCTCTGGTTAAAGAGCGATGAGGTTGACAATGCTGCGGAAATTGTGCATCTTGGCTTAGGCCCCTGAAAATTTTAGGGGGGCCAAAAACCGACTATCCTCATCCCACTGATGCACTGTTGACCCCCACTTTCAACTTTAAACTTGCAACGTTTACGAAGGGCATTTAATTACTGGTGCTCCTGAGTGTTATAAAATTCACCATTGTCGTAGCGTAGGATCCCCCTATCGATAGTTTCTAGATCGTCGGTTGGTGCAAATCCGTTCTCCGTTCCAGGTGAGGACCTCGCCCGCAATTTCCGTAATTTCAAAACACCCGCGCAAAATTCGCCGCCATCTTTGTTGTTTACATGACAACGTTTTGAGTAGTTTTGACAGGGACCAGTTCTATAGGACCCTGGACTCCCGTAAAAGAGTCAATGTAAAAATTCGTGAGCAGGTACTAGTGCTGCATTCTCGCGTAGGATCCTCGCAACTCACTGCTGTTATCAGTTGTTGGACTTCATTAAAATCCGTAGGATCGCGTATAACTGCAAAAAATCGAATTTTTCACTGCATTATAATATGCGGCAGGCCCTTCCTAGTCGATAGGGGTCGAAAAACGCCAAAAATATACTTATTTTTCAAGAATTCAGCCGCCTTATGTGTTATTTTTCAATCTCCGGCTTAACCTCACTTTTGGAGCGGGCGATGGATGAGTCGAGGTTCGGGGGGAAGGATCCTCTGAGTTGACTAGGATCCTACGCGAGAATGCGCTGCAATCACCCGCTCACAACAGAACGGCGTCCTATAGAACTCGTCCCTGGTTTTGAGATGAGAGTACCGAGCCCCCGAATACGCACCGCCTCAATGATTCCTGATTTACGATGACCCCACGGAAGTTCATGGGTGAACTTTCGGTTGCTATCTACACAAACAAAATCAGCTGGCTTTGTTTATTTCCGAGATAAGTAACTTCTTGAGCACTTGTACAAGCAGGGTGGACTTTTCTTTTATTTTCTCTTCCTACATTACGAGTTTAGTGTCTGACTCTTGAATTAACCACAACCGCAACTCCATTAGGATGGATATAAGATTCAAGAACTTGCTAGAATAGTGCATTTTTATTCAAATCCATACCTTTGCTCATTGAACTCATTTGCATCCAGCGTGCACCTCTCCTCATCATCATGGATGGTCCTGCTTCAACTGACATTATGATCATCAGTGGCAATTCACACCCTGAACTGTCAGATCTAATTGCTAGGTATCACTAATACATTTTCTCAGATCTCACATCCAACAATGCTTTATCATGCCTCTCACTATGTTGAGCCTGTTCGTACAGCATGTATGTTAAGTACTTGAGAGACAGTACATGACACCGAGCACTGGAAGATCATGTACACAGCAAATAATATACAGTTTCTGTACTCCTGTTTACCTGTACTGAATTGTGAATATAGTGGTAGGGACATGCCAGAGTAATTAGCACCTCCGTAAATTATTTTGCATGTAATGCAGAACCATTGGTACCTCTTTTCTACAGGCAATGCTTTAACGGCCTTTTTTGCTTTAAAAGTGGGGATAAGTGCATGCGCATCGGCCATTACCTCCATCTCCTGTTTTTAGCAAGCTGACTACGAGAGCGAGAATACGAGGAATGCCGAACAAGCAGCAGCATGCAAGTGGGCTTGGGCCTTAAATATCAATTCCCTTCCCGGCCCAATCCAGAGGGACAGGAGTTTTCCGAAGCAAGGGGTCTTAAGTACAGACTAGCCGACTGATGGCATTAGGAGGGCTGGCAAGGCGGCTAAAGAATGGTGGTCGCATTTCGTACCCTCTTGACGTCATATGGTATTAGGTATATAGGTCGGGGGAGTCGGCTTGGCCACGGATTGCATGGCAAAACTCGTACCCTCTTGACATCAGTATTCTTCAAGATTACAGACAAATAGGCTCGGACTGGCGTGAAAAAAGTTAGGCCGCGGCGGCGCATCGTGAGGGCCCCCACATGGGTGGGAGGGTGGGGGGAGACCCCCCAGGAAAATTTTTGGACGTTTAATATCCCGAGAATGCAATTTTATCCTCCCAGACGTTTGTAAAATTGTTAACTTTTAGAGGTTTGTATTGATACAATATTCGACCTAAAACGAAATTTTGAGAGCACGTAAGTTTTATTTTACGTCAAAAAATTTCACTGAAATAACTTGTAACAGTGAAGGCGCCCAACTCGAGTCGTTGAAAACTAATTATTCCCCAGATTACAGAGTCTTAAAATTAATAAAAACAATTCTGGGGCCCCGAGGATGAGGGCAAAGACAGAAAATAAAAATGAAAATTCTGGGGCCCTCGGCCTCGGGGGCCCTGAGGACGACGGCAAAGAAAGAGAATTTAAAAAAAAATTGTGGGGCCCTCTTCCTCGGGGGCCCCAGAATTGTTTTTATTAATTTTAAGACTCTGTAATCTAAGGGTTAATTAGTTTTCGACGACTGGGGCCCTCGAGTCAGGCACCTCCACTGTCACATGTTATTTCAGTGAAATTTTTTGACGTAAAAAAAAACTTACGTGCTCTCAAAATCACGTTTTAGGTTGAATATTATATCGTCCTCGGGGGCCTCCGAGGACGAAGGCCCCGGCACGATCGCGGCCTAGCGGCTCTGGCCAGTCCGAGCCTGCAGCCTAAGTCGAAATGCGACCACCATTCTTTATCAGCTTGGGCTGGTTCCTTCCTCTCTTGGGTAGTGGAATGTACCAGTGATCACATCACCCTAAAACCTGTGGCTATCACCTGTGGAAAATCACCTTCAAGGATAACTCCACCATCTGGTGTGGTACATGGCGCGCCCCGCTTTCTGTTGAAGCAGGGGCGCTGTGTATCACTACTGTACTTACTAGGTTCTTGAGGGTGATGGCTTTACAGAAGAGATGTTATTAGCCAGTTCAGATATGTGGGGTTGCCATGCTCTAATCTTTATTTATTTAATACAAACTACATATTTAATTAGGGTTGTACATATTCAATAAAAGAATCTTGAGTTAGACGTCGCCTAATTCATGCCTACCAAAGGAATTATGGCACAACACAGATTTTTTTTCTCAAGATTCATGAATCCTTACTCTTCTTTAGTGTGTACCTACTCCCGTATTTTATCAACTGCATTCAGTCGAGACATTCTGAAATTAGGATGGTCATTTGATGTGCATTCTAATTTGATGGCCTTCTGAGAAAATTATCTCAAAAAGGATGAAAAAAATGACAAAGTTTTAGTGAGGTTCAATATAAGCTCCCTCCAAAAGTAGCATTATCCGTTATATAATTGAATTCAACAACAATTTGCATTATTTCCAATAAATCTCAGTGACATCCTCGTTTTTCAAGTTTCATCAAAAAAGTGGAGCCCAGGTTTCCTGAGCTGTCTCGATTACTCAATGAAGGCCTCACTTCAAGTAGACGTTTTTTACAGTGGAGCTCATGGGTTTGTTACAAACATTGACTCAACTTAATGAAAAATGACCCTTCAAAAATCAAGATCTTGTTTTTTCTTTAAAGAAATTTGGACTTATCTCCCATTGATTGAAATGCACAATCCTTAGAACAATTCACGAACATATTTTGACAAAATGATAAACTGGTTTAAGATAAATATAGGTTTCCTGAAAGCAGTAGCAAACCCTGTTTCATGTGTCATCCTCCATCAGCAATACTGAAGTGCAGCTTTTAATACCTTTTTGATAATTTTTTCAGCCGGCTTGGTGTGAAGCTTGGAGGATGTTCGGTATATCATAAAACAAACCGTGAGACCATGGTTGAAATCGGTGACTCAGTGCGAGGAAAAGACATCTACATCGTTCAGACAGGCACGAAGTATGTTTTTCCTTGTAGGATGGATTTTACTTTCTCTGCATCAGCTGTTTGAAGCCTGTACATGTACAGAGTAGGGTGGAGCGTGGGGACCGGAAATTATAGAATTGGAATACTTGTAGCAGCTTTTGTTTACCCTTGATAACTTAAAAAAGAGTGCAAGACCTCAGCTTAAGCTGCAGCGGTCGTCGTGTTGAAGTCTTTGGAGGGACATAGCTCTCGAAGTTTGGGACCTACACCAAAAGATTTCACTATGTGCATGACAAATTGAATTTTTAAATGGCTATTTCTTAAAATCATGTTCCTTGAGTTCCAAACTCCAAATTGTCAGAACATCTCTTCTATTAGACATTTTTTGGCAAAATATGTGTAAAATACCTCTTCATGCAGTTGTATTAATATCACAAACATGAGTTTTCTGTACAAAGGTCCCCTCTCCTGTGGACAGTGATTAATGCAGCCTCACTACAAATAATTTCTTAAGAAAAAAGAGTAATATTTTCTCTTTCTTATTGTCTATAGAGATTGCAACAACGATATCATGGAGCTGTTGATAATGGCATATGCATGCAAGACTTCTTCTGCTAAAAGCATTGTTGCTGTAATTCCTTACTTGCCTTATAGCAAGCAGTGTGAGTATCCATCTTCCTATCACTATCTTTCAGTTGCTTCTCAAGTTTTGATAAAAAACCAAGGTTACTTTGTGTTAAAAAATTCCTTGCCTTTGAGTATGAGTGAATATCTGATTATTTACTGATTTTTACTGTGTTTGTGTTTGAATGCCATCAATTTAGCTTGCTGCAAAGTTATCCATGCTCCGTACGCAGTGCTGCTTCCATGCTGCTGCATTAAATTATTTGAAGCATATAGAAGATCTATAGTAGAAAAAATATTTCTGCGTTCTTTGATCTTAAAGCAGCACCTACGTTCATGTTTGAAGTAAATGATCCTCTTTAAAGTATAATGTTTCATTTTGATATGATGAAATCCACTTTCTTCCTAAACTCTGAACACAGGAAGAGATGTCATTAAAATAATGTGCTTTTTGTCATATCTATGTAATGAATTATTTTGTATACTTATCAATGTTGTTATAATCATGTTAGCACTATGAAAATGCCTCTGAAATTTCAGTTTTTATTCTGCAGGTAAAATGCGAAAGCGAGGCTGCATTGTTTCAAAGTTATTCGCAAAAATGATGTGCTCAGCTGGTATCTCAAGAGTCATTACAATGGATCTTCATCAGAAGGAGATCCAAGGATTTTTTGATTGCCCAGTCGACAATCTGCGAGCCTCTCCATTTTTGTTGCAGTACATTCAAGAAAGCGTAAGGAGCCTACACCTCAGCACTTAGTGGCCCTTTAAATCAATATTATTATTTTTTTTTATTTATATATTTTTTATGAGGAAGAGGCTTGTAAGAAATTGGGATTTGCCAACATGAAAAGAAAATGTGCTGGAATGACAAGGATGGAAAATTTCATGAAATTTACCCGCGTGAATTTCACAAAATTCCTACGTTGTTCAAAGAAATTCTCAAAAAAATCCTACAAAATTCACACATTGCGAATGTTTTCATTTGGTTTAGAGGTTAGGTTGGGGCTTTTCTCTCTAAACTCCCCTTTGTGCCCCCCTCCTTCTTGTGTATAGCACCTTGGTAGGGTAGCATTATACTGCCGCATCAACAGGTAGACCACTTGAAACGTTTCTGAATCTCCAAAGATTCAATTAATAATTCCAAAAAAAATAAATAAATTTCAAATTTTGTGAAATTTATTTGAGCCTTTTGAAATTTCACTCATCATCTCTGGCCCAGTGTTCTCATAGGAGCTTTTGAAACTTCATTCACTCTATACTTTGCTTATGACCAGGTGGTGAGTGCACAAGATCAGGAGGGTGCTGAATTCATGATGCGCAAGTGGGCAGAAAATGGAGTGAGGAAGTCAGTACAACCTAATTAGAGTAACTGACTCTAGAAGTAGAGCAATGTGAGCAAAACCTAGTAGTTTGAACAGAAAACATTAAAATTGTCATATTTCATATTTTCATATTTTTTTGGTTTGACCTCATGCGGCACATATTATACTGAAATTTTAAAGCACTTCCGTAAGACGTGCCAATTTATCACTTTAGAAAGTTTTGATGCTAAGGTCTCTTTTCCCATCAACGGTCACATTTGTAACCGAAGATAATGTTGATGATCAGTGTCATTAAGTAAGCTCTACACTCAACTAAATTTTTTTGGAAACCTCTCTACATCTGAATGGCTAATGATTCCACACAGAGAGAAGGAGAAGAAGAAAATAAGGGTGAAGGAGTGAAAAAAAACTCGAGAGAAATATCCCCCCCCCCCCCAGTTTTGATGAAAACAAAATTTGTTTCTCAGATTCCAGACTACCGAAACGGTGTAATTGTGGCTCGCAACCCCGGTTCAGCCAAGAAAGCAACCTCTTATGCCGAGCGTCTGAGATTAGGAATAGCTGTTATCCATGGGGAGCAGAAAGAGGCAGATTCTGACATGGTGGACGGCAGGTATTCACCACCCCCTCTACCAAGTTTATCACGTACCATGGAAATGGGTGGAGGAGTCCCACAACATCCGGCTAAAGAGAAACCACCTATCAATATCGTTGGAGATGTTAGTGGCCGGATAGCAATCATGGTGGTATGTAGCCTTTTATCCATCCCTGATTGTAGTTGTTATTTTTTCATGGTCTGCAAGAGCTTATGCCCATTAGGAAATTAAGCAGTAAAAAGAACTTGTTTAAATATATCTCATTTTTTGTCCCTCTTTAGATTTTTGTGATGTTTGGTTTATCAATTTTGCTTTTTGTAAAACTTCTTTTTCTAGAATTTCAAACCCTAAAAACTTTTTGGAGTGGTGTTATGGAGGGAAACATTTATACCTCCAAACCTCAAAAAAAAGGTATCAGAATCTGGTTTGCACTGAAAATTGTGTAAAATCATGTTCTTTTAAATTCTAGAAAAGATTTATACTGGGTTTTATTTTACAGCCATGCTTTACACATTTATTTATTTTTTTAAAATGTTTAAAAAAAATTTAAACTAATTTTCCTCAAAATATTTATTTGTTAATTTTGAAGAAAATGAAAATTTTTATTTTTTGTTTTATAGCATGCGGTATCCAGTGGTTTTGCTCTTGGAGACAACGGTCCTTGGGAAAGTTAAAAGAAATCGAAGTTGACGTTGTGCAAGTATTGGGAAAATTGTTTGCAGATCCTGGAGTCATTCATTGTTTGGGGCACCTTATCTCTTTCCCTTCATCTTCCCACTCCTCTCTTGCCTCAGAAGCCAGTGGCCACGCCTATGTGTGAGACTTTTGGTGGGGGAATAAAAGAAGCGAAAAGGGACACAAGGATCTGCAAAGACTCGTTTCAACTTTGATTTCTCATAACTTCCAAACGGATTGCTGCCTCAGAACCCATAATCACCTTTTTCCACGTAATAAAATGAGGAATTCAAAAAAATCATTTTGCTTCAAATCAATAAATACCTATTTTGAGTAAAATTGGTTTAAACTTGTTTAAACATTATAATAAAATAAACTAATGCCTAAACATAGCTTGGAAACAAAGACAGAGTAACTCATTCAGAATATTGAAGGACATGATTTTACACAATTTTTAGCTCAGATATAAATACATTTTTGTTCATTTGGACGTATTTCTACCAAATAGAACTAGAGACAGGTGAGAAAGAAGGGGTGTGTTTGTTAGTTGAGAGCTGCAAGAATGAATGGGAATTATAAGGCGCCAGTGACGTCAGTGAGCTTTTAGAATTCAGCTTTCTTTAACTCATGAGCCCTATCCACAACGCTGTTGGCACATGCCTGGCTCATGAGTTAACATACAGTTGGCTCTAAGTTCCATTCAGCAGAATGTAAAATCCCGCTTTTCCATTTCCCTGGAAGGAATCTCGACTACTTTTACATTGTTTCTTCTGCAGCTCATCTCAAGCACAGCACAGCCCATCTTTCCCACACTTCTTTTTTTAGCCACATCTTTCTTTTAATTCAGGTTGGCAGGAATGTGTCGGTTTGATATCTGGGCATGAAGGTTTAAACTTCTGCCCACTCTAATTTTTTGATCAATTTCTAACTATTCCAACCTCCCAGGTACATTTTCGTTCTTACACAGTTTTTCCCATGCCTTGTTCTTCTTTAACTATGGACTATAGGGATAGCTTAGAGCCACGCCCTAGTAACCAGTACATCCTCTTGCACTTTGCCTTAAGTTGTTTGAGCTTGGACTTTATGTGTTCTCCCCACTTGAGCTTTCTATCGAGGATTGCTCCAAGATATCTAGCCCAGTCGCAGGGAGGAACTGGCTTCAAATCTAGAAAGACAGGCTTCCGACCGACCTTTCTGTTTGAAATGATCAGATGTTGCGATTTCAGGTTATTCAGCGCTACTCTCCAAATTTTCGTCCACCTGAAAACGCTATCCAGGGACCCTTGCACTAGAGCGTTAGCTTTAGGCAAGTCGTCACCTACTCCTACGATAGCGGTATCCGCTAGCAAATGTACCCAAGTCAGTATCGGGATTAACTGGAATATCATAAGTGAACAGCAGGTACAGGATCGGTCCCAAGACGCTGCCCTGGGGAACACCCGCTAGCATGTTCCTCACAAAATTCTCCTCTATAAGTGTATTTTAAGGCCCGTTTGGAGTTATGCTTGCATGTTTTGGGGATGCGCCGCAGATACAAACATCAAACGGATCCAGACGTTCCAGAATGTAACACTGTGACAGATGGTTAACGCCGAGTGGTACATCAGAAATTCTGATATCCACAAGGACTTAGGCATCGCGTCAGTGAAGAGTTACATTCGGGAGCTGACGGAAAATTATGAACGCCGCTTAGGATTCCACCCTAATGTCTAGGCAATTTCCCTCCTCGATAACTCTAACATAATTCGTAGACTCCAAAGACGTAAGCCTTTTGATCTCATTTCAGATTATATTGATTGCTAATTTTGTTTATCTACCACAATAAGGGTTAGTAACTCGCAAGAGTGAAATAAAAGACATTTTTCTGTATGTGCATGGTTTATTGCTAACTTATCTTTTGTATGTACAGTTTTTCCTACGTCTTTGTAAAAATTTACCTAGTATTAAGTTATTAGGTAATTGTCTTCGTAGTTAGTTAATTTTTCCTTAAGTTCTAATCTAGTTCTCATATACTCATTTTCTTCACCTCCACAGCATTTCATTAGTTAACTAACTCTAAGATATATATTCTTTATTATAAAGTAACAGTGCTAAATTTGTAACAACAAAGATGTGCTTAATAAATATTCAAAAAAAAAAAAAAAAAAAAAAAAAAAACAAATTTTGTAGAGATATTTAAAAAAAAAAAAAAAAAAAAAAAAAAAAACTATGGACTCTTTTAGGAAAAAGCTTTATAGAAAGGAAAATTCTTATTTTTACCTACAGACACATTCCTGCAGTCTGACCGCACCGAGTTCTACATAGTAACAATTTCTCCTCAGCTGCAGCTGAAGGTGTATCAGTTCATGGAGAGTTTGTCAACCTCTTTTAAATCAAATCCCTTTTTAATTTTTCATGTATCTATCTTACTCTTTAGTATGAAATCATAAAGGTGCCAAGTCATGCTAAACATGTCACAAACTGGTTTCTCCTCCACTCCCCTCCTGCCACGCATGCTTCCTGCCGTCTCTAAACCAGGTTTTCCCTAACTCTTAATGATCTTAACGATCTGACGATATCTGCAGATTAGAGGCGCGAAGCGCCTTTGGGGGGTTGGGCCGCGGAGCGGTCAGGGGGCGCAGCCCCCTAGTCTACCTATGCCTAATCATCAAATAAAGGATTAGCAGGTAGAGCTTCCCTCACAACTTGCAAGCAACTTAAATTCGAATAGGAGTCTTTCCATTTGCTCTGCTGTCATGTTTGAAAAGCTGTTTTCCATTTTTTTCTAGGATGATATGATTGACGATGTGCAGTCTTTTGTAGCTGCAGCAGAAGTTCTGAAAGAACGTGGTGCCTACAAAATTTATGTTCTTGCAACACATGGTCTTCTTTCATCAGATGCCCCAAGTTTGCTGGAAGCATCTCTTATTGATGAGGCGAGTTATAATTTTTATAAACATCAGAAAAATCAAGAGTTTCAGTTTCTCTCCTTAACTTATCAAATTTCTAAGGGCTCTGCTTACAGTAATTTATTATTCAAGAGATTGGACTGGTCACAAGAAACAGGACTGTTCATCTGAATAACTCAAAAACGGCATTGTCACCACTGTTTCAAGGAGTGTTTCATAAATATTTAGGCACAAAAGAACTTCCAAGAATGTCAAGTGAAATCAGAGTAATGAGGGTTGGAAGTGTAAGTATCAAACTTTAGTTTCAAGGATAAACTATTTAAAAGTTTAATCTGCCATGTTTGGGGCTCAACATCGTCAGTTCAAAATTTTGCACCTTCTATTAATGCAAAAATCAGCCTCTTCTTTGAGATGTTAAAGCTTTTCTTGCCAAAAACTTAAATCCAGATTTTCATAAAATGTGTAACAAATTTTAATGGTCATTACTTACCATAGCGAATAATATTACGCATATGCTTAAAAAGCTCCAGTATTATAAGATAAAGAAGGCGAACATTAGCTTTTTGCCGTTAGAAGTCTTTTAATAAGTCAAAAATTTGCTTTCAAGCACTAAGTGCCCTTTTCTTGTTAATGGGTGCCCTTTTCTTATTAGTGGTCACCAATAAAAAATTTTCAGAGCATATCTTATTATTTAAGTAAATAGGCATTACAACTGTAATACTCAGCCAGTGTCAGAATACTTAAATGTATAGTAACGTAATGGTACTAGCACTTACTAAATTTGTTACGTGAGGAGGTAGCCAAAGTGCTAAATAAAAGTGCAAAATTATCTGACATAACTGTTTAATTTCTATTATTTGACTAAAAATAGAAGTAGAATATTTTTTTTGTGTTTATTATCTATTCTTTGACCAAAAATATAAATAGAATTGCTTTTTATGCAAGTTAATCTTGAACTTTTATTAGCATTTTGATTACTTCTTCATGTAATGATTTGACTGTTGTATGAAAATATCTCATGCTTACTAATAAACACAAAATTTATTTTATCATCGTTTTTTAAACTTGATGTTTTATTTGTTGATTTCTAGATTGTTGTAACAAACACAATCCCGCATGAGTCACAAAAACTCCAGTGTCATAAGATAAAGACGGTAGACATCAGTGTTTTGCTGTCAGAAGGTATAAGGCGAATTCACAACAAGGAGTCGATGTCATATCTGTTCAAGAATGTAACGCTTGAAGATTAAATTCCTGTTGTCTTCTAGCTGATTTTTGGACAATGCAGATTTTGAATCTGATCAAATAAGTTTGTTTTGCATAATTCAAGTTTAAAAGCACTTTATTGTTGATCTTACGTCTTCACTTAAGTTTTGACTTGTTAATGACTTGAGACTTGTTAATTAATATTCCCTCTGCTCATACTTTATCATGAGCGAATGTTCCTAGACACGTTTTGTTCACAGAACGAATAACTTACGAAACCTTTATGTTAACCTATTGTTGAGCTATCTTAAATCCCTATATTGAAGTTTGAAGGAGGTAATGTTTTTAGAACTCACTAAAATCAAAACATCAGATTAAAATTTTCAACCTTTTTGGTAAATAAATAATTTTCAATAGTTATACCTCGGGTATATTACAGGTCAGGCAAAAATTCACAATCAAGCACTGCCCAAAATTAAAGGGCTATAACATGCAGCTAATTGGGGTTTTTCCCTAAGTTTCTGTACAGGTAGGCTTATTTCACTGAATATGTCCTAAGTGAGATTCGCATCATGCAAGAGAAGTCTATTTGCAGGGGACTCAAAAATTTTGTACTGGCTCTGACTTTAAATGGAGTTAGAAGTGGTTTTTGTGTTTTAATTTACTGGCATCCATGCCTTGGCCCTCTGCCACCTGTTAAAGTGCCCCTGTACAGAACATGTAACCAGTCTGAAAATGAAGCTCTTGTATCTTGGATCAAACTTATCAATGTGCATGGATACTGCTTGCATAAGTTCATCCAAGTGTCCATTAAGTTGGAAATTTTCTATCTTATAAGCTGAGTAAAAAAACCCCGATAGGAGAGCAACATTGGAATCTTTTGAAGGCAGACGACTCATGCTGTTTAATTAAGCTCCAGAATGAAAAGTTTTTTTGTTCCAGTCAGTACACTTCGTTTAGGAGCAAATCATTATTTTACTAGCCTTAATTTGCTCTGATCGTCAGAGAAAATCAAGCAGAGTTTTTCAACAGTCAATTTTCTTCTATATTTGGTAAATTGATGGTATAACTACCAAACGATAAGTTTCAGATAACTCAATTTTTCCAGAGAGCATAAAAACTGAGGAAAAACAATAATTGGTAAGAATGGCTCTGACAAGATGCTTTTCAGCCAATTGTAAGCTTTCTGGAAAATAATTCCAACAGTTGGTCAATAACAGAGAAAATTTGAGATGCTGTGCATTAAGAACCAACACTTTATCTGAAGGCACGTAGAATGAAAGATTAGGTTCTGTAAATAAGTAATTTACAGAATTTAGTAATTTACAGATTTAGACGAAGTTAAGGCCCAAAAAAAATTCGTGTAGAGCAACAAGCTTAAAATTTACCCTGTAAAATCCTCCGATTTATCTCACAAAGTTCCTTTTTACAATACTGAGCTTTTAATCCAACTTTACTCTCTAGAAAGTATTTGCAAGGCAAATGCAGCGCTGCAATCATATCAGCAGTAAGAAGTAATTACATGACGCTCCTGTGAACCTCTTATTTTCCTTGCAGTCTGATAGATTTATACAGGTGCTGGAAAGAGGTATGGGTTTTGTGAATTAGTGTCCAGATAAGAGGTACATATTTTAATTATGTACGTTTTTTGTGTAACCTCTCGATTTTGACTGGGAGTAAAATATGTTGATGGTAAGTCTACAATCAAGATACTAAGTCTGGTAGTTTTACCATCAAAATATAGTCTTAGCTGACAAGAAAGGTCAAGCTTAGGCCTAAAAAAAGCGGGAAAATTCTGGAATCAAAATTTTTACCTAATTTTAAGTTTCTTTTTTTTTTCCTTTTTTGTTGGATCTACTGGGCAAAAAATGTAAAAGAATAATCAGACAACTTTAAAAGTTTAATCTCATTATCTTACTCAGTAAGATGTCAAAGTGGGCCATTTCCTGAGTGGAGGACTTTAATTATCATTCTCACCTGTTTTTGAGTATTTGTCTTTAGAAAGACCCTCTAAATATTAGTCACTTCAATAAAAACACTAGTTATCTTGTCCTACTAGAGTGTTCTGTTCTTATCTCCATTTTCATCTTATCGTTCCTGTACAAACCATTCTCCATTATGATGTATGCGATGTATCAAACATGAGAATTAGAGGGTGCCTCTCTACCACTTCAATCTGATAGCGCTCTCAGCTCAAAGAAGTATAGGACTCTTTTAAATTAATGTGCCTTAATTTTTTGGTGGACTGAAGTAACAAAGAGGGACTGCCAGGAGGGTTGTCCATTAAGTTATTGCTTTTCCCTAGCCATTCCCTTAAAAATTAGTTGATTATCAAAAGCCAAGGTTATAGCAGACAAGTTTGCTGCAACTCCATTCTTGATATTCAGGACCTTTCCGACCAAACAGCATGTATACCCATGTCAATATTGTTACGATTGTGTTAACATTCAACTGTTTAGTCGGTTGAGAGCTGTACCCATGCTCTGTTCTAAAATTTGCTTCAAATTTTCTTTCTATTGTTCTGAATATTTTGACAGAGACATTGTGGGTGATTTTGGATACTTGTAAAAAAAAGGGAGAGTTGCACAATATTAGAGATGTTGACATGGGTATATGAGGACTTATATGTAACAATAGCGGATGTCGAGTTTTCACATCAAGAAAAAATCGCGTTTGAAGTTTTCGAAGCTTTGCATTTATCCGCCCGTAGAACCGAGAGGATTCTTAAAAAGATTTTCATGAAGAGCAACTCTTCCTGTAAAAAACACACACTTTACGATCTATGTAAGTGAAAAATTGAAGAAGTAACAGTGATTTGAAAAAAATGTGACATCCGCTATTTTTACTGAAAACATTTTTTTATGCATTAAGCAAAGTCTTCAGAAGGGTAAGGCTGGTAAAACGATTGAAATGAACCAACAGTAAGTCAATGATGAGTCATTCAATAAAATTGAACAAAAAATTGAACCGTTTGTAACTTTTTCAAAAAAACAAGGAAAAATTATAAAATCAGTTCAAAATTCAACAATTCTGGCGAGACAGTCCCGATATATATGATTTAAGTGTCAGACACAGCCCATGGCTGGTATGCGGGCAGTTATCGCAAGTGGGTTTGAATCTCCACAGTGCCCTGCCGCGCCGGCCGGGGGAACAGTGGATTTTCACATCCGCTATTTCTACAAATAACATAGTTTTCAGTTCATATCTCGCCGAAAAATTGCGCTGGAAGTTTGAAACTTTGCACAGACATTCTAGATGGCTCCATTATTCGAAAAAAGCGTTTGCCCTAAAAATGGCGCATGTCTATGACCGCTATTGTTACATATAAGTCCTCATATGCTGTTTGGTTGGAAAAGTCTCCATTTATGCCATCTCACATTAAGTAACCGTTACTTGTACAATTTCCTGGAAAATTTTTTTTAAACCCATAAAAACAAAGAGAAAACAAAAAAACAAAAGTTTTCATTTTCTTACTGGATATTTTTATTCACTTTAGTGAAGAACTATATTCACAAATACGTTATAAGTCATCTTGATGTTCAGCAAAGCTAGGTGACTTCAAATGTTGCATTAATTATAAGCGAAACATGAATTTCCAATACTATTTTAGAACTGTTCTACATTTCATGCAGAAAAAAGGAAAATTATCAATATCTACTGAAGTTAAGATAATGCAAAAATGCTTCAAGTAGACACAGAGTTCAGTCAGTTACAATTATTGAACTGAGACTAAGTTGTCAAATTAATACTTCAGAGAGACGTTATAATACAGATCTGATTCAGGAATAAAAGAAACAAATAAATACACTTAATTTTTATAACAATTATTTAGGACTATTTCACAAATATACAGACTACTGCTATTAACTTAAAGATAACAATATAATACAAAATAACGAGATGAAGAAGTTGAAATAAGAAATCGCTGACATTATGATTGCTTTGTACACCATGAAAATATAAATAGGTGTAGGTAAAAACATTAACATCTCATGGAATGCTAAAAAAAAAAAAACTATCTTTAAAAAGTTTCAAAGTCTCTCCTAATGTTTCATTTTTTTTAAAGAAAACTGAGCGAGAGCTATTTTTTAAAATTTTCTTGCCATTGATGAAAATCTGAGAAAAATAGCATTCAATAGTTTACCCAATAAAAGAATAAAACATGACGAGAAATCACCAATCGGGATGCATGTTTTTCACTTTTTACCATCAGCTGGTGCTTTTTCAGCACCATAAAGAATGGAACAGATCAATCCAGAGAAGAGGTGAATCAAAATAGAATGACTTAATGACAACAGTAAAACAAACAGACAAAAAACCGGTAAATGCTTAAATACGGCTTGCTATTTTATGTAGTGACACCCTCTGTTCCTTCTGAGGGTTGGTGAAGATTTTTTAGGTCAGGGAAACCATTTCTCCGAGTTTTGTTCTTTTGAGAATTTACCGAAAGTTCTAAATTCTTAAAAAACCTGAATAACTTTGACCAGTCTCATAAACAAGTAGTGTTCCCTCACTAGTTTTCTTGGTGAGGGAAATGTAGGACAAACGTCTTAACTGGTAAGAAGCTGGAATCAACAGATCGATCAGTGTTGCAGTCTCTCCTTTAAAATGGGTTTTTAAGATGATCCATGAGATTAAGAATGCAGAATAGCATCGTAAGATTGACACACACCAGGTGCAATATCCAAGGACACGGACTTAAGCGAAAGAGTAATATTAGGGCTTCCTGGTGATATTTTAAGTTCATTGAGGATCCAAATACCATTTGTCAGTTTTATAGATTGGTACAGCATGTCTTGTCCCTCTACGTTTCTTTTCGCGATGGTGAAAACATTATTTTGCTGCATTTTTTGAACAACAGTCTCTGTATTGCACTGGACGTTTGAGAGGATGTACTGAACCTCGTTCTGGGCAGGAATGTCTTTCCATGTCTGCAGGAATAGTCGTTTATCCATCTGCCCGTCTTCTACAAAATAGACATGCATTGGGACGATGGTTGCAAAGTAAAACACGTCAATGTTATTTTTCAATGCAACTTGCAAGTTGGTCAGGGGCTCCATCCTTTGAATAGCTCCTGTTGTTGCAAGGGGTAAACTGACTTCTTGCGATAACCTCGGCTGCAAAGGTGTCACCAACAAAGGTTTAGCGGGTGTAAGACCGAAGCTGTTCTTGTTCAACTGGATGGCAAAGTCCATCATTGGCTGCATTGCCTTGTTGTGGAATGTGAAGTCCATACTGATCTGACCATTCTTTCGAGAGAACGTACCCCATAGTTCCAAACCTTTGCCTTTGTCAGCCGGAAGCCACATTTGCTTTGGTGCAATGTACCCAGTCACAACAGGTGCTATACCAAAAATGTCACCCAACAGACCAGTTGTGGTGGAGGATACTGGGGCATCATTGCCTAACAAATTATCGAGACCGGTTGCCAGAAGATCCACAACTGGTGGGGTTGCTGAGGGTGGATTATAAGTTGGAGGAGCATTTAAGTCCATTGATAGTAAGTCACCAATTAATGAGTCTTGTGCAGGAATTACACTCGCGCTTGGTTGAGGAGTGGGTTCAGTTTTAGCCGGTAGAGACTTGCGTAATCCAGCACGACCTTCGACAAATGTTGTCGGTGGTTTATGGTATACAGATGCTAAGGAAGAGATGTGACAAATCAATTCATCAAGCAGGGTTGGCTCCAACAAGTCTGTCTCCTCAGAGATAAGGGGTTTTTCTGCCAGTACAACTTCTTTTGCTGCAGCAGGATCTGTTGATAACAATCGCCAGTAGATAAATCCTCTGTCACGCAAATCTGGGTTATCTGAATCTTGTGTGGCCAAGCTTAGAACTTGTTGAACAAGTTCCTGGGTATCCGAAGGACGCTTCAAAAATAATTTGACAATCGCAGTTAGAAGCTGAAGTTGAACTTGGGTGTTTTCATCATGGAAGCCTTCCAGGAAACTTTCTAAAAGCTCATCTGCATTATCGATCCGTTCAGCATACTCACCAATGATCCAGATCATGGAGGCTCGAGCTTCCGGCTCATCTAGAGTATCAAGATTCTCACAAAGTGTTGAGATAATACTTTCATATTTATTCGGGTACTTCCGGAAGATATCTTTGATTACCACAATGGCCTCTTGGACAACATAGTTGACTTTTGTCTGGATGAGATCCAGTAAAGTTGATACACAACGCTCAGCAGATTGTTCAACTTTGATGGCACATCTTCCAATCGCTCTCACAGCCTTACGTACAAAATCGACATCAACTTCTGTTGCGTATTCTTTAAGTTCAGAGAGCACTTGCGCAATGTTTGCTTGAGAGGCCAAACGAATCATGATGTCAAGTTTTTCGAGCTTCACATAAATTGGATCATTGTACTTGACAAAGAAAACTTTCATTTCGTGTTTCAATATGTCAGGTCTCTTTTGAACAATCAGGTTTATATTCCGAAGAGCTACGTACTGCACTTCAGGTTCTGAGGACAGTAAAGTCACGAGGGGAGGAGCAAGTTTCTTGGTCAAAGTGGACACGAAGTCTGTTTCAGAACTAAGCATTTCCATAAATTTTATCAATACCTTGACTGCAGACAAGACCACGGCAGCATTCGCGTGTGCTAATCGCGGGGTGATACGCTCACAGATACTTTGAGCTTCGCGTTCATTCTTTGGGCTATAATTAGCTAATGAATCTAGGATGAAGACTTGTCCCCACTCAGTGCATTCATTGAGCGCAGTGAGTAGTTTGTTGATGGTCTGGGCATTCATTTCAATTAACGGGGACCCACTTGGACTAGATTCATTCATTTCTGATAAAGCAGCCACTGTGTTCGCAACGACCATTGGATTGGAGTCAGATAGAAGTTCTTTCAATTGATCTAAAAATCCCTGATCTTCAACAAGCTGAGCATTTATGTCGTAGAGCTTTGCTACACAAACAGCAGCAGTTTTGCGTACATAAGGATCCTCATCTTTCAAGCATTTCCTTAGTGGCTCACACAAATATTCGGTGATCTTGTCAACTCTAATACATCCCATCGTGCGAACAGCCAAAGCTCTGATAAGAGGATTTGTATCTTCACAATCTTTGACAAATGTATTAACTGCCATGATGGCCATATCTGGATGGCTCTTGGCGTAGTTCATCAAATAAAGGTAGACAAGCTTCTTAAGCTCCAAGTTATCCGTTTGCATACAATTAACAACATCTGGAAACAATGCAGAGACATCTTTCCCAACAGTCATTGATGCAATCACTTTTTTCACAGCCTCGCGCTTCTTCTCTTTTTTGTCACTGTTCAATTCCGATTTCAGCTCGAAAATCTCACCTTTCTTGGTGGTTGTAAAGTATTTTGAGTCCGTCATGATACTTTGGAAGTTTACTGAGGAAACTCTAACAAATGAGGACTAAACTCACCCTGTGGAAATGAACAGTGCCGGTGGCTCAGTTGGGGTTGTCTCTTTTCTCAATTCACCCGATTCAATCAAGAAAACGCAGGAAGACAAATAGCCAAATAGTGGTTCTGAAATTAGAGAAAAATGAACATTAGAAACCATTACAAGAGAGGAAAATCTACTGATTTTCACGTTTGGAGAAATAAACACATCACTACAGTCATGAGTGGTGGGTGTGAACGATTTAGTCCACCTTTTCAAAGTTGGATAGCTGTAGTGTTTCCCTGAAGTGATTCAAGTACCGAGTGGTTCATCTCAGCTTCATGTATATTATCCTAACCCCTCACTTGAATGAAGAGTGCGATATTATTCTACAGAGAGCAACTAAGGAACAGCTCTTATCCGAGGCACGATGTCTACAGTGATTTAGCTGCTGCGCATCAGTATAGTTCCCCAGTTTACCAAGCCTTAGTAGCACTACTTACTGGATATATCATGCTGACAAACTGAAAGCCTGAGTTTCTTTTGTCTTCTTCCTTCATCACCACCTACTTCAACTACCTACCGTTAAGCCCAATTCACATTTTCAAACTTTTCATCCAACTCCTCGATGCAACTTGTCGAATGAAAAGTTGGATGTGATACTGACAAGAGAAAACGACAATTTGATGAAAATTTGAATGTGACATCACAATCAACTTTTCGTTCGACTATCCATCCAATTGGCGGCGCCAATAGGATGGAAAGCTGAACGTAAAGTTGGAACAATATCTTCAGAACGACATGAGCCAAAGCTGTACCTACCCGAACCGCAGGCTGATGACTATATCACACTTCAGCGGTAATTTAATCAAATTTTTTGGCGTCCAGCTTTCCATCCAACTTTTCGCTCGATCGTATCGGATGATAAGTTGGAGAGTGTGAATTGGGCTTATGGATCCATCTTGGTGCTTGCACAAATTTAAGCTGGTCACCTTGAGGGTAAGGGGCCAAAGTATACAATGCTCATTTCAGCGTATGAATACTAACAGATATGGAAATACATTCAGAACTTGCGTTGAAGGTGCAATAGAAGCTGTCCAAATGATTTGGCGTTGGCCCTAACCAAGAAATGAATGTTTCTGGCCCCAGAAGAACTAGCGTTTCTGGGGTCATGCCCCAGGAATGAACTTTGAAAGCGCGATCAAAGAGATTAAATTATTCCATAATAAGGATGATTAGTTTATTAAACCACGCAAGATATGCATAAACTAAGAGACAGAGCTAAAAGGGAGGGTTCAGTTGATAGAATTACCTATTGCCTCCTGTGGTTTGGTACTGGTTTCCACGCTCCGCTGAAGAAGTAAAGTGGTGAAGATGAAGGATGAAGATATGAACTTCTGAATAATTGAAATCTAGTCTCGTTCAAGCGATTGGAAATAATATAGGCACGAATAGCGATCAAATGGTGTGAGTGCCGCCCCGATAACAAGTTATTGATAAAATTAGGCTTGTGACCGCGATCGCAGTAGCAGGTAAAAATCACTGTGATTCTTGAGTAGCAGTGATCGATCACTGTGACTGGCGAGGAACACCTGTTATTCTGCTCTTTTTTGGGCAGTTTTCATCAAAAGTTAGTCGCTGATAGTTAAACAGTGAGTAACCAAAACTTTAGTGTTAAACGGCGAAAAAAATTTACGAATAAGCTTCCACATGGTTAATCATAGTCACAGTTGGATACACTGCGATTGCGATAACGAAGCAAAAAGAGCAGTAGCAGTTTAAAAAGAGCAGCATGATAACAGTGGCAGAGCAGAGTAGCACCATAGGGCTAGATAGGGCGGATAGCCAATCACGTGAAATCTCCGAATATTACAATGCATTGTGGGTAGTGACGTCAACCAGTGATAAATCACAGGTGAAAGTAGCAGTGAATCCAATAGTGAACCCACGGAGTGCTCTGTCACTGCATGGTTGACCTAAAAAGGAGAATTTAACTTTAAAGAACATGGCATAATGATAAAAACTGAGAGCTATAAAAATATTCACCTAGATTATCACTACGAGAAGTTTTTTAAAGTTAAATTCTCTTTTTCATGTCAACCAGTGATAAATAACTCCGTGGCCTCACTGCTACTTTTACCTGTGATTCACAGATAGTTCCGGAAATTATGACTTGTGGATTGAACAGTGATAATAAAATATTACAGTATCAATTTTACCACTAAAAAGGGAATTGAGAAGAACGAGTGATTTAAAGAGTTTATGCTGTAGAAAATCAGTGGTACTTTTAATTTTGAAGATGTAGAAAGCATTTGGGCAGGATCGTTTGATAAGGTTAACCTGTGATAAATCACAGCATAACCGCCACCTGCTACTTTTCACATGTGATCCGACCAGAGTCAAGGAAGTGTCGGAGACGGCGGTATTTTTAGGTTATCCTGTGAAAAATCACTGCTACTTTTCACTGTGATTTTTGAGTAGCAGTAACAGTAATCACGTTCCCGAAAAGTAGCCGTTAAGCACAAGCCTAGATAAAATTGGTCTAGTACGATGCCACACAAACGGCACAAACCAAACAAACCGCAGTAAAGGAACAAGCATTATTTTGCTGACGTCATTAAGCACAAAGCAGCTGAACCAATCAAAATTTAAAGTGACGTAAACAAATCTCGATAAACAGTGACGTAACCTTAAATTCTAACCTCAATTTTTGAATTGCGAGTCGATGGTTTGTTTACCAACGAAATAAAAGAATTAACGAGAGACTGGCAAAGTAGTGTGACTGTGATAATTTCCTACAATATTTCAGTTCACATGTTACATAAGTGCATTTTTAATAGTTCCATAATCGTTCTCCTTCAATGGTATGAATTTTTACTCCGTATTTTTCACCTACTGATTGAATCTCATTCTCTGGTCTCTAAGGCTAAGTACTTATCAGTCTGAACTTCAGCTGAAGTGATGTTTTCCTTGGTCTACCACATGCCAGATAGTTGTATTTCCTTTTTCAATTACTGATGCCTAACTGCTCTTTGTCACTTAATTGGACATTTAGAGTTAGTATTCCCTGAGCCAGTATTTTACTCTCTCCGTCAATTGCTATCTTTTTGAAGTTGTAAAGCAAGAAGTTGGTTTTAATTGTATTGCTGTAGTAAGTCTCCAAAAGTTTACCAAAATCTTACATTCATCACCAGTTTTTCTAATTAAACAGGTTTAATTTTCAGTTAGTGTCAAGAGAGGCGTTGAGAGAGTCGTTCGGCACCAGTTGCTCTTTGAGTAGGAACAACAAACTACGCGAAAAATCCAAATAACGAAATTTTGGAGATAGAATTTGGAATGTATTGATCGAAAGAGAGAGAATTACAGATTTACAAGATTTGAAATAGTCACTAAAAGATGTGCCAAAAGGGCGAAAAAGGGCACTACGTACATGTACGGGTCAGATGGAAAAAGGACCACGATTTTGGGGCAGCGCAAGCTTTTATAGACTTACTGACGTCACAGGTGGTGAGACAACAAGTCTACACGCTATTGGCTGGCTATAATCAGTGGAGCTATCAGCTGCAAGTTCAGTAATTAAATTAATGGGCGCTTGTAGGAGATGGCTGGGTGATAGAAGTAAAAAAGAGGAAAATGGACAAAATCCAGCCATCCCTAATGAGTTAGTAAATATGCATGAGAAATTTGTAAGTTTAAGAAAGGAAAAAATTGCAGGTAATTCAGTACCTGTGACAGTTAGCTTTGCTGCTTTCAACTGTCCTCTTTGCTCTGAGATAGTTTAGTATCAAACTATAAATTATTTTTCAATCACAATATAAAGATTAGGTATTACGTTCCTCATGACGTTTCGCCCTCCATGGTCCAATTTTCTCATCAACATACATCATCGGCTAATATTTTTCTAAAGTAACTGACTATTGTAGTTCCTTACTGCTAAATTTGGTCCAATTCTAAGTATCTAGAAGGAATAAACTTTCTTTCTTCCTGTCCTTTTTCCTAACAGAAGTAATCAAAGGAAATACTTCAATGAAGTTTTTTGGAAAAAAATAATAAGATACTCTTTGAATACCTAAATGAAGGACTAAGTATATTTAGCTTGTGACATTTTTGTCCAGCAAAGCAGTTGGAGGAGTTATCTTTTTTAACTTTGTCATCAGCTGTTAAAGTTTTGCAAAAATACATGGACTGCAGTCAGAAAGATAACAGGGATTTATTGTTATTGTTAGAGTCTCTGTTGTTTTTTCATAATCATCAGGAAAACCAGTTGTTAAACTTACAGTGGGAGGTTTAGATAAAGTACCTACTTTGCATATTGTCAGAGTAAGAAATCCTCACTATTGTTGCAGAGTTATCTCTCCTCTCTGAATTTTCCTCCAAAATATGAGACTGTATGTAGTTTGAAGCTAATATTTCTTTCGTTTTTCAGAGGAAAATCAGCCTATATTATGTTTTGAAAAATCCTGGATTATATTCATTGGTTGAAAATTAATATTTTGAGATTTTGAGGGATTTTTTTCTTTTCCTTTCTTAAAAAACCTCAGATTAAATGTGAAAAGTGGTTTCATCCCGAAGTATACAGATGAATGGTTTTTACTGCACGAAACAACATCTGTGGACTAATCAATGATCATAGATTTTGTTCAATCAAGAACAATTCCAGCATTGCTTGTGAATTACAGTTTATTTTGGCTAGTATGTAAATTTACACCTGTAATGTAGAAAAAAATCAGTCTGTGTACTGATCAGTGATTGGTAATTTTCAGGACAATGATGAAAAAAAAGTATGGAGCACAGAAGATATCAGATCACATCGTAATGACTGGAGTTTGGCAGCAGATGCGGCTTTATTTGAACACATTCAGTCATTATCTAAGGTATACTATAATAATGATTTCCTCAATTAGAAGGTATCATTGATGAGCAATACTTTAAAAAATTTATATGATTATCAATTTGAGCGAAATTCGTCTCAGAGTATATTTTGTAAGCAAATTGAACACTAAGTTTTATTTTCTCACCTCAATATTTGAGTCAAAAGTATATTTCTGTTACGACGTAATTTCCACGCTAATTTTTGAGTTAAAATATTCTTCTCTAGAATTCTAAAAAATGTCATGTAATTCCTTTGTCCATAATATTTCATAATATAGTCACATTATATTATCCTCTTGTCCTTATTTTTTAAACAGCCCTTTGTAATGATCAATTTCTACAAAAGATAGAGAGATAATAATCGAATAAACAATAATCTTAATAATTTCTTACAAGAGATGGCAGTAAATTGGAGGGCGGAAAATTGGACACTGTTTATCCATGAGGGGAATTATTGTCTGGCTAGGAACTGTCTGGCAGGGAATTTGCTGTGATGAATGAACCAAACACCATCTGCAAGTGCAAAGTCGAGTATTTCTTCTTCACTTTTTTCATCCATGGTACCGAAGAAAAATTTATTTCATTAATTCTTACATACTTTTGTTAATAGAATTTCATCGAACGCACGCATGCTGTCCTACAATCTGTAGACTCTCTCAGTAACGACTTGAATGTTACTGCCACAAGTATATCAAATACCAGCGATAAATTTCTCTTCCTTGCTAATACACAATTTGTTGAAAACCGGGTCTATGATGATGAAGATTTAACTCCTTCTGGTTCGAATACTACTGTGCAGGTTTGCTACTTTTTGTTTTCAATGAATATTGAATGCATATCGTAAATGATGCCAGATATATCATTTAGACAATAACAAAAATAAAATTCCACTATGTTAGTTGCTGTGAATGAGAGAAAATAAAAAAAGAAATAAACGCCTTAACTTTTGGTCCAGTATATTTTTCTGCTCTGACGCAGGTAGGAAATGAATTGAGAGAATAATCTGTTCAATTCATTAACTTTGATTTTTAGCAAAGCAATGGCACTAAAAAATAAAGAAAATCAATCTACTTTTTATAATTTTATAATGATAAAAATAAAAAGTACCTCACAAGTAAATTTATGCACTTTAAGACTGAAAGAAGATCCGCCATCTTGCTTCTTGCATTCACTTTACATGTAAAAGTGTCAGACAACCTTCTGTTACTGTCTAGAGGTGCATAAACTTATTTGGCGTGGGCTCTAGTAAATTCCTCAATTAAAAATCACAATAAAATGAGAGCCTTTAGGTATAAAAAGACTCCACTCCACTCTTGGACTTACACTCCAAAATTCTGCAATACCCAAAAATAACATTAGATTTAATGAATTATCACTAGTAAAGTATGAAATACCTTAAATGGTATTATATATCAATGAAGAGTCGAGTTGTCGAGTTGTGGTCCCTTACTTTTGAAGCAGCCATAGAGGAGGCATGCTTTGTTATTTTGAGGAGGAAGGAGGATTTTTCAATTTGAAATAAGATACTGGGAAACCCAGAGATATCCCTAATAGCAAGTATTTTCCTTTTTTCCTAATGTGTTTTACCAAATTTTTTTCCTATATCATTCCAATAGCCCAAGCCAGAATTGGTTGAAAAAGAATTATCGAGCATTTTTGAAGATGCGTTTTCTCGTGGAATAGACTTAGTTGATGCAAATTACACTGAGTTTCGGCTACAAGAAAGTGACTCAGAAGATGAAGAGCTCTCTTCCCCAAGGTATTTATCTATATAAAACATCAAATCCTTTACATTGTATGTCTTTCCAATTATGTATCCCTTCAACCAACAAGATAAATTAGAAGGTTTCAATGGTATGACAATGTTATGCCCTCTCTGTTTTATTGTAGATAAATAATTAGATTGTAGATTTTTGTCCATATTTGGATACAAAAATAGCCCAATTGTAGAGGGTTTTGATGGGTTGGGGTGATGAGTGATGCCATATCTTAAATTAAAACACCTGTAATTCGATGTTTAGTGCTATACATAATCCACATCTCATTTGTCATCAAAGGAGATGAATAGATGCTGAGATTGTAGACAAAAAGAAAACAGGGACAGTTGAGATCAAATGGTTTGAGCAGCGGTGGTTCCCTCCCTCCCTGGCACATGATTCAACAGTTGCCAACCCTCCTTTCTTCATAAGGGCAGTCTCCTGCGTTTCGTCTTTTTCATTCCTTTTACAAGAGAAAAAAGTGTGCATGGTACGCCAGAGGTGCGGAAAATGCCCAATCTTGCAATTGTAGGATCTCAGTAATCGGCCGATCTTCGGATCGGGAGGCCAATTTTGGGCTGTGAAGCAAGATCGTATTCTCAAAAAAAAAGGTAAAGTATATTATAGGGGTTTTAAGCGGCATAAACATGAATTTTACGACTTTACTCCAAGGGTTTCTCCTGCTTTTTTTGGGAACTAAGAACATGTAGAGGATCATCAATTCCCTAACCTTGTTTTCTCTCGTAAAGTTCTGGTAATTTCTTGCATTTACTTTATGCAATATAATTGTGAGTGCCAAATTTCGAGTTTATTCAATCTGATCGGTCCTCAGTCTAATTTTTGCTCTCATACTGTGCCACTACATTTTTAACCCATTAGGATCGAGAATCAAAAGTAAGTTTGTTTCTTTTCCCTATCAATGTGACAGACCTGCAAAATCATCACATGATTTTGTGGTGTTTTTAAATGTTATCAGTTTTTTTGTTTGTTCCTCAGACGTATGAGCGTTTAAGTCTAACTTTTCTTGCTAATGTTGTAACACGCAGTTGTACTCCTCTACTTTTGAAAATGTTTAATCCCATCCCCCACTGTTTTCATTCTATTCTTTTGATTATTCCGCGTAGACAATCTCCCTTGATTTCTGCTCTTTTCACCTCATCCATGCTGTTATTTCATTGATTTTTGCTCTCTATTTTTACAGCCGCCTAGTCCCCAAACCAAAGAATCGCTACTCTGCGCGATCACTCCCCCATGTGATAGGATCTGCAGAATTTTTTAAAGACGATAAAGTTGGCCTCGGCTCACCGTCGGGAAGTAGTGACTCGAGCTCCACCTCAAGTCTTAGCGAAGATGAAAATGAAGATGAAGAAATTGGTTCGGCTGCACTGAAACCTAACATTGGTCGAGTGCGTATCTTTGATCCATAACCTGCATTATTTGTCTCATTTTTTCTTAGTTACTGTTATACATGCATAATCAAGAATAATTGTTATATGCCATTGGATTCATATCTTTAATCAGTAGCAATGGTGTGCACTTTATGTAACCTTAGATGCATTCATATACAGGGCAGTAGCAAGAAATTTTTGCAGAGTTGCTCAATAGTTTCCAATCAAAAGCCGACAAGTTGACGTAGCTAGGTGATGCCTGAATCTGAATTCAGCCAGTCAGCAAACGCCCACCAACCCAACATCCCCCACCTGGCTATGTCATCAGCGCCCGCCAAAAATATTTTTTTGAACAAGTCCCATTCATGGCATTTTCAAAACAAAGTTTCTGCACCGTTTAACGTTAAAAAAAATCTGAAAATTTCTTCAAAGCTTAGTTCACTCTGTACTTTCAGAAAATGAATTGAAAAATGAGTGCTACTGACCCATTATGTCACTCACTTGGAGGAGGAAAGAAATGCGGTCTAGTTATGTAACTGATGCTTAACTGAGGAAAGAGAAAGGGTATCGCATCGTTGATATGACAAAGAGATTTGTGTTCAGCACAAATTAATATTTCTCCATAGTTCCTGCTAAAAGACCGACCGAAAATGATGATTTTTCATTGAAATAGGGAAGTGGGTGAGGGAAGGGGGTGTGTGTGGCGAATTCATGAAATAAAGTGTAATGTAGGTATTTTTGTGAAAAGTGCATTGGGAGGGGCCAAGAGGAATCTAAAATTCCTGACCTTGTCTTAATTTGATCATCAATGGTGTAAATATCGACAAATTATTATCTTTCTAGGCCTCTCTATCCAGTAGATCTGTTGAATCGCCCGGGAGTATGGAGGAATCAAAATCCCCCTCACCGGCGGATGATATGTTTGGAAGATATGGAGATAGCCTTAATTCCTCTGGAAAATTTCAGGTATGTAAAAAGTTAATGTAGTTTATTGAGTTTTATATCATCAAAGGACTGGATAAAACCTTTGGTATTTTACTTGTACGTAAAACCATGAAAACGGACCATCAGACAAGATGCAAATTGAAGTATTATGATGTATGTTTTCTCATCAAAATTTCACACAGAACACAATTTGTGCAACAGACGTAATTGAAAGTAAGAGTAAGTCCTTATCAAGATACCAACGTTTTTATTTAGCTAGATTTATGAAATATTTGAAGTTCCAGCTCATAAGGAAACTGTAGGGTCTAAGTGGATCAAATGGCTTCCTCATAATTGCATTGAGATTGCCTCTTAATCAAGCAGTGTTCCCTTCCACTCTGCGCTGTTCAAAGTATAAGCAATATGTAGCAGCTGAGCCAAAGCAGTGAGATGAAGGCTATAATTTTGCACTGTAGCGATGTTTGCAGTAAAGTTTAGTTTGCAATTTAACTTTAGTAGAGCAGGGTTTTTGTTTTAGCGGGATGTTTGAGTTCATATATCAAAAAATGTTAATATTTTGGTTAGGAGAAGTTAGTCTCATTAATTTCTGTTGCTCAAATTGTGTTCTGTGTGAAATTTTAATGAGAAAACTCATATTATAATGCTTGAATCAGCACCTTGTCTAGAGGTCCATTTTGAAGGTATTACTTGGTATTTTTTAGTTTGTATTGACTGAACTAAGATGAAAGTTGATGTAATTTACTTCAAATACTCCCTAATATTTTGGATCTCCTTAAAAATATCCTCAAAAAGTTTCAAAAATCCAAAATTTGCTCTGACTTCCAGTCTATGCACGAATGAAAGAAAAAATAATTTATATTCTACACTATTATCATGAGCTAAAAACAGGCCCTTATTTATGTTTTTGTACCGGATTTAGCCACTTTTCCTCTGAGTTTTAGTTTCATTCTATTGATAGAGCCTCAGTTTTGGAGGTGGGAGACCTTCATCCTCCCATCAAGCTTTAGTTTGTAAGAAGATATCTGAAATATATGAATGAGAGTGTAAATGAAGTGCAAAAGGAAGAATGTTAAGTAACTAAACTAGTGACTCATATATTTTAATTTTTTATTTAAAAAAAAAAAAAGACAGAAAATCTTATAATTCCTGTTTTTTCAGATAATGGTAATATTATCCAATGTTACTTTTTATTTTTAATTGATTTAATTAAGTTTATTTAAATCACGTAGGTGGATACAAGACATATTCTTGTAGTAGTTATGTTATATTAAAATAAAATTTGTTTAAAGAAGGGAAAAAAAAGCCTCAGTTTTGAGAAAATTATTGCTTTCTTACCTTTGCTCTTGCCACTTATACGCTTTTTTTCTTTCTTTCCCCCAGCCTAATGAAGCCAAGCATTCCAATCAGCTGAATCATGCAGACATTTCAAACCAATATTCCAAACATCGCAGTGATATAAAGAATAATGAATCCCCTGTTCAAGAAGCGGTCCAGCCTTCGAGTAAAGATCTCTTTAGTCATCACATAGGTGATTATCTCTCTTTGCTTCTTCATTTTTTTTGTTTATCTGTGTTATTTCCTTTCAAATTCAACGTAAACTTGAATCTGCTTCAGTATGAAAAATCTTTTCCTTCTTAACCTCAGAATGAGAGTCATTATCTTCTGCTGCATAATTGCGAAACCCTGTTGAGCCTGCTAATATTTCGGCACCTAACTGTCGAATAAATCATACCCTTTAAGGTCCTCTTACTTGTGGTCTTTTTTCTTTGTTTTCATTATCACTATCATGTCAACCCTGTGACTTCTTATCTCTGATACCACTTTCGTTAATTTCTTGAATATGCCCTGCATATTTCAAGTTTCAAATGAAAGGGTACGTTACTGTAATGCTTGTTGATTTCTCCATTGAATCTGATTGATACCATGGCTAGTGTTTTGGGTTTTTTAACATAGAGTTTTTTTATGAGTATGGAGGAGTCAGCCCAATGATTTAAACTCCAACCTAGAGGACCAGCATTTGATTTTGGAGTACTTTCTTTCGGACAGGTTACTTCCACCACAGCCAAGAGGCTTGTCTGCCCCACTTGTTTATTCTGCGGGTAGGAAGTTACCTACCTATCATATTTGAAGGGCATACCTCTATCCCCCACCCTGAGGATGCGCTCTCCAGAGATGACAGGCTGTCTAATTCACTTTTATAATTTAAATTTTCCTCCAAAGGAGCCTTTATCTCCTTTTTTTTAATTATTGAGAAGACCTCCAATTGAGAATTAGGGGGGATTTGACTTAATCTCTGTAAATGCGACCATTCTTGAGCAAAAGGGCCTTATCTCATGGAATTAAATTTGTTAGGAGAGCAGCACTTCGACGGTGTAAGTCGGCAATCACATGACTCTGTTTGCGACATCGCAGACTTCCTGTCATTCTTTATTTTTTAAACAAAAAACTGCTCAACGGCAATTTTTTAAAACTGCTGTGATTTTTCTTCTCTGTGCGAAGAAAATTCTGCAAAAACTTCAAGGAATGATGTCAATTTGTTCTCCTTTAAAAAAATAACATAGTGGCGGTGATTTTCAGACACCCCAAACGAGATATGTGACTGCGGACTTACGCTGTTGATTTGTTAAATTGTGTTTGTAAGAAGTGTTAATAAAACTCCCTCTAAACAGTAGGATCATTATCTTAATTTTTTAGTTTTTAGCACTACACACCAAGCTTCTAAGCTTCCTTTCCATGTGGACGGTCACAAAGGGAATCATTTTTCATACCTGTCCCTATTTTTAAGCACCATGCATTTGCTCTCCATTGTAAAATTCAACTTACTCCTTTATTTCAGGTCCCGCTCCAAGTTTGTTTGCTCCTCCTCCGTTCAATGCTGAAGAAAGTAGCGAAGATAGTGATAATGAATCACTTTTTGCGGGCAGGAAACACAATCGTAACCATCTCTTTACTGATGATGATGAAGATGATGACGACACCCCCGATCTACAAAACAGAAAGCAAGAAATTGATAATACTGGTAAAGTGCTAATTCTAAAAAAAAAATTCTCCTTGCTTTTTGGGTGTTTTGTGGTTTTTAAGGGCATGCTCAACACTGCGCAGTAAAAAATGTCTTTTTGTAAGTATTTAGTGCCTAGGACTAAAATAATCAAATGAAAATGTGTTGGGGAAAAATTACTGATGGCAAAATTATTATTCAATAGTCTCAGAGATTTACGTCAATCGGACTGAGAGTTGCGTTTCACTGTCATCCTCGTGAAAATTTTGTTAGAAGACCTTTTGTGGCTTGGAAAAGGAAGTCTGTTAGCCAGCGGGGAATTTGAACAGCCAATCATGATTAGATTAAGCATTACAGTCCCTTAGTATGCAGTAACCAAATTCACACAAAAAATCAGCATGCTACTGTATTCTATTATGCATTGTGTCAGTCCATCTTTATAGTAACCGCAGAAATAATAAAATGAAGTGATTATTCGGCGGTACCGTACCGCCAAATGATGCCATCCATAAAAAAATTTCACATGACAATTGCGCACGTTATGGAGTTAAGTATGCAACACAATTTTATTTTCATACTGCTGAAAGAGTTAAATGACACTTCTGTATCTTCTGAAATAAAACGAGTAAAAAAATTAGATTAGTATTCTGGTCTGTGCATGAGGTAGACAGAGTCATTCAATCAAAACAGGAAGGAAGCTGATCAGCATAAATTTTCACTAAAATCTTTGCAATGTTTTTGAATGAGGATGTAAAAAATTTTTTCTGAAACTCTGAGTTTTCTCATCTTGTAATTCATGCTTCTTTGATCGTCATTTCTTTTTCAGGGTGCCAGATATCTTCCTGGGCAAGAATTTTGAAAATAAATCCAGAAAAATATATTTTTGGTCCACTGTTCGAAAATAGAGACACATAAATATCCAAGATTGGAAACTGTTTGTCCCTTTAGGTTGTCATGACAAAAACTGGACTTTCTCTTGTTTTATCATTGAGGAATAACGCAAATTCAGAATTTTAGGAAATTTAAAGAATTTTTTCTTTTTAGTTCCAAATTTTCAGGTTATTTTACTCTTCAAATTCCTAAATCTCTGTCACTTTGTAGGAGGGAGAGTCTTACTCGTTTTATCCAAGAGGAGTTAACAATATCAGACCCTTCACTTTGATCTCCATTTTTTAAGAACAGACCTAAGAAGATTTTTTTTTGCTTCATTTCCAAAATCCATCATGGAAAGGCGAACCTTTACCTTAAGTATCATTTTGAAATAGCTCCCTAGTTCTTTAGATGGTTTGATCTATCTGAGCTGTACTCATTTTCTCACCTTCTATTTTCTCTCTTTAGGAAAAGAGCAGATTTTACAGAGCAGTCAGCCCCAAGAAGTACCTAAATTAGATTCAAATGTTCCCAAGGAGCAAACTCCCATTAAAAAGGTTAGTATCTATATTTTTTTTTCCTTTTTCAACTCACAAAAGTCACCAATATCTTTTTGATATTTCTTAGCTGATATGTGTGTTGAGACATCGTATTTTAATTAATATACAGTAAAACCTGCATACATTGTCCTATGCTTCTATCGGAAACCAGCTTATATTGGAAATTTCGTCATGTCTTTTTGCCCATGAGAACAATGTAAAAAAAACCCGGATATATCGGAACTGCATATATCGGAACCCGCTTATATTGCAACAAAATTTCGGTCTGAAACCGATATAAACGAAAGTTTCCCCCAAAATTCTGCACAGAGTTTCAAAACTTACGCTGTTGTATCGTCAGCGATTATTCCAAAGAATCAAGATAACAGAAATGCCTTTCCGTTACCGGTGGCACACGAATCGGTTACGTGCCTCATACTGCCCCGCGAGACGCGACTGATAATGAATTCAATAGATCGTATTTGATACATCAAATGGGTCGGATTGTATCGATATCGATTGGTTCAGCTGGAACATTGGCACAGCTTGGTTCAACATTGGAAGCCGACACCCGGCATGACTTATTAATGCTGGGTACCCAGCATCAAAAGTGAACACTAAAACTAAAACACTAAAAAACACTTAGAAGAATCACTTTAGAAAACATCTTACCTATGTTACATCTAACCTTTGTTCATTAGCTTCTTTCCTAATCCTCTTTGTTTCTTTGTTTACCATATTCCAAAGAATATAATGGACTTTCCTTTTTCTTTACAGCTTCCAGCTGGTGCTGTAAGCATATTTGGTAGGAATATGAATCCATTTCCACCTAATCCTTCATTATTTTCAAGAACTGAAGAGAGCGATGAAGATGAAAATGAACAAACTCCAGAATCAAGCTCGGAAGATGGTTTTTCGGTTTCTCATACAAGTTCAACTGACTTTGGAAATCCTAAATTGTGAGCATTTTTCTAAAGTTTTTACTGTGGTTCTTCAATCAAATAATTGAATTTCATTGTTTTTACCTTTTTCTGCTAAAATTTTCTCAGAGCAAGTCGACGGTAAAGATACTGTCTAAAACTTCCAAACCGTGAATTTCCATAGAATGAGAGACCTCTGCATAAGGAGGCAAATTTTTTGGAAAAGCAATTTGGTCCAAGTGGGTTAGAAAAACGGAGACAGAGTGTTTAATAAGTAACACCCCCTATTTTCCTACAAAATGAGTTGCAGCTGGTCCAGCAAGCATACTAACAGGGTGTAGAGTTGCGTACTTATCCAATAATATTGAGCTTTAAACATGGCAGACGAAAACTTGAAATAGCTTTTTCTTAAAACTGCAGTTTTGGATAGTAAAACCTGAATCGTTATGACTTTGCTTTAGTTGACCTTTTCATGCATTTGTTTGCCAATAGTTTTGTAAATCACTCCTTTAAGTAGTGGTATCAATATCTATCTTGAATTTTTCATGCCTCTAAGGTTTCTTTTTTTTGTGTCCTGATAATAGTCGATGATTTCGTATACTCACACTTAAGGCTCATCTTCTTTATCTCCCCATCAATTCCAATTTGACTTTTTGCTTCATGCACAGATTGGGACTATCTACACAAAGTGAAAGAAAGCTATTTGTCAATCTTTGTCAAATAGAGTGCTCCGTTGTCTTTGTAATTGAATTTAAGAATTTCTGAACTCTTTTCCCCCTGAAATAAATTTTCCACCAGTTTCTTTATGTTTTTGATGTCTTTTTATGTCTGTTAAAATTCTAACCAAGGGAATTGAAAAGTTAACTTACTCAGGATCAAGCTTTGATTTAACTTGTCACTCCATTCAACAACTTGCCTAATCTCCAAAGAAAAGTGAAGGAATGTTTTTATTTCAAATAAATCAATCCGTATGATTTTCTCTGTTTTAGTGATCCATCATCATCTAAAGTTTCTGCGCCAATCAAAAAGTCTCTTTTTGACGACGATGAAGATGTAGATAGCAAAGATTTCAACTCTCACCTTTTTAAACCTGGCACTATTCCCTCAAGAAAATCATCTGATAGTCCTGGGAAACCCTTCAATAGTATATTCTCTGACGATACAGAAGATCTCTTTAGTACGAGCAAAAATACAACAAAATCAAATAGTCAACCTTCAGTTGTGCCTCCAGATGAGACAAGGAGCCCTTTCAAAGAATCAGGTAGCGCAATCAAATCAGTGAACTCTGCAACCCCTGCAACAGTGGCTGGTGCAAAACATAGCCCTGAAAGTCCGAAAAAAGGACTGTTTGGAACTGCGAAATCTGCATCCAGTGGCCTATTTGATTCAGACGATGACCTATTCACCTCATCTGAGAAAGAATCAGCTTCCATCGCAAAAAGCCAGGTCTCACAAAAAACAAGTGATACAAGTAAAAAGAGTCTCTTCGGTGCAAGTGATACTGTTGATTTTACAAAATTGGCAAGTCCTCTCAAATCGAATACTCAAAATTTGAGCAAAAAACCATTATCAGATTTATTTGATGACAATGAAGATGATGATGATGATGATTTTCTATTCAGCAGTACTATCAGTAATAAGAAATCCATTTTTACCTCCAGTAAAAACACCCCTGAAGCAACTGTATTATCTGCTGCTCTGAATAGAGGTCCTTCAGAAGAAGACTTGTTTTCCAAAAGTAATGAGATTTCAGTCGGAGATCACCCTCCAGAGCAACAATTAAGTCAAAATATATTCAATGATGACGAAGAAGCAAGTATATTCACCAAACCTGCAGTGAGTAAAGTCAAAACTGGTGAGATAAAGGAGCCTGCTAAATCGACCTCACCAGCGAATGTTGCAGGAGATGAATCTCCCAACGGAGACAACCTGTTTTCCAGAAAGAACAAAACCTCTATTATAGATCACCCCAAGAAGGAAAAATCAAGTGCCAATATTTTTGATGATGATGAAGAATCAGGTATTTTTGACAAATCCATTTTGAGCAAAGTCGAGATAAATGAGTCAAAGGAGCCTCCTAAATTAACATCAGCGGTGAATATTTCAGATGATAAAGATCTCAGGAAAGATGACCTCTTTTCTGAAAGCAGTAAAATCTCCAACAGGAATGTTCTTCCCAAGAAAAGTTCAGGGCTAAGCCTTTTTGATGATGAGGACGAATCCAGTGTATTCGCTGAGTCAATTACGACTAAAATTAATTCTAGCTCTGACAATCCTAATTTGGATGATCAAAGTAAAACTGCTTGTACTGTGATGGGATCAACCTCGCCCAAAGTGCTCCCTACTGAATCGAGTGTTAAAAAACAAAGCATATTTGATGATGATAATGATAGACCAAAGAAAGAAACTTTGTCTGAAGTAGCATCTGATGTTACTTCGCCCAAAGGTGAAGACACTATAGCAAAAGAGGCTCCCTTTGAGAGCAACTCCGGTGATACAAAAAGAAAACCAGAAAAATCTCCAAAACCCAGTGCTAGTGCCTTATCAGAGATCGATAAACTTAAAAGGAGGTTAATGACAACCAAAAGTGATGATTTTTCCAGTGACGACAGCTCTCCAAACCCTAAGCCAAAAACTGTCAATCCAGGTTTGTTAAATTCATAATTTTTTCTTACTTATAATGCTACGTTACTCTTAACAGATAGAAAGTTTACTTTTTTCATCACAGTCAAATAAGGGCTTTAAGTAGAAATGTAACTACAGGAAGTGGCGAGTGTTCATCTACTCAAATCTATATCTATATTCAATAGCCGGGGGGGGCAGAAACTTTTTGACCTAACGACCAGCCTGGTCTGGTGCTGGTTGTGTGCAATGAGAGAACCTTCGTGAGAACGGGTAAAAAAAGGGGAATCCTCATGAAAACGAGACAACATGGGGAACTCGGTACAAAATAAGGTGACATAACGGTTAAAAAGTCTTATCATTCGGATAAAGATTTTCTTTATAGTCTTTAAGGGCAAGTGATGATGAATTTTGGTGAAAAATGAAAGAAGGTTGATTGAATTTGGGAGAAGATGAATTGAATCTGGAGGAAGACTAGAAACTTTCTGCTCCTCTGGTCAAAAGTTATCAGTATCAGTGAAGAGTTTGGGTTGTTTAATATTCTGGTGAGAGGGTTTGACCACCAAAAATTCAGAGGTGGTTTGAAGAATAAATATGTAACTTCTAACTCTGCATATTTTATGCCTCTCTGCTATCCATCTCGGCTCCTTTCTTTCTTTTTAGATAATTTAAGAGTATAGGTAGATTTTAATTGGGTGAGAAAAAAGGAACACTGAAAATCCAGTGGAAATTTCATAGAATGAGTAACTCCACAAAGTTCATGTCATGTCTCCCCTCAAAAAGGGATCCTGGAGGAAAGTTTTCGGCTGCTCATCTTATGTTCTTTTACTCTCTTTAAATCAGATTTTCAAAAGAGTGAGAGAAAAGGTGCTCAAAAAATATAATGGGAACCATGAAAATGAAACAATTTTACATCATTTATCCCAGAAATATTTATAGAAATATAAATGATATTCTGTGGCTTTATCGTTTTCCCTACTTCTTTAAAATCGTAATTTAAAAAAAAATCTCGAGTGTTCAAATTGATCCGCAGAGAAAAATTAGCATTAGTGAGAGACTCTTTGGTCAGAGACATTTGTCTCTGACCAAAGAGTCTATTTTCTTTTATTGCCTTGTAGAAATAATATTTTAAATGTTCTTGTGTTTGTTGTTCCAGGAAAACTAGCGCCAAATCGAGGTCATAATATTAACATAGCGGCATTGATGCCAGGCTACAAACGCCCTAATCTTCAAAAGAGTGAAGTCGTGGAAGTATCGGGTGAAACTTTGTCTAACAGTGAATCAGCGCCAGCACTTGCCAATATATCTAGTCAGCAGCCAGCAAAATCACTCACTGTCAGTGGACAAGTCCCCAAGTCCACCTCTCTTCCAGTATCTTTTTCAAACAACGATATTTTGTCATCTGATGAGCCCTCTGATTTCAGTTTTCCTGCAGAAGCCTCTGGTTATTCACATTTCTTAGCAAACGATGCCATGAAGGTGAGATATTTTTAATTTCATTCATTAAACCTACTTTTTTACTCTATTTCAATAAGTCTGTTGCGAGAGATGCAGCCAAGTAAATAGACTCTCTGCGGGTAAAATCGCGCAATTGGCACATTAAAAAAATCTGAAATCCACTCATAAGTGTGCGATCAGCTTGTTTTGTAATACATATTTTAAAGTTTCTCACGTCTTTGGGCAGTTTTTCCTCAGTCACCGGTGATCAAGTTTGCACAGACAAAGGAGTAAGATTATCTAATCTGAAAGAACAAACAATTTTGCATTTCTAGTGTATGATTTCAATCATTTCAAGCGTATGTTTCCCTCCTCTCTCTTTATTTTGCAAAGACAAAAGCTTTGAATCGATTGAAATCTTATGCAAGGAAAGTTTTAAACAGTTCGTGAGATGGTTTGTCTATTTAGGATAGATTTTTTTAAGTCTCTTTCTGGGCAAACCTAACTGCCGGCGGCTGAGAAAAATTTCCGGCAGACGACAAGTTACTTTCTATGCAGATTGCGCATTAAGGTGTGGATTTTAGACTATTTTGATGTGCCTAAAGTGATTCTTGTGCCATTTTACCTGTAGAGAGTCTATTCTTTTAGCTTTATTTCTTGTACGCAACAGACCTTTCACTCAATGTTGTCACTGAAAATGGCTAAAAAACACCCAGTGTGGTTTTAATGGTAATAGAGTTAATACATTAATAAGTTTTTTAATCTTAGTGTTTTACCATGTTCCCAATGTTCGTTTTACGGATGTTGCAAGTACGGATGTAAAAAGATCGAAATAGCTATCATCTAAGTCTAAAAAATCAACATGTCTGGGGAAAACCAAAGTAAAATTATCAGTTACATTTGCAATTATTTTTTTAAAATAATGATACATTTTTGTAGTAACTTATAAGAAATGCCTGCCCTGATGTATAGGTTTAGTCACAGTGTAAACTGAAGTAACCACATTTTTTCATCGTTTTCGATGTGCACTAATTGATATTACCTGCTTCCCTATAAGAAAATTGCCGCTATCCTTTTACTCTGTCAATCGTATGGTGTCGTTTGTAGTTGAATCATTATTAATTATTGTTTGTCTGCAATAAAATTCTACTTTTTGTTTCTATCATCCATTAATTTATTTTATTCACAGAAAAGGGCAAAAATCAGTGTGAAACGTCGGCCACCCAGTCAGAAAGCTCGACAAGAGGCAGCTAAAGCACCTGTAATTCTAGATACAACAAATGGCAGTCCCCCGCCAAGAGAATCATCAAGGCCACCAGAGGATGTACTTGAGAAATCTGTGACTACAGAGGAAAACAATGCTAGGCTCACCAAAAATACTGCTTTATCTGATGATTTGTTCAGTAATCGTGGAGATGGATCCAATGATTCTGTTTCTCATAGCATTAGATCAACTTCACCTAGGAACAATCCTCCCTTCTTGGAGGAAAATACAGTTTCAAAATCTGTTTCATCCCTTTTTGAAGATAGTTCTCCCCTTCAATCGGGTGAAGAGGAACCAAAAACCAAGTCACCAGCTACCTTTAGAAGAGAAGAATCAGATCGACTAAAATCAGTTTCATCCATTTTTGACCCAACGCCTCCTCCGTTTGAACCAGATGATTTATTCAGTGAAAAACCGTCTGACCAATCAGTGAAAAACTCAGTTTCAGAATCCCCGTCCACTCAACAGAGTCACTTGTTTTCAAAGAGGACTGCATCCCTCTTTGATGATAGCTCGCCCTCCTCAGAAAGTCAAAGCGATGACTTATTTGGTCCTTTGCCTGTTCAAAAATCGAAGCCCAAACAAGAGATAAGTGCTCCTGATCTTGCAAAGTCAGATGAAGTATCCTCTCACATTCCTATTGTTGATAACAAACCAAAAGTGCCTGCCGTATCTAAGTCGTTTGAAATTGAATCAGATGATCTCTTTAGCCCTTCAACTGCCAAAATGTCTGTCCTCGATTCAGATAGTAAATCCAGAGAGGTGCCCTTGGTTTCAAACATTTTTGATGATAGACCTCCACCTTTCAAACCAGATAGCATGTTTGATGAAGATCTCTCATCTTCTGCTGTTGATGAGCTAGTGTCAGATTTCTCAGCTTCTGTGATCCCTCCGCAATCTGTTTCCTCCATTTTCAGAGAAACCCCTCCTCTCTTCGAACCTGAGTCTGAGAGCCCAGTCAAAAAACTGAGCCAAGGGCAAATGACAGGTTTAATCGAGGAAACAACATCATCCAATGAAGCACAACTAACGAATGAAGATGCTAAAGCAATCTCTAATTCAGAGAATAAGAATCAGGCTGTCCACACAAGCCCAGCCAACATAATCACACACCTTGCCCCAGAACTTGGAGATGAGGCTCCATCTGGCTCCATGAAGTCAGAGAAATCAATTGAAATTGCTCCAGAGAGCTCTCACACAGTGTCTGACGCAGGTTCTCCTTTTTATTCGTCTGGTGAAAAGAAAGGAACAGATACCTCTCTTGCGGACAGTTCAACAAGCGCGCTTGAATCCTCTTTGTTCAATTCACCCACAAATGAAGATGATTTATTCTCCAATCCAAGTGTTAGGCAAAAAGCACCAGAATTAAAAGCTGTTGCCAGAGTCCCATCAGAAACAGAGAGCAAAGGAAAAAATGAAGAATCACTTCTCCATAAGCATGATGAGGCAACAAGTACACGGAAAGATGTATTAACTGCTGGATCAAAAACAGGGAAGGCCTCTGACGTAAAAAAATCTTCTCTTACATCCGAAAACCCTCTACTCGATAATTTGTCTGATGAAGATCTTTTTGGTTCATATAGCACAAAACCGGTCGTTTCAGCATTTAACAAATTCAGACCCGGCAACTCAAAGCCTGTTTCTTCTATCATACCAAACGAGGTAAATTTCAATGACTCAAAAAGTGAAACAAAGACGGAAGATAACTTGTTTTTTGAAACAGACAACATTGAAAAATTATTCCCAAAAGTGAAAATCGGTCCCAAAAAATTACCTCGTGTTGATCCGTTGTCTGAAGACTTTGGAGACAGCGATGAAGAGGATATATTCGACAATTCCTCCTTGAGCCCAGTTGGAGAGGGAAACCGAAAACCGGAAGAGTCAAGTAATAGTGATGGCCCCAGTTTCAAGCCTGCCGAAAGTATGGACGATAGTTCAATGATAGAGGAATCTTTCAAAACAGCCCCATCTATCCATAGTGATCTTGATAAATCCAGTGATTTAGTGTCACCAGGAGAAACTAATAGTCACCCAGTTAAGGCAGAAGATAATACTGCTTCACCAACAGTTGAAAAACAAGATGATACAAAGCCTGTGGGACATGCCACCTCATTAGAAGATGAAAATCTCTCTAAAGAAAGCTCTTCATTATTTGATGATGATGATGATAGGAACGATTTATTCAAAATTGTCTCTCAGCCCAAATTACGAAGCTCTGTGGCCCCCGAGACTGTCATTGGTAAAGTTTCGAAGTCAGGGCTTTCTTTATTTGGGGATGAAGAAGAAGATGATGATACTTTATTTGGAGTACCATCGAAGCTCTCGACAAAAAATCCTGTAATTTCCAGTTCAAATTCGTTGAATAAAACAAATCCTTCGCCCAGAGGCAGTTTTCCAGGCAGAACTTCTCTAACAAGCGGCTTGAAAAGAGGAAGTCCAAGCTCAGAAACAGCAAAATCGCAGACATTGTTCCTTGATGAAGAAGAAGATGAAGATCTATTCAGCTCTGGGAAAGTGAAACCGTCTAAAGTTAAAACTGTTGAGCCGTCGAAGAAGAAAGTGTCCCTTCCAAAAGTAAATGCTTCCAGTATTTTCGGAGATGATGAGGACTCTGATACAGAACTTTTTGCCGCCAGTTTGAAGAAAAAGTAATTTAATCAACGAAAGTAATAATTTAGTGAAGAGTATTATTGTCGAGTATTTTATAGCTCTTTTGCATCTCTGTAAAAGACAGGTAGCGATACGTTTCTTTGCCGCAGGTCTTGCATTTTAGTAAAGTGAAGATCTTTTCATTAGAAGCCAGGGCAATTGGACGTATTTCTATCTATCAAACAGAACTATGTGCAGGTGGGGAAGATGGGGTGTGCTTGTAAGTTGAGGGCCGTAAGAATAAATGGGAATTATTAAGTGCCAGTGACGTCTACGGCGACAATGAAGCCGGAGAGTGACGATCCGAGGCATCAACTCATGAACCCCGTCTACAGTGCTCTGGAGACATGCCCACGGCTCATGAGTCCCGCATACAGCTTTTGCTGAATCGGAAAAGCGGGATTTTACATTCTGCCAAACGGTATTATGTGCCAACTTTATGCGGGACTAGTGAGCCGTGGACAGGTGTCTAGAACGTTGCGGACAGGGCTCATAAGTTAATGCCTCGGATCGTGGTTCTTCAGCTCGGTCGTCGCTGCTGACGTCACTGGCGCTTTAAGATCCCCATTCATTTTTACGGCCCTCAACAAACGAGCATACCCCATCTTCCCCACCTGCACATAGTTCTGTTTGGTAGAAATACGTCCAATTAAGCTCTAAAAGTTTGAGCAAATGAGCAGGAAGCCTATTATTTAAATTTTTTTGTTCGCCAACAAGGCGCAACATGATCAATTCAAAATGCAGTGTTCTCATCGGTCAATCGGACCGAATACGAGAACAATGAAGTGATTGAATGAAAGATGCTGCTACTCTATTTTGAGTCAGTCATATACCCTATCAACTAAGACGAAACTTCTCCTGACTTCTAGTTTGAAAACGCACAAGGCATTCAGCCATTTTTGAAATCAAAGTGTGCGAGTTTTATTTTAGTATCATCTTAGCATTGTATTTCAAGCCAAAAATTGGTTATTGTTTACATGTTAAGTCATTGTATGAAACCGCTTATGAACCGTGATATGGCACATTTACTCCATTTTAGTTTAAGTAGAAACGGAAATATAGAGTCCTCGCCAAATAAGTCCAAGTACTTTTAGGGAGTGGCAAAAGAGCTGCTCTTTTGGTTCTTGTATTTTCTTTCAATGCAAAATTGAAGGCAGCTGATCTTCGTTCGCGTTCTGCAAGTACATTAACTTATTTTGCTAGACCCTATTTTCCGTAGCTTTATGTTCTCAAATGACCATAACTGTACCTTCAAAAAATGTTTATTTTTTTATAATATGAGGTTTCCCCCCCTCAAATAGTTTTTAATACAGTCATCTTCTTGAACCTGAACTCTTTCAAAAATATCTTGAACACAATACATATGTACCTTGCGAAAATTTCAAAGCTTTAAAATAAATAGCCACTGCACCAATCTTTTAGCACATTTTTGCTGCTTATTGTTGAGAGTCAGGGTAATGCTATCGATTGAGTTTTCCAATGTTTTTGAAAACTTAAAATTCTGCAACAAATCGAAACACTTTTGCTCCTTTTTATTTTGAAAGCTCTTTGACGATAACAATTGGTGCTTTTAATCTTGTAGATACATTCTTAATATCTGGCTGCTGATTTCCTTTGAAATCGCGTATATTTGTCTGCCAAGAGAATATGGACTTTAATGAGGTAGGGCATTGACCCGCAATATTTGATTTTGTAAATTTTTTTATCATGTGTTGTTTAAAATTCGACTCTCAAAGTGAGTTTAAGAATTATTGTGCTTATCAACAATATGCTTGTTTTTCTAGATTCATTGTTATGTACATATACACCTGTTGAAATTGTTTTTATTAGATTTGTATCAGTGCTAGGTTTTTAATCATGTTTCAAAGTGCATTTGGGATGCGAAGTCAGGGTTTTTCTTTTTATTATGAGCTGAAGTAAAAGGAATGAAGGGGGGGGGGATCATCACACACATAGTCCTAAAAATTTAATGAAAGAAATTAGTACAATGATATTGAATGTTTCAACATGAATGCATTTAATTTTTCATTTGTTAGAACTTTCATGAATTCTTGGAAGATCAAGAAGTCAGAATCTTGGCATATACACTGTAGATTAACTTCGTAATTTTATCATTTTTTTGTTTGAAATTTACCTGTCAGAGTTATCATGTTTCTAAATTTTGTTTAAAAAAAAACCTATTTCAATCTTTGTTTATAATTATAAAATTTTTATTCCTTTGAAAAAATTCCATTTTTATTTTTCCCTCAATTTTTTTAAAGTGGAGCATAAGTAATTCCTCTCAAGCCATTACCCTACCAAGCATGAACAAATTAACAGTGAAACTACCAAACCATGTATCCCAGTTTGGGACATAGCAGACTTCATGTCGTATTTTATTCTTTAGATGAAAAACTAATAAACATCAATTTTTGAAAACTTCCGTGATTTTTCTTCTCTAAATGAAGAGAACTCTGTGTAAACTTCTAGGAATGATATGATATTGATTTGTTCTCCTTCAAAAGACTAAAATGGGAGTGTAGATCTTTCAACTCCGCAAACGAAATACGTGGGCTGGTAGTTTCACCGTTAAAATGCAAACAGAGTAATCACTATGTATGGATCCTAATGGTCAGTCGTGAGAGTTATGAACATCAGCATATTTAACCATCCTCCAGGGATGAGAGCCACCTCTGTTCCCATGTCTTAGGTGGATATCCAGGCATTCCTCTCTTGTGATTGCCCAACGGTAAAATTTTGGCAAGCCTCTCCCCATATTTTATAACCACCTCCTCAAGCTTACTCTCTCTCTCCGTATTTTCAATAAAGGTTAAAAGAAATAAAATGAGATATTGAACCTCAATTCGATTACAACTTCCTCCTCACTCTTAGGCACAGGCCGAAATACTTTGAACAGAAAATCAGGGTATGTTACGCTGGCTAAATTTTATTATTTATCATTTAATATGTTATTTACAACCTCTGAGCATGATGAGCTTCAAGAATCTAACTTCCTAAATGCCAATCAGCTAGGCTGGAAAGTGATATTTCCAAGCAATTGAGGCGCCGGGTGCAGTAAGGGCCTTTCTTCGTTGCTGTGCTAAAGATTCATCCTTTATGATCACAGCAAATGTATGTAATTTATTGTGACTCTTACTGAATATTCTTTAGGCCTTGTCTCCACGAGCCGTTTCACGAGATTTGTCCCAGGGAAAAATCCCACTTACGAAATTGGGAAAAATATTGAGTTAATCAATATTTTTCCCAGTACCAAGTATGGTACTTGTACCCCTAGGACCCACTGGGAGAAGAAGAAGTGAAAACGAACTGTGCTATATTTTATTCATTACTACATTGTTAATGTTTGTTTAGTTAAAATAGTGTGTCTAATTGTCAATTGAGTGCATTTATTATTATAATCCCGGTTAAAGACTCGACTTTAACTACTTTATCTTCCCGCGCAAACTAGTCGCAGGACTGTATGAGCCCTGTCCTGTGGAGACGGTAACTGGGAAAAATCCCAGAAGTTTCATTCCTGCGATTCAAACGTGGGACAAATCCCATGAAAACGTCCCGTGGAGACAAGGCCTTTTGATTTTACAATGCTGAAAACTTAAAACATCAGAAAATCCACCCGATAGATTCCTCTCTGGAATAGAAGTTAGCACTGGAGATGCTGAAACACCACAACTGAGAAATGCCCTTTCTGCATCCAATGCTTCAATTGCAATAAAGAATTGAAATTTTGGTGTTAAGGGAGAGCTCCTCTTTTCTAACTGTTCACTGGCCAAGTAGATAAGGTAGAAACATATTGCTCATCTCAACTCTCATCAGCTACTTCAAAACAAAAGGCTCCATAGATCCGACCTAGCAGCAGTGCCATGTCTTCATGAGAAAGCACATGCGAAATGCCAAGAAATTCATTGTTCAGCTTTGTGCTTCTCACAATTTGCACATCGGAAGTTAAGGTTCATTGTGCTCAGCAGCCTGATCGTTGAAATTATTTGTTTGTCGGAACGACATAGATGACATGGGTTAAAAGGCAGAGCATGATAGGTCAGCTATGTCTGATTGCTGCTTTGTCGTGCCTTTGTCAGGTGGAATGGACGACATACTGTAGGAAACTTAAGAGGTGCCGTTACCTTGTCGTTAGTTCAACCCGACATAGACACGACAAAGCAGCGATAAGACATAGTCGACCAATCATGCTCCGCCTTTTAATCTATGTCATCTATGTTGTCCCGACAAACAAAAAATTTCAACAATCAGGCTGCAAAAGGTTGTGAAGAATATCATATTAAATAATGACAAAATATTGCTGTTTCCTGGGTTTTCGTTGCAGCAGGCTGATTGTTGAAATTTATAGACAAAGAGGACATAAGGAGTACAAAGCGATTCTATTGGTTGAAATGGGTGGTTCTTATAGACTAAAAGGGAGAAAATGATGGACTAACTAAAAGAACTCTCATGGGTTGCTGTTAGTTAGTATAGTACCTACCTCTTTTGTCTATTGCAATCACTTGCTTCCACCAATATAGGATCCCTTCAAACCCTTTTTGTATTTTTTGTCGATCCCTTTGTCTACCAACTTCAATAATCAGCCAGCAATCCTTGAATATTGATGATTTACAGGGGATTTCAGTAATGTATCTACTTTTCATGCATGTGATACATAGCACTAACACAATTACCCAAATACTTGGTCATCTGGCGTTTTCAAAAGAAATTTTTCTACTGTAGGGAACTTCATGTTTTGTCAGTGTCACTTGGATTTCAAAGAAAATAATACTGAATGGCACAATTCTATAGTAATTTATTGATGATGAAAAAACACTGCTAAAAAAGTAAACAAAATATTTTAAACACAGCACAGCTTTTTCTCATATTCTCCCTGAAGATACAGGCACCGGCAAAACTCACAAACTTGAGACGTGTTAAGAGGAATCCACCTGCAGACGGATAATTAAGTATAAATGCAGACTATGACTAGAGTTATTGGGGATCAAGCAAAAGTTTCATACAAAAATTCATAGGCGTACTCAAAACCCAACAGCATGATCGCGCCTCCTGGTCCAAGCCGCATGATTTTTGGCACCAAACCTTTGTACAGAGCTCTCCATCTGCAAAGAAGGAAAGAAATCTAGATGAAATTGGAAACTTTAAACAACAGGCAGAGAAATTTACTTGGACTCTAAAATTTTCTGACTTTTCAAGGTTTCTGACCACTATATTTCTTGAGTATTTTTCTGATTTTTCTCGCTTTTTCTTGAGTGTTAAGAGACAAGTTCGTTCAAAAACCTTTGAACACAAATCAAAAACTGCCATTGCCTTCTCTTTTTTCTTCGATGAAGAAAACAGTCCTTCGTCCACAAAACCAAAAGTTTAGTAAAATATATCAAAGCACAGAGGAATGTTCTTCCTACTAACTATTTGTGACAAAAATGCTGTATCAAATCAAAGTTAAAGCCGTTTACATATTGCAGTTCAAATAACGTAGCTTCAAGAGAAAGCTATTTAAAATACTAATTTTCTATGTTCAAGATAGATAACTGCAGGATTATAAAGCAAAACACCTTCGATCCACACAAAAATGATCTCAACCTCTTAAGATTTTCTCTTTGGAAATCTAGAGGTTTTTTGGGGGGGAGGGGGGGTCAAAATCTTCAAATTTGATGTTTCTACCTTACAAGAAAAAAATCACTCAACTGAAAATTTTGCTTCTTTGGGTTACGGTCAAAGGTTGGGTCTTTCAAAGCGACCTTTGAAAACACTTTTTCACCAGGATTGCACAAGATTTGTATAAGTAATACAATTTTAACGAGTCTCACTTGCACAAATTATTATTTCTTTGGACTCGTTTTGAGAAGAGTACTTCCATCTTCCACCAAAATACTTTCAACGCGGATGTAACCGGCGTGGCAAATATCTCATTTAAATTTATTAAAACTGGCAACTTATTGAATAGATCAGCGAATTACATTGCAATAAAACCTTCCACGTTCTAATCAGATCAGGCGCAAGCAGACGCTGCAGATGAGGGCAGAGCTGTTGAAATGCGCCTAAAGAAATCATTATTTGCGCAAATGAATCGCGATAAAACGTTGTTATTCATAAGACCTATTTCTCCATGAACGGTTATATGTAAACAAAAATATAATAAATTATTTTACTTGAACACCAACACATACCCTTCCTCAATGTAGACGGTTCGTAAGGTATTTATGGTAGATTTGTATTTGATCACGCCAGGCTCAGGTTGCGGTCCCTGAATTCGGCTCTTTGCTACATCAAAGGGGATATTAGTGCAGGACGCCAATGTACCAGAAACAAAACCTAGGCCAATTTTTCTCAGGAATTCATGTACAGGGTCCTGTGGAAGCAAAAAAATAGTTTCATTATGAAACGATATTAGGACTAGATAACACGCCTGAAAGCTAGTATATGAAATTCGATATTTTATTGGGTGCAAAAAGGAGAATAGTACCAATAACATGTTATTTGATAAAAGCATACAAAAATACAATAAAAAGGGTAATATACCACTGTCAGAACTATAGAACTCAGTGGATCAATTCATAATATGACTAACTTCTTGTCTTCTATTTGAATGAAAAAAAAAAAACCCAACTGCTTAACTCAGCATATGAGATTTTGCATGATTTTTTATTGCGTACGTTGTGAAAACACAGAGAATGTCCTGAAAGCTTCACTGTCAACCTGACTGCTGAATTCCAATTTTCTGAATTTTGACTGCTGAGTCCGAGAATGGCCTTGGTTTTTCTCTTTGGAGCACCCATTTCCTGGAGAACTGAATTTTCTTTGAAAAAGCTCGATTTTAGGAAAAATTTCGATTTTTTCGGGAGCGACAGGACTAATAAAAAAAAAACGGAGGTTATTTTCAGAATCAGCACTAAAAATCAACATGCATAGAGTTCCTAACCTTTCAGTAAACTACCAATGTTGAACAACGTCATTTCTTCCCTGATCCATAGATGTGCACTTCCAAGACACAAAGGTCCATTGAGCCTCTTTTTAAGTTTTGAAGTTTTTAAAACCTTGTGAGCTAAGCTCTTTGACATGGTGATGTTACTCCAAATGTGACTAGTTAACATTGATGTGCTTTTGATTAACAACTCTCTTCAATTATAAAACTAGAAATTATTTTTTTCAGGGGAAGGAGGTAAAAATTATTTCAAGATTCTTTCATCCAAGGTAAGAGTGGAAATCAAATTACGAAAAGAAAACCCCTTGTGAAACGATATATGACTTACTTGCAGAGTCGGAAAATGGTCTTTGACTGAATGGTAAAATCCAAAATAGACCATGTTGAAGACACCTCCCCTCATTACTGTTGCAAAAAATCCTTTGTACAAGCCACGGGATCCAAAACCCTGATAAAAATAACGAACAATAACGAACACTAAAATACTACTGACACTTAGAGCTAAGCCTGAGATTGCAATGATGGTAGAATAAAATTTATTAATTCATCTAGGATAAAAAACAGTTGTCACAGTCCTCTATGCTGCGTATTGCACTTAAAAATTACTGCAGGTGAACACTCTGACTGAATTCAAGAGGTCTGGGCAACTTTCTTCACTACTCATGGATTATTGTTAGAGGTCAAGCCTGCTCATCTTTTCAGACAAGGATTTTTGGCACTTAACTTAAAAGTTTCTTGATTTAAAATTTTTCTGTTAAAGTAGAGAAAATATAGGGGAGTGAACTTACATGATTTTGGATTATCTGTTTTGCAACTGACCATGTGCTTGGGGTTTCGATTGCTTTGGCCTTGTTAGCTTGTAATGTTACCTTCACTACTTCAAATGGGGTGACGAGTCCAGCTTCTGTGACACCTGACGCAAAACCTGCTGCAGAGAAAGTCTGAAGGAGAAAAAAACAGAGCAGTTGATTTAATTTCATTTTGAGATAAATGAGGAAGACTTCAATTGTAATTTTACTCATAAAAAACTTTCTTTGAACTTTAAATTCAATATTTGATTTTACTTTTTTAAAACTCTGAGGAGTTAAACTTCAGTATTTTCGGGTAAATTCATCCAGTTTAAAGTCAATTAATGAAATTTCTTTTTTAAAAGAAAACTATTGATATAGCTGTCAACTGACAATTATTTGTTGTAGTTAAGAACTTATGATATCATTTCGTATACTTCGTTTGCCTGCACTGAAACTGCATGTGAATTATGCTAGTTGATTTCATCAAACCTCTATTTATGACGGAAAAGTTCAAGGTAACTCATGGAACCAGAGGTATTATCATTTTAAATCAATACTTCAACCACTTGCATAATATCATGCATTGATGATTATTCTAAAGTTGAGGAAGAAGTCAAAGGGAAAACATTAGGGAAAACTGAGCGTGATGAAAGACTTTGTGGTATGAGTGCGATTGTAGAGAGACCACGGAAAGTGACCACTTAAGTTTTGGAAGTTCTTGACTTGGTTAGGTATTTAATGAGATCATTGGGTACAACTTCATAAAGTTCCAATTTCTAGTAGAAATGTACATGACACGGCATAATGGACAGGAATTGTACCATGTCCAGAGACAGAGAATATGTGAGATCTTGGCAATCTGAAAGTCAAATTTTAAGATTTATAGACTGTTGGAAAGCAAAAAGAATGCCACACCTATAGTTCAATTTTTCCCAGTTTTGATGCCTAGTATCCAAGATAAGAGATACATGAACTAAAGTACTCAATGATCCATCCTTATAAAATGGAAAGATGGGAACCCATGGGAAAAAAATTACGAAACACACACTAACACATGCATTAAACTAAAGAGAAACCAGCAAAATACAGAAAAAGAGAAACTTGCTCTTCCTGAGAAGCATTTGTAGATCTGATAATAAATAACCAGTTGGGAGGTTACACATCAATGGTGAACTAACGGACTTGATTTCTCTGTCCGCAGAGTTATAAACTTTTCTAACTCTAACATTTTATTACTTTGTTTATCATTTTTAATCTTCATTTTGTCATAGCTAAGTCAGTCCTGAAAGTATCAATAACTTCTATTTCTTCGGAAAGCGAGCTCACCTGCAACATTGAGGTACTATTCGTAGGACATGATACACTTGTTCCAACAATACGAACAATACTAAAGCTTTTGAAAACACGCTGATAAGCCTGCCTTTGAAATAGCGAACAGCATTCTCCTTGTATTGTTTTCCACTTCCTCTATCGAGTTAAATCTGGTATCTTTCATCCAGTATTCAATTTCACTGAACAGCTGGAAGTCTCAGAAGGCTAAGCCTGGACTGTAGGGAGGATGTGGAACCAAATACATGCTGTGCCTCACTACAAACTGTTTTACAAGGAATGGGCTGAAGGGTAGTGATGCTGAGGATCCAGTCCGAGTTTATTGTTTAAATTTCTGCAACGATGGTTTTTGGGATTTTCAGCTCATTCTCTAGTTTTTGCACCTTCAGTTGACGGTCTTCAGCTGTGTGCAGCTGCTTGTGCTTTTTCGACGTTCTCAAGAGAATTCAAAATGTAGGTCTCCCGGACTGCAAATTACTCATGGTAGTTTAGTTTTGCAACCTGATTTAATGTGATCATACCACCCGCGAACACAGCAAAAGCTCATAAAATCATTGCCAAAGGCTCTCTGAATAATTTTGATGCTCTTGACAAGAGTTTCAGCTTATAAAATTTAAGACTTGGTGATCTCGACGCTTGGTAATTTTTACAAAAAATGAGATGCGACAAAGGCACTTGACACGCATGCTTTGATCACATCCCTCAAACAACTGATTTAAAATGTGAAAAACCTGTTGCGTCACTGCATCATGGACAATATGAACAAAGTCTAAACCAAGCCCCAGCCCTATAGCTCCATTATAATCTGAGGAAATAAACAAATATTGATTCTTTCTTGACGGACATTGTACTTTTCTGATTTCAGGATCTGTGCTTTTTTGTAATTTAAGAAATGTGCGTTTTGTTGCACGGTAGACACCCTCCTTACTTTGATGAAAAAAAAAAAAAAAAAATCCCTTTCAATGTGTTAAGTTCTTGGGCATGCCTAAAAATATTTTTGGGAAAATTGTTTTGTGAAATTATTTTTTGGAATTTTTTTTGCAAAATTAGAGGTAAGCTTTCTTCTGAAAAAATGAAATAAGAGCAGGGATTTCAAAATAATGCATTTGAGATGCAGAGTTTTTCAGTTTCACTATCAATGTCAGAGAGAAAAAAAAAACACATGACATGCAAAAAGACATGCAAAAAAAAAAAGGTGAACGACACAAAAACATAATTACTTTCATTGGTTAGTTATAATAATAAAGGCATCAGCCCACTCGTACCAAGGGCGTTGGACTGGGAGCACCGAACAGGAAAACTTTTTTGTACTGTTCAAAAGTGAAAAACTGGAAAAAGAATAAAAGTAAATATCAACTATTGCTATGCACATGTGGAGTAGGAAGATAAAAAGAAAAATGTATTTCATAGATGGACCGCATTTTGCAATAAAGAACGGATATTTGATATTTCTGCCTCGTTTTAGACACAAAAAGTGTGCCTCATGTTTCCCTATGCAGATATATAGTTTAATGGACAAGTCAGATATATCTGTTCCTCATTGCAAAATGAAGTCCAAGAACTAATATTATAGATATTTAAAACAGGTCTAATTCTTTTATCACATCAGTCATTGCACCATGAAAAGCGCTGGTTAGATGTAAAAAGATTCAGCCTCATTGGATTTTTCCTCGGGCCTATCGCAAGGGGCACAAAAAATACACTCTTATCTGGGTGCCAAAGGTTCTTGCAGTTATTTTATTTATACCATATTAGAGACATTTTCATATAGGCTTCTTCTTTACCCAAATTATGTCTTTATCCTTAATCATGAACACTGAGTTTTGAACTTACAAAAAATCCAACTCTGAATTAAAGGAGTGCAGGATCTTCCAAGCTTTCACGTGTTTACGCCCCTGTCTGGCACCCTTCTACATTTTTCTCATAAGTAGGTTTTCCAAAAAATTTCCAATCAATTTAAAAAAGAGGACCTATTCCTTCTTTTCCTGGATGATTTTCGACTTTTGACCCTCCTTCCGAATTTTTAAGGGCCTTTCCATATTTTTACGCTGCCCTTACTCAGGAGCATGATTTGAGTATTTTCTGCACCCCTGCTGCATTCTAAGACAAGTTTTGCTCAGGTGGCAGAATATTCTTCTACCCACCATACTTCCCATCCTTTCTCAATTCATTGACCCCGGTGGAGAGGGGATCCGGTGTTAACATCAATGACAATTTTAATTTGCGACAGCCCTGTTTTCAGTGGAGTACTTGATTTTCTTGCAGCTTTAATTTTTTAAAATAGAAACTTAGCACTCTACTAAAACTAACGAGGTTTCCCAGATATAATGAGGAGTTATTCCTAAAAATTCAAATCTTTCTTTCTTTCCTGTTTAAAAAATGAAACATAAAGAAACCATCTAAAAAATGATGCTCTTGGACTAATTCGGTTGAAACTGTTGCTGATCGAACTAAAAAATTGTGATTTATGGGATTAAAATGTCATGTTTAAAAGCAAAGGCTTGTGTTTTTGGGTGCTTTTGCCGAGTATAAATAGTTTATTTCAAGTATGTTTTGGTAACACTGAAATTTTTAAAATTTAGACTTTAAAATGCGCACTTGTATTGAATTTTTTTCCCCTGAGTGCCATTGTGCAACCTGTAAATAATTATTTTATGCTGACTAGCAAACTAAATAAATCAATTAATTTTGCATAGAAATATTTCGTGAATACTTGTAGGCTGGATGCAATTCAGGTGAATACTAAGACATTTAGGAGTCTCGGCAAAAAATAATCTTTTCAAAGGTAGCTAAATAATGAAAAAAGAATCCAAAAAAGACATACTTTGACAGCCCTTTTGGGTGTCTCCACAAGTATGGGAGGAACAATCCCTTTATAAAATGCCAGAAAGCCTTCGTGTCTATACATCTTGGCAAAACAGTCTCCAACCCCATTGTAGATGTGCACATCACTGGATTTTAGTGTGCTTGTTTTTTTTTGAAGCTGCAGTCTGGTTTTAACCAGATCAAGAGGGTGCATGATGCAAACTTCAACAAAACCTGCCGGGAAAGAACAGAAATTAGGTCTATTTCCTTTCAAAGGACATTGAAAATGTGTACATTTGTTTGCAACAATAATGCCTATACTATATTCGATTGAAACATTATTAGGATTGTCTTTTTTATTTGGATCATCCGTTTAGCATGAATGTAATTTAGAGAGCTATGGAGGCCACTGCTTGTAAGAATGGTTCAGTTCAGAGTACTATTTAATCATTTAGCTGGATGGCTATCGATTGAATTAGTTTTCGTGAGGAGCAACTTACATTGGTATAATAGAAAAATTTGGACCACATTTTACGATACAAAACCACTGAAGTTTCTCCATGTAGTTAGGTGCTTTCAAAGATGAGTCAGAGATAGTGATTCCTTGTTGCAAAACAAAGTCCAGTTTATAATACTTTTTGACAGTATTTATTTTTTTAAAGTACTTCATACCTAAAGATTTACACTTTTATGTAAACTTTTGGAGATTATTTTGTCTTATAGACAAAAGAAAGATTGCACCAAGTATTGCGACTCCTCTGAAGCAGTAGAATGAGATATGGAATCTGCTGCGGAACAAACTGAGATGAATACCCGTCCGGCAACGGCCAAAAATAACATTGCCACAACGTTGCTGCAACGTTGCCGTAACATTATTTTTGGCAGTTACATTGTGACAACATTTCCGCATCTACTTCAGGCAACCACTTGCCGGGCGGGATAATACTTCACTATCAAAATACTTCTACTGTTTTTAATCAATGCCCAAGACCAAATTAGGTAAGCTGAAAGTCATGAAATTCATTACAAAAAAATAATAAAAAAACATACAATTTTAAATGATTGTGTACATTAATGAGACAATTGAAGAAAAAAATCAAAGCCTTACTCTATTTTAAAAAATCATAGCGTAACACACAAGTTGAAACGCAGAACGCCTGGGGAATGAAGTGCTTCAGGAGGGGTTGGAATGCACAGCGGTTNAATGAAACTGAGGTAGATAAAGGAGAGGGAAATGTACCTACCAGCACATCCTCCTGCGCCAACTTGAAGGACAGCTTGCTTCCACAACGGTAAATCCTTCTTTTTTTCTGCCATGTTTGATAGAAGTTGCTTTTAGGATATGAAATTCATGGAATAAAACACCGAAGGTTCTGCATTGACGGCAACAGAGTAGTCCTAGTCAAAAAAAGGAACAATTCAAAATTTATTGCATTATAATTGGTAGACCCTGGTTCAGAGACGTTAATGTTTTTTGTCTGCCTGGTCAAATAGCAGGTGCAGTAATGACGCAAGCAGCAGAAAAAGATAAATTAATCTGAAATAATGTCTGCTGAGTGTATTCTGAATTTTAAGACATTAGTACTCATTTACGGCTACAATTTACTTATACCACTTGTGTTCTTAGAACAACCACTTTCAGCTCCTCCTTACATGGAATTTAAGAGTGTGGTGCTACCTCAATCCAAAATTTTCTAGCAAGCTATCCATGCTTTGCACAACATTATAGAGCCCATTTAAGGTAACTTTTCCTTTTTCTCTGTATACACGAGGTAAGGACAATCCCTATCCAACGCATACAGCAAAAAAGGAAAAGTTATCGTTTATGGGCTCTAAACGAAACTGTAAAGGAACAGATTTGAATCTCTCTTGACATGCTAACATCCTTAAAGTTGAGTGCTGTGAAAAGTCTTATTCGGCAAATTCATTTCAAAATTCTTGCTTGTCCAGAACCCAGTGATGAATCAATATTAGCCCTTTTAAAGAGACACTGCTTTTTCATCATGTTGGCACTACTGAAAATGTTCCTATTTACAGCCAAGTGAAACCAATTGACGTTGGCACCAAGTAACAGTGTAGGAGTGCTAATGGATTATTTTGTTCCAGGTAAACACAGCATTGATAGTGATCAAACGGAGTGAATAAAATTGAATCACTATGTTAAAAGGTCATTTCTTTAGGAAATGACAAAATCGATAGGGGTGGGTTGTACCATGATAAAGTTATAGGGTTATGACAGAGAAGAGAATAATTACAGATTAGGTACAGGAGTAATTATAAATACATGATTTAATTGTGGGCTCTTGAAAATGAAGGTACTTCACATTGTGAAGAATCGGTGGGAATCAATGACTACAGACGTCACTGAGAGTATCGAATGATAAAAATGCAAGATACCGAAGGTCAAAAACACGGAAGTCGAGAAAAAAAACAAGAAAGATGATAACAGTTCACTCTCCCACTCAAGACTGCGTTCGGTCCTAGTCTTGGTACATCGCCGGAAATTTCGCCCTTTTCGAGTGCTTGAAAACTTTCAGATGTTGTAGTGGACGCACAAATAGTGATAAATCGACGATTTATGGAATATAAGTAAAGTAAAAAGATTTTTTAACTACCTTCTCGATATACTTTTCACTTCTCACGCCAAAGAACCAACGTAATGTTGCGAACTGCCGCGAAGTTAAAGAAGGTAAGCTAGTGACACCTAGCATTTGATAAAATTGTTTTTAAAGTTTACTTTCATCGTAAAAGACCATGGAGTTAAAAATTTTGAACTACATTTCGAACTCAAATTCTAAATTTGTCTGTTGAAAAGAGGCTTCTCACGACAGCCAGCGCGCGGCGACCGATGACCTAACCTAAAAATTCACGTCTGTCAATCTCTGTTTACATTGCTTATCAGTGTACTTATTCGCAGAGTTTTAGTCCCTAGTTTATCAGTTGTCCTATTTTTTATCCTTTCTGCTGTAGTTTGAATGCATTATAATATTTCGGTCTCACAGTGAATGAGCGAACTCAATGAAAAAATTCCGTGTGTATCAGTAAGTTTTTATTATTCAAGATCTTTTTCCCAATCCTTCAAAGCCCAACTCTGGACTTGCAACACTTTTGTATAAATTGGGAGGTCTAATAACATTATAACTTGATACATAGTTCCACTCTTACTTCTTCACGGTTTTCGTCTCAGATCTTGACAAAATTCCCTAAGCCACCATAGCATATTTTTCTAAATGATGACATCATACAAGTAGCCATCATAGAAGCAGTTGAGTGAGTTGGCGATGATGCAAGGCACTTTGTCTTTTCTTATGCGTAAGAGTGCTCAGCTCAGTTTTTTTTAGGAATTTTGCAATTTAAGGTAAGTATGGAAGTCACATCAGCGTTGTTTACTAGACGTGACGAGGGCAATCAGAAAGTAGAAAACTGGTGATCATGTAATGATCGGTACTTCCCCTATACTTTTAGCTATGAAATTCATATTGCTAATACCTGTTAAGTAGTCTGAGGATGTGGCTTTTTCGGCACTAATTACAACCGTCATTAACGCTTCTTGTCATCCCGCGGTCACTTCTGTAATGCTTAGTTTCAAACTCTAATCTAAATCTACGTAAGTTTTAATGGTATTATGGTTAAACTATTATAAAACAGGCACTTACAACCTCTTTAAATGTCCTAAGTTGACAAATTTTAAAGAAAATCTTTCTGCCATCACTAAGAATGACATTAATTTTGATTAAGATCACCTTGCTCTACGGAGCACATAATCAGTCAGTTTGTTGTTATCATGATGAGAGGTCACACACTTTAAGTAAGGGGCCAGAAGAGAGAAGCTTAATTGAATTGCAGGGTTGCGAAGTTGAATTGTACCTACAGTTTATTTATTTTACAGAAGAATGGCAGCAAAATTTCTTTTAAAAGTTTGTGGGAATTGTCTTTCGAGACTTTAAGAAAATTTCCTGAAATTTTCAACACAAAATATACACCTGTAAGTACTTAATTGAAAGTAGTAATAATATGAAATATGACACTTTGCAATGTTGTAGTACGATTGGGAACCTCTCACTCTGATGCCTTCTAGCTGACAAAGTTTGAATGAATTTTTTTTCGTGTGTGTGTATCAAGAATTCTAAAATAGAGCTGTTATGTTGTTGGAGTAACAAATTCTGCCAAAATATGTCTACCAATCTTGTAGAGGTAATGTATCAAATTGTTTGACCATTTTAATTTTGCCTCTTTTAATCTCAATCCAGGTTTTAATAATTTGCTTTTTTTCTCTTTTTTCTAGGAGAATGGAGGAGGTGATGAATCCCAATCTAAAGACAGTATGATACCAAAGAGAAAGAAAAAACTTTGCAGTCGCACGCAAACCTGTTTTCTTTATATTATTCTTGCATTTGTTTGCTCCAGTTTTTATTGTTAGTATTACTTTTTCCCTCTAATTTTCATTTTTTTTTTTTTTTTTTACCTAACTATAAGTATTAGAAATACCCAATTTTAAAGAGGCTACACAAATGGAGATTTTTTTTATGTTACAGCAAAAAAAACATGTGAAATAATTTGTTGTTTTCCACCTGAGGGAATTAAGGTAACTCTTGCATTTCAATGCCGCAAAATGTTCCCTTGCAAATTGAATGATGAATATGCATATGCCCTCTGAAAAATGTCTTTTTCAATGCATCAATAGGTATCCAACCAAGGGGTCATTCTTAAAATATGTGACACTTCAGGGGGAGGCGATTTGAGGAGAGCATGACCCCATTTCGCTCTTACATATTAAAGGATATTGGAACCTACTCCACCAAGGTCTTACGAAGGGGGCGAAGGTAAAAAAAATGCGAAATTGAGACGAGTAATCCGTAAAAGTTTAAGTTTTCTGATCTGAACTGACATTTTAAAGTTTCTATTGTCATATAAGTATCATCTCCCATAAGATATTTGATACATTCATATATCTCTTCGAAAGTAAAGTCATGAATAGAAAAATCCTGATTCTTATTTTTCTCCTTCCACCTTCACCTGAGGAAACGAACTTCTATTTAAATCTGTTCTATCAACGTGAGTGTCTGATGATCACACTATGTATTCCATTTCCTCTTGTTTCAGATTACCAAATATTCAAGCCGTCTCCGCAAACAAACTTTTTTGACTCCTTAGCTTTTAAAGTAGGTCTTCATGTGGATCAGTATGCTGTGATAATCGATGCTGGAAGCACTGGTTCAAGATTATTAGCCCTAGAATTTCGTAAATCCCTCTATGGTAAGATAAGCTTCATAAAAGTTTTGAGGTACTATCTGAACTCAACTTCAAAAAAATAGATATGTGCGTTGTCTCAAAAGTTTTGAAACTGACCTTTGGCTGAACGAACAAAACAAACAAGCACAATGCTGTTTGTTCAGGATTGAAGATCAACACCCCAATCCGACAAGATCAAGCTAAGTCAGTCAAAAATTTGCCAAGTTATACAGTTTTTGAAGACGGTGTGTTGAGTTTGACCCTGTGAACTTTTTGATTGCTTTCTTAGACTAGAATAAAGTGACCAAATGGGGCCTGTTACACAATTTTTTTTATTGCTTGTATCAAAAGAATCAAACCTCTTGATGTCACCGTAATAAAAATTCATTATTGGGGTGACAAGAAATTTTTATTAAGAAAATTAATGAATGATCCTAGCTGTACAATAAAATTGAACGAAATATTTTTCAGGATATCAAGGAGTATTAAATTTTATTCTTTTTCAGATGGGAATATAAAAATAGAGAGGGAGCTGTTTTTGCAAGGAGCACCCAGTCTATCAAGCTTCCAAGATAGCCCAAAAGGAGTAAGTTTTACTTCTATTTCGCTTTCTATAACCAGTGAATGAAAAAGCAAGATTTCTAGAATGAAATATTTTTTTACTCAAGAAAACTTCTACTCTTGTTTGACAGTTTGTCTGCAGATCTGAATAGAATGGAAGTATTGAAGTATTTCCAAAATGTTTCAGAAGTCAAAAAAAAGTCCCAAATTTTGCTCAAAAGATCAAGCAAAAATATTTTAAAAACTTTCACACAAGTGGCTAATTGTCAGTCGAAGGATTGTTGCAAGATGAGCGCACAAGAAGGGCTGGTTAGTAAGATCTCAGAAAATTAATCAGAAATGAAATTTTTCTGCCTCCATAAGGTAATATTTCATAGTTTTGTAGTCCATTGTCCGTTGTTTTTGGAAGGATAAATAAGTCTCCAAGAAGTGCAGGCCTGTTTAAGAAGCAAAATCTAGATCTAACTACTGAAATTAGCTCAATTGTCAAGGAATAGTAAAAAAATAGTTGAAAAAAAAGGTTAGGAATTTTTTCTCTCTCAAAATTCTGTAAACTGTCTAATTAACAAGGTGGTAAAATTGCGCTCGGTCCACACTATTTTTCGGAGGGAACAAGGCCAAAACGTTCATAAATTTCAATAGAGTCAGAAATTTTGAGCTCTAATGAGCACCAGTACAAGGTTGAGGGGTTCATGAACAAAACAACTCCCTGAGTAACAAACCAAACTATTTTTACCATAGCTGTGAGTCTTGCATTGAGCTCATATCAACTTTCCTTTCATAATGGTCAATATTTCAATCGCTATTTACGTAAAATCTGAAAGAAAATCTGTCGGAGCTTCAATCCCTGAAAGGTCCTTTCCCTTTGCAGAGCATCAGCTGCAAAGGATGGGATCATTGATTTTAGCCTAATTATCCTCTTTTGGAATATTTTTTAGGCTGCAGATTCCATAACCAAGCTAGTCAATCAAGCCCTGGATTTTGTTCCGGAAAGAAAATGGACAGAAACGCCAATTGCATTGCGGGCCACAGCAGGTTTGCGACTCTTACCACTGGAAAAATCTTCAGCTCTCCTGCAAGAGGTACTCAATCTATTTAAGGCAATTCTTATGTTAGGTTTCATAGAAAATATCCGGAAAATTTAGAGAGTAAAACATGGATTTGCCATCTTGATTCAAATCTAAAATGAACATGGCGAATCTTCCCTATGACTTAAAATGTGGATCAACAATTTTGGAGCAAATTCTGATGGGTCAGTAGGCAAGGTACAATTTTAAGCATACTGATATGTGTTTCTTAACCAAAATTTCCTGTAGGCTATGATTTCCGCATCGAAAATTATTGAAATCAACTCTTAACTAAGGTAGTAACATGTTAATTTTACATTGGCCAAGGGAAATTTGAATTTCCTGCCCACAAGAAAAACAAAAGTCTACTTCAATCAAATTGCGCACTTCAACGGTTTTAGCATGTTTCCTTATTTAGCAATGTTCTGTCCCTGCCTTGTGTTGTTCAAAGTGTTGATATTTTGCAACAGCCAAGCCGAATCTCCGAAATTGAGGTTGCCGTATTTATACTGCTGAGACTGCTAAGGAAACGTATAGTGCACGATTTGACTCAAATAGAGATAATTGTTTTTTCATTTTTCCTGAGTATGAAGTTTGTATTTACGCATCAAAAAACGTAAATGTCTCAGTCAGGAGTTACTTTCAATAATTTTCACTGCAAAAATAGTGTTCTATGTAAAATTTTGAAGAGGAAGGCATATAATGATGCTAAAATTCACATCTTGTCCAGTGGTCCATTGATCACTAAAATGTTGTTGCAGAGCCTGTTACAGATAACTTTTCCTCTTACGCTTTATGCACATAGGATAGGGAATTCCCTATCCTGTGCATACAGCAAAAAAGGAAAAGTAATCTGAAATGGGACGTAGAATTAATACACATACAGAATGTGTAGGCATGAAGTATTCTCTGAGGGGTATCTCTCTTAGATCTGGCAAGTTTTTTGCTGCAAAATTATGCCATTACTTTCTCTCATAAAATTAGTCACTTAAATTCCAGCGCTATCAGAAGTCTGCTTGGAATTTTACTCTCGCATAGATGCAAAATGGGATACTTGAAGATTTGCTGTACTTTAAAAAAAAAAAATGCCCTATTTTTCATTTTTCGTTTTTCAGGTGGCCGTCGCCCTGAAGGATTGCCCATTCTTGTCAACAAGCAACTCCGTAGCAATAATGGATGGCCGAGATGAAGGTCTATTTTCTTGGTTCACTGTCAATTTTTTGATGGGTGAGTCTAAGTCAAGAATTTCACATGTCTACCTGCTGTTTGGGACTAATATTCTGTTGATATCATGTAAAATTAATTGTTTACCGCTTTGCCCATTCATTAATGATCGATTAAAAAGTATGGCAGAATCTATTATCAAAAATTTTAATATGAGAAGCAATAAATCTAAAATTTGGACACGAATTTGAAATTTTGATTATTGTTGATTATAGCACATAAGGCGAATAAGATGATAAAATCAAATTGATTTGGCAGATGAAATTTAATTTAATAGATTAACCTTTTTTTTTTTTTGTTAGAAAAGTAGTTGCAGGACCTGTATTGTTGCTTACAGTTGACCAAAAGTTATGCAAACATATCTTTAAGATTCAACAAGTAATTTTGTAATATTCTGAACTCCAATTGCAGAAAGTTTAGCTTTTTTACAGCACCCTAGATCTTCCATGAAATCTTCAACATCACAAACTATTGATCAACAATCAAATAAGAGGATCATAAATAGGTGTGACAATCTGCAAATCTAAGATAAAAAATAAAAAATAATGAAATTTAAGCACAGAATATGAAACATCGCAAAGATTGATTGTTTTTGTGCACCTATATTTAGGTAAGCTTGGTGGATCCGTTGAAGACACGGTTGGCGCATTAGATTTGGGTGGAGGCTCCACTCAGATCACTTTTGCCCCCCTTGATGACTCCAGAATCAAGAGAGACTCACCACAATATCTTCACAGTGTTAAATTAATGCAGCAGGAAGTAAACATATACACTCACAGGTATTTTGCATTGGAAAAATGTTTATACTTAAAGTAGTAAAGAATAAATGTATGTTTAAATGAATGTTTGAAATAAGTAACATCTAAATTTGAAAACTAGAAAAGAAATGCCATGGATTCTATGGGCCAAAAATTTTAAAAGGAAACACTTCAAGCTCTAGTCAGTTTGCAAAGATTCTATGGAACAACAAGTCCGTTTGGAGCGCCTTTTTGAAACAAGTCTCTGTAATTTAAATTGAGAAGTATTTTTACCAAGCATTTTTGCTTCATTCTATCTATGGTCCTTACCACAGACTGTTTTGATGGAGTTTAAACTATAGTATATTCAATTAAATACATTTCCTGTTTGTTTTTTGTTTTGTCTTCAGTATTGTGGTAGTATATTAAGTAGTAAATAAAGCTTTTGTCAGAGGTACCACCTTTTGTGCAAAGTCTGTTTTATGGACAACAGAATATTTTATGCCGCCAAATCAAAAGTTCTCTAGCCTCACCCAGATGTTGACCAGTGATACGTCAGAATCAAGAGCCAAGTTGAAGACTGATTACATCAGATTCAATTCAAGTCAATCAGAGGACGAGTCAAACAATGAGCATCACTCATCAAAAATTGAAGAGCCAAATTAGAGATTATACGTTAATAATTAATACTTTTGTCCAGTTATCTAGGCCTTGGACTAATGGCAGCGAGGCAAGAGATTCTGACTTATGACAGCAGTCCAGAATCAACCAGTATTTTTAGCAAATGTGTGAATCCAGTCATCAAAGATAAGAAATGGAAGTATGGCAATGTCGAATATTTAGTCAGGTATGGCTGATCAAGTTTTTTTTTTCAAAGTTCTGCTTTCAATTACCTCATCGCTAAAGATATTGATGAAATAAAATCTGAGCCTAGTAATGTGTGATTTAGCTTCATATTTTATCTGCTTTGCCTTAAATAATTAATTTGTTGCAGCTAAAAAATGGGCGTTTTTAAAAAATCAAATTGGAAAGAGATAGCATAGCTGATGTTTCTGAAATAGAAATAGGTGAATAGCTGCATATGACTTAGAAAAAAAAAAAAAAAAAACATCAACAGTCAGAAAATAATACCTCTGTCTGCTTCATTCATTGCAGGAAGTATTCATGCAATGATGTAATGCTATTGCAACTTTAGGTCAGAGGTTGTTTTCCCTTTTTCATTGCGTCTTCAAAAAGTAGGTCCAAATTCCAATGGAATCGCAATAGTTTCAATAAAATGAAATTAAAATCAAGTATCAAGTACAGTGGACAAAAAGAATTGTACAGGATATTAGAGCTAATATGAAAACAGTTTCCTGCATAAAGTGGTTAGGAAATCATAATGAGATCATCAGAGAAAGTTAAGAATGCATCCTTTTTCCCGCAATTTCATCATAGATTTGCAAAGGAGGGGTATCAATAAAGGCCGTTTTTGGGCTCATCATGAATATGCTCAACTACACAATTTTTTGTTCATTAAAGGTCTTTATTTTGCGGAGTGCATCATGATTTGGTCATTTTCGGTCTCTTAAAGGATTCAACATTGGCCTCAACATGGATCTGAAAGCTGACTTTGGCGAAAAACGTGGGTTTGCGGTTAAGTGCCGAAAAATCCGCATTTTGCGCCAAAATCGGTCCTCAGACCCATGTTCAAGCCAGTATTAGACCTGAACAGAGACCAAAAATGACTATATTATGATTAACTCCATAATAACTATACACCTTCAATAAGCAAAGAATCGTAGAGTTGAGGCAATTCAGCCAGGAAGGGCCCAAAACGGCCTTTATCGATACTCCTTCCTTTGGAGGTTCTTACTTAAACACACAAAAATTTTTATATTCATAAGACTCGACTCATTAACTTTACTCCTAAAATTACTTATCTCTAGGAAATTTAATGGACCATCAAACAGAGTAAGAATTTCACCACTACAGCACATGTTTCCCCATTGAAATTCCTTTCAGGAACATATTAAAAACCTAAACTTAACTCGTGAGTGAGAAGTAAACGTCTATACTTTACATTTTAAACAATGAAGTCAAACTTCCTGCAAGCAAAAAAATAATAATCAACATATGCAAAATCAAAAATTGGAATCAACGTACAATAAGCCAATAACTAGACCTTGGTCTCATACGCGTTTCCTTCTTCTATTTATACTAGGTACCTTTCATTTTGTCCAAAAGTTAGTACACATGAAGATTCTTATATCGTGAAAACTACTGACATTAGTTCAGTGCTCAATTTGACTCTGGTTTTTCTTTATGTGGAAAGTTTGAATCGGTGTCACCTAAAATTGTTATTTTCTCACTCATTGGTCGAATTTGGAAATTTTTAATATGTCCATTGTATATTATGTAACATTTCGATAAGAAAACATGCATTGAGATTCTCAATTTTGTAGTGGTCCATTGAACAATAGTTTAAACCAAGCAATGTCAAGATACTCATACGACTCAAAAATGCTATCCTTTGCCTGTATGTACTAATTCATTTCATCCTTATCGTTTTAGTGGCTATTATAATGCAAAAGCTTCAGTAAACTACTCAGAGTGTCATGCAATTGTGCAAAAAGTTGTGTCCAAGTACAAAGTTGACAAACCATTAGAACTGCTGCAGCATGATATTGTTGCATTTTCGTATTATTTTGATCGAGCCACTGAAGTAGGTCTTGTAGGTGAGTGCTGAACACTTCAAAATATTGCTCTTTCTTATGATAAAAATAAAAATCAGAGACCTAGAAACCTCTCAACCGAGCAACCCCTGTAGCTGCAAACAGCTACAGCTGCTTGCATAATGAGAAGGCTATGAAAAAGACCTCTGAAAATTGGAAGGTTGGTTGGCATGAAAACAAAAATTGCATCTTACCCTCAAAATCGCAGATGATTTAAAGTGAGAAGAAATAAAGTCATCTTCTTGAATAACTCAAGAAAATGATGGTTTTCAAAGAGGTTTAGTTGGATTTTTAATGAGTTCATCTAGATTTCTGTCTGAACTTCATGTTATTTGTATCCCGTTTCTCAGAATTAAGATTTTTTCATTACTATTGGGACAAACTGTGCAATCAGATTTTTAAGTTTCTGAGAATTGTTGTGTAGCATTTGTGCAGATTAATTCAATTTTCCTTTTATTACGTGGAATGAAAAAAGCATTAACTGCAGGAGGAAAGCTTTAGCAAGAACCATAAGTCAACATGATGCATAAATAAAAAAAGTTTAATTTAGGTCATGGTGCTACATAATAGTTTTTAAAATTTACTGTCTGATAAGATTTCTGCGATTCAAGCTTGGACATTAACTCCTAGGAAAGACAAAAATGTTGAAAAGTTGGTTTGTGTATTAAGCCTTTGGTGATTTCATTTCTCTTCTCTGTTCATGTTCGCTTCAAACACTTTGGCAATGGTATCAGCCACGCATGACTGACAGTTTTCTTGATTTTGAAATAGTTTAGACGTTGGCAGTTGAAAAGTAAACTTTGTATTGATAAATTATCTTATCCACAACTTTTGATTTCTAACTTCCACTCAAAAACAAACTAGAACTTGGCTTGGAGTCTGTTCAGTCACCTGTGGCCGAAAATATCCTCTAATGAATCTGTTTGCCAAAAAATGCCATCATTGTTATTGTGATAAACAATTCGATCTTAATTTGATAAATAAACATCTTTTACGTTCTGAGCACAAAGGTAATGCCATCTTAGCCAATCTTTTATGAATGAACGCAACCGCTCAATGAAGCTGGTTAGTTATAACCGGCCAGTTAGTTATGACCAGCTAAATTTTCAAATTACTCTCATACACAAGAAAAAATCATATCTCAGATATGTTCATTCAAACTTCCCGCTCATAAAAAATTTAAGTTCAAGCAAGAACCAAACTAATTTCATTATTTTTTACAATGGAAGAATCTTTTCTGAATTTTTTTTTTTTTTTTTTTTGACATGTTTACAAGTTTTTTTAATTGAGGAAAAAATGTTATCAAATGTGACACAGAAAAGAGCAAATGGTTTTTGTTTCCAAGAGCCAATCTGACTTTCGTTTATTTTAGTTTTTTCGCGAGCAGGTAGTTTGAATTGAAATGTCTTCATTGTGAAATTTTGTTCGGGTAATGTGTCTTGAGGAAGAGAAGTTCTTACCCCATTCAAAGATCAATAAGCAAAATTGGAGGGACTCAAACTCAGAAAAATAATGAAAAGGCAGTGCATCGCAGCCTTCGCAGGATTCATTGTTAAATCTCAGCCTAAATATCAACTGCTAGAATTTAGCTTTCACCTTGCCCATTTTCCCTCAGTTTTGTAGCTCGCAGTTTTCACTCTTTACTTCTGTTGGCTCAACTTTTTATCTCTCTCTCATTTGTGCATTGAAATTCTCACTGACCTCATTATTAGTTGTGTAATTTTAATTCTTCTATTTTTTATCAGATCCATACCAAGGTGGCACAATAAAGTTAACTGACTACTTCAAGAGCGCCCTTGAAGGTTAGTATCCCATCGTCTATTAGCACTGTCTCATGTGTAAAAATAAGTAAAGAAAAAGAAAAATATGTGTTCAATAATTAAAATTGAGACTTAATACGAAGTCAAAAAATAAACTCAGAGATTGAGTAAGCCAAGAACTTAAGTTCATTATGCAAGGGAAATACAAGGATAAAATAAGCCTGAAACTATGCATGGATGAGTAATGTTATACGTGAACTCGAAAACATTGAAACGTCGCATGTTTAATAAACTCTATAGGTTATCAGAAATTGCATTGTACCAATTTTATTCCAGAGGATTTGAAAAACCCAATCGAATTCTAAGCGGAGATTGATACTTAGCTCACAGATTTATTGCACTGCAGTGCCTGACTCCGTTTCCAACATTTTTCTGGTCAAAATAGAATAGGATTTGTCCCTCTTTTCCAATTTTTAATTCCAAACGATTCAAGCCTTTGTTTTATGTAGGTTCACACTCAAATGTCAAAAACTTTCATATGTCACAGCTCAAAATCTGTTGATTGCAGCAAGTTAGAACAACTTTATCACCTAATTCTAATAATTCTATCACCCCAATTCTAAACTCAAGCTGTCCAGGTCCACAAGTTGAATCTTCGACTGCAGGACCGTCAGTCAGCAGTGTTAATCATGAGTAGGTAAATAAAATCACAAAGGTTCATATCATACTTGCATCCAATTGAAGTAAAAATTAACTTTTAACAAAGTGTGGACAGTGAGTTATCATTTTGACCTCCCTGCTTTGTTAGAATGGTAGCCTAAACCTTTCTGGAACGAAGGGACGCAGATGTAAATTTGAATCCTGTAGTGTCTGATCTGTGATACTGTGCATCCTGATTATTTACTTTCATTGTTTGAGAGAATGGATCACTAGACAAGGTACGAATTTAAGCATTCCGGTACATGTTTCTTAACCAAAATTTCACGTAGAACACGATTCGCGCAACGAAAATTACTGAAACCAACTCCTAACGAAGATATTAACCTTTTCATTTCACATTGGTTACGAGGAATTTGAACTGCCCGCTCACAAGAAACTCAAAGCTCTACGTGAGTCAAATCGCGCACGACAACGGTCTCAGCAAGTTTCTTAATCGAGCAATATTCATTTCCCACCATGTGTTGTTCGAACTATAGGCAATTTGCTTTAGCTGAGCCAAAGCGTCAAGATTGAGGTTGCCAGATTTTTACATCGCGCAGAGACTGTCATGATAACGTTTAGCGCGCGATGTGAATCACGTAGAGCATTGAGTTTTCATGAGCGGGTGGTTTGAATTCACGCATCAAGAATCATTAAATATCGTTGTGAGGAGTTGATTTCGATAATTTTCATTGTGCGCATCGTGCTCTACGTGAAATTTTGGTTACGAAACATATATCAGAGTGCTGAAATTCGTACCTTGTCTAGTGGTCCATTGAATAGATGACATGAGAAAAAATGTTACTAAAATAAGGATAGTTTGATTATGGAAAATGTACTAATTATTATTCAATATGTATATCTTGCAAGCTGTAATATTTCATGCACTATGTTTTTAACTTGCCCGTTGATCTCTGTTAAGCTCTCCCTCAAGTACAAGTTTTAATTTCATGTTACAGCTTGCAAATTTCCAAATGCAGAACAGCCCTTCATGTGCCTTGATCTAACATACATTTCTGTTCTTCTGCATGATGGTTTTGGACTAGACACATCAAGATCAATACGAGTAAGTTTAAGTTTTTGTTGTGGACAATTTTCCTAGAGCCTGATGATGAAGATAACATCAGGCAACACAGTTTTGGGTTGAATTTTCTAATAGGATACGGTCTATTTCTTTCCAAACAGAAGGACCTACTAATCATAATAATCAATGTTGAAAAAAACCTCAGTTCTCAATTTCAAAATATTTAAGGGTTTTCATGTTTTTGGGGTCCCAAATTTCCCAAATTCTCGACATTCGTAAATTTATTATACCAACATCGGCTCTCATATTTTTCACATGGCTCCATTGAAACAATTATTTTGCAGAACCTCTTCACAATTTTGTGGATTTTCTAAGCAAGGATGGTCATATTTTTGGAAATCTAGTAAAATTGCAGTGGAGTATTAACTTTTTTGAAAGTTACATCTTTCCTCTCTTTTTCCTTTTAATGTGTCTGACAAAGATGAAAATTAACAAGAAACAAATATTTTTTTATGATATTTTTAAAATCTTTTGAGTATTTTCGGAACTGAATAATTAAGCTGTCCCTATTTTGATGGCACTAGCACTGAGCCAAGAACATTTCTACTTCCGTTTACTATAAAAAATGACAATTTGGCATTATTCTGCTGAAATAGGTATTCAATACAAAAAGGAAGTCAGTCTCAACTGTTTCATTACTCATTATGTAACGTTATGAGTTTCTTTCTTGTGTTTCAGCTGATTAAGAAAATTGACGACCATGAAATCAGTTGGGCTTTGGGAGCTGCGTTCCACATACTGAGAACAGGCTTGTGAGCATTGACATGGATCTTCCGTAACAGTATTAGCGATAAAAATTTATTTTTTTACTGTAAGGTTAAAATGGTGCTGTTGTGTGTTTCTTTTTTCCAAGTTGTAAGAGAATGCTGTTGTTACACCTTCAGAGTTAGGTAATCCAGCTCTTTTTTTTGTAGCTTACGTTGAACAATGTTTGCAGCTGTCCAACTTTCTTGTATTTTGCTTGTAGGTCTGTTAAAATTCAAACACCGAAGAATTTCAGGAGGTAGTGGCTGGCTGGTTCAGGTTTGAGTGCCTTTGCTATTGAGATACAATCCATTCAGCGATTTCCAGGAGGACAAGAATGAAAATTTCTTGTTTTGAAAACCTGACCGGTTGCAGAATCATTTGAGAACAACGCACAACTTGCTGAGTCCAATAGTTTCAATGATTTTTTGCTGGCTTTTACTTGCCGTTTCAGTCTTTTGGTAAAAATTTTAAACTAACGACCACCTCCTTGAAGTTTCCTGTAGGTGTTCAGAAGGATGCTAATAGAATTTAGTGACAAATTGAAGCATTCTTGGCAAATAATCTTTTTTATCCTCTTTAAGGCAAGGCAAGGAATAAATTATGTTAATGTAAGGAGGAAAAAAATGGTATTAACATTGCCATGCGAAACATGAAGCATAGTGTGTTCACCAGGGATTGGAAAAGAGTCGAAATCTCTGCCCCTCCCCCCAGTTAAATCAGTTTTACTGATCTTGTTTGATGAAGTAATTATAAGCAAGACTTCACAGCCCCTGTGAGGAACGTTCTCTCACTCTTTCATCTCATTCCAAGTCTTGTTCAAGGAAAAGTAATTGAGCTGTTTCCAAGCTCTCATTATTTTTTACCTTAATTCTGTGGAATCTTTACAATTTTTTCTGGTCCCTTTGCATCCAAGAATCCAAAAGTATTGATATTTCCTTTAAGTCTTCATTGTACAAAAGAGATCTCAAAACCATAAATCAATCAGTCTATTAGCCTGAGTGTCCAATATCATCAGCCAACTAGGTTTGTGGATGTTCTAAATTTTCTTCTCGAAAATGTTGTGAGAGCGTCAGGTCACATGCGATCCATAACGTTTAAGTTATGAGAGTGGAATCCATGTAGTGGCCTTCACTTCAATGCTTGTAGGAATTTGGTATCATGCTTTCTCTTTTCAAACTTCAATGTCACCATCTCCCTCAATGTTTTACCTTCTTAAGTTTTTTGTCTCATGGGTCATTCTCAGATTTTACTGAGCCGGTGTTGAAGAATTTTCCTACAAATATTTAAGAAACATATTGCAGGGATTCATATTAAACCCTCAGCCTGATTCCTTAGAAATTCGTAGGATCATAAGTCCTGATCCGATAGGATGAAAATTATGTGACATGTTTGCTATTTTTTCTTTAGAGTTCTTATTAATATTTTTTTACCAACAAAATAAGGTATGTTGCAAACTTATGTCATTCTTATACATACTTGTCATATTCCTGAAATCAGGCCAGAGAGAATAGCTGGTAAATGGGCAGTTAAAGCTCTTTGAAATAGTTTCGCGAATTTTGCACTATCATTATTTTTGAAGATGTCAAATTAATCATTTACTAGTAAGAAAGGTGCATGGAAAACCACATCTCTTCAGTATGGATAGCACCTCTATGTAATATAAGATTTTCATTGACTACCCTTTTAACAGTGAACTCCGTGATCGTATCAGTCATTGATATCTCGATTGGATAGGAAAATCTGAACAACATAACAGACCAACTTTTATTGGCTACGATTATCTGCAAGTTGCAAAACCTAACCCCTAAAATTGAGTTTTGGAGAAATCATTCTAAACTCAAGCTGCACGTAAGGTTAACTTTTTTACTGTAGGTTGTAGTCACCCTCAGTGCCCTAAGAGTGCGAACTATTGATCAGAGATTGAATAACAAGTCAACATTCTTGCCTCAACTTGCGGTCTGCCACAAATCTGCCAAAAAATTCAGACCCATAATGTCTGTGATTGAGTTTCATTTCTTTGTTTTGCATTAAATGACATTTACCATTCTTGGCGTTGTAAAGTTCTTTCATTTTGTCCAAGCCGATTAGTGAACCCTGGGGTCATAATGAAAAGGGTTCATGTTGTTAAGGAACATTTGAAGTTAGTTTTACTAAAGATTATAAGGACTGTGATGAAATCAAATCGATGGAAGTCAGTATATTCAAGATTGTAAAATGATCAATGGACCTAACAGGAATATGGTTGATCAAATTTCTTAGTTTTAGAACTTGACAAGTGATTTTAATTTTATGTGAATATTTTTCCTTCTTTGTTATGTTTTTCATTTCGCTTTTGTTACAAATTTTCTTGAATAAAATTCAATTTAATGTAAATAAATTTTTAATTTTTATTGTTCTGAAAGTGCCACTAAACCCAGCGAAATAAGGCTGCCGAAAAATCAATTGAAATCTTCAGTAATAATGATTACTAGCATTATGTATCTATTCCATTCACAAGAGGTGTTTAGTGATGGGTTCATTCCTAATTGTTTTATCAATGGTGAAACTGTCAAGGTGTGCACCTCAGAGAACGAATTTTTTAGGAGAGAAACTGCCAGAGCATCCCATTACTGTCAGGAACGGGGAAATAATTCTTGAGGATAGCCAGGATTTGATGCTTTTTCAGACTTTATCAGCATTGAGAGCAATTTCTCGATCTTTCAGGAGACTCGGAGGAGTTATCGAGATTTGCATTTTTCAGCATTAAAACACACACAGTATTCCGTGATCTATAGAAGAATTTTGGCATTAAAGCTTTGGGTCAATTGTTCGCTTACTTCAGTCAAAATGAGACTGAACAAAGTCAGGATGGACATAGTACCTAACTGAACTTAATAAAACATCCATTGTTGATCTAAAAAAACTCTGATTGCCATGTTAGACTCAAATTCCAGTGAACTGATCAAAAAGCAATCACACAGTTCACATAGCGAAATGGTGGCGGTAGATGAGTTGACACAGTGTTTGGTCTTTCTATGAACCTCAATTTTCTAAGTGGTCAATAAAATCACAAAAATGCCAACACAAGATACGCGTTCTTCTTGACGTTCTTGGGTAACTTCCTCATTATTTGGGAGTAAAATATTTTGATGGTAAACAAAAGACAGTTCCAACAGCTCCTTTGTGCAACTGACTCAAAACTGCCAAAAAATTATAGACACCCTTTCGCAGTTTCACTATTGACATGAAACAGTTACTCCAAGGGGTGCTTTTCATACATGAAAGGTATTAAGTGTAGCAATACGTGTGTTCAGATAGCATCATTTGAAACTCATCTTTCTCTTTTGCTGAAACATCATTTGTTCGGAAAAAATTAACAAAGGACTTTAGTAAAAATGAGTTGTATTTAGATTTATTCTTTCACAATAAAAATTCACTTAAAAGTCCGACGGGACACTGGACTCTGTATAGGGCGAGTCACAAAAACAGCACGATGTAAGTGTTAATAGTACACAAAAAAAAAGGAGAACAAACAGTTATAACCGGGAAATTTAAAATCTACTTGAATATTTTTCCTTGGTTGAAGGGGCGCCCTTGCTTGTCCGTGCCCTTCCATGAGAAATAGTCTTCCACGAGCTTCTTCGTTTCTGCGGAGTCAGCGTCTAGCTTCTTCCAGTCATAAGACTCGTAATCAATTTGCCAATCAGGGCTCAACTGAAAGAGGATGTGAAATGATGATTAGAGGCAGTTTCGGAAATTGGGAACGCAAACTGAAGAAATTATTACCATAGACTAGCCATTGAAAAATAAAAATTATATTCCTACTTGCACTGTCACAGAGAGGACTGAAAATACCCACTTTACGTACGAATGTAAACAGAGGTAAGGATCACAGGAGGTGAACAAACTGAGGTATAGGCGACAATAAGAAATGGAGCAAATTGGACAATTCAAGATGTGGTGTATAATGGCTAGGTAAATGATTTGATGGGAACTAAGGGGTGCCTCAGAGATACACTGTTTACTTCACGGTGAGATTAGATCTTCACTATCACTCAATATATGAGGATTTAAATGTAACAGTAGCGGTCGCAGACAATGGCCATTTAGAGGGAAAACGCTTTTTTCAAATTCTGAGGCCCTCAAAAATGCTTGTGCAAAGTTTCAGACTTCCAGCATAATTTTTCGGCAAGATATGAACTGAAAACCATGTTATTCGTAAAAACAGCGGATATGAGAATCCATGGTTCTCCCCGGCCGGCGCAGCAGAGCACCGAGCACCACAGCAATTCGAACACACTTGCGACAACTGCCCGCGCACCAGCCATGGGCTGCAGCTGACACTGAAATGATAAGTATCCGGACAGTCTCGCCAGAATTGTTGATTTTATAACTGATTTTATAATTTGCTTCTTAATTTTGTTGTATAAGGTACACAGTTTAGTTCTTTGTTCAATTTTCTTAAGTGGCTCAGCATTAACTTAATTTTGGTTCATTTCAATAGTTTCACCAGCACACACTTCCTGAAGACTTTGTTTCATGCATAAAATGATGTTCTCAGTAAAAATAGCAGATGTCACATTTTTTTCAAATCGCTGTTACTCCTTCAATTTTTCACTTACATAAATCATAATATGCGTGTTTTTTGCATCCATGAAAATCATTAAAAGAATCCTCTCAGTTCTACGGACAGCAAAGTGCAAAGCTTCGAAAACTTGAAACGCAATTTTCTCACGATGTGAAAACTCTACATCCGCTTTTGTTACATGTAAGTCCTCAAATGCTGAGATACACACTATAAGATTTTGGAGGAAAGAATTATCACCATGTAACAATGAGCAAAGTTTATGAAAAAAATAAAAAATAAAGTATGAGTGGTAAAAAACTTACTGTGAAAGCCAAATCGTGGCCTCTCCAGACCCACACACCGGAGATGGAACTATCGCTATCTTTGCCAAACAAACATACTGAAGCGAATGCTTGCTTCCTCATTTTATCTAACCTTTGATACATTCCTGTAAACAAACATGATGAGAAACCCAAATTAAAAATATTAATTACTTCCAGCAAAAGTCAAAAGCGAAATTTTCAATCAAGAGTGCTTATTCATTAGTGCTTATTTTTCCATGCAATACTGAGGATGCCCGCATAACTTGGAATCAGCTGACTCAGAAATTCATCTAGATCGTAAAATCTTTTGGTCCCAAGCTAGCAGGGAAACCTCATAAAAAGTACCGCTGACTCATAAATTTACTCATTGATTTCTCATCGCTGATATTACTGCCTCTCCCCTTCAGTTTGCTTCTCCACACAAAATCAAGAAAGGAGCAACGACACAGCTGGTCACCACCCCACTCTACCAGCTTCAGGCATATCAATGAAGCAGTACTGACTATAGCCGGAAGAGCAGATATGTCCCTCCACTTAATGACACTGGCGCACCCCAAATTTTTATCACAAACCCTCATTCAGAAAGTTGTAAATCTTTTGCACTGCTCTCATTTAATTGGCAAGAAAAGAATCGGCAGGGCAAACTCTGCTTATTTTGTCTAGCGGAAGGAACTAACATTATGGCACTCAAACAAACAATAAACATAACATGTATTCAGGAAAATTCAAAATTAACTTAGGAGGCAGAAAGACTTAGCAAGGACAGAAAGAAAAAAAATTCTCACATTATTAGCATAACAATGGATATCAATCAAGAATGCTGACGATTAGGTTAGGGATTCCAGATGTGCTTGTGAAATTGGGTGGACTGATCTATTACCCTGATTTGACAGGTTGTAAGCCACACATGTGCAATTTACATACTTTTCAAATAGCTATATCCAGTACAGACTAAAAATAGGCTAAAACCTAAGAAAAAATTCACTTCAGCGCTGGAGAGGGGCGCTGCAGGGCTATGCATCAAAGCGCCAGGAAGCTACATAAAAAATCACTATCTAACTTGGGAGCTCACAGCTTACCCTGGTACTTGCTAAACCTGCCAGCCTTCTCTTTACTTTTCCATTAGCTACACACTGCCATTGAGCCCAATGATCGCTGCTTTCATATAACAATTCACTAACTTTGTGAAGACTAGATAATGACACAGAATAAAGCCTTCACATCGAACTGGACTGATATTTCATCTTCGATTTTAATTTAAAAGTTGATCACTTTCAAAACAGGCTAGCAGCTGTAATTTGAAGAAAATGAGACAGGGGAAAAGAAAATTGAAGTACAAGAGAGAATAGTGGATTAACCAAATTACTTTAAAAACAATGAAACTTCTCGTCAAAGGATGTTCTATGACAGAATCTTACCTGTAATTAAATTACAACTCATGAAAGTCTTTGTAAGCTCATCGTTGAATTTGTATTCTCCAAACCAAATTGAATAATTTTGTTTGTCGAACTTTTCCCAGAAGTAAGGTATTGATTTTTCTTCCGGATTATTTGAGTAAAATCTTTTGAAGTCTTCAAAGTTAAATGTTCTGCAAACAAACAATTCTAAATTAAGGATAGGCAGGGTGTGTAGGCCTTCATCTAAAGACTAATATTTATTTTCGGTTGAAATATAAAAAATAAGTTGAAAAGTTTAAATTAAATGGGGGAAAAATGCCTAAGGGTTTTTTTCTACTCCATCAGAAAAAAGAGGTGATTAATATCATTTACACTCATTTCCTGCTCTTGCAAGATATTCAAGTGTTATGGAGGCTGGATTCTCACAGGGTCAAAAAAATTGCATTTGGAAAAATATTAACTCATCATAAATTCTGACATAAAATTGAAGTGCACAGGAAGAAAATGTTGCAACATTTATGTACGAATTCATTCCCGATGCTGCGTGGATGAACTTTAGACAGACTGATTCTAGATGCCTTGGAAGAAGCTAAGATTTATTCATTCAAAACCGAAGTTATTTTTAACATAAGTAGATATGGTTTACAGTAAAACTTTGAAAGTGATAGAGGTCCTGATGAAAAAATGTATGAAAGGCATTCATAGTGAGCTCAACTGCCAGTCATCAGTTTTTAACCTTATCTTTCCATTTACAATAATTTTATCAACTCCACTTGTACTTTGGACAGGGAAAATTTTGCTGAGATGATGCAGAAATTGAATAGCGGAAAGTCAGCATCCTTTCTGGTCTAATTCAAGCTCTCTGGCAGGTAAGCTACAACAATTGATTGAAATAAAAAAAAAAAAAAATCAGGAACGTTCAAATTTCTGCTCGAATCACACAATCTTCATATAAGATTCAGCATCAACACAGACAAAGAACTTGGAAATCTGAAAACTTGAAGAACAAGTAAATGAGGCAATTTAATGATACATCCATGAACTATATTATGTATTAAAACTCACCCAGCAGGTAGTGCATCAAAAGGATCTTTTGATTTTGGTTCAGCTAGTAGAGCTGCCTCACATGCATCTGGCTCTTCAGCAGGTTCTTTTTCTTTCTTTTCAGGTTGTTTCTTTTCTGTGACAGAGATGAAACGGCAAAAATAAATTCAAGGTTTTCAACCAATAAAAACAGGCATGCAGAAAGTGCTTGCTTAGGGGCCTGTCAAAGTGCGTAAAAATGTGGAAGGAGGGTCAATTTTTAAGGGTCAATAATTGAAAATCAAAGAAAACAGTCCTCTCTGAGATATTGCAGGGAAATTTTGTAGGAAACTGATGGAAAAAATGTGGAAAGGCAGTGGGCGGGTCCCTGAAAATTGTTAGGATTCTGCACCTCTGAATAAAACACAAGGTCATGTACAGAAATGTGAGCATTAGCAGCGATAATAACCCTATTAAGATTCAATTTCAGTGGAGGATTTAATGACAGAGGTCAAAACCTTGGCAGCTAATGTAGGTGGTCAAGTGATGGAATTTTCTGTTGGAAATTTCGGATAATATCGTGAGGTGAAGAAAAAAAATAATGAAACAGACGTAGTTCATTCTTTGAAGTTGAATCATGATTCTGTGACTAGCGCGACTGACCTGTTGTGGAGGGCTCTAAAAGTCGTTTCCTTAGTCCTAAGAGCATTCACAATAATTTTAAGCCTCAATCCCAATTTTTTTTAGAAGAGAGGGGGGTGATGCTAGGGTCTGAAGGTGCGAGACTTATGGATCACCTTACATACTGGTTGTTCAGGATTAAATTTTGGATAAAAAATTGGAAATAAAAATCATTGTGGTAGGAGATATTCATTAAAATATTCCTTTTGTTTTTGCATACCTTTGGGAGCTTTTTCTTGTTTGCCACCGGCCTTCTTAAGTTCTGGGACCTCTGGGGCTTTGGAACACAAGACGAAATTGCCGACTACTTTTTTGACTTGAGGTTGGTTGATGATAGTAGCAAACCAACGATTCACATTTCCATAAGATTTCCTGCGGATTGAGATATAAAAATTCGTCACAAATAAAACAAGAAGAAATAAAAAAATCTGGGAGAAAGAAAGTGACTTGATAAGAGAATTCCCGATGATGAGTTGATGAATTGATAAATGAAAAATGAATGACAATGAATTGATATTTTGATAGATGAAAATGTCTGGTAAGTATAGTGAAATTATTATCAACAGTGAAATAATTTTGTGGACAAACCAAAGATCACTTTACCTCTTTCGTCTTTCCAAAAACAATGAGAAACACTTGTTTGGACTGTTGAAGAGGCCAATGAATTCATATTAAACTACTGCCCAAGAGAGGTTTGAATTGGGCGATAAAAAAAAACGAAATTACTTGAAAATTAATTGATAATAATATAGAATTAATAAACAATTAATTAAGGTAAAGCAAATGCTTGCCAGTCCACTTATTTTGTTCTTTACTTAAAGGTTAACATTAATACATCTATTTGATTGGTAGGACACAAAAAACAACATTGTTAGCAAAGTTTAGTGAAGTTGAACAACTAAGTGGAGCAACTTTGTGGACTTTACCATTTAATTTTCCTCTCCTTATTCCAAATAGAAAAAAAATATTCATTTTGGACTCAAGTTAGAGGGTCATAACAAGTGGAAAACTATTCCCTTGCTTATAGTTTGGGTTTATCATGAGAGGAAATTCAAAAATTTTTTGTGAGTGAGATTAATGACCTTTACCTTGCAATTAGCAAAAAAAAAAAAAAAAAAAAAAAAAAATCAAACATGATAGTTGGGAGTTCTTGGAGGAAGAGGTATGACTTCCACTGATGAAATGGGAAAAAAAAGATTCTTCAATGGTGGCAGATTTTGTAACGGATAAGAGAGCGACATAGGGAATGGATACATCATAACAACAACAAACAATAAAGGATTGAATAAGCGCTCTCAGAAAATTTCTCCATAATATATTTAAAAAACCAGTGAAACTTGAGGCTGAAATGGAGGTTGTTTTTTTTTTTAATAAATTGTACTCATATATCGTATACTGTCAGAATAGTATAGTGAAGTTGAGCGATGGAGAAACGCAACTTTGTGGACTAAACTAATTATTTTCCCTCATCTGTCTTTCCAAAATAAATACTACAGTTAGTTTTGGACTGTTGTAGAGGTGTACAGCAACTTCACTTTGTGAATTAGGACTGAACTAAAGACATGCTCCGTCTCCAGTTTTTTAAAGGTGAGATTCAAGAATAATAATAATTTAAAAATGACACAGAGTCTTTTCAAATCTTTCTCATTGAACTGAAAGGAATATTAATGTCAGAATAGTATAGTGAAGTTGAGCAATGGAGAAACACAACTTTGTGGACTAAACTCATTTTTTTCCCTCATCTGTCTTTCCAAAATAAATATCATATTTAGTTTTGGACTGTTGTAGAGGTATACAGCAACTTCACTTTGTGAATTAGGACTGAACTAAAGACATGCTTCATCTCCAGTCCTAATAATGAGATTCATGAGCAATACTGATTTAGAAATGACACACAGTCTGTTCAAATCTTTCTCATTGAACTGAGAGGAATATTAATGTCAGAGTAGTAGAGTGAAGTTGAGCAATGGAGAAACACAACTTTGTGGACTAAACTCATTTTTTTCCCTCACCTGTCTTTCCAAAATAAATACCATAATTACTTTTGGACTGTTGTAGAGGTATATAGCAACTTCAAGTTATGAATTTAAATATATCGGACTGAACTAAAGAAATGCTCCGCCTTCAGGCTTAACAGTCAGATTCATGAATGATACTAATTTAGAAGAGACACTGAGTCAAATCTTTCTCATTGGACTGAGGAGAATATTTATGTCAGAATAGTATAGTGAAGTTGAGCAATGGAGAAACTCAACTTTGTGGACTAAACTCATTTTTTTCCCTCATCTGTCTTTCCAAAATAAATACTATAATTAATTTTGGACTGTTGTAGAGGTGACCTCACTTCGTGAGTTTTGAATAAAGTGGAGACAAACAAGCTGTCCTAAGTTGTTGTTGGTTTGAGAATGGTGCAATCTGGCTTTTGGCCAATCGGCAACCGTTTAAACAGTATGATTGCTGAACATCAATTATGGAGCTGTGCTTACTCTAATGCTACATTATTTCAGGTAAATTTTATTGAACTAAGAGGAATGATTAGTAGCAGAGATGGTAAAAAAGAAATTGACCAACACCGCAGAACCAAGTTAAGCTTCTCTGCTTGATTATCAATTCTGAAATGGGGGAACTCCCCCCCCTCACTTTCCCAGAAAAACAAACATTGAAATTCTATTTATATTCTTTCATTGAATTCCCACTTAAGTGCTAAATAAATGGGTAAAACAACAAACAAAAAATTGAGCTCTTGAGATTCCTGGAAGAGAGTGGAGGGCACAAAAATTAGTGTGATCAGATTTTAGAAGTGAGGGCCCTGGCCAATTTCTGTCTTTCTTATAAAGCAGGGCCAAAGAGGCATTAATTAGGAAAGTTTTCTTTCACAAAACCGAAGGCCATATGCTAAAAAAAATGTTCTTCTTTAAAAAAATCTTTGATGTGCATTGAACTGAACTGATATCAATATGCAATTTTTGCCCACTATTACATTTTGATTTTCCAAAATAGCAGTCTTCCAGAACATCTTAGTGCTCTCTTTCTCCTAAGAGAGTAAATGTCAGAGAAATATAGTGAAATTGAGCATAACAACAACTCAACTTGGTAAGGATTTCCTTGTTGCTTTCCCTCAGTTGTCTTTCCGAAAAAGCCATAAAAAGCAATTTCAGACTGTTAATGAGGGGTACATGGGTGAACTAGGAGAGATGAGGAGACTTTTCCCTCCAAAAAATGAAGTTCAATAATAAAGAAAAACTCAATTTTTCTCTTTACTTTTCTGGAAAGATAGCCATAAAAAGAAGCATTATGCATAATTTTAAGATTACAAATTGAAATTGGTTGGATCATCATCAGACAAGTGTTGACATCTATATGACAAGAGTCTTTTCAGAAGAGGTGTCAGAATACTCATGAATCATCATTCGATGAGGATGGGATTAAAGGACTGATTTGGCCTGTTTCTATTTGGTTTCTCATGGTTTCAACAGACGGCTCTCTTCGAGAGAAAGGTTGAAGAAAGAAAATAAACCGAGACCCCTACCAGGTGCAAATACAATGACAGAATTAATGTGCTGTCTTTCATGCAGAAAAATAACGAAGGAAAGTGAAAAAAGTACACTATAAAAAGTGCTTATGGAAAGTATGTTAGAAACCTAAGCAACCTTTGAATTAGATTTGATCAGAGATGAACTAACATCTCCCAACATTAAAGTGACAAAGTCAGTTCAGAAAGGGTGTCAGAAACATAATACAATGAGCACAACACAAGAAGCAGACCCGAGTAAAAAATGGATTTTCCTAGTTTTCGGTAGATAATTTTTCAGACCCCCTAACCTAAAGCAACTCATAATCACAAGTAAGTAAAAACACTTTAAGTCGGGGAAAGGGGGGGGGGAGCCGAATTATTAAGAAAATCAACAACAACAACAAATCAAAACAAGGACTGATAGAAAAATAAGTTAGTTACTTATGCAAATGCAAATAGGATGAGAAGAATGCAGGAAGAAAATAAAATTGATATTGAGAGCATTAAAGTTAAATGACTTAAATGAACTTGAATCATCATCAGAAAGGAGTTGACATCTGCGTGACAAAGTCACTTCAGAAGAGGTGTCAGAAAATATTAGGAACATCATGTAATGAATGTAGCTCAGGCTCAGGTAGAAGACCCACGCAAAATATGGATCTCCCATGTTTTCAGCAAAAAATTCTTCAGAACAACGAGACTAAAGAAAATCAGTATTACTTAGAAATAACAATACATTAACGGCATGCCAGTTGAGGGTTAGGAGGAAAAGCCACCATTAACATTACCAAAAGTCAAAATCGACAGAAAAATTTGACTTCCCTCATGCAAATGACGATTGAATGAGATGAGTGCACAAAGGGAGTATAATATAAATGGTTCCAATAAATTTTTATAAAATCAAGCTAGAGCACTTGAATGAACTTGAATCATCATCAGAGAGGTGTTGACATCTGCGTGACTGAGTCACTTCAGTAGAGGTGTCAGAAAATAATATGAACATCATGTAATGAATAGCTCAGGAAAAAAAACTTAACACTAACAATAAGTTCCTCTTAGCAGAGGGCTGACGACAACTAATCACACACCAGGTGAAGGTTACGTGAACAAATCATTTTTTTTTCAAAAAACTCAAGATAAACCAAACGTAACATTTAAAAAATTGGCCTCCGGCCAATAATCCGTACCCCAAGATCGTTTGACGTGCATAAGGCGACCACAGATATGGTCTTCTTAGCAAATTTTGAATGAAATTGAACAGATAGAGATAAATGGAGGAAATATTGATAAATGGGGTACTCATTGAAAATATAATGAGACAATTTTTTACCTGAATTCTGGATCTAGGACATATTTATACACATTAAGCAACGAGCAGGCTACAACAATATCAGCTAGAGTAATTCTTTCGCCAACCAAATATGTGCGTGTTAAAAGGTAATTGTTGAGGTATTGCAGCAAGGCTCCTAAGTCACTTTTTGCTTTTGTTACTACCTACAGGAAAAAGAGGTACCATTATAGAGGAGAGATTTAAGAGAAATATAAAAATAAGGAACAATAACTTTTCAGAGCAAGACATCCAGAATACTCAATCGATCAGATAAAAAGGAACAACTATTACTTCGATCTGGCAATCTTCTTTGACACACTTGATTACGATTTTCAAATTTCATTCTTGTATGATTACCAAAATCCTCTGTGGCGTTCTAAGCTTCATTAGTACTGCAGGTTTTGAACAGGGACGAGTTTCATGTAATGATTTACTGAAGTGATGGCAAATTGCAGCCAAACTTCGCGAAACATCCTCATATAGCAGACGATCCTTTCCCCCTAACCTCAACCTATCTATTGCCCATTCTAAAGTGAGGTTAAGCTGATAAATGGAAAATAAACAATCAGCAGCTGAATTCTTGAAACATTAGGATAGTTACTTAAATTTTTGATCACTTTCACCCCTGGTGATGACGCTGGCTTTCTAAAAAGAACACCAGGGCCAATTTGAGACGGACATTCAATATTCATAGAATACCTCGGATTTATTTTGATGTTGGACATCAGTTCATTGCAAGGATCCTACGCAAGGTTGCAGCACTAGTAACTGCTCATGAATTTTCACTTTGGCTCTTGCAAGAATTTAGGGATGCAGATAGGGTTCTGCAGGACTTGCTTCTGTTTTAAATAATCATTTAGCTTAAAAAATTAAGGTTTATATACTGCAAAAATTCACTAGAAGTGGTCTCTTATTTTCCTTAGACTTAATAAAAAACAGGGGTGTGGAATCTGCTGGGGATATTATTGGGAGAATCGACACCTAAAAAATATTAAGAAAAATTCAAACAATCTATTGCTATCTTTGAATTTTACGGAGATGTTTCAAGTATTTCAGACAGATGCAATGCAAAATTCAAGGAAATTTACTAAAGTGAGGATCAAGACAAGAAAAAAAGTAATCACTTAAAAAAATTAGGGAGGTCGAAAATTTTTTCGGAGGTGATTGAGAAAAAATACCGCATCTCATCAAGGTTGCCACTGAATTTGGAAAATGACTATCCCTGACACGTTTTGTTGAAATTCCCTGACAATTGAATATAAGACACATGGTTAAGAGGACATTCTTGAAAATAGTTTTCATGGCAAGATTTGTTGTGCAAAACCTCAAACCCATTCTAGAAAGCGAATTAAGGTGATATAACAAATTCAGACATTTTTCTCAGACATTTGCCCGTATTTCGACTGTGGCAACCCTGTCTCATGAAACTTTTGACCAAAGGGCACTTCCTATACCCCTGAAAAAAGGTAACTTGAATAGGTAAATTCTTAATTGAAACAGTCAAATTTGGACTCTTTGATTAGAATTAAACAAAATTTCAGTTACTTACTTGCTTGTTGAAGAGCATAATTCCCATGTATGGGTATGCCCAGCTGCTGGCTGGTGGAATTATTTCGTTGTCTGCAAAGCTCAACCATTTTAATACCTGGGCTTTATCAAAATCGTTTTTCCCTCTAAGTTGGTCATTAGATACTGCAATAAGAAGCAAAAATCACAATAACAGAACAGGAATAGCTCAAGAGAGATCTTCAAAATATGACTATGAGATTGATAAGCTTTCTCATTTAAGAGAGTAGCTGTCCAATAATTTGTTGGGCAAGAAGTGGTTTTAACCCATTCTCCTCATATGATGACTTTTCTCATAGGCGCGCGACTGGGAAATATCTCAGCTGACAAGTTAAATTGCGCAATCTGTCGGCATTGCCACGCTTGAGATGCCATCTATCGGAAAAAAGAAAAAATAACATTACCAAAAAAATCATGTAGCAACGCCGACAGATGGCGCAAATGAACTCATCAACTGAGCTATGTCCCGCGCATGCACAAAGTATACTCATCAAATGAGACGAACAGATTAAAATACATTTTCAAAGGTACCACTAGACAAGGTACGACTTTCAGCATTCTGATACATGTTTCTGAACTAAAATTTCACTTGGAATATGCCGTGTGCAAAGAAAATAACCGAAATCAACTCCATCTTAAGATCTTCAACAATTCTTGATGCGCGAATTCAGACTACCCGCTCATGAAAACTCAATGCTCTGCATGATTCACATCATGCACTAAACGTTATCATGACAGTCTCGGCAATATAAAATTCTGGCAACCTCAATCTTGACGCTTCGGCTCAGCAGTAGCAAATTGCTCACAGTTTGAATAACACATGGTGGGAAATGAACATTACTTGATTGAGAAGCTTAGTTCGCGATATGACTAATGTAGAGCTTTGAGTTTCTTGTCATCAGGCAGTTCAAATTCCTCGTAACCAAAGTGAAATAAAAACGTTAATATCTTCGCTTGGAGTTTGTTTTATTAGTTTTCGATGCGTGAATCATGGTCTACGAGAAATTCTGGTCAAGAAACATGTGTCAGAATGCTTAAATTCATGCTGTGTCTAGTGGTTCATTTCTGCTCTTTGGGGCCAGTGAGGAGATTGATTCGAGGCCAAAGGTATTCACTGATTAAGACAGGAGAGTCTGATTTACCAAGGACAAACGTCATCTTTTCTCCAGAACGTTTGGGCCTGCACATGATCCTTGATCGAATCGATTGGAATCAGAGGTCCATTTGCCGCAGCAGGTTGTGATGTTGAAAGATGAGATGCTATCTGTGATTTCAAACTTTCAAACCCCAAATGTGACAAAATATTGCAGTATATTGTGATACATTCATTGGGATAGTTCAAACGAATCTCATTCAGTTGATTACTATTCGTGAGCAGACTATCAGCTGACCTGCTACTCCATCTTTAGAGAAATTGGATAAGTGGGTAGAAATCTAATAAGACTACAGTGATAAATTTAATACCGCCAGCAACTTGATTTATGGAAATTTTGAGTTTGTGGATGAAAGAAAGCAAGACTAAGGCGGAATGCTACAATATGATTGGTTTGCTTTGTTCATCATCCCCTTCATAAGGCCTATGTCACCTCATGAGTTGCAAATGTTTTTTTTGTCCATTTCACCCAACATGGCCTGATTGGCTAAGCTGATGAATCCTACACCTCCATTCCTCCTAAATCTAGTCTAGTCAACAAACACAAAATGTAGCGATCAGGCTACAGGGAAACAGAACAACTTTGATTGTGTGCTGAAAATGTGGGTAGAGAACGTCGGTATGAAAAGACAAGATATTCTTACCATAATAGGCAATAGCATTGCTTTCAGTGATATATTTGCCATCAGATGTTTCAAAGGCAGGAACCTGTAAACGAGAAAAAAAAAGCATGAAGGAAAATTGCGGCTTATAGAAATAAGTATTCAGTAATTGATCATAGAAAAAGTGAGCTAATACATAGCTCATACGAATGGTTTGACCAGTCAACCCGGGCTTTACTTGAGGTATTTATCATTCAATTGACAAAATTGCAATTCCTGATAGAAAATTGGACTGAGTTAAGCAGAAAGGAACCAACCCACATTTTGGAAAAAATCGTGTCATGAGTGGTTTTGAACTCAACCACTGCTCTACTACCTGTCTCCAAAAATTCAAAGTTTTTGTTGGAGCAAATTTTGCAGAAATTGAACTTGAAGTTTATCTTTTACATTGAGTCTTACGCAGGAGCCAAACTTTAAACCTCTTTTTCTCGGTTCGATCCCGATGTGGCTTGGTTCCTTTCTGTTTAACTCCGTCCAATTATTCCTCCGCTCACTATTCCAAGTGCAGCTCAGCGCATAGCACACTGAACTAAACTGAGAGGACAGGGCTTGATTTCTTCTCCGATTCTTCCCTCTTATGAGATTTTCTTAGAATTTTCCTTGACACAATGAAATTCCCCAACAATTCTCAGTTTTCCAGAACTGTAGCTACCCTGCTCATGGGACACCATCAAGTACTCAGGAGGTGTTCTGTCACTATCGTCAAGTAGCTTTGAAAGCAGAAACTAGCTTCTCTGATGCAAAAGGTCAAATTATCATAAAAATGCATTGATCATGATTTACACATTTCTTGGAAAAAACAGGTCAAATAATTGTCATGAAAGTCCAACTCAGAAGACAGACAAAAATAAATTTGCATTACTCAAGTACTATGCCTCTACTAAGTACCAAGGAAAATTCCTAGGACACACAACTGATAATGTGAAAAATCCCTGATCAGTAGTTCTGGAGAATTCATCTGGTTGCTGGTGTGCAATGTTGAGTCAGTCTATCAAAGGAACCGCAACAAGACATGATGCCAACGCGGACAAATTGGGTTTGAAATGCAGTTAAATGGCCATAGCAGGCAATAATAAAAAGTGAGCCCATTTTGCATACAATTGCACATCGTATGAACGGTTGATGAGTGTCTGCAAAGATCTAGACAAGAACATTCAATGTGCGATAACAATCGGGGAAAATGGTCCACAGTAATGGAGAGTTGACTGCATCTTGCAGCTTTGATGTATTTAAGGTGAAACGACAAATAATGCAAAACCAGCATACCATTGCAGTGGCAATGTTACCGAGTTAACCTAAAACTGAAATGGAAAAATTCATCTAGGGGTAACATCCATCTATCTGCTATATAGAGTAAAAATAAATTTGCACTGACCTTGCCAAGCGGAAATTTCTTCAAGAAGGCTTCGCTTTTGTTCGTCTCGCCAAAAACGAAATTCGGGGCGACGGTCACGTTTGCGCCAGCATATTGGGCCGCTATGAGGGCCTTGTAAGCCCTGTAGTTTTCCGGATAAGTATACAAAGTCTGCAAAATAAAAATTTACAGACATGATTGTCGAACGAATTAGGATGTAATTCATGTCAAAATAAGGCAAAAACAGAAGGGATGTGGTTTTCTGAAAGGGATAAAAGTGAGATGAGATACATACCCCTGCCACCATGTTGACCACGTACAAGAAAGAGAGAGAGAGAGAAGGTGAGAAAGATGCAACATGCAACTACACTGTCATGAGAAAGAAATGGCAGCGAATGGACAGGGGAGGGAGAGAGAGAGATAGAAAACACTAGACCTATACAACAACAGGAGGAGTAAAAGAGAAGGGAAGGAAATAGGTAGGCGGAGAGAGGGGGGAATGTATGGACCAGATTCAACACTGATGCCGAATGGCAAATAATATATAACAAACAAGAATTTCCGGACTATTGAATTCCGGATTTTAAAAACAATACTTTTTGTGTTTTGTTTTCAATTAAGTACTTAGAATTTTGATTAACTTTTTTAGAAAAATTATTAAAAATCAAAGCAAAATAATTCCTGTAACTCTGAGATCAATCAAGAAAACGAATCGTGTAAGTGATCCGCTTTCCCAGAAATGCGGAATTTCGGAATTTGGATAGCATCGAAAGTCAACACTGTAATTTGTGCGAAGAAAAAGTTGGTTATTTATGGTTATTTTATCGTTCAAAGTTTTGTGTGCTGTAGAAAGCACAGTAATTAATTCGTGAAACATAGTATTTTCCAGTCGTAGTTAGTTAATCGTTGCAATAATGGTAAAGTTGTCCTTTCATTCCTTTTCCCCTGACATATAACGCAGGTCCAATTGCCCACTATGTTCCTCACATTACATCTGGTATTGATTTGTCAACAAATCAGAGCCCAGAAAATCAAGAGGATTGATACCAAAGCAGCCCTTTGTGATTTTTCATCTACAATAAATTATTATATCCTCAAGAACACAGTCTTTCACTATTTTATAAGTTACCGCTTCTACAACTATTCTATCCAGCCCAAGAATGCCCTGTTCCTTGACATACTAGGTGGTTGCACTACAGGTTCTAAGATGTCGCCTGTTGCTGCCCATATTTTTAGCTGTGATTTTCTTCTTAATATCCATAGAACTCATTATTCCTCCTGATTTAGTCATATGCGCCTGTTGGTGTACTTTTTTTAAGGTTGATGTACTCTCCATTGCAGAGAAAAATAATTGACAAGTACATGGCTATCACCATTGATGGTTATCCCAATCGCACCATGTCCTAACCTACCTGAAACCTAATTTTAAAGCACCACTATTATCAATGGCAGCAGTTTTAGTCCGTCTGTTACCAGCAGTCAGTTGAGCTGAAACGAAGCTATTGAAATATGTTCGGCCAGTGCTAGGTGAAGATAAAGCTAACGTCGTTCACTCATTGATTTACATTATATACGTATGCTATCTTCTCATGCTGTTTGAACCTAGGTGAACCTATATGGTCAAGGAACTAGAAATTATTGTTTTGCACCCAATATGATGATTTTATCTTCATCGATTTGTATGTTTCTCTTTTTGCAGGGGAATGAAGCTTCACTACCGATGGAGCTTTGCTCCAATTGTAAGTATTGTTATACCATCAGCCTGCTATCACAGGCAATCTATTAAGTTTTATTTCTCTTCTTAACTGCAGCGATTAACATAGAATAGATTTTTCCTTCATCCTATTAAGGAGATCCCTTTCATCTGAAAAGATCATTAGAGAAGAAACTCTCTGCTGAAAACCTCGGCCCTTACATTCAGAGTCCACTGTCGTTTTTGGGATTCTAACAAGATTCATGCAAAATACAATGAGACCATTGGAAAGAAAACTGATGGACTGAGCTTTCTTTCTTGCATGCAAAGTTCACTTAGATCCACCAGGCATTATAAAAGTGTCGTCTTGTGTAAACCAGAGCTTACATTTGTCCCAGATGTGAAGTGCTAGAGTTGCACTTACAATTGGACGTATTTCTATCAAACGGAACTATGTGCATTAAGACATGAGCCCTAAGACCCATAAGAATATGTGCATAACAGGGCTAACGTCATAATGCACATAGTTCCATTTGATAGAAATACGTCCAATTATTACAAAGAATCAATGCAAAGGGTAATAGCTGAATATTGGGTCAGCTCTCAGGAAGAGGAAAGTGGACCCCCAATTGGTTGAACAAGATTCCAGTTGGTAACTTACCTCTCTAATGAGCTTGTTGAATAAATATCTGCAAGTTAGAGCAAAATGATGTTGAAACCTCAAAAATGTGCATTACAGTTGCAGTGTTTCAAAATCTTTACTGTCGTGCTATCTTCTTTGAGGAGGCTGAACCAAAATCATGGCTTGAAATTTGCACTGAATGTTCTTTACTTAGAGAAGAAAAATGATGTTTAGTAGCACTCCACGTAAAAATTAAAGTAGTATAGGAAGTCTTCAACACCGAAACCAGTGTTTGAAACTCACCTTTGAGTTTCAGGAGCCATGAGACCCATCAAGCTTGATTTTTAGGGGCCATTGTAGGTAGATTTTTCAGGGGCCGAATTGACTTTTTGCCTATATATCACGCCATATTTAGTAAAAAGTTAGAATCCGGTGCCGTGCGTTGACATTTCAAAAAATCACCAAACAGGAAAAATTAGGATTTTTTCGAGAGGGGGGGGGGTGGCAATTTTTAGAGGCCATGTTGGCGCAGAGCCTCTTTCTTTCAGGTGCCATGACTGATTTCTTTGGCGCATTGGCGCCTGTGAGTTTCGAACACTGACCGAAACCAAGATACACATTTTTGCCGTTTCATCATTGATATGTTACTCCACAGGACTCTGAGATCTTGAAAGTTATCCTCTCATCAAACTAAGAGGAGTCTATTGACCTTGATACCATTTACCAGGTTAGTCCAATGCCTAAGTAAACTTGATGTATTGCTGAGAGTTAAAAATGTCAATTTATTGTTGTTAATATTATCATTTATTTAATGTTAATATTTTTCAGTTGATGCTGATGAAATCAGACGGTTAGGTAAACGGTTCCGAAAGTTAGATTTAGATAATTCAGGAGCCTTAAGTATCGATGAATTTATGTCGTTGCCAGAACTACAACAGAATCCTTTAGTCCAACGTGTTATAGATATTTTTGATGAAGATGGGAATGGTGAAGTTGATTTCAAAGGTAAGAATTTTTTTATATATACCACGGCTGTGCAAACAGTGAATTTCTCAAATGAAGCAAATAGCGAATACAAAACAAACAGCGAATAATTTAAGTCAAATGTTCGCAACTATGAACAGTAATAACAATCTAATATGACTTCTTTCAGCGCAAAAATTCACAAATATTACAAAAGTTGTTAAATAAGTGTGATTGACTTTTACTCTTGGAGCAACTAAGATGCACGGGTCAATTGCAATTGCACAGCTGTTTGTAAACTTAAGTCCCAGCAATGTTTCATAATTGCCACCTGGAAATTTGTTATTTTTGACAGTGCGAATCTCTGAAAATTCGTTATTTGTGACGGCAAGAATATTTGCAAATGTTAAACAGTGTGCGAGTCAGTGGAAGCGAATATTTGTACAGCCCTAATGTTTAATCAATAATAAGCAACAACAAAAAATTGATCAAAAGTTGCAGTGCATTTTTAAAAAAAGATGAACGAAGAATATCAGTCGCAACTCGCTTGCTGAAGATGATGGGCAGTAGTCTATGGAAACGGGTGTTTGAAAATTTAATGAAAAAGGCGAAGGAATTTATTAGTTTTTTCAGGAAAATGGTGTGAATTTCTAGTCAGTTACTCAAATAGTTTATTTACAATATGCAATCAATATTTTACTAAGTAGGGGTTAAAAATGTCCTAAGTCATTGATCTTTTATGATTTGTAGTCATACATTCTTGTGTTTTCTGCGATCGGAAAGTTCTATCTAATTAGTAGAAGTGGTCTTGAAATTTTCAGAAGTTTTTTAAGCTTCAATTATGCTGACTATGAAAGTTATCCCCCAACAGCCTTAAAATGTACAAATTGTGAAAATACTACTATCTGCAAATGTGCCAGCCCTCCTTAGATTCTCAAACAATGACCCTGATTTTTTACTATTGCAAAGCGACCGTCTGGGGACACCTAGCATCTATCAGTGGGTTGGATTTGTATGATTTTTATAGGTATTGTATTTGATCATATATCGTCATAAGTTCATTTTCCTTAAATTAATTTTTCCTTTATTTCAGAATTCATCCAAGGTGTCTCGCAGTTTAGTGTGAAAGGTGATAAAGAATCAAAATTAAGATTTGCTTTTAGGATCTATGATATGGACAATGATGGTTATATTTCAAATGGCGAATTATTTCAGGTGAGCTTAGTGATCTTGGCAGTTTTCATGTAACCTTGAATTTCATGATTTTTATAGTACAAGGAAAGTTAGAACCTGGGGTACCTTAATTTTTGAATGAATGTTCTGAAGACCATTAAGTAATTTGCATAATATTCTGTGTTCAATTTACCAATGAACTGGGTAGCTTTTTAAAAACGGTTAATGGACAGGAAGAAAAAGGTTCTCTGGTATTCGAAAGTTTAAAGCAAACTACCAATGATTATTATGGCTATCAATATCTCTCAAATGACTTGTATAAAGCGATCATGCAGATCATCCTTAGTACAGAACTTCTTTTTCACCAGTTTTTCCTCAATTTAAGCTTCTTATTAGAGACTTCATCATCTGAATTTAAAGAAAAAGCTCTCTAACATGGCTGGCGATTCCTTGTTTTGTTTCACACCTCTCAGTTGGAAATACTCTCAATCACAGACAATGCATTGACTTTCATTTCCTTTCCTCTTTTCCTTTTATCTTATGTTATTGACTCCAAAGTAATAGTTTTGTCGTTTCCTTCCAGGTCCTAAAAATGATGGTCGGAAATAATTTAAAAGACACTCAACTACAACAAATAGTTGATAAGACCATTTTGTTTGCCGATAAAGATGAAGACGGAAGGATAAATTTTGAAGAATTCTGTTCGGTAATATAAATTTTAAGTCTATTTTCTCAGGCAGCTATCTTTAGCCCATAGAATTATGCAAGTGCCAAAGTTTTTTTCCTAAGTCATGGAAGTAGTGTGATTAATGAGCTTGTTCAGTAATGTTTGATTCCTGCATTTCTGAAAACTAGAAAGTGCACCGAGTTCACAGGAATTCTTCCTGATTTTTTTGAACAATATTTACCCATGAAAAACGAGCTTAAATTTTCGTATTTTGAGCTCTCATTTAAACGCGTGATGGCGGGTCACTGTCAATGGCCGCTGCGACCGCCCGTCGGAGAATGACCACACTCCTTGAGTTACCCACTGCAGCGTCCTGTAGTCCATTCGGAATGCAGCACAATGTCTTAAAGTTCATGTGCGGGCTATAAGACGCTGCAGAGTTAACTTTAACTCGTTTTTCGTGGGTTAATATTGTTCGAAAAAATCGGGAAAAATTCCTGAACTCTGTGCACTCACTAGTTTTCAGAAATGTAGGAATTAAACATTACTAAACAAGCTCGTTGGCAGAGTTTCTTTTTCCATACCTCATTGGCATGGAAGGGGGGTAAAATGGGAACTCTACTCCTAATTTCTAATTTCTTTTTAAGTTTTAAGCTTTTTATGTTTTTTTGCTGGATCTTCCTAGACAATTACTTAGGTGTGTATGGTGGTGGGGGATTGAAAATGAAAAATATTCTTAATAAATAAATAAATAAATAAATAAACAAACAAACAAAAAAAACCTGAAAGAAACCTCTTTTACTCAAACAATGTAGATCCCTGCCCAGCAGCATCGTCAGCAATCAGATAATTAGAAATAGAAAGACAATATTTACTACTTTTGTGCTGTTTACTTTTTTGTTTTGAAAGTTTACCATGGAAAATGAACTGAGACAATGATGCCAAAGTCAAACATGTCTATCCTTTCATCCGAAATGTGATGTTTTCTTTCCTCCCCTCCTCCTTTTTGAAAGTTACTCATAACACTACCAAATATATAAAAGTATCGGTAGGTAATGTACAAGGAAGAAGTTCTCATGATTAGATCACTTTACTTCTCTGCTCATCAGCAATGAGGCGTCTAGAAATACTTTGACAATTCTCTACAATCTCCTTGGAGGAAGTTGCAAATAGACAGGATTGAAAATCTTGAAGTTGGAAATGTCTAGAAAATTTTGCCATGATGTATTAGGAAGGCCCCGCCAAAATTTTGAATATTGCTCAAAGTAACTTTTTTGACCAAAAAATGTACCTAAAATTTTAAATCTCTGAGTGCAACCGTTCAAAAGTTAACAAGGGGGGGGGGGGTCCAGATTTTTAGATCACCCTGCATGTATCAGTTACCAACGTGAAGAAGTCTATGTTATTAGTATACTAGGGGGCTACGCCCCCTGGCTGCTACGCGGCCCAACCCCCTGAAGGCGCTCCGCGCCATCAATGGGCCGCTTCGCGGCCCTATTTTTACCCTCCTATCGGTGTTAGTTTTATTTTCCCCTAAAAAATTACGATATGAGGTATACTTTACTTTTAGAATGAAATAATTTTTGGTTTTGATGAATAAAGAAACAAAATTTTTTTTTGAAGTCTAAACGACGCGTTTTGGAATGACTACTTGATGAAATATTGCAGTAAAACAACGAAATTTGATGATCAGATAATAATTTGGTATTTCGGGAGACGGGGATCGAACCCACACCATCATTTTGGAGGATGCTTCCGATGTCTTTGACAACTCGGCCACCGCTCATCTTGAGGAAGCAGGGGCGAATCTTGTGTAGATAAGTGTAGAGCTGATGCGCAGGCTACACAGCTACTGCGCAACCTCCTCGACCACTGCGCATCCTCCCGCGCATAGCGGTAGCAGTCTCGGAGCATTCTGAAAATTCACTCACTTTTATAACGTGATTGTAAACAAACCTGGGTCCTATTTCCAAAATCTGAATAGAGCGGGCTCATCTAGGGCCAATTACCCGTCGATTACCGCAAAAAACTTAGAAATCGGCCCGGTAGAACGCTCAAACGAACTATGACAAAAAATATAAATTTACATTGTTTAAATGGGAGAATTCGCAACTTTACCACTTAATATAAAAAAACCTAGGCCATATTTTGAAAATCTGAAAAGAGTTGGCTTATCTAGAGACAATTGCCCGTCGATAGCCGCAAAAATCATAAACATCGGCCCGGTAGAACGCTGGAACTAAGCGTTACCAGTTTCGCAAAATTAGGAGGCTTGAGAGCTTATAGTATAGATTCAAATTACTTTAAATCAGAAAACGCAGGTGCAAATCGTGAATTTGTTAGTCAGCGACATAAGAATGAAATATCTTGCATAATATTTTTGGGTGGCAACTTTGATGAAAACCTCAAACTATAGGCTTCCTGCGTGTTTAAGCAGCATCTTTTCGTCACTGATTCCCTGTAATAAGTCAATCAATTTTCATTTATACATGGTGTTTTTCTCCTTTCCTCTTGTTTCAGATTGTCGGTAACACAGATATACACAAAAAAATGGTCGTCGACGTCTAAAGTCATCAAATCAAATTATATCATTTCAATCGTTCTCACTGAACTGCTGTGTCACTCACCTCTCATCTCTAAGATTTGAATAACTTCTTATTCATTTATTTATTCATATTCATCTAGGATATACTTTACCTATAAAAAGGTTAATTTTCAAAAATGCTTGAAGAGTCTTTGCTTCTCTTTTTCACTCTTTCATCATCAATTTGCAGCAATTCTGCTTTTTGTCTCTTCCACCGTCTAAATTCTAATTTCTAAAGAAACTTTCTACTTTATTATTCACAGTAACTTTTTTTTGAAAATTCTTGTTTAATATGATAATTTTTGATGGCAGTGATTTGTTATTTGGTAGAGACGTACGAAAGCTGGTTAGATCTCTGGTTGTAAGTACACATTTGATTTTGCTTTCTGAATAAATTAAGGGTAAAAAAATTAATAATGTTTATTAAAAAATATTTCTGGGCTAATTGTAACAGCAAAAGAATCAAAATTTTTTATCTCTTTCAACTTATTAACACATTTTGAAAGTAGGCTAAGTCGTAAATCTTTCTCAAAGGAAATTTCTTCTATCCATGTTTGCTTCTATCATAATCAAAGAATTGGAATTGTGTAAGGTAGAAGTCTCATCCCAAAAAATATTCCTGTACAGTTGCTGAGTATTTCTTTACTTCAACTGTAGTCGCACTTGCCATCATAAATTATTTCATAACTTGCTTGTGTAATGTTTACATTACAAAGCAAATAAACTGAGATGTGTCCTTCAAGTGTATAGTATGTAAGAACGATTGTTTTCAAATTAGGATGGAAGAAAAACAAAACCAATCAATGAGTATGTTTCTCTCACATCCTATTTTTTACTTTAATTTATAATTATTCTGAAATAAGCGCAATAGCCTTAAATTAATTTTAAAAGGATTGTTCTGAATTTGCATGTACTACTTTTCTGTTTTACTTTGAATAATATTCAGGTTCTATTCATATAATCACCAGTTTTTGATTGAAAGCACAGTTACTAGTTCTACATTTTGATGAGTAACAGAAAAATTAGATTTCTATCTGTCTCATTAAATGTGGCAAATAGGGTATCGATGCAACGGAACTTCAAACATTTTGTCCAATGAAACAGATTTTGTGGTCTGTTCCTGTGCCAATTTTTTGTTTTTACTCTTCTATCCAGTTAGTTGTTTCACTGATTCCTTTCGTCATTCGGAGGTCCATGAAGCCTCTGAGTTTGAAGGTGTTCCTTCTGCCATAATACTGTAAAAAGTTTTGTTCATGTTTTAATATTATTATTTGGTACGCAAGGAACAATACCGCTCGATTGCAGTACCAAAGTTCTCACAAAGCATTGGAAAAAATACCAATCGGCCATTCTGAGTGCGACTTCAGTAAATCTTCAGATGGCTCTCTTGAATTTTTTTTTTTCGAAGGACAATTCAGTCATTGATTTCACTCTGCAAAGCACAGATCACTTTCAGCAGTAGTACTTGCGAACAGTTCCAATTAAGTCGCATCACACAAAGAAAGAGGGGAAGAATTTTTTTACATCTCTGACACTTTAGAAAGAAGTCCATCGTTTTGTGGGTACAGAAATTTTGGTCCTTAATTTCCCAAAAAAATTTGTGGCGCGCGGTAAATAATCATTCTTCAAAAACTGTATAAAATTTTTTCTCCTTGTTCATTTTACCAAAACAATGGATAGTACGGCCAGTTTTCCATACTTTTAAATTTTGATTTTCCTGATATATTGACGCCCTATTGTACCCACCTACATGACGGATTGACTTATCGGTAAACGCAACCACCTTCTCTTTTTTCTAAGCGGTATTGTTTCTTTCGCGATGATGGATGCAAGATCTTCTCATTCAAAATGTGAGGAATAACTTGGTCTAAAGAATAGGCACTGCTTGTGATGAAGCTATTTTTTGTTGATTTTTAATTATATATTATTAACTGACTTACTTCTTCTGGAATGTTAACGTTTGTGTCGCAAATTGATAAGAAGGTACTGAATTTGATAAAGAAGTAACTTCTTGTGACCAAGGCCAAAAATTGCCAATTCATTTGCCAGGGCATTGAAGCCTTTGCGAGAGCAAAATTACTTTCAGAGCTTTCCAACCTCTTTGAGCGAGCCATCTGAGGTCACTCACTTTACTGAAATTGCTTTTAATGGACTTTTTAATACTTATGGTTGTTTCGAAAGCTTTTGTTTAGCAAGCCTATATCCAATGCTTCAACCTAACTTGCCTTGTCTCTACTGTCTGTCCAAGGTGTGTAAAGGAAGTGTTCAGTATATACCATAACAAGGAAAAAACTACCAGACTCTGAACAGAAGTGCTTAATAGTCTAGATTCTTGAAAGCGTGATTCTTTGGCCTACTCTTGGTGAATTGTTGTAAATATTACCTCGTTATAAAGTTAGCCATTTTCTTTTGTGAATTTGAACATGTGCATTGTTTTAACTTACATATTCTTTTACCTACCAATTTTATTTTTTGTTTTTCTCTCTTTATACCCTTTTGGTCTTTTTATTTCATTTTGTTCATCATTGAGTTCAAGTATATTTATTTTATTTGTCGATAAAGCGCATTATTTATATTCTTACCACTATTTGTAAGAAATTTTTTCTATCAGATATTATCTATCAAATCATAATTTATAAAAAAATGTGTGCTTTTCCAATTATCAGAGTGTTAATATTATCGAGGCCATTTAGCAGGAAAAGTTTAAATCGTCAGATCATCATTAATGCAAGACTCTCTTTGAAGTTTGATAGTTCAACAGCTGTATTGAAGCTTATGCTAATTTGCTCACATGAATACAATGAGTTGATGTGCAAAATTTTGAAGAACAATGTGATCTTTAGATTGAATTACCAGCAAACATAACCCAACATCTAAGTACCAAACAAATGTTAAAGTACTTGAGAAGTACATGTTTTTACCAGTTTGACTTTTAATGTGTATTGAAACTAGAATTCATTACAACCAGAGGAATATCTCAGGTGCCTGATCTCAGAATTACTCTTTCAGAAACCTCTAATTTAAGTGAAGACCATCGAGAAGTTAAAGTCGAATTTTCATCGGTCAAATCAAGGACTGAACTCAATGTTAGATTAGTTTCGCTTAAATTGAAGGTTTCCAAAAAATATTTTTTGGGATTTCGCAGCTATAGATTGTCCTTCCTGATGTAATGGATCCAATTTTGTCCAATACTAAGAGTAATACCTACTTGTATTCCAACCAAGATTGCCACTGTCAGGAAAAACTGGAAAATATCAGGGAAAATGATGAAAGTATCTGAGAAAAATTGTTAAATCATTTTCATCCTGCACATCCTCAAATGTCAGGGAATTTCACCAAAATTTGTAGAGAAAATCAGGGAATTCCATTTTCTGTATTTTGTCGCAACTCAAACAAACATATCTTGCTGGATATCTCAATTTTTTGCTATCTGCATCCAATGTAATTCTCTCTAAGATCACCTTCTCTCAGATCAATGCTAGAGTTTGTGCCAAATTAATGGGCCTTCTTTAGAAATCTGCTATCTTCATTTTAGCTCTAGAGCCAGATGCAATGATGAATCTCGATCTTCTCATAACGTTGGTCAATCAGTTTGGCGTGAAGTGTATACCTGCACAGCCGGATTTAGGCATAGGCCACCTAGGGCGGCAAATTTTGCAGGGTGGCAAAAAAATATGCAAAGAGAAAAACAAAAATATAGCGCCACTGTGCTGCCGTGAAGGCAGCAAAAGCAGCTTAAATTATGTAATTTTTCTACACAAGGCGTAAAAGCGGCACCTGAGAAATTTGTTTTCTTTTTTGAAGAATGCTTTGGCACACATTATTTTATTACCAAAATGCAACTTCCCCCCTTTGCAATTTAAAATTTGAAAGACGATGTTTTTTTGACTCAAAACTTTGACGGCCTAAGGGCGGCAAATACGTAAATCCGGCCATACATACCTGCCTGATAAAAATTCTGAATTGGAAACTAACCATCTGTTTAGTTAAGTTCATTGAGCTTGTATTAAGTATTTCCAATTATGAAGTGGGCTTGAAATTTTTTTAATTGTAAAATTCATTGTTAAATATTTTGATGAAGTTTATCTCATTTGTGTGAGACACTTGATGAATATTATAGTCTCAACTTGCTCTGAAATCTATTCTCTCAGTTAGGTTTTAGAGCATTTGAATATGGCATAAGTCAATGAAATGAGTTTAAATAGTTAAAAAGTACAAATCATGTGAATTACGTTAAGGACTTTGGCCAAACTCTGGATTTTACAATCAGTTTAGCTTTTAAAATGACTTGATAGGCAGCTGGACTGTCTTTTAAATCCTAAAAATGTTAGTAAAATGCTTCTGGAAAAAAGGAAGAAACCGTTATTTGCTGATAATACGCAGCTCTCCTTACAAACTCATGTAAAGAGATGTAGGTCAACAATTGGAGTCACAAAAAATTTACATTCAAAATACATCATCTTGAGAATCTCAAACGCTTTTTTCCTTTACTCTTCATACTTTCAATGCTAGCCGAGTTTCACCTCCACAGTTTTTTTAAAAAATCTTTGTTCCTTCTTGCGTATACCTTTGTAATAGGGTAAGCTTTCAATAATGCAACAAGTTCATTTCAAAATGTGTCAAGTGCTTACAATAGTTTGTCAAAACCAAATAATTGCGAGTGCTCACAGACTGTAATAAAGCAAGAACTGGGTTTCTAGCGGTCTAGAAAATCAGGGAATTCATGGGGATTTTTTAAAGTCACGGAATTAGCAAAATGTTGAAGTTCTGGCGCCATTTGAGCGAGGGAAAACAACTTCCAAGTGCCTTCTTCCATAATTTGAATGTCTAGAAGTGGAAATTGTATCCAAAATTTAGCAAAAGTCATGCAGCGTATGTAAAAGGAAAACAATTAAATGAAAGTGTTGTTTGAATGTCTGAGAAAGTCAGAGAAATCAGGGAGTTCGAAAATTTTGGAGTCAGGTAAGGGCAACTAAAAGTCAGGAAATTAAGAAACGCAAAAAAGGGTGAAAACCCTGAAAAGTCCGTCCACTAGTGATGTTGTTAACACGAGTCCAGCTTTGATTTATTCATAATGAAAGGTATTATAAAACAACGCAGCAGCAATAAACTGAAATTTTATTATAGGGTTATTATTTTTAATCATACTATTAATATTGAACGATTTATTTACTACAGAGCGGAATCCAGTGCCAAACACTCCCGAGCCTTGCTTTTCCTTGACTATTAAAACTGCCAAAGATTACGATCTCTTTGCTTTAAGACCCATTAGGAAAATTGACACTTGAACTCTGGTAGTTAAGGACTAAAATTGAGAAAAAGGCGAATGCCCTTAAAGGTGACTACTATTTGATTAAAAAATTAGTGCAGCCATTCAGGTAGTTGGTGCTGTCAAAATTGAAAAAATTTAAAAATGCATCAAATTAAAAAATCCTGTTGGATTCGTAAGAAGATGAGCCTATGAGATTCAGCTGCAATTTGCTTGAAGTAAAGGGGGCCCCGTGGTTGAGGCCAAAAAATTTAAGGAGATATTCTGGAGCTCAAAATAAGACTCTTATTGTTAATCCTTGAGCAAGGGTCAAAAAATTGAACCCCTCTCAACTTTAAAAAAAAATGTAATTTTTTTTTCATTGTGAGCCTCTTTGGTGACAAAATATTGTGAAACTTAGAATACTCCGACAAAAAATGATTGGATAACCCTTTGGAGAGACGTAATAGTTCCAAACTCTGAATCTTTTGTTTTGGTCAAGAACATCCTGCCAATATTAACATCTCTCTCTTTTTTTCTTCTTTTTGCCTAACTTCAGAATGTGCATGCAAAAGTCATTGTAATAAGTAAAATTTCCGTCTCAAAAGGAGCTCACAGTTCAAAAAAAAATAATTATATTTTTTCACTATTTTACACCCTTTTAGCTGAAAATGGCTTAGTTATTAGATCAATGCTCACAGTAAAAAATGTGTACTTTGACGTCAAGAACTGCCCCACAAATTTTTTATTTTAACCCTGAGAACGGGCAGTCTAGGGGTGTAACTCCAATGATACGGCTTGTGTAACAAATATTCATTAAAAATGGTCTTAGCTTTTGATCTACCACATTGGGGAAGGTTTCTCTGCAGACCAGTTATAGGGCTGATACAAACTACATCATAATCATATTAAGTGTAGTAGTATTTGACATGATGTGAAATTCAATTCTGCAGATTTCATTGTTTCGAGGAGTCTTAAAATTTTGACATTATCCACGAATAAATACGTTAGTTATTTACTGAAATTTGTATTATGGGTCCCCCTTAAGTCAAACTGGTCTTTAATTATACTCTGTGTTAAGGCAGAAAATTTAATGTCATCCGATTAATCCTCTCATATGTATCACTCATCAGCACTTAGATCTTTACATTTGTAATTGTAACTCTGGATTAAATCAATCAAATTAAACTGAAAGTTAGTTAAAGAAGTTTGATTGAATGAATATTCATTCAGTTAGGGCAAAAGAACCTCTTAGTAGCCTCGTTGTAGCAAGTTATTATTTTTATCTCATGGCCAATTGACTGCCTGAAACTTTTTTAACAATTGAAAATACCTGTTGAAAAATTGTTGAAAAAACTTGAAAAATAATCATCCATTAAGGAGTGATAAATGAATAGTATGTGCTAAAGTCCCCAGAATTCATGTTTTTAGTCATGCTTTTCTTTCCACATCTAAAAAAAGTCAAACTTAAGAGATCGATCTTTTCCAAAGGGCTGAGAATATTTTTCCTTCAACTTGCCTGCGTGCCTGTCAGAGTATTTCTATTTAATTTGCATATAAAACTGCTAGGAGTCTTATCTTATTGAGCTCGTTACATTGTTGTTGGTTTAACATAGTTACCCATCTTCCTGTTCGAAGAGGAGCAAACCTGCATTACTGATTCTGTTTTGAAGGTACCTAACAATAAAGCTATTCTCCTCAAAATAACGTTTAATATTTATTTCAGCATTCTTTTAAACCTGGGCACATTACTCAGAAGTTAGGATATTTTATTTTGTAGGGAGGGATTTCCAAAATGCAAAAAAATAAGAAAATATTTAAAAAACTGTTTTGGATTCTGTTTTCAGAGTTGCAAACATCATTTTTACATATAAAGCAACAAATATACAGACCGTGAAAATACATATTTACAAATAGAATTGATCAGTTTTTACAAGAAAATCCGCTGATTTTTCTGGTCAAGAAATGAATCATCCCCTGGATTTAATATTTAGCTCTTTTCTTCCTTGGAAAAGTCACGCCACAATTTAGTAAAAGCTACAACTTTTCGTCTGATATCTTCAAAATTTTCGGGTCGCTCTTTGCGCCAGATGGTGTGGTCCAGATCTAACATTCCTCCAATTATATTCTGCAAAAGAAAATAAACACGAAATACAATGAATTTTACATGGTAAAACTGAAAATACTCAAATCTTCTGCTGGATGAAAAACCCAACCACAGTAAAAGCAAGCACTAAACTAATTTTAGTCTGCTTCATGATGGAATAATTTTCTCAGAGAATTGAATTTTCCTGCTGACCACGAAAGTTCTATTTATCAAAGGAGGAAAATCATTTTCTCAGAGAATTGAATTTTCCTGCTGATCACGAAAGTTCTATTTATCAAAGGAGGAAAACAATTTTCATAAAATTGAATTTCCGGTCTTTCTAGCAGAAAATGTTGGATTTTTTTTATTGATTTTGGTTCATTCAGAGGAAAAAAGTTTAAATTGGCTGTTTCAAATGTAAATGATGAATGCTAGGCACTCACTTGTGAGGTGATTTCAAACATTTTCAACATATCTCACTGGAGATTTTGAATACGTCTTCCGGTATATAAATTCTTATCTTACCTGGGATGTATAGTTAACGTGTGACCTCTCGTCGAAAAAAAGGCCTAAGTCCTTAAAGTCAAAATTTTTAGTTGCACAACTTTTGTCGAGTTGTGTCGAAAAAGCGGATTTTAAGGTTTCAACAGCTGATTCTCTAAAGCAACCTCAAGAATGAATGTCACGTGGTTAAGTTCACTTTTCTACCAATGAAGGGTATAAAGTTTGATTATAATCCAACAATTTCGCCTCTGAATACGGCAGATCAGAATTTGTTTCAAAAGGCTCTTTCTCAAAACTAGGCTTTTGGAACTATGAACTCCAAAACTCCAAGAGGATTTGAAATTTTTGGTGATTTTTTGGCCCTAACAGCTCTTACAGCATCTCTCTATGCTCTAGTATCTACAGGTCACCTTCCAATTTATGGATCAAGGTCCTTTTTTCTGTTAGTAGCTACATATTGACAGAATTTACCTGTGCAAAGTTGCGTGGCCATAATTTCTCATCTTCAATTACGTGTGCAAAGCCACCCTGCAATCCAAAATCGACAGCGAAGTAAGGAAGACCCTTAGGAATCGCACGTCGAACACTTTTTTGTGACAGATCAACCACTTTCTTGTTCTGGGCCCATTCCGTCTCACTCTCCAAAATGGCTTTCTGAAAATAAATGTTATGAACAAATGAAGGACAGAAGAGTGACAGTGCGGCAAAGAGAAACTGTAAAAGTCACCATGAAATATAGTCACTCTTCAAAAGGTTGAATTCCGGACACCTTCATTAAGAAAAATAGGGGTATTAAAATGATTTAAAAAGTAGATAACACATTAAAATACTATGCACGGAATATCAAACATTTCAAAGTCATGAGTTGAAAAACGCTGACTCCACGAGTTTAAATATTAGAGCCTAACATAGCGGAGTGGCGTGCTGCCGGCGGGAAACGCGCTTTGGCGCCTACAAACCTACAGGGATACTTCACGCATTGCGCTATGCTTGAAGTATCCCTGTTAGGTTCGTAGACGCTAATGCGCGTATCGCGCTGGCCGCCCGCGCCCGCCCGCCCGCCGCGTCGTGCCACGGTGCCTCAAGCAACTATTTCACAACACAGGTGTTGCAAAGTATCATACGAAATTGAAGGCGCTCCAACATAGTAAAAAAGACAAGCATCTTTTAAGAGTACGAAGCTTTCGTCGCAAAATGAATGAAGATACTTCGCCACAAATAAAGAGCGGTGGTCCAAAAACTCACCGAGTCCTAGCATTCGTATTTAATAACGTTTAGCATATTTATTTGAATTTCATTGGAGAAAAAAGTGACTCAATTTAGGCAGAAACATTCTTCAGTATGCCGTCAAGAAAATTTTATTTTGAATCAAGAATAAAATAGCTGAATGAAAGCAGGTTTCTGCTTGATGTGTCTTTTCTTTTTACAAAAGCATCTTTTCTTCTTTAAACAAGCATTATTTTCTTTATTGATTCAAAAGGAAATCTTCTCAGCGGTAAATGTGAGCACATTTCTGCTTGAATCAAGTCACTTTCTGCTCTAATGTAGTTCAAAAATCATGCTAAACGTTATTGAATACAGATACTAGGACTTACAAGGGGAACTTACGGACCTGCCGCCTCCGATTGGGCTGAATTTTTTTTTACAGACTCTATGGACCAATTCTAGAGGTCAATTTGAGCCGTTTTCCCGAATGCGCAATAGGAAGGGCGTAAAAAATTCCCAAAAGTTGCGTTTTCGGCGTGTGATTTGGTCGTGCGGCGCGTGGCAACACTGAAGCAGCCTCTAGTACCGCTTTATCGGCCTGAAGGTTTCAGCGGAGTCCGGAGCCCTACTGCACACGTACTGGTTCCATGATAGTGATGTCCCGGGTTCGATCCTCGACTTTTTATTTTCCGCATGATCACGTAACATTTTATTTTTAATTCTTCATCCGCATTTATAAATCAAGCAGTTCCGATCACTATCCCCCCCCCCCTCATTTTACGTACATTTTCCCCCGATATTTATTCACATTGGCCACATATAATCGTATGAAACTTCATTGATATAAATTAATGAATTAAAAAGCAAAAGAAAACCTTATTTGTTACTACATTATCTTCAAATGTTTTCCTGGAAAAATATGTAATGTGTAAATAAATCGAAGAGCAACCCCAAACCCATGTGCATGCAAGGGTCACCAAGAAACACATTATTTTAGCCCTTTGCTTTTTAATTCATTAATTTATATCAATGAAGTTTCATACGATTATATGTGGCCAATGTGAATAAATATCGGGGGAAAATGTACGTAAAATGGGGGGGGGGGGGTAGTGATCGGAACTGCTTGATTTATAAATGCGGATGAAGAATTAAAAATAAAATGTTACGTGATCATGCGGAAAATAAAAAGTCGAGGCTTGAACCCGGGACATCACTATCATGGAACCAGTATGTGTGCAGTAGGGCTCCGGACTCCGCTGAAACCTTCAGGCCGATAAAGCGGTACTAGAGGCTGCTTCAGTGTTGCCACGCGCCGCACGACCAAATCACACGCCGAAAACGCGACTTTTGGGAATTTTTTACGCCCTTCCTATTGCGCATTCGGGGAAACGGCTCAAATTGACCTCTAGAATTGGTCCATAGAGTCAGTAAAAAAAAATTCAGCCCAATCGGAGGCGGCAGGTCCGTAAGTTCCCCTTGTTAGTAAGTTTTTTGACTACTGCTCTCTTTATGTCGTCATCACTCCATTTAATTTTCGAGGGAACTTCGAGCTTTTGAAAGATGCATCAATCCTGATACGTTGAGGTGCCTTCAATCTCATATGATACTTTGCAAAACCTCCATGGCGAAATAGTAGCTCGAAGGGCCGCGGCACGTCGGCGCCGTCGCGAAGTTATCGTACCAGGAAAAATCGAAGAGCCTTCAGCTGAGGCCAATCAAACGGTTTATCCGGTTCAGGTATAACAAGATAGGATTTTCTTGAAAGATAACTTGGTCCTGTTGCACTGAAAAGGTGTAGACAGTTTTAGTGAATTTTCCCTCATGGAATTGACGCTCCCCCATTTTTACCAAAAATCTCAATTATATATTTTTCTACATTGGGCCAAACAAACAAAAACAAGCAAAACCTTATTCCTTTAAGACATTACACATTTTCATCCAAAAACTTTGTGAGCAATTGTCGTTAGTATTTTCATGTGGACCAATTAACTTTGGGTCTCAATTGGTAAGTGGACCAAAACTTCCCTGCCGAAAAACCGTGTGGACGAAAACTGCTAGAATAAACAGGTGCGCAAAAAAAAAATCTGGGTGAAAATTGGATTTACCTTGAAATAGATAGGTGCCATATCGCCGATTTCCTTTTGCATGGGGACGCAGTGCAACACCATGTGAGGTAGATGGCTGAAACCCATTGCAGTCTCGAAGAACACAACATCCTCATCTTGCGAGAGAAAGAGTTTTGTAAGCTTTTTGCGATAGTTCTGAAAAAGAGAGGTCTATCACGAGGAGAAAGGGCAGATCTAATATGAATGGGATTAGAGTAAATTTCTTGGAATATTTTTGAACAGAAATTACCAAAAATGTCAAACCGAACTGAAGCTATAGGGTTTTGATGTTTACAGTCAATAAAACGTAGTTTTAAGAGAGAGCTATTTAAATCTATTCTCCTGTGTTCATTGCATAGAATCGCACGATCATGATGAAACTTTACACCTTCTGTGCTCACAAAAATATCAACTAAACCGTTGCCAACTTATTTGTATGAACACCGGGGGGGTTCTTTTGAAATCTCAAAATCTGATTCTTGGACTGACGGGGACATAAAACACTGAAAATGTTGCCCTTGTGGTCTAAGATGAGTGAGTTCTTACATTTAGGCAATTTTCCTAGTTATAAGAATATTCAAAGACTAATGAAGGCTTCAAAACTTGTACGCATTTTTCCTCCCGTATTTTTCCCATTTCCTTTTTAGATTGTGAATTGACGAAAATACTCAAAACCAGTTTTTCGCTTTTTATTTTGCTGAGTGAGCAACATAGGTTAGCACAAGCTCTGCTTAAAATTTTCATTTTGTCGGAAATGCTGTAAATTCTGAGAACTTGTAATAGGATCGGACGCAAAATTTTTGGATGGCGCATATTTAAAGTGAGCCATTGGTATTTGTTTGTAGACTTATAGAGACTAGTCGTCTTTAATTGATAGATGTTTTTCCAGAACACCGTGATGCAATCTGCGGCAAATTAAGTTTGATAGGATCCGGAAGGTTGTCAGAAATCATGCGCTCACTAACTTACCTGCATTTCTTCCCAAACTTCTTCATCCAACTGCGTGGCGCAGGCAACATGGTAGGAGGGAACAATTAAGCAATGGCCCTCTGACAAGGATCGAAAAGATGGAACACACAGGTAACACTGTCAAAGGAAAAATAAGGCTGCATTAGAGGGTTGTCTGAGCAAAAATCCCTGAAATCACATTCTGCTGTGCTTTAGAGTCAAAGACAGAAAAACAGCATTTTCATTATTGAGTAGAAGCTTCCTATTCTTAAAATTGTATCCTTTTTTGGAATTATATCTGAAGATCTACTGAACTGATTTTCATGTTTTTTTGGCTGATAGAAGATATAATCTTTCGCTGAGCTTTCTATCCTCAGATTTTTTCAATACATATTACCCAGATTTTTGTTGCTGCAAAGTGGTCCTCTGAGGGCGGAGAATACCTGTTGGAGGTTGAGCCATGTAGCAATGAAGAACGCCCCTATGATCATAAAGCCCGACATTCTGGGGATTTCTCTAGAATTCTCCAAGAATGTTGTTACTTACTTTGTTACCAATATCAATGATGGTGTGTTTCAGCATTTTCTCGCTTTCTAAGCAATGGATGCAGCTCTCGAGAACTCTTTGAGTTTGTTTATGTTTTGCAATAGCCTGACTCCGCTGCTTCTCTTCAAGTTTTTGGTTTGAGTCTTTACGAGACGCTTGCTCCATGAAAACATCCTCCATATCAAAAGCTCCATCATCCTCCCCAATTTTACTCTGTAAAATATAACAGGTAATGTGAAAAATAAATTGCCAGATTTATCCAATAAAAATTTGTATTTCTATAAAATACTTGTGGGAGAAACGTAACATCAAAATGAACACCTCAATTAGGTTTGAATTAAAGAACCGAGAGACATTTTTCTTAATCAAATGTTCATTCAAAACTTCCAGAGAAAATTCAATAAAATTACTCAATGGCTTGTCTGGGTGAGGACAGTGCAGTGAAGAAAAATTTTTCATTATAAAACAGACCAAGATTAGTTCGACGCCCACTTTCATTTGAGCATGGGTTACTAGGTTTGACTTGGCTTATTGGGCATGTCAAAGTTTGAATTTACAAACATAAACAGCGCTGACTTCTCACTAGTGAGTATAATTTGGAAAAAAATCGTGGTCTCCGGGAGTAAACAAGAGAAAACATGTGCAATGATAATTCTTGGTTTCAAACTTCGTTTAATGGCCTATTCTAATCTTAATCTTAAATTCTACTTTGGGGTTGATGCTTGAATTTCTAGTTGCTCTTATAATTCTCATTGTGATATTCTATGGAGACATGGCATGACTATTTTTCAAACGTTGTCTACTAATCTGTTTTATTCCAATACTAATGTTTATCATCATTTGAACAAATTTTCCATTCCATACTGCATCAGTCGAAATTTAACTAATTTGCAGGGTCATTTTAGAGGATTAAGATTACGTAAGAAATTTTTGACGTAGGTTGGCTGAGGTATGAATGCTGTGAGCAGATTGAAATATTATAATCGAACTTTCAGTTGCACAAGAGTATTCAGACTATGATTCTTTCGAAAATCTTTCATGGTAAAATAGAGAGGGAAAAACAAAAAACTAACCTTAAAAGCAAGCTTGGCGAAAAGAGCATTAGAATCCTCGACTGTGTCTAGTTTCTCCCGTTCAAACTGAAAACAGGAAATACAATTTTGGTACGAGTTTTATCAGCAATTTTAAATAATAGAAAAGTCTAAAGTCTCAATCAATTTTTTTAAACATATTTTTTCAAAGGAGACCAAGAGCTACTCACCAGGTTGCTTACTTTCTGAATTACAGTACCAGTCTGAATCAATCTGGAAAAACACTCTGTGTACAACTTAAAAATGCTATTGAGCCAAAATAAAACATCGAGTTTTCCTTGGCTTGTTCACCTATTTTTATCAGGTAAGCGGGGAGGACATTTGGTTTGACGGTAAAAATTTGAATTTAAATTATTCAATGAATTCAAAACACAGCACAGGTAGTTTTTCCGATAATTTCTTTCTTCTACATGACTTTAGTTTTTGGTAGTTTCGTTTAGGTTTGAGGGATGATAATTTTCAAAGAGAGGCAAAAATTACTTAAAACGTTCGTTGCTAGTTTTAAATTCTTGGCTGAAGAGCCTAATTTTTAGGTGCCATTTACGATGCTCAAGAGGTACTGAAGATTTTTCATTCAAGAACATGGAGTTGAAAAGAAAGCAAGGATAAAGCAGCAATCAGGGCTACACCAGTTTATCAATTTTTGTGAAAAGCCTGCAACCCTCATTTTTGGCTTCTAAACCTGATTTTCAGAGCACAATTTACAATTTAAGCCTGATGAACTTCGAGCAAGGTTTTCCTCATTTCGCATGAGTGTTGAATCAAAACCTCTATAAAATACCTATGAAAAACAACAGAAGTTTGAGCAAGATTTTCTTACCATATTTTGAAGGGTATATTTATCATCATCAGCAAAGTATCTCTCACGTTTACCAGCTTGATGAGTAGAAACCTTTTCCTTTCTTTTCTTACCACGGCCGTCTCCATAGGGATTTTCTGAGGAAGATAAAGGTTTTGTGAAACCTCTTTTGTCTGTGGAGGTCAGAACAACAACCTCCTCAGTTGCTCGGCTGCGGGATGCCTGGCTGCCTCCTGCTTTGTTTTTCTGACGTGCCTCTTCCAATTGTTTCTTCAATTTTGCCACCAAGGCCTAACAGATAAATAACTCGCAAAGTTACAAGAAAGCATCAACAGAAAACAAATCATGCTAACAAGAATGACTCAAGTTATTGGTGAATAAACTACTGATTCCTAAAAAAGAAATAAAAATGGCAGATACAGCTCAGGTCTTAATAAAAATAATGCATCCTCAGATCAAAACAAAGTTCGAATGTAGCCGATCAAAAAAGTGAAATCTACCAAAACTGTGTCCAAAAAAATTCTAAGTAAAAACTTGGAACTTAGCATAATTGAGGCACTGTATGCGTAAAGGGCACTCCTCGATTGCAGTGTTTCAGAGTCTCCTCTAATATTTCATTCGTTGTAAGGAAAGAGAATGCATCCATTTCACTAAATATTCCTCATGATTTTACAATTTTCTATGAAGAGAATTCTTGAGAAATCACCCATTAAATTCTTCTCTAAGGGATTAATTAGCAACAAAGATTCTGAAACACCGCAATCAAGAACCCTTTTCGCATCCAGTGCCTCAATTGAGCTGAGTATAAAATACTGGAATACATATATTAAGGGAAATGAAGATTTCCTTTCTCAATATTGGAAGTAAAAACTTGGCGTTTGGACAGATTTTATTATTTCTTGCTGTCTGTAAGTTCAAAGCATTGAAACACAATTCTGTGATAGGCACAATGAACTCATTGTGCAAATAAGTTTATGATGGTCAAAACTAATGGAATGGTAAAAATTATGTTACTTGTCCGAATGTCAAGTTATTACGTTCAATATTGATTATGACTGATGACGAAATCATTCTTTGAAGAACATGTTGATTAATATTGTCATGCCCAATAGTAGTGCAAATGGAAGTGCTTTCATGCTATCCGTTGGTGATGCATGCGTTTGCATTTGTGTTTTCTTCTCATACACCACTAAAAAATATACCACAGTGGATTCAACAGCAATCACTATATTTTTCAAACAGCAATAACTCAGTTAATATAGAATACGAAAACTTGGCTCCTGTACAGTTTACATTATTTTTTAACTAACCTATATGATTTCAATAACAATCTGTGATTAGCTCCACTGACTCATTCATCTTATTACAAAAATTAAATGAATGGCTTATTGGCAGAGGTTAAATACAAGGATAAACAATGTGCCTGTTGCGAACTTTTACTTGAGCAAAAATAAGAGTTGTTTCTATCAGTAACTGTCTCAACTTCACGATGAGCGCATTGACAAAGTTTGAAACGCACTTCTTACTTCACAATTTGCATAAGAAATTTGCATTTTTTCGAGCTTCCTGCCTCAAAAACGATACCACAACACAGGTGAACATTTCGTAAGAAGGGTCATTCCATCCAACCCCTGCTCACAAGGATACTACGCAATATTCAACATAGCCAACGCTAATCCGCCAAAACACATGTGACAGAACAATGATTCTAACCACCTGATAATAATGGGCGTGTTTACATTCACATTTTTCTCGCGTTGATAGAGATCCACCTTGATTGACCTCGTGCTCTCCTCAACTTGCGCGTGGAAGCGTCGGTCATGTTGAGCAGGGATTGAATAGAACAACTCCTCTAACGAAATGTTTACCTGTGCCGTAGTATCCTTTTAGGAGCGGAAAGCTTAAAAAAATGCAAATCTTTTACGCAGATAGTGAAGTTAGGAGTGCATTTCAGAGTTTGTTGATGCAAGATTTTTTGAGACATTATCTATAAGGAACAACTCTTATTTTTATTCTAGCAAAAGTTTGCAACAGGCCCACTCTGAGAGGAATTAAATACTTACATCATTCCCTATAAGTTCTGCTTTCATCATTTTGGCTGCCAGTTCATTCTCGGTGAGAATTTTAGTCTCTTCTGAAGGATTTTGATCTCCACTGACACTCGACATGGGAGTAGTTGGAGGGGACTCCCTTGTTTTAACAATAGTCTTCTGTTCAGAAGGTAATTCTCTACTGGGAGACCGTCCAAGCGATTTTCTATTACTAGCATCACTTTTCCTCCACGATGGTCTGCTTTGCCCATGGATCGTCGAACTTTTGCCAATATTAATTTGTGGATGACTGCCAAAGGTAAAGTCATCATCTTCTTTCGGTGCTTGGAACTTCTTTGATTGGTCATCACTTTTCCTCTTGTCTTTATGATATTTTGCTTTGTCAGAGTATCTCCTTCTACTTTCTCTTGATCCACTCCTACTCCTTCGCTTTCTATTAGATTTATCCTCACTATCACTATCAGAGCTTGGGTCCCATTGTCGCTTCTCTCGAGACTTACTCCCACCGCGATTCTTGCTGAGTCTATCATCGTTACTACTGTCAGAGCTGTATTCCTGACTTCGTTTTTTAGAGGACTTGTGCTTCCTGTGATATCCTTCATCACTGCTATCCGAGGACTCACGTCTCCTATCACGAGACCTGCTTTTGCGTTTTCTATGGGATCTACTGTGCCTTTCGTCTTCTCCACGCTGACTCCTATCTCCTTTTCTTGAGCTTCTTGATGCTTCCTGGCCTCTGGAAGATTTACTTCGTTTACTTTGCTTTTCTGCCTCTTCTATCAGCTCGTATAACTTGTTTAACGACTGTAAAATAAAACCAAAACCAAAATCAAATCTTAAAATCATTTAATCAGCGGATGACGAGTATTCAATTAGTCGAAATCGATTTTCAAAATGAGACCATTAGTAGAAGAGGGGACTAAAGTTTATGGCAGAAAATTTTTTTAGGCAAACAATTTTTGTAGGTTGGGCTGAAACATCACAACTTGACTCTGCCATGAAAAATACTTTTAAGTATTCAAAAGGATAATATGAGAGCAGTTACTATATTTTTGTGCCAATAGGGTGTGTAAAGTTCAATTTTAATCCAACAATTCTGAGTCCTGAACATGGCAAATTGAACCTTTAATACCTACCTTTTAAACCAAAAAGCACAAATTACAATTCATTTCAGGAATTAAAAAATTTTTGAATGGGCTAAAAAATGTTCTTTAAAAACTTCTACCAGCACTTGTACTTATACCTATCTCAATTTTGAATTTTTCAGCACTTCCGTCCTTTCCTTTATGGACAGTCATGAATGGACAGCAAATCAGAAAGTACATTTTCGTGCCAAGTTGTTAAACTGAAATAACTTTTATTGTATAACACATTTTTCAACTTAGCTCTTTATAAAGTTCATTTTCTATCCTTTCCTATTTAAAATATGTGAAAATAGAATTCAACGTAAACCTTCCACCGGTAAGTTGTATCCACCTTTCAAAATAGCCAGGCTAAAATAGGCTTTCAAATAGGCTTTTTCGGCCAGGCGACCCGAGTTTGATGGTCTCAAACAATGGTTGCCTGGGACTGGTTCAGTAGGGATGGAGGGGGGATGGGACTTACAGCGTGGGATTGGCCCTTGAGGGCTATTTAAAGCAGTAAAAAAAAAAAAAAAAAAAAAAAAAAAAAAAAAAAAAAAGTCAAAATTGATGCTTACCCCCCATCTCTCTACTGCTACATCTTCAAGACTTCTCCCTTCCGCTTCTGCTTGTTCTTGTGTCCGCACCAGTGCTTTTCGCAGCCATTCTAGTCCTCGATCACCAACGTCAACACTGGTTAATTTCGGCTCAGCAGATTTTTTGTCCTCTTCTGGTACACCTGTTCCTCCATTTTTCCAATATGGATTTAACTCACGGTCACTTTCTCCAGGCTAAAAATAGTAAAAGTTATGATGGTGAAAACTTAAATCATATCAATGATGTCACTTGTCATTCAATTTAAATTTTGATACTTACAACTTTTTGTTTATTATTACAAGGTATTCAAAGTTTGCGATGGAAAATCATTACAATTTTTTTTTGTTTTTTTTTTTTTGATGTGATTTAGAATGCAGAATTTTGTTTTTTAATAATATGGGATCATTCAAAAGATTTTTACTACACCTTGAGCACAAAATAAATGTAGCAAGATTAAGTAGTGTATCCTTTTGATTGGATGAAAAAACCAGATGTGAAGTCAAACTTAGTACTTACAGTGCTGGACCTAAGAGAGGGACATAAAAAGGTTTCTTTTTAAAATGATAAACCGATCATCAAGCTGCGTTCTTAAACTAATTAATTAATGCTGACTTCACGACTAATAGAGCCCTTTACCAAAGGATTCAACACCACCAATCATTATTCAGAGTTGATCGATATATTCTGCAATACAAACCACCACTTCACGGGTGGGAAACCAAACCTCCAATTCAATAACTATAACAACTAAAGACTGATCTGGGGCTTCTGCGTTCTAAAATGGTGAACAATGGAATGCTCCGGTGGCTACATTGATCAGTAAGAGAATTCATGACATATTGCCTACAACGATATTTCCTTCCAAAATAAAGCACAAAACTTCAGCCATCTATCTTGTCCTTGGGGACATGCCAATTGTCATTCATATGGATGTGCAAGGCTCCAAAGACTGATGAATGTTCAACACAAGCAATTGCATCCTGGTCGAATCAACTATCGTGGTGCTTGTGGAACTCTCACTGCCAGTTGATACAACTTGCAGACAACTTGTTAATGCTTCATTTGAAACCCACCACCTGCCTGTGACATTGTGACACTGACAGAGATCCCCCTCATTACCTGTGGATTTGCATATTTCAGGAATATCTTTTAAGCTTCTTTTTTTACAAAAAAAAAAAAAAACCTATCATCCGTATTTTTCCTCGGTTAAAAGAGGGCTCCAAAAGAAACTGTTCAGCGAGTGATGATCTGGATACGAAATAGCATATTATTGACTTTTGCGATGTATTTTCCCTAAAAAGTAAATTGAAATAAATTTTTAGTTACTTTGTAAGTTTTTTTATCTTTTTCTTCCAATTCCTTCAGCTTTCGCTCCCTATTTCTTTCCTCATTTATTTTTTCCTTTGATACCACCGGAATAAACCCAGGCATGGACATCCAGTCATCACGTTTTGTGGCACAGTCTCCAGTAACGGCTATCGTACTGTTAGACGCAGTTGTGGCAGAGGATGAACTTTTGGAGGAAGTTTCTACCCACTCTTCAGCACTGGTACTACTTGAGGACTGAAAATAAAGAGACATCCACTTGTTAATACTCGCAGAGTTTTCTAGCAAATTATACTTGCTCTGAAATTAAAAGTATGAAATTAGAGAACTATCAAAAAACACAAATTCTGTTGATCACCACGAGAGGTGGTTTTGCGGAGGTGCGAGCCATTCAGACACACAGAGCCGTTGCCTTTCGTAAGCAACGACGGAGGCAACGCCAATTATCTCTGTTGCTAAACGCTCTGGTGCAGCACAGCTGTGTTGCCATAAACTCAGTGCATTCCATTTTAGGTGTTTCGTAATCGAATTGTTTGAGCTTTTTGGGGTATCAAACCTAGAACTTCCTCTGTGGTTTCTTCGAATAGTAAATTCTTTGATGCTTCATACATGAGCTGAATTGACTTCATATTTGCTGTGTTTAAAGGCTTTCAGTTGGTAACTGTAAATGACATTTTGTGCTTTTGGTTCAGATATTATTGTCGGCAGGCAAAGCTTCAGCTTCATTCCGAGACTTGACAAACAATGAAAGTTAAATCTGAGTCTTAAGAGTGAAAATGACACTTACAACGTAAATGCTCGTAAATCATGTAGAATGATCAAAGAATAAGTGTAAGAATAAGTGAGCGTAGGGCGCAGATGACTATGATGACTACTTACAGAAGTTGACGAATGTCTCTTCTTTTTCTTCTTGTGTTTGGATTTTTTTTTGTGTCCCATTCTAGCTAAAAATTCAGTTAATAAACTGGGTGAACTTCAAGAACGAGTAGAAAAATGGTACTAATCTGAAACTGCAGAGTGAAAAGGAAAACTCAGGAGGTTGAAAGTTTGTTTACCTACTTCATGGGAGGTTAGAGTAAGTCCCTGGTGCTGCTATCTGTTATCAATTTTCCTGAGGGATTAGTGTGTTTCCCAATTTATTGCATTGTGTTATCAAACTTACCACCAAAAAAGTGGAGGAGTTTCCGAGTAAACTAAACTATTTGACATTTTTGGTAATAATACTTCACCTACCAACCTACATTTACTACCGTTCCGTTACTACGTGACCTTCCCAGTTTTTTTGCTATTGGTGTTATTACAGAGCCAATCTTGTAATTCTGTCCTCCTTACTCCTTATGAGTGATAACAGAGATTGTAAGTAGCAAGTAAGTAACTCACCAAGGTTTGCTTCTATTAATTTCTTTGAAGTCATATTCTCTAAAATTTTGGATGTCAATTTCCAAAAATTACAAATGAATAAGTTTTAGCCTATGGCTGGACTCCTGACATTTGGCCGTAAAAGTCTTAGAAAAGTTTGATTACTGTGAGAGATGAGAATGACTCATATAAAATTCTAACCGTCAGTTAATGTGTCTACTTAAACTGCATTAACATCAGAGAATTTGTTCAATATTCAACCTATTTCAGGTTATTCATATGAAAACTCAAGTTGTCTACTGAGGGCATGTTTATTTATCTGAATGCAACGGAATGCGACGAAACGCCTCACTTTTTTATTTCCGGTTCACTGGCGTGGTCCAGCCCAATCCTTGCGTTCCTTTGGAATGCTTACATTGCTTTCCTGAGGTGGGTTGAAGTTGCGGTTACGCAGAATCCTAATCTGTAAAGCATAAATCATGTAAAAAAGCAACCATAAACGCTACCACCCTTGGAATTTTTTTCGCTCGTGGAACCGGTGGAACGTTATGGCAATGCTCTGAACCGCCATGTGTTCCATGGATAATGCCATGCCCTTTAATCGAAGTTGATTGGATGTATGGTTCAACCAACATTGCTATTTTAATTGTTTGGAATTTCTTTAATTTCACCTGACGTCATTTTAGAGTTTAAAATCTTTTCCAGTTTCATAATTGGAGTCAATCCCCTGAATGTGCGTGTGTCTCCTCATGCGTGATTCATGCATTGTGATTATTCAGAACTTAGTTCAGCCATTAAAGATGAAGAAAGCATCTCGTACAATGCAGAACCGCAACTGACAAATGTAGTTTACACTCAATAAGTTGGCCAACTTCCGGAGGGAAAAGAGAGATCTGTAATTTGTTTTGATGCAGAACTAAAGACAATACCTAGATCCTTCATTACTCTCTGAAAGTTATTTAACTAGTTTGGTGCAAACTTTATCCCATAAACATCTAGCGGTCCATGGAAAAATTAATGAAGACGATCAATGATAAAATTCGAAGTGATTAATATCTCAAAGGACATACTTACTGCATGAGTGCTGATCTAACCAATACTTTGTCTTCCAGCATTTATATTAGTGGATGCGTCTTCTGTTCCAGCGTACAAAGTTAGAAGGAATGGGATGAGCTCTCAATATTGTCTTCAGCATCAATCCAATTATTTTCTCTGCTGATTCAAGATGGCTGAAAAGGTTGTTCCCAATGATAATCAGAATAACGGAAACATTCTTCCGAAAAATACCACACTTTTCAATCAGGTTGGGGGACATGATTTTACAAATGGCTCCATAGGTAAATTTTACTTTTCTATTGCTTCTGAGTTGTAATGTTACGTTTCATTGAATAATTAAAATGAACCATTTTAGTCTTAGCAAAAGGAGAACGAAGACATATTCTAGCCACTAAGATGCATTATCACAAAGAACAAATATTGAGACACCTCTCATATTGGCAGGACACACTTTTTCTGAAAGCATTCAAATTACTTGAAGTAAAGAACATGAATTCCTTTGAAGTTTTGTAAAGCTGAAGAAGAAATACTAAAGGATTTAAGATCTGCTAAAAACTTCCAAAATATAATTTTCCTTTGTTTATACTAAACACAAAGTTAGCTTCACTCTTGAAAACGGGTGATACTAATAGAATATGTGTGCTCTCTTCTTTATAGAACTTTTAATTTTAAAGATTTAAAAGTTTGATGATATTTTTTTGCGACCAAGATTAATAGAGATGTCAGAAAGATTGTCATTGAATATAAAGTTTTTCTCATTCTCCAGAGCATTACTGTCTTTTCATCATAGAGGTCGAAAGAAAGAATAAGAATTTTTTTGTAAATACATCCTGTTCTGCTTTGTCATAATTTAAATAATCTGTCTTCAAGTTGGACCTAAGCTGGCTATCTCTTCTTAGCAGCACCAGTATCATTCAAGCAGCAGTATTATTCAACCATACTCTCTGCATTCAAGTTAATGCTAAAGTACGACTATTAGCCTCACAGCCTCTTTAGACTTTTGAATTAATATTGCAGAGCTGTAAATTAAGTTTTTGATTTGAATTTTCTAGCCCTTATTTCTTTGAAGTGTGCCCTGTTCAAAATGATTGATGTATTAATTTTTTCAAAAATGCCACTCATCTCCTTCATTCTCTAGTGACTTTCATTAGGCTCTGACTCCTTAAATCCTCATCATTAAAGTGGTGTTTAAAATCTTGTAAGTTGGATAAGTGAATAACTAAACCCTTTTGCATCTTTTCAGGCATCTTGAAGGAGAACTCCGGATGCATTCTTAAGCCTATCATCAATGCTATCAAAGGAAAGAAAGAAATAGGATTTTATGAAAATTTATCAGTACGAAATAATGCAGTTCACACCGAATTGAAAAGTTTTGTTCCTAAATACTTGGGCACTGTAGATCTGAAGGTGAATGACAAAGGTAAAAAGTGCTTTCTAATATATGTATTTTCTCGCATCCTTTGTACTTTTTTTCACTGAGAAAGTTAGAGAAACATTGGCTTGAGTGTTTCACCATAAATTTGAATAACCTTCTTCAAGTTTGGTATGATTAACTGTAAATGACCAATAGACAAATGAGACTACTCCTGCTCTTACTTCCTATAAGGTTCAACTCAGAAGTTCTCTGGAAAGAGGCTCCATAATGATAAATCTGTTTTTGAGAAAAACACAAAGTTGTTTTTATTTTCTCGGGGGTGACTCATGTTGAAACTTAATCTTCTAGATTGAAGTTTATAAATCATAATATGAAATCCAGTCATTAGTGAGGGGCTGTCCATAAATTACATCACCCATTTTTTTCCATTTTTTTACGC